ATATAGACAAAGTATATCTTTCTGATCAAAAATCCAAAAATTATTAAAATTTCCTTTTCTAAAATATATTACACACTTTATTGCATTGTAATATAATTAAATGACCCATTTGTTATAATTATTTTAAACGATTTCTTCCATAGTAGAAAACATAATAAAGGGGAGTAAAACATGTTGAACCCACTTTTGATTGGCTAGTTTGGAATTTCGAATCCAACAGCAACGGGTTAGTACTTTGAAACTCGCTTCTGATTGGTTAGTTTGGATCTTGAATCTCGAAACTGAATTTCGAACAAATTTCGATGTACATAAACTCAATCATTAGCCCTATAGGCTTTGTTAACGATTGGGATGTCCATCCGTCTGTACGTCCTTCTGTTACGCTTTCGGGTACCTACTCAGTATCTTATCCGCAACTCTCTCTTATACCACTGAATGAAATTTCATAAGACTTTCATAGAATTTTTGCTACATAATTCCATTGTGCACCTCCTATTTTACTTTTTGATCGGAGTCAAATTTCGGGTTTCCCATGGCAAAATATGGTCACTGTCATCTTTCTATAATATTAAGGGGTACTCATCTCTTATCCGCAACTCCTCCTACACCACGGAATAAAATTTAATGATACTTTCACAGATTCTTGGTTACATAATGCCATTTTGATCTCCTATTTTTACTTTTTGATCAGACACTTTTTTCTGGTCTCCAAGAGCAAAACATGGATTTTGCCACTATGATCACATGGGAGAGGGGGTAATCATTAAGTGAGTTCAGTACTCACAGTACCTCAAGTAATTTAAATGCTGTCAATCTCCTAGATCTCAGAGAACACAAAATCATTTTCCTTTTACCTTGTTCTTCATTAAAAATATGATAAAATTTTCATGAAAATTTATCTTGAAATCGAAAAATATTTATAACTGTAAGTTGAAAATGCATCTTTCGAATATTCGTTTCAGTTTCCTTAATGAAAACATGTATTCTATCAAGTAAATTATCCTCTCAACACCAAAGTTCCTGAGCCAGCTAAATCTGCAGCCTTCCGCCAGCAAGTGGTGGCGTCTAAATATGAGTGAAAAATTATCAAAGGGAAGTTTAACAGACAATCAAACAATTACATTAAACTTATTGGTGACGAACAACCAAAAAGGGTTTACTGCTGACTTTCTGTTTACGTTTTATATCATTTTAGTAGAGCCTCGATCTGCATGCTTGGTGCTTCTCCATGAGAAAACAAAGACCGTAAAATAGGGAACGAAATTTGTCAGAGATCCAACGGCAACGGGTTAGTAGGGACACCTGACGTTGCGAGGATGCTAATGAACATGATTGGACAATTTTATGTACATACGTTATCATTACAATATAGGATTTGTTAACGTGGCCAAATTCATTTTACATGCAATCCAGAGTTGTTTCCTTTTGTATGACTGGTGACATCCGTGTACATATATATTATAAAAGTGGATGATTTTATTGACCGATATTTCGTTTTACCATTGATTTTGGGATCAAGTTGTCTCAAGATTTGTTTTAGAAACAGATAAATTATCATAACAAATGATAAGATTATGAATGTCTCACAAAATTCTTATTAAATAAGCGTTTTAAAGAACATTTTCCTTTGATTGTTTTTTTTTTTTTTTAAATTCCAATATATATTTATCTACACGCAGAGCAATTCGAGAACTGGGGGAATTTTTCTTTTATCTAATATTTATCATTATAAATATGACGATGATACTGTGAGCAATGAGCTCACTAAATGATACCCCTGTCTCCCATATAAATATAATGGCAGTGTCCATGTTTTGCTATGGGAAGCCCAAATATGTTTTGGATCAAAAAGTAAAATGGGAGGTCACAATGGCATTGTTAAAGATTTTTTTCATCAAATTTCATTCAGTGGTATGAGAGGAGTTGCGGATAAGAGATAGATAACCCAAAGCGTGACAGTCGGGGGGACGGACATCCCGATCACTATATACCCTCCCGCTTTTCAAGCGGGGGTATAAAAAGGAGGGGTGGTTAAACATAAATCAGCAAAGTTATGATCATTTCAATGAATTCGCTTCCTGGTTGCATTTGGAAATCTTTTTCATTAGACAAGATCTTGACAAGTTTTATTTATCTCCTTCTATCGTGTATTATCTTGATTTTATTTACTACGAAAACAATTCAGGTTGGGGGTCTCCATAGGAGGAGATTAGAAAGGAACACTTCAAGCATTTACACCTCTCAAATCCCCTAATGTTAAAACCGAGAACGTGTTTGGGATTTGCCTAGAAGTACAGATAATTATATAAATGGGGTTATTCTCTCCAAGATTATTCGCATTGATACCATTTATTTTTTTAATTTTGCGTTCTGTCTAGATCGACAATATCAAATATATATTCGTGAATGTATACATTTTGTATATATTGTCAGAAGCATTGAACACGATGTCTCCTGGTTGATTGGATACACTTTGCCAAGAGCATACTCCGCACGGTCAGTTTTTGAAATTAAAGAGGCACACTATTAAACAACAAGTTGATAAAACACACATTTGAAGTCATCATTGCTAGTTCTATGTAGTCAATAATCATACAATGACACTAGTAATAAGCATTTACATACAATCTATCATTAGCTGAATTCAGAGAAAAATATATGGTCAAATGATGGTCAAATGATGACTGTCGTTTTTCATACCAGTTGTAAGCAGGTCATTCTTTACACACTGAAATTTCTACGAATTTTTCCGCCTACTCGATCATGACAGGAAGACGCGATGGATGTGTCTGGTCAGCAGGGAATGCATACTGGACTTATTAACGCTATAGCCAAGGGCTTCTGAATCCAAATTGAGATATGAAATGTCTGCTGCATGAAATAAGAGAGAAGTACATTAACTAAACGAGAGATTTTTGTAGAGACCCCCCTCCCGTCAAGTTGGTCCCAAGGTGAAAATGGTTTCAAACCCCGAAACGTTATTGCACATCAACAGACTAGACCACTACCATTTCTATTCCAAGCGACTTGTATGGTTCCTCTTCAAAATGTCAAATAAGTTTGAGGAAGAACGTGTAACAATATACCTGAACTGTCTTTAGAAGGTGCTCGGGCGGATATAAAATAAAGTATGTATATCAAAAGTTAATTTAGTTCTTTACTCGAGCTTTAGTTGAAATGCGTTTATTATATAATGGGACAAAGTGATATAGAATACGTTGGGTATTTAATCGTTATTCCACATATGAAGAACATGAAAAGAAAGACAACTTGTAATTCTCTTATATACACATCCAAAGATTTCCCCCAAAGAAAAATAAATTCAAACAATTAAATTGATTTTATTTTTAGCATAAAATCCGGGCCTTTACAAGAGATTACTACAAATAGTATAGTACAGATTGTTAAGATATAATTTTCCTGATAATTTCACTGGAATGTTATCTGTGTAAATAAGCTGAAATGTCAACTATATTCATAACGCATTAATCTTACTATATTTATCTACAATTCATATAAAATACCCCGATGTATTTAAAATGCCAAATACAAAATTAATGTTATTTGGAAATAAAATACTTCGCAATTCGGTGGTCATTGTATCCCCCGGCTTAAAAATTGGGAGGGCATATAGTGATCGGGGTCGGATGTCCGTCTGTTTGCAGGTCCGTCTGCTATGCTTTGGGGTACCCATCTCTTAGCCGCAACTTCTCTTAAATCACCGATTGGATATTATATGAAACTTTCACAGAATCCTCTATATACATGTATATCATTGAGTTTTTAATGAGACTTTTACAGAATTTTTGTTACAAAGCACCATTGTGTAACTATTTTACTTTTTGATCCGACACATTTTGTATTTCCCATAGCAAACCTTGGACATTGCCATTATAACCATATGGGAGGCCGGGGGTATAATTTAGTGAGCTCAATGCTCACAGTATACCTTTTGTTTTATGTGTAATAATGGTTAATAAAAATGTTACCTTGAACCTTGTTACTCAATTTTTCATCAGATAATGGGAATTAATCATGACGTCACAAGTTCTATATAGCGTGTCTTATTATAATTGGTAATACAACATATATTTTAGACAAAATCCCTGAATAAGAAAATTGCTGCCATTTTCATTCAAAATTACTTTCCAAAACAAAGTCAGAATACACCTCTAGTGCTATTCCAAAAGGTCCAACATTCATCCAAATACATTATACATGTATTGTGCTGCACAATAACTCAAATTGACCCTAGCACAATCTGATAAAAATTAAGTCTTTGTAATGGTCGGAAAATCTGATCAGAAACTCAGAACATAACAAAGAAATGTCTCGACTCAGATTGATCTTTGTTTTCTTTTATGTAGGTACACATACATGTAAAGGCAATTTCACAGATTCAGACTCAATTGCAATTTGTGAAAAAAAGTATGCTACTTTAAAATTTTCCTATCAGCATTTCAATTACCAGCAGAACTGTGCTCTCTGCTTGAAAAAAAATCGAACAGATAAAGAAGAGAGCTACAGATCCAAGCTTGTAAAAACCTTTGATTTATGCTGCCGATTTTCTGTCGCTCACTTCAGGTATTGTTTTATGTATATTATGCTCTTCCCCGCTTTAAAAATGGTAGCCTATGATTTATCATATATTTTACTCCTTTTTTGGGGGGGGGGTGTTAAGCACATTTTCTTTGAATATTTTTAGGCGTTCTACCAGATGGAAGTCGGAATAGAATTTTTATAACCCGACATTCCAAAACCACAAAGGGCTGCTTGGTACTGTTAAAAGTAAATCAAGATCAACAAGAATAATTGTGAATACATGGTTATTCATCAGATATCATTCACAAAGCAAGGGAAAGCATAAAATACAAGATAATAATACCCAGGGTGAGCCACAAAAAAAGCTGCATAAATCAGGTTTTAACAACAGTTAGATCTGTAGCTCTTCTGCTACATTACAATATAACAATAGCAAAACAGAAGTATACGAGTACCAGTAATTTTCATGGAGTTTATTATACATAATGTAGACAATGAATCTCAAGACAACTATTGCCTTTTATAAATAACAATGGAAATGCTGTGTTTATAATACATACAATATCAATGTACAAAACACAACTTGTAACTCAGTAACAAGTACCTTTACAAGATACGACTTTTTTCAGGATTTTGCGTTTGTATTGTAGAGATTGTATCACAGCTCTGGATAATGTACACTTGAATTTCACTGAACTGGATATTGTACACTTGAATTTCACTGAACACAATGGACAAGTGTTTAATATCTGTAGATTTCGGGTTTGAATGGGCCTTCCTTGGGTAGATCTAGATACTGGGCTTGGTCATCTGAGAGCTTGGTCAGCTTCACACCAAGATGTTCCAAGTGGGCAGCTGCGACAGCCTCGTCAAGCTAAAGAAAACATTCAGAATCAAAAATATTGAAAACCATAGCTGAAAGCATAAAGTGAACTTAAATGTATTCCTTAAGTATTGAATAAAATTCTGCACAATTTTTCTTTTTATCTTTAATAATTTTTTTCTCAAGATATATTAAGTAAAATGGATTTTTCTCCCTTACATTTGTCAAAACTTACATTTTTTTTCTTTCAAACTTTAACAATTCCATTTCTCAAGACACATTAATAAAATTATAGCAATGTCTTTAATGTATATCCAAATTAAGTTTCACTTAAATAAATTTTGAAATCTAAGTAGCAACAATATACCTTTTTGGGGAGGAGATGTACACCCACTGGGTACTGTCCCTGCTTAGTCCAGAGTTCAATCTGAGCTAGAACTTGATTGGTGAAGGAGTTACTCATCACAAAGCTGGGATGACCATGGGCACAGCCTAAGTTAACCAGGCGACCTTCAGCCAGCAAGATGATGTGACGGCCATTCTTTAGGGTGTACCTATCAACCTGTAATTGATGGGAAAAATAATTATTTCATTAATCTTTCATAATGTGGAAAATGACATAGAGAAGGCATCGAATTCCTGTGTAGATAATCTATTCCTTTTCCTGGTAATAAAAAAAACCATACATTTTATAGATTTCTTTGTAAATGCTTTGAAAAAAAAATTAATGGTCAAAATATAGCAGGAGTGCTAATCAAAATTTTGCAAAATAATATAATCCTTCAATCATATACATCAACAGACTTTGTTACAACTTATGTTCTTTCAGCTTCCTCATAGGAAATATTTTCCTGATTCAATACTGAATTTTTGTTACATTGAAGTCTTTCAAATATTTCAATACAAGTAAATAAAGGTCACTTCAACTTACCTGTGGTTTAATTTGTTCTTTCTTCTGGCAGTTAGCATTCAGCCATGCCACATCTAACTCGCAGTCAAAATGCCCAATGTTACAAACAATAGAATCCTCCATCATCTGTTCAAACATGGTTCCGTGAATGATTGATTTACACCCTGTAGCTGTTACGAAGATTCTGGCTTTCTTCAGACACTCGTCAACTGTGGTTACTTCAAACCCTAAAAAATAACATACATTTTAATTATTTCCTTCACTCAATTTATGAAAAGAAAAGAACATAAACTGAAAAGAGGGATCCTCAAAGCAAAGTTTCTCCTCATGAAAATATGTCTATAAATCAAGAGCTAGCATTTCACATCCATCCAGATGCATATTATGTCCCTTTCATTATCAACACAGAAATAATGCAAACTAACTCATCTAGAGACAAAAGTGCGTTACTATGTCCCCTTGCAAGGGGATAATAAAATGCACCATATCCTTCATAATTAATATTTGACAACCAGCAATTTTTCTAAATTATGTCAATTCACCTTCCATGGCTGCCTGGAGAGCGATAATTGGGTCAATCTCGGTAATCATGACACGGGCTCCGAAGGCTCGCAGGGCATGGGCGCAGCCTTTGCCTACGTCACCGTATCCCGCCACCATGGCAACCTTTCCTGCCAACATGACGTCTGTGGCTCTCTTGATACCATCCACAAGAGACTCCCTGCATCCATACAGGTTATCAAATTTGCTCTGAAGAGAAAAAAATTCTTATTTCAACAACCTCCATTCCTATTCAATTATTTTCAAAAAAGTTTGTAAATTGGTTTAATTCCACGGTGTTAAAATTTCATTTTTTAAAAAGTACGAATCGATGGTTTTAATTTATATTAAGTCAATTTAAATTTCGCTACAGTTCATGTCTATCACGGCATTCAATTTTTAATAACACTTTGTGATATATATTATGAATTAAACCTAAAAGTAAACACTAAAATTAGTTTTTTTTGAGAAATCGTTGAATTTAGAAATGGAAAACTCAATTAAACAGTCAAATTCTCCGCCGACCCTCTAAATTACGGCGAGAAGCGCAGATTACAACTAAATGCAATGAGGAAATCGAAAAGATTGAATGTAGTACTCCAACAAAAAAAGAAAGCGAGGCGAATATGGCAGTTATTCTCCAGAAACTAGAGCCAAAATGGCAAAATTTCAAAATGGGCCTTAGTCATTTCAGAAAACAAGGTCAATGAAAGTGTGTGAGAAGCATTACATGTCCCAGCAAATCGAAGCACCGAAGTTTACCACACTCTCCCCGGGGGCGTCCTTTAAAACTAGGCGCATATGATGAACTTGTAAAAGCATACGTCAAATTACTGTATAAGTCTGGCGCAAGGGGAGTTATTTTATATAAAGATAAAACTTTTTTGGAGGGTCCATTGAAATCACAAAAGACTGGGCCTTATCACTACTTAAACGCATGGGAGTGTTAAACATTTCCCAGATGATTTCGAAGAAATAAAATGTGGATTTAACAAGCGCATTATTGACAATGTCAAGCAATTCAACATTCCAGATGAGTTAATAATTAACTGGGACCAAACGGGTGTTAACCTTGTACCGAGTGGACAATGGACAATGCACGATACTGGTAAGATTTTGTTTTAATTTCTAATTGAATATATTCCCTGTAATTTCATTACTATAAATAACGACCTAAATTAAAAAAAAAAAGCTTTCAAGACAGTATGAACCGTTTTAATGATTTCAATAATAATTAGGTAATCAATTATCTCTATAGGTGCCAAACAAGTCCCCATTAAAGGAGTTGACGACACCTTTTGTTTTCAAAGTCCTTGTCTTATTACCCAATTATTATTATATCAAGGTCATTGACAAGTGTCATAAATTTCTAGGTTTAATATTGTATGAAAACCATTGGAGTAAAAAAATGCAGAGATATGTTGAAAAGATCATTGTTCCCTACATAGAGCGGGTACGTGACGAACTGGATTTGCCTTTGAGGCAAAAAGCTTTGTGTATTTTTAAGTTGTGTTTGTTCCAGCTGCATGTACAGACCGTCTACAACCTTTCCAAATTAACATTTTCCCTTCCGAATTTCAGATGTACTACGCGAATGAAATAAAATCTTCTCTGGAAAAGGGTGTCCATTGAGGATATCGAAGTTGACTTGCGCTTGTCCAAAATAAAACCTATTCATGAAATGAGAACTGATCAGCTTGAAAGGACACAGAATTCCATTCGAAAAATAATTAGATTAATTGCCATAACAGTGTTTACGTACAAATTAAATCATGATGCAATTTATTTGAAATTGAATTTCAAACTGATTAATGTACTACTTTAATACATGTTTCAAAATGAAAATAAAAAGAATGTAAACACATAGTACGTTTTCTCTCTTTATTGCATAGCACAAATCTGAGTTATCTCTCTTTGTCTGTAAACGAATATATAATACGGCGCAATCAACAAGGTTTAATAGGTTTAAACATTGAAACGTTTTTGAAAACTTATGGAGTTTCTGGGTTTAATTTCCCGCTAGTGAAATTAAAACCATCGTGATTATTTGCCAATTTACAGTATTATTAGAAAACTGGGGGGCCCCGCCATGGGGTTTTTTGCAGCTTATGAATGACTCCCAAAGGTATTCAAAAACCTGTAAGGCCATGCAAAATTAATTACATGGTTCTCTTTTTTCCTATGAATTTTTTTTTCTTTTTTACAAAACATGATGAAAGACAAAACCTAAAAAATGATGAGGGAGGTGATTTGGTGTTTTTATTTTATCGATTTGGCAATAAAAAGGGTTGCATTAAAATGGGTTTTATTTTTTTTTTGTGTATAAGGCAGTAAAAAAAACATTGAATGTATATCTACCTGTGTTATATAAAATGTTCAACAAATGCAAACACATATCATGAAGGTTGTCTCTCATTGTATTCAGTTTTATACAATGGTTTTCAGAAGTTATCTCTCTTTGCCAATTCATTCTTATATAAAGTTATCACCACCATCATCAAGGATCAAACTGTCAAAATATGTCTTTTTGCCTAGGGGCTACCATAAAAAAAGTTACCATCAGACACACGGACAAACAGAGTGATTACTATAGGGCACCCGCAAATCCTTGCGGGGCCCTAATGACTATCTTCATGTTAGTGTAACTTCAATATCTTTAACAGTGATATCTCAAAAAACCAATTTAAACCATAGATATGTCAAAGTAATTTGGAATAGCTAGATGTTTAAAACAAAAAATAGAGCAAATTTACCTTTGTGACATTAGTTGACATTAATGGATTTACCCGCCTTTCATCATTTTTTCCAAAACACCAGTCACAGAACTGATTCCTGCAAAAGATTTCCATATGATTATTCAGCTTTTAAATCTGTTATTTCTCCCTGTCTCTTATTTATTAATTAGTGTTTGTACTTAGATGTTAAAGGAAACTCTATACAACTAAAGATCTGTGCTTTCCTTTCTGAAGTATATTTGAAAAAAAAAATTTATATAAATGAAACGGCAATTTTTAATGCAAAAAAGCTTTGAAAGATGGCCTTAACATTTTTTTATTTAGCAAGTTTTTTTCAATTAATATCAATATATTAGAGTTTCATTTGGGTATGACAGGAAAATCTACCTTCAATATACTCTGTTCTCGGTCACATGTCATCAAGGATCATGTTGAGCTTGATAATGCAAATAAATCATGTCATTACAGAAGGAATTAAAAAGCTAGATGTTATCCTGTGACATAAGCAACACAGATTTCTCTCTAAACAATATAAATTTCACACTATTTTTTTTTTGACAAAAGTCATTGCGATCCAATCAATATATAGGTGTGTTTGAATATGGAATTTATTTCACAATCTAGATGTACCTGTATTTTCAATACACACAGATATACTCCTACAAAACATTGAATTTTCGTTTATTACATTTTTAAAAAAAATTCTTTGATTTTTCCTTTGCCCTTCTTTTTTGTGATACATGCGTCATAGTTGACGGTTGGACTCATAGCTAAGTGAGGTGAAAACACTTAGCAATGGCAGCTTTAATTCGCTGTCAAAGTCCTGGTCAAGTGGAGAAAATGTTACAGAGTTTTCCTGCACTTTTGATATTTGTCACACTGTGACCTACAAAAAAAATTACAGAAGAGGTTAAAAACATTTTCCCCCTCCAATTAAATGAAAATTTCTGCACATGTTACCGGTACTTCAAAATATATTGCAAAATTTTGTTACAGCTTTGGACTACAAAAGAAAAAAAAAAAATATATTTATTTTCATTTCTGTGGTGGCTTTTTGTATTCATATATGTGTTATACCAAGAAGAAAAAAAATCCAATCATTCTATCCAAAAATTAATTTAAAACTATGGTTTTTATTTAATTTGATTATTTTTTTTTTCGAATTCTCAAAGTTCAACATTTTTACTTCTCCCTGCAATACATCCATTTAATAATATCTTTCTCCCAAACAAAGGTAACCAATACCAATTTCCTATGCCTTATGGGGCTTTCTGGGGGGAAACAAACATTACCTGAGCCCCGAGGGCTGTGAGGGTTTCAATGAGGACGGCGGTCTGAGTGGTCATATGAAGACACCCTGCGATCCTGGCCCCCTTCAGTGGCTTGGACGCAGAATACATCTGCCTCATCTGCATCAGGCCAGGCATCTCGTTCTCGGCGATCTCGATGCATTTTCTGCCCCAGTCGGCCAAGCTGATGTCAGCTGCAATATTTGATACACAGATGACATGAAATGCATATACAAATATTTCACATTTTCAAATCCAATTATATGTCATACATGCAGTGCAATAATAATACAGTGCAAATTATTTGCTGCAATTTAGCCAATTTGAAATCACTTCTCATTATTCATTATTATATATCATGTTTATCAGGTTTAACTTAAAAAGAGTAGATTTCTGTCCAACCCAATTTCTTAAACCCTGATATTGCTGTTGTTACTATCAAATCATTGCAAATCTTACAAAACTAATATCTTATTAATTTCAATCTGACTACCAATTTTAAGGCTTTAGTCTCATCCAAAGTAATTTTTCAGTTTAAAAAAAAAAACTCTGCTAGTTTTAATAAGTTAACCTTGACCATCTTAGTCGATACAAAGTTCAATGTTTTCTTAAGTAATCTGTTTACATAATTAGATAAAGGGCTATTACTATTTATAGGACCATCCATTGGCAATATCAATTTTTGATGTTCTGCATGACAGATGAATTACAAGCAATCTAGGTGTCAGGGTTTAAACTTAACTGAAATTTCCACGAGCCATGTGGGCTCCGTTTTAAAGGAATTTCAAATTTAGGAGCCCAAAAACTGCTAAATTTGTTAGTGTGCCACAGTCTCTGTGAAAATCTTTTTGAAAAGCATAGATACTGGGACAAAAAGTAGATACAAATGAAATAAATATATAAATTCACCGGTTTAAAATTGTGTGCCAAGTTATATTGAAATTCTTACTTTATAAAAATCAGATGTCATATAAATATTAATCAAAGGAAATAAAATTGTATTCAATAAACATTTTTACTATCTATTATTTTTTACTTGGTATATAAATACGTAGCCCTGGTACATGTCTTCAACTAATAAATTGACAATGACACAATAAGATTTTCTAGGTTAAATATTTTTACTACAACATATCTGAAATAGGTGAAAACACTTACTATTCATATGACTGAGTAGTTGGTGAGTTATTTAAATTGTATATCTCTCACGTATCAACCATTTACAGAGGGTTGAAAAGTGCATAGGTGGCTGTAATTTTGTTTTTACTCGTAAAAAGATTCTTGGTTTGAGACACAGCCAAAAAATTACGATGAAAATAAAGAAAAAAAACCTGACGATCAAAATGTTTTAATAACAACTTCGGGAATTTCACAAATCGTGTAGTACTTTAAATGGAAAAGATGTTTTAAAAGAAATACAGAAGTTAGCAATAAATCAAGATTTTGTTGTAAATTTTTTAATTATAATCTGAATTTACTTATCGATAATACACACATTTGTATTTAATTTTTCTGTTGTTTTAAATAAACCTGCGTAAAATGTCATTTGTTTTTCAAACGTAAGGGGACTGGGAAATTATGAATAGTTTTTAAGATTTTGAAAGGGACCCTGTAGAATTTTTATTCGCCACGTGGGCGAGCAACTTACAAATTTTATGAGCCCACACCAATTTTTACTCGCAATTTGCGAGTGGGCGAGCGTTAAGTTTAAACCCTGGGTGTACGTTTTCAATTCTTTACTCTTGAGATTAAAAAAGAACACTAGCATGAATATTACAAGTAGTTTTTTCATAAGCTCTTTCATGACAACTGTGGTACATAATAATTTAATAATTATGATACTATAATACTCATGCAGGACAAATTCAGTGGCAACTGAAATTAACCAGTTGTAATATCAAGATGTCAAAATCAGAATTTAAAAAATAGCAATTATGTTACAGGCTTAATATTATGCTCATGGTCATTTCAGGAATTTGGGGGGTTGTCTTTACTGGAACCCACGTGAAATGGTATCGTCCTCATTTTCAACACTGCATCTATCTAATCTAGATCGCGAGTTCAAAATTAAAGTTCAAAAGTCAATTAAGAGACTTAAAGAAAATACTTTTAATGAATCAGACACAACAAAAATTATGTATGATAAAGTATTAACATCTTTTTTAAAGATGACACTGATTATTAAAGAAGATATGCGATAATTTTTTTAAAAAAAATCAAGCGAAGGGGTTTTCCACACTGCGTTAAAAATAGCACACCATGCACAAACCGGCGTGTTTCAAAATCAGATGTTACACCTTTTGTGAGCATTATCGATGCATCATTGATATTATTCTGGCTTAATTCAATAAATTCATACATACCGACTTTGTATGGTGGTTTTCCTGACATGTTTGACGATCTTCACAACCCAGTGTTCACTGAATAATAGAGGCAGAATTCATGACGCGATTCACATTTATACCAATCTGAAGTCACGTGGCTAGGGTACCAGATTTAAATACCAGTTTAAGATCTGATTAAAACTTGCGCGACCGCAAACACGAGGATTATAGAAAATGTGTTTCCTAATAAAACAGTCTAAATACAACTTTTCAAAAGAAAATGAAGAGGGTTACACATATTATATTTTCAAAATTAATTTATTTGTCTTGAATAATCATTCATTCATTCATTTCATGATTTCAGGGAGCTCTTAAATTACTAATGAAAATGTTTTTCTTCAAAGGGGGGTATCTTATAAATTAAAGTATTTAATATTGAGTAAATTTTAAATTAGTTCAATTTCAACAATGGATTGAAATCCATCCTCTTAAGCACAAGTATTCGTTTCAGGAAAGGGTATTCAATTCCATATAATAACAACTATTACATGTATACTATTTTAAAAATATTTAAAATAAGCATGAAAATTGATTAAAAGTATTTGTACAAGTACATTAATTTATACAGAATATTAAAAAATAAAGTGTTATTAAAGTGTCTTTAAATATACTGAAAGTTTATGAATTAAGTTATTTTTTACTGCTCATTTTAACTATCTAAAAATAAAATAATTTAATCTTGAAAATGATTAAATTAAAACAAAAACAACGATATACATGAACATGATGAATAATGGAAGATTTTAAATATCGGATTGAGATGTGCGCAAACGTTTGTAACTGGTGTAAACAAATGAGATGTTTATATAGTGGTGACTCAGGCCGGGTGAGCATTAAACGGAAAGCACAGACAGCCACTGAAGAAGTTGAACAAAAGAGAGTAAAGGTAAATTCTCTGAGCACATTGACAGGAAAAAAGCACGGCACAAAACCTGATATTCTAGTACTAAATAACAAAAATAATTAAAGGAATGACCGATGTTCCAATTTTCAATCGTTTAATGTAATTTTAAAAATAACTTCCTGGTTTGCATCAGCCGAGTTATATATGTTTGGTGAAATGTTCTTCTGAGACATCGAAACTGCATGTAATAAGATGATGAGAAAAGTTAAAACAAAAAAATCAAATTCATCTTGTACGGAATTAGTGAGGTCTTATTCCGAGGCATCTAAGTTAACCAGGAGTCTTCCAAATTAAAGTATGATTTACTGACCACAAACAACTGAGGCGTATTTTTTCCGCTGCATTTTTTGGAGGGGGTAGGGTGGTGCGCAGGCATTTTTATGACTTTCAAAACCTCATAAACTGAATTTCTTCACATAATTTTCAATTTTTTCATGACGATTTCATGAATTTACTAGTATCAATGGTAAGTGCATCATATTGCTTATCATTGTAAGAACATTGTAAGATACACATGCATGTCGAAAAAAAACTTTTAAAAAATTATTCTGGAACTTGTCAAAATTGACCTCTATTTAAGTTTTTTTTTTTGTAAAAATTAGAGGTAAAAATGCATGCAATTTATGACTCGCGTATTCACATGCACTCTAGGATCGTATACAGATATATGGGGAAAAGGATATCCGTTAGGATATTTTTCCGAAGGCCACATGACGCGGTTATACTCCAATTACTTGAGCTCCGTTTGATGTCAATGCATGTTTGTATGTATTTACGTATACATGTACAATGTATACATATCCAGTCACAGCTTGGCATGAAGGAGGAGGGGGCATACAATATTAACTATGAACTTAATTCTGACACTGGTTATAAAAAGATATTTTAAAATATTATATATATAAAACTATTCTGGATATCTAATAATATATCAAATCAAGAAGAAAATAATTATAAGAATCAATTCATTTGTCCGAGATCGACGTAGGCCGAATCGGGGTACCTGTAAAGTGCGAAACGAAATAGAAACGAAACGAAACGAAACGAACTGAAACGAAACGAAATCTGCCGAAACGAAATATATGTACCGAAACGAAACGAAACCTACCGAAACGAAACGAAATCAAAAAACGAAACGAAACAAAACTAAACTCGAAACTAAACGAAACAAAACTATCAAAATGTTTTTTTTTTCTTCAAATCAAAGTACTGTATATAACTATATATCATTATGTGTAACTGCATGTGGACTTTTTTTTACTTCAAATAAAATTTATATAGTTCATGCAATTGTTAATACATGTATAAAATTAAATTACCGATAAATTATGCTCCCTTCTCAGTCTAATGATGTATTTACATGTTTGCCAACTGCAAATATGCACGAGCGTACTATGCATGTATAATTTCAATATGTGCAGTATTTTCTAATTTTTATATCTTACTCTTATTTTCAATCCTTATTCATCTAGATACAACATATATCTATCAAAATTAATGCATTACATGTAAATGCTCGTTTATGTACGGGTCGAAATAAAGTCGCTGTACTGTTAATTGTATTGCGAATGTCTTAAAACCTAGGATAAACCAAATACTTTGAGTATTTAATATCCCATTCCGAGGTGTCTGGTTTTATAGTTCAACTATACATGTAACTCCAACCGGAATCTTGTGTATCCTTTCTACAAACATACGGTCATATTTTTGTCGGGTAATTTTCGAGAAAAAAATGAGTGGTTTGCAATAAAGAGGCTCGACCAGAGAAGTCTAAAACGATTTAACAGACAAGAAAAAAGTCACTCGAAGCGAACGATGTCATTTTTAAGTAGGTAAATTAGTCAGTAAGATATTGACAAAATATAACAAAGGCGTCGGAAGCGGGGGGAGGGGGCGTTAGGACTTTTTTTTGCAAAGATGTTTATTATATAGGCATTAAAAATTAGGGTTGACCTTTAAATTTCTGGTAAAGCCCCCCCCCCCCACACACACACTTTCAATTTCCTTCCGACGCCTGTGTATGAGCTTGAAGCGAAACAATTGCCTGTGGTGCTTGAACTATATAAATATATATATATATAATAGACCATATGCAGTTACACATTATATAAACAGCATGTAACTACATGTATATAGCTTGATTTGAAAAAAATTCTGAAAAATTTTGTTTCGTTACAAATTTCGTTTTGATTTTATCATATTATATATATATAAGGTAGGTTTCTTTCGTTATCTAAAAATATATCAAATCAAGATTTCGAAGAAAATAATTATTTCGTTCAATTCATTTGTCCGTTTCGCACTTTACAGGTACCCGGCCGAATCGCGCCTTATCGAAATCAACTAAATACGACAGGGATAAATTCCACATTAGATCCGCGCCCTAAACTGGTGAAAATTTAAATTCACTGCATAGTTCAGTAACCACAGATGGGCCATCGACAAAATATAACACAAGGTGGACAGCTTGCCTTCTGCATTATCGTTACATCTAATCATTATATTGGGTTTTCTCTGTAGGAAGAAGACATATTCACTGGATCTCACAGACGCATCAGAAAATGTCGATAGCATCTCAGAAAGCTTTTGTAACAGGCAAGTAAACCACATTTATAGTTTTAATTGCTTGGACAGGATTTCTTAAGACTTGATTTGTTTATATAATGTGTTCTGTTATACTAGCCCTTTTGTCATGTTCTAATTTTTGATTCTCTACTGGTTTGGTGTACATTGCTATCGGGGAATTAGAACGTCAAAAATATACTAGTATATCACGTACATTCTTACGGCATTTTAGATGCATCTACAACCACAGAGGCCTGTAACATGCTATATTTGATTTTACGTTATTCTTATTGTATATGAAGATTCGTTTTTGTATATATATATATATCTTGTGATTACAATAGTACCCAGTAGGGTAAACGAATTGGACACTTGGCAAGCTAAGATTAGTGATTACGTAAAATCAAATATATCATGTTACCGGTTCCTTTGACTATATACAACATGCCTTCTCTTTTATCTTCGCATTATTTTTAAGTGATATGATTGTAAGAGATCTGTTTGTATGTATAAGTAACTTAAGCCATTTTTGCTGATGCATTGCAGTATGGGGTGTTGCTAACCAACGATCAAATGACAGATTTAACTAAAATAAACCATCGGATTTTCTACATTTTATATAACTTGGAGGGGGTGGGCTGAAAGCCGCCTACCCTTTATAGTCTTGTAATGGAATAGAATTTGTTCCCTCTCAATTATAAAGCCGATTCATTTTCCTAGACTGTTTGGATATCCCCCACCCACCCTCAAATATATGTACTGTAATAAAAATGAATTGCATCTCAAGGGTCTGACTGATGCGAGATATACTAGTATACAGCACATGTAACACTAATATATCGAGCAGTGCAGGCACATATAGTATCGATAGGGAAAGGGGGGGTCACACTTTTTTCCCCAAACAAATCATTTGGAATTGAAAATATACAATGAAAGGCTTACCCCTCTTTCATTTTTTGTAAATATTTTAATCATAGTAATTTGGTAACATTAATAAAATTTGGTTGTTAATGGAAGTTTGAATCTAGCCCCACTTCACCCAGAGAAATAGGATTTTTGAGCGTGGACCCCCCCCCCCCCTAGCTTTTTTCCCCTTGTCAATTTTTTTTTATTTCCAGAAAAGTTGTCTTTTTTGAAATTGTATTTTGTATAAATTCCATCGTAGAAAAGAAAAATCGATATCACCCTTTACATTTTCGGGACAAGGAAAGCGAAAAAGTGAGAAAAAAATATAACCGTACTCTAATATTAAAATACATGATAAAAGGAAATTTTTGAATTAATATGAAGCTATTTCTTAAAGACAGGTTCGGAATTTCCGCCACTAAAGCCTGGGACTCTCCGACTGTACAGCATGCGTCTCTGTCCATACGCCCAAAGAGCCAGACTGGTACTTGCCCACAAGAACATACAGTGAGTCATGAACTACTGGGTGCACAGAAAAAGGTGTAATCATTCACAAGCCTAGTAGCTACCAGGTGTTATGTTCTAAATTTTGAGTCGTATTTCGGGAATACGTGTAATTTACTCCCATTAGTTGAATTCAAAATTTAGAACATGGCAAAGGGACAAACTATTCAAGAAGAATTTTTTTTTTTGGAAAAGTGTTACGGTGCTTAGAAAAATGGCGATATAAAGAGCGAATCAAGTGAATGGGTGTTATGACGCGAAAATAGGTAATAACGGAAAGATTAAAAAGTGCATCGAGGGCCTGAGCAAAAAGATTTATTTTTTTTTACTTTATGAGTTTTTATAACCATGATTTCACTCTCAATTTTAATACACATGTATACTGTCAAACACGCTTTGAGTCTAATAGGCTTTCGCACAATTATTTATATGAATTGTAAACTGTAAAAAAAAAAATCCACGACGATGTCACATTTTGTGGAGGCGGTCATGTTTACTTTGTGGTAGGAAAATGGGATTTCAGCTTGATTTTCTACAAGTAAAATGTATTTTTGCCAAATCTTGTTAATACAAATTGTTGAATTTCCTCTCTCTCTCTCTCTCTCTCTCTCTCTCTCTCTCTCATAAAAAATAATATGCTAAAAATTGGTTTTGCTTATACCGGCATGCAATATTTTCTTCAGACATGAAGTGGTCAATATTAACCTGAGCAAAAAGCCTGAATGGTACTTGGAAAAGGTCAACCCCATGGGAAAGGTTCCCGCGCTGGAGAAGGACGGAAAGATTATTTACGAGTCGGACATTTGTTGTGATTACCTTGACCAGGTGTATCCAAACGACAAGCTGACCCCTGATGACCCGTACCAACAAGCTAGGGATAGAATGTTACTTTCTTATTATGGACAGGTATATAATGGTATATAAAAGTTAAATAAGTGCAGTGAGACGGATATTTATGGACAGGACCAACTCTCTTAGAATTTATTTATTCCCTTGGATCATATTCTTCCTTTTTCCTAAGTTGTTCTTTTATCACAAATTAAAAAATGTGTAATAGCTTGTAAAGAAGAAAAGGTCAAAAAAGATATGGAAAAACGAGGCTTCTGTGCACAAGCTTTTTTTTATTTTTCGTATTTACCATTATTTTTAATGAAGGTGATAATATAAAGAAAATATTTATTGCTAGAGAAAAAGAGTTAATCAGATGATGCGTAAAATCTATCGGACTTTTATTTTTTTTTTTTATATTGATTGTGAAACATATGGAGATAACGATCATTATTCAAGATTAAAAGCCCATAAAATAATACAAAATGGGAACAGAGCAAACACGGAAAAACATTAGAGGTGGGATCAGGTGCCATGGAGGAATGAACATACCCTGCCGACCGGTCACACCCGGCCGTGTGCTACTTTCACGAAATAACGGGAAAAATCCGTCGTCAATTCAGTGTATAAACTAAAGGTACTGTGAGAAATGAGCTCACTAAATGATGCCCCCGCCTCCCATATGCGTAGAAATGGCAGTGTCCATGTTTTGCTATGGGAAACCCAAAATATGTGTCGGATCAAAAAGTAAAATAGAAGGTGCACAATGGCAATACTAGTATGTAATAAAGAATCTGTGAAAGTCTCATCAAATTTAGTGGTATGAGAGGAGTTGTGGATAAGAGATGGGTACTCAAAAGCGTAACAGACATTCGGACGGACAGACGTACAGCTAGACGGACGAACGGACATCCCGATTACTTTATACCCTCCCACTTTTCAAGCGGGGGAAATAATAATGGACTAAATTCAGTATGAAAAACGTCAACATTTGATTAGTAGCCAAAACAACTCTTTAATTTATAATTTAATTCAAGAAGTCTTTAAATGAAGCTTGAAAATTAAATATTTTCATGCAACAATTTTCATTATATACCTCTCAATGTGCTTCAAGATTCTTTGCAAAGCTCCATAAATTACTTCTAATTTCATATCATGTTAGTAAACATTGGTATCTAAAAATGCTTTTTCGGGATAAAAATTTCTACTTTAAATTAGACCTTTCTGAGAAGTTCATTGTATCGACCATAGAACTTACAAATTAATGACTTTTAACAAGACTGCTGATATCCTTGATTCATCAACTTGTTTGTCAATAATTTACATCGTTTTGGAAATTGTACATAAGTAGAACATGCATTTGAATCATTTTTTAAACATTTCTAATTTTAGGTGACTACGCAATATTATAAATTCTACTTCGGAACACCGGACAGCTTTCCAGCGACGGCCGAGGCTCTCGGCAAATTACTGTCGGAATTTGACAAAGAATTGGAAAAGAGGGGGAAATTTTTTGGAGGTAAGGCGATGGAATACCTTAAAGAATGAGAAAATAAAATCATCAGAAAAAATTGATAAATCATCCTTGAAAAGATTACCCAGAACTGCTAAGCTGTTTTGCTACTATACCGGTTGGCATAGAGGTCAATGTGATTGTTTTGCTGGCACCGTACATGTACTTGGCACAGAATCCGGATAGGGCCAATATCGCATCATCACACCGTCGAGCTTTGGGTCGATAATGCGCCATCGCTTCATCGCCACATAGCATTAAATATATATTATCAGCATCGCCCATAGTCGATGCTCAAATGGCACTGGACTTCTGATTTTAAAACTAGCGCATCAACATTTAAAATAAAATTATTTATTTTTGCATTTAGATATAAATATCGTGAAAGAATTAAAATAAAAGCTGCTGAATGTGTTTTATGTTTATCAAAAAATTCAAAATATTGTAATCATTTTTATTACATCTAAGTTATTTTAAAATATAAAAGTTTACCATGAAAGTTTCACAAAGTTTCTCTTTTTTTCAGGGACCTTGCAACAGGAGGGCCACACCCACCCCTATTTTCCAGAGATAACTTTTTACTACTGAAAATGTTCATTGAAAAGCCGATCCCCCCCCCCCACACACACACACTTTCAAAAACGATGCTACATCACTATAAATAATTAGTAAATTACTATTTCATCTTAATTTAGTCCATTTGGAAAAGCTTTGGTCAATCAAGCATTAAATTAATATATATATAATTATATATATATATATATATATATATATATATATATATATATATATATATATATATATATATATATATATATATATATATTATCAGTGGATGTCCTGCACTTGATTTTAAGCAGTTAAAAAATATCCTGAAAGAATTAGGATTGTTATGAAAATATTACAGTTTGAATCATTTTTACAGTTTTCTATTTCATTCGTGTGCTTTAATAAAAAGTGGAAAGGTATGGCCCTGATTACGATATAGGAAAAGCTTGTCAATAATCTGTTTGAATAAAAACCCAATTTGATGGCATATATAAAGAGAATGGTGGACGTCCCAGCAGTTAAAAAATGTCTGACGTCTGAGGAAAACCACCTTAAATTTTACCATAGTATAAAAAGCGGAAAGGGTGATTATGATATAGGACTTGAATAAAGTTAAATTGTTTTGGTCGTTGGGTAGAGAATATGCCAGATTTAGTTAAATAAGTGTCATATAAGTTATTAAACCTTTAAAGGTGCATTTAATTCTCTGGTTACTTTTAGTGATAATTACATGTGTAATATATTATAGTAAAATAAGTATCGATGTCATGAAATGAATTATTGATAAAATAGTAGAACCAGAAGTCCTTGATGAGACTGTAGCTTTACTGCTTTGTACTAAAACATTTTGGAAGAGAACTTGAAATTTCAATAAATAGAAAAAATACCAACATAAGAAATTGTTTTTTGGTCATGTTTTGTCATACAGCTGTGTTTCAGTACAACTTCCAACCGGAGAATGATGACCTTCCATACAAATCACTACGAATTGCACCAGAACCAGGATCTCGGGAGTGTGTTTGAATATAAACGTCATCACCCTGGTTGACATGCGCAATGGCTAAACCCGTCGCCTGCCCATCTTCTCCAGTAAGAGACTTCATGTAAATACTACCGTAGACAGCACTATTAACAACCAGTTCCAAAGCATGGTCTTCTCCTGTGCCCCCATAATGCTTTATCCTACTGGTCCAGCTGAAAGCATAATATCCCGACTCAGGGGCGATGAAAACACCTGAGCTTCTATGGTACGCGTTTCCAGCGTTGGTTTTGACAACATCGAATTTTAGAATTTGTCCCTGCCCGGTGTGTGAGACATCCGAGGAGAAATAAGCATAGAATGCTATCGTCTTGTGTGCTGGAGCTGTAGGAAAAGGTTCCTGAGTTATCGGAATCAAAAGTCGCTCTAAAGAAAAAAAAATCAAACACGTTTTAAAATATGAAAAGAATTAAGAGGCCTCTTGACACAAGATTACCCATTACACTTACATTATTATCAAACATTGGTCAAATTGTGCTCACAGTACTTTTGTTTAATTAAAAAATATATAATAATATGTTGATTTTTTTTTTACTGGTGTAGCATGACTGGATGATCGTATGTTTGACAAAAGTGAAATAAATCATATTTAACAATTTATTAAAACCCAGAAGATCCTCCATTTGAAATGAATTTCCATTTTGAATTGATAAAGGTTGCTTTTCCAATCAATCTAAAACTATTTAAAACTGGAATACATGTAGTTTGCGCTTCTACTTGTAATTTTTTTTTTTATAAAGGATTGCAGTAATTAAGTAACAAATTTGTAAATATGCAGCTAATGACATTGCCGTCCGTTTGATTCAAAAATTTAAAACAGGAAAGGGTGGAAGTGGGGGGGGGGGGACCAAATACTCGAGGACATTCATGAAAAATTTTAGTTGTAATGTAAGAAAAAAAAAATTGTATTTTAATACAGCCAATGCTAAGGGGCCTCAACTCATTGCAGGCAAGTAGGAACTCCCTCTCCCTACTTTTTTCCACAACATTACTTTTACTATTGGAAATGTTCATTGTTTTATGGCCTTTTTTTTTAAAGCCCCCCCCCCCCGAACTTTATACTACAAAATTGATATCAAAAAAAACTGAAAAAAAAAATGGGTACGTGAAATAAGTTGGCATTGAAAATTGAATGGATTTGTATCATTTCCGAAGAAATAGGAATTTTTTTTTTTTTTTTTTTTTTACATGTTAGTTCCTTGTCAACTTTTTCAAAAACGGTACAAGTATAGCCAACACAAAATTCTCTGGAATGCCCCCATTTTAAAAACGATGCTACGTGGCTGCATTGGTATATAAGGAACTGAAAAAGTTCACCATGCTCTCAAAGATTGATGATTGGAGGAAACTTAATGTGTGAGACTCTCGTTCTTAAGTGGGAAGTATATTATACCGGTATATCTCTGTTTTTGTATCTCCAAAAAATAAAGTTCATTTGCAATTAGCAGATTTTTCAAGACTTTTAAACTAAAAGGCAGTTCCTAAAACATTTAGTAAATCATTTACCCTTTCGAATAACAGAAGGACGAGCTGCAACAGGCTGCGCACTTTCAACCATTGGGCGATTTTCTTTGGGCTTGATTCCTTGCACACCATTCACGTTACTAGAAGACGAAATGTTCGCATGCGTTGGAGAGAGATTATTGCTTACAACACTAGAATCAAAAACTTCTGTCTCTTGGGTATAAAGAGTCCTTTGACAATCCAGTCTCTGTTTTCGGAAAGCGTTTTGGAGATAGGTAATTCGATTATTCTGAGCGTGAACAGTTCTGCTCAGCTTGCTTATGAGCTGCCGAAGCTCAAGAACTTCTTCATGCACTTCACTCGCTGTCATTTCACAGTGTCCTCCCTTTGGAATACTGAAGAGGAGAAAAAAGAATAAAACGAAAAATGTCCCCCGTGCAATCATGGCGTATACTATCTCTGTTATCTACATTCTTTGCAATAAGACTTACTTTACTAATATTTTGACCCAATTTATGACTCTCACACATATAATATACGCAGTAAAAAGGTGAAACTGAAATATTTTTGTCCAACCTTTCAGAATTCAGAATTCATCAATTCATTAATATGAAAAAAAGGACATATGGAATATCATGGCAAACACTCCCAAGTCTGTATCTAATTGGTGTATTTAAAATTTGGAAATAGAATTTTTGTAAAATATACCAATATTACAACAAACCTACATTTATAATAGTAAAATACTTGTACTGTCGTTGATTGCTCTGGGCATACACAACAAACAAGAGAGTGATTCCTTTAACCACTTCTGTGCCACAGGACTTATACCCGTAACGCATAAAAAATGTTTAATTGCTTTAACTCATATGATTTTCCAAAATATTAGAAATGTATTACTTATTAAAGTGAAATACAAACAACTTTGGCATAGCTTGCAGGGCAAAATTTGACAAAAAAAACATTTCAAAATGACAATTAAATTCATGAACGAATAAAAGATGTAAATGTCATAAGGAGTTATCTCTCTTACCAATGTATCAACGAACCTTAAAAACAAACCTAACAAGTCCCAATACGTGAAAGTCAGAATAGATAAGAATATAGTATAAAAACAGAAATTAAAAGAGCATATATGGTTAAGGTTCATTGTCCCTCTGATAAGAGAGATAACTCTCACTGAGAAAAATGGCTATTGTTTTTAAACTTTATAAATTTTCCAAGCAAAAATGACCATTTCTGTCAAAGCTGCAGAACTGTAGCAAAAAAAAATTGATGGACCATGGTCATCCATCCCAATTTTTTTTAACGACCAGAGAGGAACAGATATGCAGCAATATCAAATATTGATTTAAAAAGTATTGTAAAATTTCAAGCATTTGATATTAATTAGATTTCTTTTGGAAAATTATAATCATTATTCCTTAGTTTTATACAATAAACAGAGAGACGAACCACTTTTATGTTGAATATTTACATTAAAGAACGTATTAAATATGTTTTGCTTGTTGAGTACAAAGGGTATTCTTCATTTGATACAATTTGATGGAACACGACTTTCCAAAGACTGATTAAAACTAAATCATATTTATAATAATTTTTTTATTGATCGGCTCTACATAACATAATATGTAAAACACAGATCCATAACAACAAAGACTGCATGCAGTCTTTAAGAACATACACATGAGAAATTCAAACAAACAATTGACCTATCAGGCCTAAATCCCTCATTACAGTTTCTGTCTTACAGAAGACAATCTTGGTGCTGTCTGTGATTTCTCACAATGATTCACTACATGTGACAGAAGTTTTTATAAGACATCTATCATAGTCCACACTAGATGTACCAATGACTGCTTGCATAAATTTTAACAAGAAATTGCCAACATGCATTATATCATATTTTTTCATTGGTTCTAGGTTCTCTTGCTGATAGAACACAATTTGACAATTTATTATTGGAACTCCTTTTAAGTTCCAAATTTTTTCTGTTGAAGAGCCATTGGAAGTGATTCCATCAGGGCTAGTTTAGTCCGTTCCACCATCACAACCCAATCGTCTTTGACAAAGTCCATATGAATTAGGTACTGTAAACACATCAGAAATTTTAGAATACCAACAGGAAGTTATTTACAGTCATGAATACAGTATAAGATATTGTCAGCATCAGAAAAAACACTTACACGGAATCTTGTACAAACATGAAAGGCTGTCACTTTTGAAGAATTTGGTCTGGCCACCAGGTCAAAAGGTTTGGCTTTTCTGTCTGGGAATGGCTGCAATAAAAAAACAATTTTGCATTTTTAATTTGTTTTTTAAAAGGATATAATCCATTCTTCACAATTTAGCTATAACTTCATCCTCATATATTAAACAGACAAGAGTAAACAGAAATGTGAAATACATGTACACTGCATGGGTAAAATATTAGAATTGCATTTACCTGAGTTTTATCTAGGATGAAGAACTTGTCCAGGTCACAGAAGAATATCTTATCAGGGTATCGCGGCGACGTAGATATACAGAAGATCTTCTGGTGTCGCCGCATCCAGGCGTTTGGGAAACTGTTACACACTTTCCGACACCAGTCACTGTATTCCCTCTTTTCTATGTCAAATTCATAAATCTGTACAGAAAATGAAGCAAATATTAGAAAGGGTAATAATTCTTGTCCCAGTTTTTAGGTTTTAAGCAATATCACTAATCCCCCAGCAATGATCTTGAGGTTTGAAAAATGACTTGAATCAAGGTGTAGACTACAAAATCAAAGATTTACATGGGAATTTAGAGTAACCAGAAGTCTCTGTCGAGACTGTAGCTCTACTGGTTTATACTTAAAACAAAGGAAGAGAAAAGTAGCAGTTGGGACTTGAGACTTTAAATCAGCAATAAATAGAAATATGATCCTTGCCACTCATCAAAATAAAAACCAATATACAGAATTATGTATCTTAGTATAGTCTACTTGTGTGCCAAGTTATACTGAAATCGGACCAAAACTGCAGGAGTAGCATTTTGAAAGAATTTCACAGAAATTTCTATTTTTAGTAACCATGGCAACACCGTTCATTGCAATAAAAAACCGATGCACAGAATTATGTATCTTAGTGTACTCTACTTGTTTGCCAAGTTATATCAAAATCAGACCAAAACTGTAGGAGGAGTAGCATTTTGAAAGAATTTCACAGAAATTTCTATTTTTAGTAACCACGGCAACACCGTTTATCGAAATCAAAAACCGATGCACAGAATTATGTATCTTAGTGTAGTCTACTTTTGTGCCAAGTTATACTGAAATTTGACCAAAATTGTAGGAGGAGTAGCATTTTGAAAGAATTTCACAGAAATTTCTATTTTTAGTAACCACGGCAACACCGTTCATCGAAATCAAAAACCGATGCACAGAATTATGTATCTTAGTGTAGTCTACTTGTTTGCCAAGTTATATTGAAATCAGACCAAAACTGTAGGAGGAGTAGCATTTTGAAAGAATTTGACAGAAATTTCTATTTTTAGTAACCACGGCAACACTGTTCATCGAAATCAAAAACCGATGCACAGAATTATGTATCTTAGTGTAGTCTACTTGTGTGCCAAGTTATATTGAAATCGGACCAAAACTGTAGGAGGAGTAGCATTTTGAAAAATTGTTTACAGACAGACAGACAGACAGACAGACGGACAGACAGACAGACGGACGGACGACGGACGCATTACTATCGCATAAGCTCTTCTGGTCTCTGACCAGTAGAGCTAAAAATGCGAAAATCTTCTCAGTAAAAAGGCCATGATTATGGTATTCAGTAGTTTATGACAAGTTATTAAAATTTTGAGTTTATACAAGTTGAGAGAATAAGCATTATAGCTAAACACTATTTGGATGCAATAATTGAAGACAGAAGAAAACCACTGCAAGTACAAAGAACACAATAATATAAGAATTATGTACTGTATCCTGGGTTTCTCTACCTTTTGGTCAGCATGTGCTGTGATCAGTTTCCCACTGTCTGATGTAAAGGTCATAGCTGTTACTGTTGACCTGTAACTGGGTAACTGGCATTCAACCTGTTATTTATAAGTAAATTCCTGAATTTATCAAGAATATTGGAATGCATTTTTTTTTATTTCTAGACAATTTTTCTAGAGATGAACTTAATAAACAGTGTAATTTTTACTGATTTTCATGATAGAATAGCCCCAAAGCTGAGCAAATTTTCTTTCAAAAAACTGAATTTTATGATATCTTACCTCCTTGGACTTCAGCCCTATCACTGATACTTTGTAGGACAGATCTGCCACTGCCACTAGCTTACTGTCTGGACTCACACTCAGTAGATGTATAGACTCCTCTGATAATGTAAGTAACACACAGAGGGATCATGCAGAGGTTCTTAGATATTGGTTGTTTAGAGAAACAGATTTAGTCAGAGAGCTCAAACATTCTTTACTCCAAGTCAAAAAAACATTACAAATATAGCACTGTAAATTAATCCTTCAATTAAAATGTGACATGTGCAATGACTAATTTTAATGTTTCATACATAGAATTTTTTTAAAATTCTGACCTGTGAAATCTTCCCAGCTGTGGTACAAGGACACTGAATCTTCTTCGAGGGAAATAACTACAATTTTTTGACATGATGTGGCTATGATTAAAAACTGTTCATTCGATGTGAACATGAGACGATGAGCAGAGTAAGCTGGAAGGGATTTCTTTATCTTCTTCATACTGACAGCTGGACTGATGGACTCAGAGTCATCCTACGAAAAAAAAAATTGTTTCTTGAAACACAAAATATTTCAAATAGATTCAAACCTTCCATTAATAAACATGCAATAGCAAGATGTTTTCCTCTCTAAAAAGTTTATCCAAGTATAAAGTACCGTATAACGGGTAATTTTTACTGTTGTAAATTTTTACGAATTTCTGTTGAAATAGGGTGATTTTATTTTTTATGCGTTAAATTTTTACTAATTGAGCATGTCCGTAAAAATTAAAATCATCAGAGGTTCCAGATCAATGTTTTAGTGCTTTGAATGCGTTAACATACATATACGTGTATTAAATATGTCTGGAAAACCCAAGAATTATTCCCATGGTAACGAGAGTCGATTCATTAAATGATGATATGTTTATTCATCTAAATACCTTTATATATCACATGCCCTCAATTTATTCCTTTTTCAATTAATACACATGTCTACGCATCATTATTGTTGCGCACCACGTGGCCATCTTCATTTTAATGAAAACGAAGAGAGGCAACTCAAGCTATCATGATTAAGTCGACTGAATTACAGGGGACATGGATTACGATGTATCAAAATGTCGAAGTTTTTACTGGAAGCAAACAAAAAGAAGAAAGGGTCAACGTCTTGAAAAACGAATATAATTTGAATACTTCAGTCTGTAATAATTAAGTCATTATCAGAAATTATGCGTCCCCTAAGAGGAACCAGGTAATTAACGGTGTTTGTATAATTTGTGCATTAATTAAGATTTACTTGTTTGATCCTACTCGATAATCAATTAAAAAGTTCCCCAAAATAGCAACGAGTGTCAGTGCTAATCCTGTAGCCTCCAGGTACTTGGCTAAATGGTAATGATAGCATTGATATACTCTCATAATACAATGTTCAAAATTTAGGTGAGGCGCTTTTTACTTCTGTAAAATTTTACGCATTTAAATTTTACAGATTTATAAAACTCGTAAAAATTAGTAAAAATTAGCAGCAGGTAAAAAATACCTGTTATACGGTATAACAGTGATAAAGCTTATGTTTTGTTAGATAATACCAAGATTAGACATCATCAAAGGTCTTAAAAAACAACTGATTGAGTATTTACCATCTCTGTTTTAAAGAGTTTGACTCCATCAATGTCAGAGTATGACATCCAGTTAGCCCTAGAACTTATTGCACTACAAATGATATGCTGTCCATCTTTAGTTTTCAGCTGGATCAGTTTCTGAGGGGACACTTCCTCTGGCAGCATTTCACCATCTTTATCTACAACCAACATCATTCAATGCCTTTACAGTACTGTATAACAGTTTTCAATAAACCTGGTATTCTAACCTGCACTAACATATATTATGCTATTTCTAACATTATAATAAATCTAAGATGCACTAATTACCTTGTAGAATTTTTTTTATTTCAGTTTTAGAAGTGTTCTGTGTTCACTCAATCAAAATTTGTGTACTGCAAAAATTTCAGCTCCCATGTGATTGAAAGGAGCAATGTATATTGGAATTGCATGTTTTGAAAATACATGTATAAATAACATTTCTTTTGAAAAACCACTAAGAATAAAATGTAACATGAAGGGACATTAAACCTTAACGTTATCTCTTCAATGTCAATGAAAGAAACATTGAAGCTCTAAACAAAATACATCTGTAAATCCAGTGTTAATGACTGCCATGCACTATGCATTCTTTACCTGAAGTTTTCCTAGTGTTTCCCAGCCTCCAAAGCTCCAGATAATCTGGGTACTGTAGCAGGAGGGCGTTTCTGTCTTTGGCCACACTCACCAACTGATGCTGTCAAAAATTGTATGTTAAAATATTAATATGTAACAGTGTTTAAAGTCCAGTCAATGGAAGAAGATAAATTACTGTTAAAACATTCAAAAATATTTAACGAGGCCGAGTCTAATTCAAGTGTGCATGACTTTGCGCAGCTTTTTAATTTCATGAAGACATTTGTGCGGCAGTACACCTTTGCCAAATATTTTGTTTTTAATACAAAATTAACATTATCTTAACTACTACTGGTTTGAAAATGTAATTTTACGACAATTAGGGGAAAAAAAACACGCTGAAATGACCCTAACGACGTCAACATTTTTGGATTTTGTAAGCAAAGCATGACGCAGAAGAATGACACATGACTCGCTTGTATGTTCGAGAGAATCCAAAGAAACATACTAGCAATCTTAAAATTGCTATTTTTTACCAATTTTCACTAGCCAAGGGTTTCTCATACGCTACTCTCCTCATACACCCTTGACATACGGTGTTGATAGAAGCTGGGTTTTTTTTCTCGAGTTCTGATTGGGATTCAGTACACCCGTTCGACCAATCAGCAATTGTTTTTTGTAAATGACGATATTTGCATTCGGGATACTTCTTGACTCTTTAATCTCGGAAATGAAAAACGCAAGTAAACAACGATCCGTAAGATGACATGCAATTCTATGAATAGCTATGGTGTCATCCTATATCTTCTGAATATGTGATAAAGAACCTATATTGAAGCTTCAGATTTGTACTGTAGTTAATAAATGAACATAACTCAATTATTGCCTCTTAATTATTCTTGAAAAAAAACTTTGATTCAATTTTTTTAACCATGTGTCTTTATTTCTGTCGATGACGCAATCTGTGCGTACCTGATAGATTCAAGATCACGTGATGAGAATAATCCCGTCTTTTGACTTCACCGTATGCCAAGGGTTCATGAGGAGAATAGCGTATCAGAAACCCTTGGCTAGCGAAGATGTTTTTTACCGAAAAAAACATATGCGCCAATAACTCATCTGCTACCATATGTATTTATACCGTAATATGGCAATTTTAGAGGTATTGCACTTTGATAAAAAAAATAAACTTAGTAATTAATTCCTAGACCAGCCTAAATGGTGAACATTCTTTGAAATTCACAATTTGGTGACTTTTCACAATAACTTTCATCTACATGTACTTGAATGAAAAAGAAATCTATAGGGCAAAAATACAAAAATATGGGAAAAATGTGATAATTTGGTGCTTTTCCATCAAATTTCCATAGGGTCCAATAGTAAAATTTGACAACTTTTGAGATGGCCCCCTAAGAAACAGGGACGGTAAACGTTCGCTTTTTTGATCTTAAAACAATAAATATGAGTAAAAATTAATTTTGATAAAATTATCAAAATCCCTCGGGCAGAAATAATTAGACTCGGCCTCGTTAAATACAAGTACAGTTCATTATTAACTAGATTGAAAAAAAACATGCAAGTTTTCTTACTGCACAAGAATTAATTTACCTCAGCAATTGCTCTGATCTTTTGTTTATTTTTCTCCTTCCCAAGTCGATTCAGCTGGAGAGTTGTATCGACTCCTAAAAAATTATAATTATAAATTAGCATAACATCACATACTGTAAATTCCTTATTTTTCGCCAGTACTTATTATCGCGAAATAGCTCTTTAACATCAAATCATGAGAATAATTATTTGCAAATGAACGATTGATCAGGAGAATTTACATGGAATTTAGCACCATAAAAATAAAAGTGAGTAACTTAATTTAGTGTTTAATGCTTCTCATGAAATTAATAATTAGGAATCTACCGTATATCAAGATTCAAATAACATTTTCATCTGAATAAAATGTGAAATGGTTACAGTAGAGTACTAATCAGTTATGGAAGGAAGTCCATTCCATTGCAATCCTAATGATTAAATACACATCCATGTACCTACCCCCCGACACTATGTCCCTCCCTGTGATGGCCAGGGCCCTCACGTCATGGGTGTGCTGGTACCACACGGTGGTGCGGACCCACATGTTCCAGTCACTCTCCTGACTGGTGGTGGTGTACTGAAACTGCACCACTTTTGGATCCACTCCTGAGGAGAACACTTGTTTTTCATTCTGAAACATGCATGCATATATACATGTAAAAAACTTTTACATGTCAGAAGTTTTAAAATGGACAACAATGGCACTGAAAAAGATCACTTTTTTTTTTTTTACATTTCTCTATAATGACCCACACTGATAGATTCTCAAAGGTTATTTAAAATTTCAACAACAGAAAATAAATCAAACATTTTATGGACAAATATTTAATATCTATTAAATTTATTCTTTTCCCAACAGATAAACAATATAAAACAAGTATAAGGTGCCGTACCTCATGAACTGCTAAACACAATACATCTGCTTGGTGATTTTGAAAACTCTAAAGAGGAAAATAATAAACAAATATTATCCATACGGAGCATTTTTTACATTTTTACATGCATATTATTGAAACAGATTGTACTTTAATAAATCTAATTATCATGTACCGGTTGTAATTTTTCCCTAATAATGCCTACAGGATGCACTAAATATTTACAGTGTATATGCAATGAAAAGTCTATGATAAATCTGAGTAGATACTGTATATGCAATACAGTTGAACCTCTGTATCTTGAACACCAATATCTCAAATAACATGGATATGTTGAAAAGATTTGGAAGTGCCAACCACTTATTCTATAAGATTAATACCCCAGATATCTCCAAAAATCGGATATCTCGAAGTTTTTCCTTGGTTCAATTCAGTTCGAGATAGAGATTTTACTGTATGACACAGCAAATTGTACCTTTATCTGTGTCCCTTGTTTGCCATTCCAGAAAATAGTTCTACCTCTGGAATCTCCACTGACTAAAGTCATATCACTAAACACAAAACAATATTCAAAATGTAGTGTTGGTTAAAATGGTTAAAACAGCTAAAGCATTAAATTACTGCTTGTTCTGTTTTTAAAATTGTTTATGTAGGAGCAATTTTTTTTTTTCAAACAAAAAGAACATGTATACCTTCCTGGTATATTTATTCTTTAATTACAAAAAAACTATCCAGCAATGCAATCAACATTAAGAAAACCATCACACCATATTCCTAACTTAAAACATTGCAAATGGATTTGAATGGACATTAAATGTGGCTGTTAGGTCTCATACACATTGTCTATATACACATTGTCAAGTGTGGTCTTTTTGTCAGGGACAAACTCTTTTCATCTTCTGTGAACATACCTGAGGATGGCCACACACCACACAATGGTTTCCTTGTTTTTATCCACCCTCCCCAGCGTCATTCTCTGGACAGCGTGCCCTGACTTCACACTCCACAGTCTCATAGTGTCCACTCCTCCGGTCAAAATCACCTCCAGACTCGTGTTCCAAGCAATGGACAAGATCCGACCTACAAAGGAAAGATGAAGACTGCCATGAATAACACATCAAAAAAAATCTGCACACATGTTTTTGTATTTGAAACCATCTTAAAATAATCAATTTCAGTCAATGAACTTGATTGAAGATATCTTATTTTTATTTCCATTCAAGTTTTTATTTCACTAACAAGAATTGACAAATGAAGATTTTTTTCCCTGATCATTTTAATAAGAAACAAAGAAATAACCTTTCCCAGAAATGAAGCATAACTGAAGCATAAGTACACGTGCATGTATATCTTTGTATATTTTTGGAAAATAAAAATATCCTACAGTCAGCAGAGAAAAAAATCTTGATTTACCTTCCTGTTTATCAAAAGATCTGTAATACTGTAGGGAGTTGTAATCTGTGTCGAACAAAACAACACATCCCTCCTCTGTACCAGCCTACAGTGTAAAGAAAACATCACAGTAAAACAAAGAACTATCTATCAATTAAATCGGAAAATAAAATAAATGTTAAGTGGTAAAACACTTTTTAAAGATGTGAAAAAAAAAAAAAATTTTGAGAAATATGTCGCTTTCTTTTTTTTTTTTGTATCAAAGTGACAATGATTCTCACAGCCAAAAATTTTCCATTTGAATCTGTAGTCAAACACCAGACTGGTCCAGCATTGCAAGAAGCTGTGGCCTAAAAACACAGCAATCAGAAAGAAAACGTAGAAGATGTTTAAATACATAATAAATTGCATAATTTTTGTCTGAACAAAAAATTACAAACAACAACAGCGAAAGTTTTGTCTGACACCTTTGGTTCCAGTTTCTTGAGATCGTATTCCACTACATCTCCATCTAGCCCTGCTGAGTAAAGTCTCTGTCCTTGCCAGCACAAGGTCTCTATAGACTTGGATTCACTCCCTGGAATAATCTATTTATACATACAAGTAAATACATGTAATAATAATTCACATTATGATAAAACAGTGGATTCTGATACAATAAAAAATATACAGTATATTGCTTAATCATTCATTAAGATACCAAAGGTTTTAAGGTTTTAAGGTTTTAATTTTTTTTTTTTACATCTACTAACACTACAATGTGAAATAATTTATTCAATTCCATTAATTCATAGAAACTTCTAGACTGAAATTTCTATAAACATTCATAACAAGTAGATAGATATTGGTTCAAAAGCCCACCTTTTCTTGATACCAGTCATTGGCTACATCCCATATTTCAATACAGCCATCAGATCTGGAAACCCAAATATGTAAATCATTTTAAAATATATAAAATTCCAAATTATAATTCAAAATAAATAAATTCTTTATCTTATCTAGGTCAATTAGATAACACAAAAAAATCTGTAGGCTTTTACACAATTCTTACTTTCTGTTGACTTTTTCTTTAGAATGAATTTGTCCCTTTACAAGCATAAAGAAAAATAAAGAAAAGAGAAGTCTGTAATCCTATATGAAAAGAGAGAATTTTGCATAAAAACAATGTATCATTTAGGACCTAATAAAATTTATCTTACTTCTTTTCCATAAAGAGATGGACTGAATAGCCTTAGAGATTGATAAGAGAGAAAAACGATATTCCTGACCTCCTTCATGATATTATATGTATTGTAAAAATTAGTCTCAATATAGTTATTTTTGATACAACACAGCTTGATAGAAGGGAAAAAAAATTATGTTTTATGTTTTCTTTCACTTAATCAAGTCATTTTTTACAGTATATCCACTAATATCTTGTCAAACAGAGGTTACATGCAAAGGATTCTTTTAAAACCAATAAAATCACCATTAAATGTCATAAAATGTTGTTAAGCTTATTAAAAATTCTTTACCTATTTGATTTCATAACATTTCATAAATTTCTTTGGTAAGACATGTCTCAATCTTTAAAATTATACTGAAAGAGAGAATAACAACTTTAACAAAGGCAACTTTATTTACTTCTTTTCCATAAACAATGGACTGAATAGCCTTCGGTTGATACTCAAAAAATCGAACTCTATGTACCCTAAATTCTCCCATATCTACAAAAGAAAAGCATGAGCAAGTAAAAACATTATATAGTGTGACATTAAATATTCCAGATGAATTATGACTATTATTACTGTAGAATGTATTATTTAACAGCAATAGTTTAGCTACGTCATTCTCTCCCTGAAGTAGCTTTATTTAGCTACCATTTTATTTCAATAAAAAAGTTTTCTGAGGGTGTGCAGAAAATTTTTTGATGCAGTATATTGATGATTTAACTTTGATCTCATCTGAAAACAACTCATGTGTGTCTTTTCTTTTTCTGTGCAATTGCAATCAAAGTTCTGAAAGTTTTGGGGCTATGTATGACAGTTAGAACAGTTACTCCTTGAATGAAATGACAAAGAAGTCCAGTTCGTGTTAACACGATAATAGGTCGGTAATCGTTCAGCACAATGTGAAGTAATCATACTCAGTCATGCCTCACTGTGCCCAATAGAGAGGACAGTTAACCAAACAATGGAATTGCATGTTTTGCTCTAAATTGTCCAAACGCAGCAATGTATAAACTATCTCTGCTTTGGATTGTTTTTTCAGCCTCCCTAGTATAAATATCAAAAGTCATTTAATTGCGATTTTTTGTCTCTTTTTAATAAAAAGAAAACTTTTGAAAATTTACACTTAAAATACCTAAATAAAGCTACCTGAGGTAGGTAAATAAAGCTACGTAGGTAATTCTACCTACGTAGCTAAATCCAGTGATCAGGTCTGGTACAATCACTAGATTTAGCTATGTAGCTTGATAAACCTATTTAGCTTTACTTACCTAACTGAGGTAACTTTATTTAGCTACCAAATCAATTTATTTCTATCAAAAAGCATTTTTCTCAGGGTGTGCAGAAAATATCATTTTGATGCAGTGATCATTTTTCACTTTGAACTCATCTGAAAATAATTCATGAAAAAATCCCTCTTGAAGAAACGTCTTTTTCTGCACAATTGCAATCAAAGTTCTGAAAGTTTTGGGGCTATTATGACAGTTAGAATTGTTACTCCTTGAATGAAATGACAAAGAAGTCCAGTTCCAGTTAACATGATAATGGGATGGTAATTATTCAGCACAATGTGAAGTAATCATACTCAACCATGCCTCACCACAGGCATGAGAGAGGACAGTTAACCAAACAATGGAATTACATGTTTTGCTCTAAATTATCCAAACGCAGCAATGTATTAACTATCTCTGCTTTTGGTTGTTTTTTGAAACCTCCCTGGTATAAATATTAATAGTCAGTAAATTGCAATTTTCTGTCTCTTCTTAATAAAAAGAAAAATTTTGAAAAGTTACATTGAAATAGCTAAATAAAGCTACCTGAGGTAGATAAATAAAGCTACGTAGGTAATTCTACCTACGTAGCTAAATCTAGTGATTGCACTGGACCTAGTGATTGTACTGGACCTCGTTACATGCAAATGATTCTTTCAAACAAATAAAATTACCATTTAATGTCACAAAATGTTGTGAAAGTTATTAAAAACCTTTTACCTGTTTGATTTCATAACAGTTCATAAAGTTGATTGATATGACATCTCTCAATCTTTAAAAATATACAGCAATTTAAAATACCAAGCACATGTTGTCCTCACAGGGCTGCCATGTTGAATTTTCGATAAAGCGTACATAAAATATATTTAGCAAAAAGAATCAAGAATATATCATTTAAGCTATATTTCAGTAATTTCCTCTGTAGGAGCTATTATGAAAAGTTTTTTGATAAATTTCATGATATCATATTTTGTTTTATACTGGATAAAGTCTGTTATAAAACAGAGAGAAACAAATATGAACAAGCTAGCTAGTATGTTTCTATATCTTAGTTTCGAACCTTTGAAGAATACCTGTACAATATCAATATCTAATTATTGAAATTACTCAATTTGAAATTGTAAAGAGAAATTTATTGCTCTTACAGAATATGTGAACGTATCTCAGGATTAATACGAAAACATTCAATAACAAGTATGGCGCCGGGGGAGCACAGCGTGCAGAGAAGTTTCAGAATAGAAACAAAATTCCATGTGTAGTTTGACTTTTCATCATTTACAATATTTGAATCATATCTCATAACACAAGGAATCAATAGTCTGTGAGTTTCTCTATATACTTTAATTACAGTTTAAATTAAAGAGAAGTTTTTGTGCAGAAAATAAGAGCAAACAAGAACGGTGTAATCTAAATCAGAAGAATCTTTTTAAATAAATTCTCTTTCGTTGTTGGTTTTACAAATCTCATCCAACAACACTCTTTACATTTTTTGCAGGTAAAAAAATGTATTCCATATTTAAGCAGACCCATCCCCCAACTGGGATAGAGCATTGTGTGTACTGTAATTTTTTCAACACATCAGAGAGAAATTTGGTGATTGCAGCTGTGAATAAGCTTTATGTGTATAGATTAAATCCAGATCCAGAGGTAAAAACATTCAAAGTGGATTACAAGGGTTTATGCGATTAGATATGATTTGTCTGACAAATAACAATTACATGTACCTATGGGAGATTTTCTGTATTGTATGTGTTTTTCTAATTTTAATGGTTTTTCACCCTTTATTCTCCTATTTGGCTGACAAGCTTTACAACAACATTTCACCAAAAATTTATTGTGTAAAAAAGTAAAAAGATCAATTCAAAAGAAGAATATGTTTCAATGATATTATTAATTTAAAAATGATTAAAATTCTACCTCTATATACATGTATTGTCCATATCAACAAAAGTATTCACATGTGCATATGCAACAATGCATTAAAAGCAATTCTTTAGAATAAAAAAGTTGGGGATAGAAAAAATTATTCAACAGATGGTATCCACTGGTCATGATAATGGGACATATAAACATGAGATAGTGTTAAAAAATTTAAATCCAATGTTAATTAATCAATTTTTTATTACCTAGGATGAAAATAATGAGAAAGATGAACTTAGGAAACCAGGTAAATATTTATTTTGACTAAAAGAGGAATTCCAACTTTCATTCTCTGAACTCATTTAAAGTAAGAATAAACATAAATTTATCATTAAATTTTGACTTTACAGATTACAAACAGAAACAGAAAATGGAATGTCTTGCAACCTTCACTTTGTTTGGAAACATCATGTCCATGAAGTTTGTGAAGCTTCCTGGAGCTCTCAGGGATTCTCTGCTGCTGAGTTTCTGTGATGCAAAGGTAAGAAACTTGATTATATTTTGAATAAAAGATAGGCTTTGTTAGATCAATTCATATACCATTTGTTGCCTGTTATAATGTTTCATTGGGAATTGTTAAATAACATAACAAAGCAAAAATTTTAGTGTTGAACTTTAATATGCAATTTTTTTCTTCATTTTAAGAAAAAGAATAGGAAATAGAGAGAGGATAAATGCATGCATCTTATTCCTTGAGTATATGTACATATGTACAAAATTAGCAAATTCAGAATTTTTGTGTTTTCAGTTGTCAGTTGTGGAATATGATCCAGGAACACATGACTTACAGACTACATCATTACATTACTTTGAGGAACCATCCTTAAAGGTGCATTTAATAGTTGATCCATATTAACATAATAGTATAATGCCTGTTCTGTCAAAATAATATTAAATATGTCAAAACTCTTTCTTGAGAAATGTTTAACTGGTGTCAATAATACATGTATGAATCATTTGAAAGAAAAAAAAATTTACATTTACTGTCAAGTACAGTTATAAAAGAAAGAGAGTTCTTTTAAAGTATTTTGTCATCATTTTCTTTACCCATCTTGTAAATGTATGATCAAGTGAAACAAGAACATTTTCTTCTGTATTCAATAGAGCGGATTTTTCACAAATTACTATATCCCAGAGGTAAGAGTTGACCCAGATGGTCGATGTGCAGCCATGCATGTCTATGGTTCCCACATGGTCATTCTGCCCTTCAAACGAGATGTCAAAAATTTTAGGTTGAACTTTAATAGGAATTTTTTAATTGTAATGAAAAAAAAATCAAGCAACTTATGAGAGAGGATTTTTCCCATTTTACTTTACAATTTATACTAGGGATGGCAATTTAAAACCGGTTAATCGATTAATTGGTCGGAACGATAGTAGTCGGTTAGGAAATCTGCAATCAGTTAGTCAGAAAAAATTATAATATATAAAATTGAACCAAATTTTCTTAAATTTCTTTTTTAAAAAGGAAATCTCTGCATAAATGTTGATAGTTTAGCATTTTTACACATTAAGCTGATTTGGAGGTAATTATGGCCCTCCGGATTGCGATCGCGAGATAATAATTGGTCAGTTTGTGAAGTGTTAATTACTGTTTTTAAAAACATTATTGGCACCCTGACCGTCCTTTTTATATTTTAATGTTTTTAAATAATTACTATTGAGCACTATTACTGAGGATGTATAAATATCGCTCTTTTGCCGTTATCTACTGTATTATTAAAAAAACATTGTTTTAAATTAAAGTTCAAAGTTTTGAATATGGTGACAATGGAAAATGATTTTGTGTGACATCTGCACTTATCTGTGAATGTTTGATCAAGTGAAATAAGAATCTCAATTTTTTCTTATTTTTTCATTCTAACTTTTGAAATTGAAATTGAAATAATATAATTTATATGTACATATAGTTTCCTGAGCAGAGTGTTTCTAACTTCTAATATCTCTCTTTCAATCTTCTTGCATATATGAATACAGATAAATCAATATTTTTCTCAAGAATGTATACAATGTATTTTGATACGATTAACCGGTTAATCGGTTGGAACGTCTTGTGGTTAACCGATTAGCAATTCTGTAATCAATTGCCATCCATAATTGTATATAAATGACTCTAAGAAAATATTTTGTTTCTTTGCAGTAAATCTCCCATTCTCTCTTCTTACATCATTGATTTGAGGAGTTTTGATGAAAAGATCATCAATGTCAAAGACTTCCAGTTCCTTCATGGCTACTACGAGCCTACCATATTTATTCTGTTTGAACCTTTGCAAACATGGGCAGGGTGAGTGTTGGTCATTTCCGAAAAGCACCAAATTATTTTTCTTGACTGAAGAGTCATCATTGTATTATACTGGTTTCCAACTATTTCTAAGCATTACAATTGACAGATTCTCTAAATGATAAAAAAATAAGAAATATTTTAGAAATGTGAATAAAAAACTATTGTTAAAAAAATTAGTGTTACATGTAGAAGTTTGAAAATATTCCAACTCCATTTTTCAGGAGAACAGCTGTGAGGGCAGACACCTGTAGCATTGTAGCCATCTCCCTCAACTTACAGGAAAAAGTACACCCCATCATCTGGTCTCTCAGTAGTCTCCCCTTTGACTGCTGCCAAGTATTGGCTGTGCCCAGACCCATTGGTAAAGTTCCTCGTAGAATTCTATAATGACTTATAATTAATATTTCTATTTGGTCATTTCACCTCAAAAGATTAGTTTGAAAACTGCATATTTCAGTATCTTGGTTTCAAAATGGGAAGGAAAAGAAAGTTTTTTAAAATAATATATTTGAATTTTAAAAAGCGGCTCTCTATTCTACTTGTAATATTGTTTTGTGTGTTTTAGGTGGTGTAATCGTCATAGCAGTCAACTCCTTGTTATATCTGAATCAGAGCGTACCTCCTTATGGCGTCTCACTTAACAGCATCTCACAGCAGAGTACTCTGTTTCCACTGCGTAAGTCAATTTTCTGGTAAACATTTAAATGTAAATGATTTCTTACTGATAAAGCTTAATAATGTACCTGTAATTTCAGGGGTTCTTGTGGATGGAAGAAAAAGATATTTATCTTCCATTACAGTTGAAAAGAAAATGATGTAATAGAAATATATATGTATTACAATAATATCATTGTACAGTGTACATGTATATTGCCATAGGTAATTGTTAAAGTATAATTTATCCCACAGGTATTCAGGAGGGTGTTAGGATAGCTCTGGACTGCTGTCAAGCTGCTTTTATGTCATACGACAAGATTGTACTGTCACTCAAAGGAGGAGAATTGTATGTACACATACATGTATTTGTACAATGAAATCACATTATAATAAATACAAACATGTACTTTACAAAAAATACATAAATAAAATGTATCATTTTCATTTTAATAGTATTGATTCAAGGTTATCTGTATGAAACACAAAGTCTTTTGTATTGATGTCTGTAATTTACACAAACACATGTAAAGATATAGAAAAAAAGCTTTGTTTGGTATGTGTTGACATGGAATTTTCAGTTTTAACTTTGACAAATCAGCTGCAAGTGTACTGACGTCATGTGTAAGTGAAGTAATGTAATATTATTAAAGAAGTTTTCTTCTCAAGCTCTCTTGTTCCTTACAACAGTTGTCTCCCTTTACAGATGTGTATTTGTGAAGACGGATTTCTGTTTCTGGGATCCAGACTGGGGAACTCTCTTTTGTTAAAATACACAGAGAAAGCGTCGGAGAGCTTAGAAAATGGAGACACAGAGAAAAAGGTAAGTCTTCTGTTTATATTGATGGTGTATGGCAAAATACATGTATCTCTGTAGACTTTGCTGTATGGAAGCAGAACATAATTTCAAACTAAAGTCATGTAAAATATACTTACATGTATATAAATAAATGTAAGAGCAAAAGATATTTCTTTGAACTGAATTGAATTTTTATATTCTATGGCAAAATTTGGCCTAATTGCACATTTAACCTGGTTTTTGAGTAAGATTTACATTTATCAATCTTCAAAATGTTCTTGTAGAGGGATGAAGAGCCAGTTGCCAAGAAAAAGAAAGTAGAGGGCTCAACTGAAATTGGTGAGAAGCTTTTCTGTTGATCTCAGTTTTGCATTTCTTCATTTTTAGCTCACCTCGACGAAGTCGAGATGAGCTTATGCTATACCCCCGGCGTTGGCGTCGGCGTTGGCGTCGGCGTCCCAGGTTAAAGTTTTAGGAGCAAGTCCATTCCCAAGTAACTATAAGCCCTACCTGAACCAAACTTGCATGGATGATGCATCTAGGGATGTACACTACAAGACTTGCTTCAGATGCTGGATCTGACCTACATTTTCCAGATGAGTGACCAGGTTAAAGTTTTTGGAGCAGGTTTTTGGAGCAGGTCTATTCACAAGGACCTATAAGCCCTACCTGAACCAAACTTGCATGGATGATGCATCTAGGGATGTACACTACCAGACTTGCTTCGGATGCTGGATCTGACCTACATTTTCCAGATGAGTGACCAGGTTCAAGTTTTTTGAGCAGGTCCATTCCCAAGGAACTATAAGCCCTACTCGAACCAAACTTGCATGGATGATGCATCTAGGAATATACACTACCAAACTTGCTTCGGATGCTGGATCTGACCTACATTTTCCAGATGAGTGACCAGGTTAAAGTTTTTGGAGCAGGTCCATTCCACAGGAACTATAAGCCCTATTTGGACCAAACTTGCATGGATGATGCATCTAGGGATGTACACTACCAGACTTGCTTCGGATGCTGGATCTGACCTACATTTTCATTCCCAAGTAACTATAAGCCCTATTTGGACCAAACTTGCATGGATGATGCATCTAGGGATGGACATTACCAGACTAGCTTCGGATGCTGGATCTGACCTATATTTACATTCCCAAGTATCTATAAGCCCCAGCTAAACTAAACTTGCATGGATGATGTATCTAGGGATGGACACTACCAGACTCTTCTGTTATCTGACCTACATTTTCATTCCCAAGTAACTATAAGCCCTAGAACCAAACTTGCATGGATGATGCATCTAAGGATGGACACTATCAGACTTGCTTCGGATGCTGGATCTGACCTATATTTTCCATACAAGAGACTTGGTTAAAGTTTTGGGAACAGATCAATCCAAATGAACTTGAAGACCTTGATATATGCAGTATTAACAGTCATGAATATTTGTTTACACTATACATATACATATTTTTCATGCTACATGCTTAGAAATGTGTATATGCCATGTAAGGGGTTAAACACAACTTGCAAGAATATTGTTGTTGAGAAGAATACTAAATATTAAGAAAATATGTTGTGAGATTTGCATTACTTAAACTGATAACATTCGTCGAGGTGAGCTTCGTAATCTTTGATTACCTATGTTTTAAAAATCTTCTATTGTCCCCCGCTTGAAAAGTGGGGGATATTAATTTGGGTTTGTCCGTCCGTCCGTCTTTCTGTCTGTCTGTAACGCTTTCGTTTCCACACGATATCTCGAGAACCCTTTGAGCTTTTGCGATGAAATTTAGCATAGCAACTCCCTATGGACTAAAGAAGACCCCTATTGATTTTGAGGTCAAAAGGTCAAAGGTGTTAAAACACTTTCGTTTCCAAACGATATCTTAGAACCATTTGAGCTATGGCAATGAAATTTTATATAACAACTCCCTGTGGCCTAAAAGATATTGATTTTGAGGTCAAAAGGTCTGAAGTTCAAGGTCGTAAATTTTATATTCTATGTCTGTGTTATACTATTATTTCCGGGCGATATTTCAAGAAGATTTTGAGCTTATGCAATGTAATTTTATATCAAAACTAACTCTGCCCCGTTTGTTTTATTAGTATTTATAGTATTACATGTCGCTATTTTTAACTTATTTTGATCAATCTTCAACAATGTTTAATAAAGCCTAAATAAATCAAACACCATGGATTGTGTAGAATTTTGACAATACCGAACATGAAAACATGAATATATACATGTATGTGACTTCACTTCTGCATATACTTCACACCATATAAAGCGATTCCGTGGTCTAGTGGTTATGTCTCTCGCTTCATATGTGAGAGGTCCCGGGATCGATTCCCGGTCGTACCTTTCTTTTTTTTTTTTTTAAATGTATTTTATTTGCTTCAGTATACATTTAATAATTCTACAAATTAAGGACGCTCCAAACACTAACAGAAGCTGTTTTTTGGACTCTGAGAAAAATATATTATATAAAGATATGCAAATTGAAAGTTTTTCATTCATTTAGAACATAGGGTACGTGCCTTATTTACGCAGAAAAAATGTTCTAAGACAATGGACTATTTGTGAGCAGAAATCACTGCTGTTTACTTACTTTGGTAAAAGTAATGAAAATAATTTATTAAATTTCTTACTCTTGGTCTTATATAATGCTTATTGTAATTAACAAATAACAATTTCTTTAATCTTACATGTTTTGCAAAAATTACCCAATGAATAGACCTCTTTAGTGTGCAGTGTATCGTCCTTTGAATTAGCTTGTTTCTCGTTTGAACTTTATAATAAAGTTGGATCTAATACTTGCCTTTCTTTTTCAATGGGAATAACCAGCATCATGGCCTTATTTTCTTGTTTGCAGCCTCTGATGTCTCCCAGATAGAGAATCTGTATGACCTGGAGGTATATGGCCACGCTGAGAACCCAACAAGTACCACCATCACCAGCTATATATTTGAGGTCAGTAGTCTTTATCTAATTATAACTTTTGTACTTAACATACATTAAATCCTTATAATCTGTAACTCAGTGGAACTAAGAAAATAAACTTTGAGATGTCTGGGAATTTAAGATATCCCTGGTGAAATACTGAAGGAATAAGGGGTGGGACTTCAACATCCATGATATGCTAAATATCAGTTTAGAAAATAATGGAGTTATAAATCTGTATAAGGATAACTTGTTTTCAAATGTGGATCTCTATGATCATTAATTATGTTGAAAATTCTAAATTCTAATTCCCAGGTGTGTGATAACATTTGGAACATTGGTCCCTGTGGTAACATTGTGATGGGGGAGCCCGCCTTTCTGTCTGAGGAGTTCAGTAGTTGTATTGACCCTGACATCGAGATGGTGATGACCTCAGGTCACGGGAAGAATGGAGCTCTGTCTGTCGTGCAGCGCAGTATTCGTCCACAGGTGGTAACCACATTTGAATTACCGGGCTGTCTGGACATGTGGACAGTCAAAAGTATTGTACCGGGGGAACAAAAGGTACGTATGTTTCAGTTATATACAATGTTCAAGTAGTTATTTGCATTATCACAGTGATTGGGAAGGCCAAAATGGTCAATGGGACTATGGCGCAACTGTCAACATTTTTGATGGGCCATTTCGAAAATGAATGGGCCATCAATATAATCTGAAGGGCCATTTTAAGAAATAACAAAGTGACAAACAAATATGAAATACGAGAGAAAACACGTTTTTAATTAACGGAATCCGATTTTAACGCAGGAAATGCAGCAAATTTAAAGGAACTTGCTTAGAATATAACTGACCCGTATTTTGTGTTAAAATTATGACAGTTTTGGAAAGAGAACAGCCCTAGATCTACCATACAAATGAATGAAGTATTGCTTTGTTTAACCGGAAGTACTTTTTGACAGGTTTCAACCAATGAGATTTGTTGTTTTAAATTGATTGCATTTAAAACGAAAGTAAAACAAGAAAGAAAGTCGTATGCAAAATATTTCTAAATAACATCGCTAAAAATTGAATGCGCACCTTGGCGCCATGATTGATTGATTTAATGCGCCATTTTTCACTTCAATGCGACTATGGCGCATGGCGCAAGCCCTTCCCAATCACTGTTATCACATTAATTTTCTTAGTGAAAAAAATAGTCAAAAAGAAAAAAAATGTTTCCATAATGATTTTGCTCTAAAGCTGATTACATTTAATGCAATGAAGGAGAAATATTTCTCAAAGTTCAACTGATATTGTGTAAGGTTGATATTAAAACATAGAAAAAATATTTTGTCTCTTTAATTGAGGATTACATGTCATTATTATAAATCTCTCTACAAATATTCTGACCTTACATTGTAGGAAGACAAGGATACCTCAGAAGAGGAGGGGTTAGGCAGTAACATAGAGGGGGGTCACTCCTTCCTCATCCTCAGTAGAAGTGACTCCAGCATGGTACGGTTATAATTCTTGCATGTTTTTTTTCCTTCAAGTTATTGCATTTTAGCAAATTAATGGTGAATTAAGGTCAAAGTTTATTTAAAACAAATTTTGAAATCCAATTTTGATTCAACTTAAGAAGTTTTCCATTTATATTGTAAATATGCGTGCAGGTTTATAATAAGATTTGGTTACTTTTTTTATTTTGAAATAGATTTTAGAGACTGGTCAGGAAATGAATGAACTGGACCACAGTGGCTTCAGCACTCAGACCACAACTATATATGCTGGGAATATTGGAGGGGACCGCTATATCTTGCAGGTGTCTGACACAGGGCTCAGGCTGCTGGAAGGAGGTGAGAAAGTCAGTTCAAGTAACAGAACAGGTGTTTCAGTAAACCACAGACACGTAAGGGTGCATGTACAATTAGATGTATTTATAAAACAAAATTTAGAAGAAATAAAAAATTTCTTTAAAAACTATTTTAGGAAAATATATATAAAGAGCATACATGTATTAATTTCAATTGATGTAAATTATAAAAATTATTTTTAAACCGAATTAGCTTCATGTTAGAGTTTTGTGTAACTTACTGAAAACTTTCCTTTACGCAGTGAGACAAATTCAGCATATCCCTTTGGACACGGGATCCCCCGTTATCCAGTGTTCGGTGGCCGATCCTTACATCGTGTTACTGACACAGGAGGGACAGATCCTGATGTTCACCCTCAGGACAGAGGCGGTGGGTCTGGGGGTCCGTCTAGTGGTGGGTAGGCCATCCATTTCTCAGGTAGGTCACAGGTTTTGGTAATCTTATTGGTGCATGTATTGTTATTGCATAGCACCAATAAATTTAAGTCATGCAGGAGTACACTATCATTTCACTAAACTGCAGATCACTAAAATTTTTTAATCTTTATTAGCTAGACAAAATTTCAAAGAATTATGGTTACTGCTCTGTATAATCTTTAGAAATACTAACATTTGTGAGAATGATATTCTAGCAAGCAACTTGTATCACATAGTTACACGAAAATAAAGTTCGTGCTAATAAAAAGTGATTTACAATATTTTTGTTTGTCTGTAAATTGCTACATATAAGATAATACATTATAAGATTCTTCATTGGCTATAATTAAAATTGGCGTGAATAAAAAAGTAATTTATATTACAAGGAAAACATTGTAAAATAGTGTTGATAAATGAGTAAAAATAAATTTATCATGTTTATATATATATATACTGTATTTGTTAATTTCAGCATTCATGAGTGGAAGTGATCAGTGCCTATAAGGATATGATTAACTAATAGATATACATGTATACTGTGTGTTAATTTCAGCATTCTCAAGTGGAGGTGATCAGTGCTTATAAGGACGTGAGTGGCCTGTTTACCTGTATGAATCAGGTTGATGAGGTACAGATCACACCTGATACAAAGTCTACAAAAACAGTAGCAGAGAGATCATTTAGCATTGACGCCAAGTAAGACTTTACTTAATCTGTAAATACAGGGCATTCATTCATTGGATGAAACTGTTTAGTTGCTGTTCAGTTGAAGGAACACCCTCGGGGTTGTAAATCCAGACTTAATCTTATCATAAGCATTTTTCACTCTCCTCAATTGAATGGTGAATCACATGACTTAACGAGGCCAAGTCTAATTATTTCTACCCTAGGGATTTTGATAATTTTTCGTTTATTAATTTTTACTGTTATATCTATTGTTTTAAGATTAAAAAATTGAATGTTTACCACCCCGATTTCTTAGGGGGCCATCTCAAAAGTTGTCAAATTTTACTATTGGACCCTATGGGAATTTGATGGAAAAGTGCCAGATTAACACATTTTTGCCATATTTTTGGTATTTCTGCCCTAGAGATTTTTTCTTCAGTCAAGTAAATGAAAGATATTGTAAAAAGTCACCAAATTGTGAAATTTCAAAAATGTTGACCATCTAGGTTGGTCTTGATCTTAATTACAAAGTTTATTATTTCAATTCCCAATACCTCTAAAATTGCCATATTGTGGTATAAATACATCTCGGTGCAGATGAATCACCAGCACAGATAATTTTTTTGGAAAAGAAATATAGCAATATTTGGATTGCTAGTATGTTTCTTTTGATGTTCTGTCAGCAGTTTTGCATATAATATCCATGAACGTCTACAAACATATAAGCGAGTCATGTGTCATTCTTCAGTGTCGTGTATTGCTTACAAAATCGGAAAACAGTGACGTCGTTAGAGGCATATCAGCGTTTTTCCAAATTGTTGTCGTAAAATCACATATTGAGACCAGTAGGCGTTACAGATAATGTTAATTTTATATTAAAATTACAATAGTTGGGAAGGTGTACTGTTGCACTTGTGACTGCATGAAATTAAAAAGCTGCGCAAAAGTCATGCGCACTCGAATTAGACTCGGCCTCGTTAAATGTTAATTTAATTGTTTTTAAATTTGTTTTGTAGAACAGCAGATGAGGAGGATGAGTTATTGTATGGAGACAGTGAGGCCCCGGTATTCCAGAGCTCTGCTAACACCAGTCAGTCAATGGAGACAGACAGGTAGGCTGTAATGCTACAGACATTTCAATGGCAGACGAGTTTTGCCAATTCTTTTATGTGCAAATTGAATGTACAATTTTGATTATCATGCAAATGGTATCTTAATTAAATTTTGTTTTAAGCCCTTTCACATTCCAACATTTAAATTTGATTATTAGTATCATATTATTTTTAAAAATCATGAGAATTTAAGTAAATGCTTAACGTGTATGTTTATTTATATTATAGTCCTACAAAAGAGACGAAAAACACAGTGTCGAAGCCCACTTACTGGCTTCTGTTATGTCGAGAGAATGGGGTGCTGGAGGTATGTAACAATGAAAATAAAGTGCTTATGTAGAGTATATACATGAAAAATTTATTTGTTTTGATCCATGTTTATAAAGTAAGTTTTTGTTTGTTTGTTTGTACATGTATGTTGTTTAATGTCCCTCTCAAGAATTTTTCACAAAGTAAATGGTAATGTGTGGCCATTGCAAGTTAAAGCTTTGATTAAAAAAAATCACTCATTTTAATGCAGATTTACAGCATGCCGGACTACAAAATGGTGTATTATGTAAAGAATTTCCCAATGGGTCAGAAACTCTTGGTAGACTCGGTACAGGTCACAAAAGAGGCAAGGTAGGTTTCAGATGATTTTGCCCATTATTTTCCAGCTTTTCCTTTGAATGTCAACAATCTTATTCAAATCATTCAAAATATTCTATGTATGTCAGAGGTATTAATTTTTTTAAAGAAAACAATACATGTTGATTCAAATCTATTGATTGATTAAGTTGATTTAATCATGCAAGAATGCATTTTTAACCATCCTCCCTGTACCTGTAGCTCACTTGGAGAACGCCAGGAGAAGATGAATGCAGAGTGTCCCTCCCTAAAGGAGCTTCTGATGGTGGGGCTCGGATATAAAGATTCCCGCCCACATCTTCTGGTAAGAAACATCAAAAATAAATTTAACAGTTTAATTTTTTAAAAAGGTAACTTTTAATAATATTTAGAATAAATATCCATCCCTCTGCTCTTTACAGAGCTGTAAAAGATATTTTCTCATAAAAGCCAAAAACTTCGCCTAAAAATCATAGGTGAATTTCAGAATGTTGAACACTGACATGTAGAATACCCAGGGATATATTGAAAAAAGTGTTACCAACTAAAATATAGTACAAGTCTTAAGAATTCTACAACCTCAAATTTTTTTAATGTTTTTAGCTCACCTGAGCCCAAGGATCAAAATTTATCCGTTGTCTGTTGTTGATGTCATTGTCGTCGTCGTAAACTTTTCACATTTTCATCTTCTTCTTAAGAAACACTGGGCCAGTTTCAACCAAACTTGCCACAAAGTATCCTTAAGTGAAGGGGATTCAAGTTTGTTCAAATGAAGGGCCAGGCCCGCCTTCAAGGGGAGATAATTATGAATTAAAGAAAAATTAATTGAATCTTTTAAAAATCTTCTCCTCAAGAACCTCAGGTATTGTAGAACGTAGTTTGTTCAAATCATGACCCCCGATGATATGGCGGGGCCACAATGAAAAATCAAAGTTTTACATGTGAATATATGGGAAAAATCTTTAAAAATCTTCTTCTCAAGAACCTCTGGGCCAGGAAAGATAAAACTTTAGTGGAATCACCCTCAGCAGGGTTCGACACTAACTTTTTTACCTTGGTGGACCGCAGGTCCACTTGTAAAAAATTATTGGTGGACCTTCTCAATTTCTGGTGGACCTTTATAAATATTTGAATTAATGAAATGAATCATTACATGAGGCATTAATTAAAGCTAACTTTAATATATACCGATTCCAGTCAGACTAATAAAGCATAAATCTAACCAGTCAACAGAATCAAATCAATTAGGGACTAGTCAGATTTTTTTTGTCTGAAATATTGTTGAACTTAAAAAAAAAACAACATATTAATCTACAAACCAAATTTTTTTTTTTATTATTATCATTAAGTTAACAATGGTCAAAACCTAAAACCTGCATTTATTTTGCTTCCAAAGGTAGACTGAATTTAAAATTCCAATTATTAATTAATTTGTTCAGAATATTAAACAAGTGAAATTTTCATGTATTTATGGCTAGATTTTTTTTTACTACTGATGCAAAACTGAGATAGAAACATGTATGTGTATTAATCAATTATTTTTCTAAATTTCTTATTTATTCAAATAAGTAGTGATATTATACATATCAAGAAAAAATGAAACTGCAGATTAGTTCATAAAATGTAAATAACGCTTATTTGAACATCTGTTTAAAAAAAGAAAAAGAACAATGCATAAATGCAGCTGTCAATCAATTCTAATTATCTCCAACTCTGTGCGTTCAGGCGTGAAGCAATTTTCACACCTTTCTATGCATAAACAGAGGAGAGACTGGCTAATTTGGCACGGATTTTTCATGCTTCTTATTCAAGGTCCATGTTGTATGTTATTGCGTCTCAATATTATTGTTAATATTGGAGTTATCAATTTAACATGTAAAATGTATCGAGTTGCTAGGTCCCTCTGATTACCTAAAACATTATTTATATGCATATTTATTTTTCGTAAAATACAGGTAAAGAGGAATTAATTGAACTGAATTGAATTGAGTAAGGGATTTAAGAAAAAACCTGGAATTTCACTGTTTTTTTTTTTTTAAATAAGGTCTCTAAATTCTAAGTGGACCGACGGCCCCCTAGTCCAGAACATTTGGTAGACCTTCCAATTTTTTGGTGGACTCGGGCCGCCGGTCCACCGTTAGTGTCGAACCCTGGCCTCAGGCAGTGAAGAATCAAGTTTGTTCAAATCATGACCCCCAGGGGTAGGGTGGGGCCACAACATAAAATCAAAAATCCTCTTCTATAGCATGGAAAGGCCATAGTTTAGTTATATTGATTTGGAAGCATCATAAGGTTGTGTAGATTCACATTTCTTCAAATCATGATTCCAGGGGTAGGGAGGGGCAAGTATATGGGGTTGAAATTTTTACAAAGGAATATATAGAAAAAAAATCTGTTCAAGAACAGTAAAGCCATTTATATTGATATGGAAGTATTCTCAGATACATGTAGTTTAAAATTCAAGCCCTACTTTTCAATACTTAACTGATTTGTGCATTTTTCTAGTCAATATGCACAGGTGAGCGATGTGGCCCATGGGCCCCTTGTTATCAAGTGGATGACTTGTTGAATTATGAGTATCTTAAAAAATCAAACAGAAATGAAAATAAACATTTTCAGTTCTTTGTTTTTGACTGTGATAAATAATTACATTAAAAAAGCATTTTTTAAAATTTATTTTCAGGCCAGGGTTGAAGATGACCTCTACATATATGAAGCATTCAGCTATCCTCAGTCCACTATAGACAATCACCTAAAGTTACGATTCAAAAAAATCCAACACGATCTCATCCTCAGAGAAAAACGCACAAAAAGTAAGAAGAAGGATCCCGAGGAGTTCCGAAAGGATGAGAAAAAAGTGGGAAAGATGAGATACTTTAAAGATGTAGCGGGTTATAGTGGTGTGTTTATCTGTGGGGCCTATCCCCACTGGATATTTGTCACCTCACGGGGAAGTCTTCGGATCCACCCCATGGGGATAGATGGTCCGGTCTGGTGCTTCTCTGAATTCCATAACGTCAACTGTCCCCATGGATTTTTATACTTCAACAAAATGGTAACTGATATGTATGATTTTTTTCAACAATTCAAATGGCACATTTGATAAAAAGGATATTGTTTTATATATGAGATACAAGTACTTCAGTAAAGGCATTTTACTTTCAACAATTCAAATAACACATTTAAAAAAAGGAAATTGTTTTATATACAAGATAATTCAGTAAATGCAAATTTTAAAATTATGTTTTGTATTTATGTTTTTTTAAGGGAGAGCTCAGAATCAGTGTCCTTCCCACTCACCTGACTTATGATGCCCCCTGGCCAGTCCGTAAGGTCCCCCTGAGATGTACCCCACACTTTGTAGCCTACCACTTTGAGAGCAAGGTAAGTCCTCATCTTTGTAGAAAGTATGTACGTGAATATCAAATTTGGGGAAAACTGTTAGAAAAGAGCCTTGATATTTTTAAAAGACTGACTAGACAACTTGTTTTGAAACATACTACATTTGTAGATCTATGCAGTGGTGACAAGCGTCCCAGAAATCTGTAATAAACTTCCAAAGACCACCACAGAAGAAAGAGAGTGGGACGTCATCGAGAAAGGTAACAGAAAGGTCATCTTAATAGAGAATTACAGTACAGGCAACGCGGATCCCGTATTTCCCGCGTCCCCGCCACGGTATAATCACAACGCGGTATTTGGCCAGGTAGACAGGTAAACCGCGTTCCCTCCGCGGGAAATTCATCACTTACCTGTCCCCGCCGCGGTTAAATCATCGATCAATTACTGACAATTAGTATCGTAAACAAACGGGAGTTATCTCCCCGAATTGTGATTTGCGAATTTTCCATGTAACAAAAAAACAAAAAAAAACAAACAAAAAAAAAACGTGTTTATTAATAAATTTTGCTATGAATAGAATTTAAACTAAGAAAAAATAAGTTTATTTCTGTTTCTAAAATTACATATCAATCTTTGAAATTGAATAGAAAATTTTATTAAATTGTTACGTCTTTGCAATTGGTTAATTATTTTGTGGTATTAAGAATATATCAAGAAACAAAATTAAATACTAGAAATTTTAATTAGTTTCTTTTTAATCTTCATATTATATGCAAACTAATAAATGTTGAACTCAGACTGCTTAAGTTTCGATAAACGATTTTCAGCATTCATTTGAAAAAAAAAAAAATTACAACTACATCTTTAAAAAATGTACATCTTCATATTGTTTATTAATTAATTTCGATTTATTGTATATAAAATGTACAGGCTTTTTCTTAAAGTGTCAAATTACCGGAAAACATCCGATGACGAGCATTTGCAGTTACATGTAGTGGGCACGTGAACTTAAATTTTCTTTATCCAAGATATCAAGAAAAAGTTATATTCTTCTTTATTTCTCATTGTTTATGTTCTGTTCCCAAATTAAGAAAACTTTTCTTTAATGTATTTCCCTCTTTTATATAAATGAGCATGCATTTTCCTCAAATTGTCAAATGACCGGAAAGCATTCGATGGCGAGAGTTAACTTTGGGCACGTGAACTTTATACAAGAGATCAAGAAAAAATATCGTTTTTCACCTTCATATTAACATGTATTACTTTTTAAAACAATGTCTTTCTTTTTAATTTTAATATTTCTCGATTTTCGTGTTCAATAGATAAGATAGGATGTGCAGGTGTAATGATAAACTTCACAGACGAAATTATAGTTTATATTAATAAATATTCAATGCCAAAAATTCATATATTTTTGTTTTCTTTGACAAATTCTGTTTCTTTGTGTATTAAGTATTAGCCGCGATCATTTCCTGTGTATAGGGATTGGCAGTGCCTGAGCAGGAAACGACATGCCCTGGGGGTTTCACACCTGTCTTATAGTATACCTTGGGTAACGCTCGCTGGATGTGCACATCGTTGTCTAGCCATTCAACAACACATTTGATTCATTGTTTCATTATTATTTCATCGATATCATTTTTAGATGCGATATTAGCCTTGGAATTTGTGTCAAATTATTGTTGCTTTTTTATAAACGGAGTGTATAAAAAGAATAAAAGTAAAAAAATTTTAAAACAAATTAATGAAGTATTTGATATTAATTAAATCAAATAATGATCCATTACTGTGTTATTTCGTGTCTGTTTATATCTGTACCAGTTAGAAGATTGAGAGAGAGAGAGAGAGAGAAGAAAAATATCACAATATTAAGGCACGTGCATGATCGTTTATTCTCCTTTTTGATCAGTATATCAATTTCTTAAGTCTAGCGAATAAAACTACCGCTGATTTATCAGTTTATTGACCATCTGTGGAATTTGTCTAAGTTTTATTGTTATTTATCAAGAGACTTAATTGTTTATGATCCACTTTCTTCTTTCGTTTAGCATATGTACATGACATGTAATTGGAATTCTTCCCTTTTTGTCGCCAGATTACAATGACAGATTTTGATGGTAAAATAAAATGTATTTTTGTTATAAAATTTGATTAAGAAAAACACAAGTATATTAAAATTGTCGAATTATTGAAAATATTTATTTGAAACAAAAAATTTAAAAAGGATTCTGTCTGCAACAAAAACATTCTTTATTTCATGCATTTCAATATTCATGAGCTACACATGAAAAAAAAAAACGGCTTCGTTTTACAATGTCGTAGGAAAACGCATACAGGTAATACACTCAGGTAACATCCTGTGTAATAGGTAGTATATGTACACTAGACAGCGTCTTTCCCTCGGGGCTTCTCATCCGCTTCGAGTAAGCTCCGTTCCACACCAAACTTACCTGAGGAAAACCGAACGGTTACACAGACATCTGAAAACTTGAAGCATGGCAACTTGCTGATTAAAATAAGTTAATTTCTATGTTGTGTGTTCAAATATTCAAAGGGCCCATATTTGTGTTTGTGTTTTATTTGAACCGGAGAAATCTGAAATTTGTTTATGTTCATAGACATGATTTTAGTAATTTTCGAAAAGAACAGAAAATAGAAAAACATTCAAATACTAGCTATGATATTATTGGTATTCTGAACAGAATGACCTGTGATTATTTTATTAACAAGACCCCCCCCCCCCCCCCCCCCCCCCCCCCCCCACACACACACACACAAAATCGTCGATATTTATTTCATAGTCTTACAGTGTAGCGCATAATAATGGAGCAACGGTATTCCTACACTTAGGCGTGTTTTGTTAAAATTTAATTGTAATTATGTATCACTATCTATCATCGTTTTTCATGCTATTATTTATAACAGACATGTACATACAGAAGTAACGGTACTTTTCTAAATGAAACCAAATGACTGATATAATCTCGCAGATAAATAAACACATAGCTACATGTAACTGCAACTGCACGGGCTAATTGTGAACACCGGATTACAGTGCATATAAAGAGAAGCGATATCATGGCATTCTTTAAAGGATGAGGTGACTTGCGGCCCCTCGTATACTGACAAAAAATTAAATGTCAAAATTTTACTCAAATTTTTGTTTGTAACTAATCACTGATATGTGCACTTTTATAGAATACTATTTTTAACAAAAATAGCAACGTGATTTGAAAGATATTAATCTTTTATTGGGGTAGGGGTATCATGTTTACATTCGATTCCCATTGCATTTTAACCCCGCCCCCCTCTTTGAAGTCCTTAAAATATACGAGCGCAGATAGGTACAATTTTCTCCTTTGGCTGGTCACTTTATTTTATTGAAATCTACCTATATGTGAAAGGAGAAAATTGTACCTAACTGCGCTCACATGCTATTTTTTAAAAAATTGTAAAATCTAGTTGACCTTTCCCATTATAAACAGATCGACGGAACTAGATTTTATGACGCAAGAATGAATTCATATGTTAATCGAGGCACTGGCGATACTTTCTAAACTGACCAATCAGCTAAATGAAATTCGTTACGAGTGAGTACCACAAAAATACTATGGAAACATGCTTGGAATTTTACTGCTTTACGATATTTTTTATGCATTTGAGTTACAGATTAGACACGGATCTACATATGTACCATTTCCAAGACCACTGTAAAATTTAGATACAGTTACAACAATTGATAGAATATACTTGTACATGATATACATTTAAGTTTTGTAGCGTGTTTGGTGAGCAATTCGCTAGGTCTACACGTATTCCCGAGTATCGGTGAATACAAGTTTCATATGCATTTCTTGTCCTAAAAACCGTAAATGCTGAAAATCTATGCGTATGATTAAGTATAAACAGCATTGGCTGGCCATTATAAAAGTTTGAAATGTAGAAAAGGAAAACAGGTAAATTTACCTAAACCACGTGTCTGCGATAAAATGTACACATAGTAAACCAGCATATTTTGTTGTTCTGTCGTCGGATTGGACAATGACTAAGTGCGAAATAATAAGAATAGCCATATAAGGTCTTCTCGGACACGCATATCCCTCTATTGTACTAAGACCCGCCATAAAAGAAAATATTCTCACAAACCTGGCCGAATTTAGCTGTGATAGGGTCTAAAAAATCAAAGATAATGCAGTATTCCTTATAATTAAAATGTGTCGGAACTATTAAAACTATTCAAAAGGCGTCGTATTTATTCACTCATGTTTGAAAACTAACAACATCGTTGTAGATTAAATATAATTCGTCGTGGAAAAAGGGGCCCCAGATAGCAGTTATGTCACATCATCCTTTCAATTATACCTTTTAGCAATTTGAAGATCATTTGGGGTGGCAATATTGATTTTGAAAATAAACTTTAAGTTAATATATTCGATAAATTATTCGACTTTATTCCATCCTAATATACTGTACATGTATTACTGTTAACAGACGTTTTTGAGAATTAATTTTGAGTGACCATTGGTAAAAAAAAAAAAAAAGAAAGATGTTTTTTATTAAACAATTTGATAAAACTTAAAAATGAATTTTTAAAGAATCCATGTAATGGTATAAATCTATTAATATCAATGTGGTCGTAATCTTCCCCCCCCCCCTCCTCATTTCGATACGATTAAAAATTGACAATACTTTACAGGTAAGAACATCTAAGCTGAAGAATAACGGTAGCTGGCCCCGCCGCGGTGTAAACACGGTCTCAGGTAGCACCGCGATCAAAACCCGCGACGGTGTAACGCGGAAAGGATTAATACACCGCGGAGGGGACGCGGTCTAATACGGGATCCGCGTTGCCTGTACTGTAACATATCAGACAGGGTCAAAGTTAAACTGCTTAGACAGTTGTCAGATTTTATGGTTATTGTTTATTAATGTTCCTAAGGTAAGTTTGGCTTTTTCAAGTGTTTGATTAAAAAAAAATCAGATAAGAACTTTTAAAACTCATTCACTACCACTTGATGAGATACTTAGTGGATAATGCAAAAAAATATTTTAAAATATCGGAATATCTGATCTGAGACAGAGCTAGATGAACATTTTAATTATTACGTAACTTGATCTTGTAGATGAGAGATTCATTCACCCCACCATTCCTCGTTTTACGTTACAACTCTACAGTCCCACATCATGGGAAGTTGTTCCAAACACAAAGTAAGACAATCTAAATAAAAACCTTAAATAAAACACAAGTAAAAGAAAGTGATAGACTTAGAACTGTATGTCTGTTAAAGATAATTTTAAATCTCTACTCATTTATCTGAATATTTTAATCAAGAAACTTTTACTCACAAATACCAGTATTTTGCATTGAGTAACAACAGTCTGAGTAATTAGAAAGTTTACTCTCTTCTTGAAGATACAAAATTCAATATATAAAGATGGTTATTTGTCTTTAGATTTTTTTTATTAATTGATACTTTTGGGCTTGCTCATTTAGTCTTCATTTTTCTGTAGAATTGATTGTGAAGAGTGGGAACATGTAATATGTATGAAAACCATCCGCCTGAGATCTGAAGAAACCTTGTCAGGGTTCAAGTCCTACATCGTCATGGGAACAAATCTGTCACTTGGGGAGGAGTGTACTTCCAGAGGAAGGGTAAAAATGCTCATTTTTACCCAGTGCAAGTTTGTTATAAACAACTTTGATTTTCTTTGCATTTATTAAGCAGATGTATAATTATTAATTCAATTTAATTCTTGTGCAGGTGATCATAGCAGATATCATAGAAGTTGTGCCTGAGCCAGGCATGCCTTTAACCAAACACAAAATAAAGGTGAGTTACTTTGAGTTCCAAATACAAATGCAAGGGTATTAAGTATGGTCCAATTACATATCTACATACTATTGTAACATGAAAGAAGAGTAAATCTTTTGTCAGTTAAATTTATGTCGACATTTACTTTACATTGATATTCTTCGCTAAGACTTCTTTCCTTTGTAGACTGTTTATGAAAAAGAACAGAAGGGTCCAGTGACTGCAATAGCTGATATCAATGGTCTCCTGATCACAGCTATAGGGCAAAAGGTAGGCATATCAAAATCTGTTTCAATATACATGTATTCATGGAAAAGTATATTCTACAGAAACTGAAACTGTTCATTGCTTATAACAATAGAAGAAAATGACGTACATGTAGTAGTTTAAGATTTTTAAAAATGCGAAAATTGACTATTTGAAAAAGATCATCACAAAATTGTTTATAAATAAAGTGTGTATGTACATGTACAATGTACCTAATCCTTTAATAACATGTGCAATATACAGTTTTCATGGCAAAATGTTGAAGTGTAAGATAAGAGTGCATGATTTTGTTATTTCAGTTATACATATGGCAGCTAAAAGACAATGATCTGATGGGTGTGGCCTTCATTGACACCCAGATCTACATCCACACACTAGTCACCATTAAACACATCATCCTGGCTGGGGACATTCTCAAAAGCATCTCTGTCTACCAGTACCAGGAGGAGTACAAAGTCCTCTCCATTGTCAGTAGGGTAAGTGTCAGAGGAGGATATTGTAAGCGAGGTCTGTAGTGAAATATTAGTGATTTTTAAAGAGAAAGAGTCATTGGTATTTGTTTTGGGTGCTTTGTTGTCATCCATGGAAATTGAAAATCTTTTCCAAATGAATAAACAAGTAAAGGATGCAAAATTTTTTTGTTAAAGAATTACCAGGTACAGTTTGACTAGTTTTATTAAACAGCAAGCTTGAGAGAATAAAGCTGACTTTGAATACTACACATGCATAAGGCAAATGCAAATACGAGGGTTGTTCGAAAAGTTCGTGGACGATGTCCATCTTCGTTATATTACTGACTGGAAATTTAAAACAAGCACATTATAATATGTAAAAATGCTTGTTTTGTTGATGTGTGAAAATTTCCTTCCATTCAATTTAACACAAATAAATTTACTTCATTGTAAATTCAACATGTTTTGTACCCGCGGAGCACACAAAACGGCAATGTAACGTCAACACATAGCGTCGAGAATTTATAATAGATACTATACTTATACATTTCACACAAAATATTCCAATGCCAATTCATAAATTTTTTTTTCTAATACATGACATTAATTTTTTAAGAATTGATCTCATTGTATAATTTCCTTTGTTAAGGTTTTAATTTCTTTTAGTACTTAACTCTGCTTTCACAGGATAAAGGACTCTGAAGCGCCTTTGTCTTTCATTTACGTTTCGAATTTTTAAGTTTTTTTCAGATGTTTACAGTAAAACCGTTTCTACAAAGGTCATCCTCATCCGATACAGAGTCTCTGTCACTAAAATACTGCCTGGACTATTTGTACACACATGCACAACTCGCTTGTGACATATTTTCTTGATTCCTTCAACATTTTAGAGTTTATTCAGGATTTTTCCTGAGAAAAACACAAAATTGCTTCGGTATCTGCTGCTCCGTGACGTTCTAAAACGTCATCGTTTTTGTCGTTTTCAATAAGCACCACTTCTCTTCTCAAGTTGATTTCTTTTCAACGAATAAAAATATAAAACCATAGTTTGGTACACGTATCGATGTAACAATTCTTAATTTGAATTTCTAGGCAGTTTTTCGTTTTCCCTCCATTTTACAGTGAATATGACTATAGACATTATTTATTGTTTTGTCTGTAACTGACTAAATTTTGACCTGCTCCGCGATCCGATTTTTGTATTTTTAAAATCTGGATAAGTTTTTAATCAATCGTAATATTTTGTTAAAATTGATACATATCATTTGGATTTATTGCTAAAATATTTCTACTAAATTTGGATAACATGTGACGTCAAATAAAAAAGATATGACAGTTGTCCACGAACTTTTCGAACAACCCTCGTATTTGCATGTACATAGAATTCTTTGACTTCGTATTTAAATGTTACATCTTTACCAACGTCCCACAAAGTTCTGAAAACTTGTACTACACACTCTCTACATGGTGAATGTTGCTTTTTTTTACATGCTATAATAGAATACTTTAGATGTATGGAAGACATCTTAGAAAGCCAAGGGTTTCTGATATGCTACTTTCTTCATTATGAGGAAGGTATTGTATCAGAAACCCTTGGCTTGCGAAGATGTATGAAAGAGTGTATAATGTTTCCTATGTTACAGGATCCTAGGCCATTAGAGGTATATACAACAGATTTTCTGATTGACAACACACATCTTTGCTTTGTTGGTAAGTACTCTCATATTTCCAAGGGTGCAATAAAAGAATCATTTTGTAAGTTGAAGTGAAGGCAACTACATGTGTCCTATTCTATTTTTAGAATACTCGTACAATCTAATATTAAGTGATTTGCAGGGAAAAAGTAGAGAAAGCTCTCGGAAAAAAAACAAATCAATGTTGTTTTTTAAAACATTATGATAGGCAAATTTTATTCAGCTGTGCAAGTCCTCATGACTGTTTCATTGTTTCTGATACAATGTCAAATATATATTTTCCTGTTACAGTGGCTGACAGAATGAAGAATCTTGTTGTGTATGCTTATCAACCAGAAGGTAATATACACACATGTATTATACAATCTCAATCTGCAGAATGTTAACATATTCTCTTTTTTCAAATTGTCTATTTTTTCAATAATGTAACACATATTTATTTAAATATGGTTACAGTTACAAAATACATGTATGTTGTATATATAACAAGCATTTGCAAAGGACTGAAGTGTATTGTAGCATGAGAGCAGTGTTAGCTCATTAACACAAGAATTCCCTGCATCGTAAATTCTAGCCACACACACAAATACATCTATATACATGTAGTTTAATTGGATTGTTTCAATTTACAGCCAGAGAAAGCCATGGTGGACAGAGATTGATTCGTAAGGCAGACTTTAATTCTGGTTCCCACATCAACAGTATGTTCCGGGTGAGGTGTAAGCTCTACGATCCGTCCTCAGATAAACGAATGACCGGGGCCTCAGAGAAGAGACACATCACTTATTTTGGTAGGTTTTATTGGGGCTTGGTTAAAAAGTAAAATAGAAAAAAAGATTCTGGTTCTCCAAATGCATGGGTAAAAGAAAATAAGGAAACAAAATATTCTGAATACAAGTTTTGGACAAACAAATTTTTCAAATAAGAGAAACAATGTGCCACAATTATTTTTCTCAGAGGATTTTTTTAAGAAAAGCATTCATCATGGTATAAATTGACTGTTTATCCTTACTGTGAAGCATATAAATTTCTTGTGCCAGAATTTTTAGGACACATGAAGCACTGTATTTATTCTCTACAGATGATAAGTAGGTTTTATTTCTGATACCATGGACAAGAACTTAATTTTCATAAGCAGACATCCCTCATTTTGGCTATCCAAGGGGGACAATCCGTTCCTTTTTTCTCATGAAGAAGAGTAGCAGATTGCCACTCTTGGCTTTCAAAGATGGGCAAAGATGGGAAATTACCAGTTCTTAGATTAATAGAGTTCTAAAACTTTGAATTTAATTGTAATTTTAAGTGTTTTGTGTATTTTACAGCAACACTGGATGGCAGCTTAGGTTTTATCTTACCTCTGTCTGAGAAGGTATACAGAAGATTGTTCATGTTACAAAACGCTCTGGTCACCCACATACCTCATGTGGCAGGCCTCAATCCACGAACATATAGGTAAGTTTTGTATGTCAAGAATTCATACGGATGTTCATACTCACTTTATAAAGCTACCTTAAAACAACATGTACATGTACATTGTAAAATTTTGATTGGCTTTGTTTTCAGTACATGCACATTTTTCACATATTTATTTGGGTCTTAACTTTTCTTAATTGATAAGGATTATTTTGCACATACTGCATGTACATGTACAGTGTATTTTGTGCAATGTGATATGTTCAATTTATTTTTTTTTTTCCAAAGTCAATTTATTGAGTATGACGAATATAAACATAAACACCATTATTTGTTATGCATTTCTTAGTTGAATGTTTGTTTTTGTTTTTTTTTTTTGGCAAAGTATTATTCTTTTCTCATCTTTTCATTATAGACATGTTGTTTCAACATTTCCTGAACTCAGAAATCCCCAGAAAAATATTCTTGATGGAGAGCTCTTGTGGAAATACACAAACTTAAGTATCATGGAAAAAATAGAGATAGCCAAACGACTGGGCACATCAAATGAACAGGTCAGTAGGAAAAGTCCTAATATGACTGTAAATCAGCATTAATGGTCACAATTATTAAATGAGAAGATAATTATTTTGATTCTTCTGCAACTCGTGCATTTTACTTGATGGTAAATTCTTATTTCATTTGAGTGTTGAATATTACTACATGTAAATGCCCCTTATGCCTAGGTCACATTTAAGCCGATGGCCGGGCGACTAAATTTTTCTGGTCTTGTCGGCTGAAAGAACATGATCGGCCGATACAGTATCGGGCGAAAGGGAGCAGTCACATTACTTCCTGGGAACACCGATGACTTGGATAAATAACACAAATTTTTTTTCTTTATAATTCAGCGATATTTTCCCCATAGATTTATATTCAGATAGATGATGCGAGTAATGTTTGCAAGGCAAAGTGGCAAAATCGTATAGAATTGTGACTCAATGTTGAAAATGTGTGCAAAATTTTGCATGGAATTGCATAAAAAACGACAAATGGTGCATATCTAAGCAGCAACGAATACTTAAAATTTCTTTATACCTTACGGATTAATTATTCATGTTATTTCCGTTCAAAAAAATCATACCAATCCATGCATCAAAATTTTGTTTGTGTTATGTATCCTTACTAGGTTAAATATTCACAAGTCGGCCAATCGTCGTCCGATCATAGAGCTCTGAGCTACAGTTTCATTTTAAGCATCGGCCGAAAATTTTAAACACCCTTATTGTCCAACGACGGACGACCGACTTAATAAGCTGACCGCCGATGGTCGGACGATGATCGAAGAATGGTCGACGGATAACTTCAATTGAAGGAATCGGCCACCGACGCATAAAAATTATAACTTGAATCGATGGACACAAAATTGGTCGGCCGACAAAAAAAGAGGTCAAAATTGGCCAAGACAACGGCCAATGAACTGACGACTGTCACCCGAAGAATCCCATTTTTGCTTCAAAACCCGTCGGCCGTTGGTCGTTTTTGGAAATGTGACTGGGGTTTTACTGATACATGATTTTCAAACATATTAAATCTAAATGAATAATTTAATTATTTAGATCATGGATGATTTAATGGAAATTGACCAACTCACTGCCCATTTCTGATTTCATGATTTTCAAACATATCAAATTTAAATAAATGATTTAATTATTTCAGATCATGGACGATTTAATGGAAATTGACAGACTCACTGCCCATTTCTGATTCCACAAACCCAGGATCATTCAAGTGAAAGTGACTTGAATGGACCGTCTTGCTTTGATACAAAGCACATGAACTGGTTTAAGAAGTTGAAAAGTGTTGTGATATACTTTGAATATTTTCAAACTGAAAGAGCCTAGCTCTACAATACATTCAAAGACATCAAGATATAAAGGATGGTTTTATAAAAGAAATAGGCTCTAAAAAGTCATTCATACATAAAAGCATGTACATTAGGGAATAAAGATTCCATCTTCATTTATTGTTTATGAATCATTGTCTTTGTTGAATGGTATTAAAACAACTTATAACAGAAAATGTTTTTTTTCTCTAGTTGCAAGACCCTTTCTTTTATACCAGAAGAGCTTATGCGATAGTAAAGTACTAGTATCTGTCATCTTTCTGTCTGTAGACAAATTTTCAAAATGCAAATCTTCCTACAGTTAAAAAAAAAATGGCTCACAAGCAGACTGCACTAAGATGCAGTATCCTGTTTTTCAGTTTTGGATTTCAAGGGTGTTCCATGGTTATTAAAATATTAATTTTCGTGAACTACTTGTCATACAGATTTGGTATGTTTTCAGTAAAGGAGAAAGTCCGAAAACTGTCCATTCTGTGAGAGAAAGAACTGTTCGAGGCCCGAAGGGCCGAGAATAGTTTTTTTCTCTCACAGAATGGAGAGTTTGAGGACTTTATCCTACTTAAAACATTTTCTCTTTTGTTAACTTAATATACTGTCCCAGGTGATAGTTATGTATTTACTATGAGTACGTAATAACACATTATCAAGAGAGTGAGGGGAGAAAACAATAGGGTATTGTTTAGCTTAATCGACAGTGCCAGGTAAATTTAGATTTAAATGATAGTTCCCTTGATTTCTGACCACTTCCCATGTAAAGCTTCATGAGTAAAGATGTCCTCATGGGATGAAGAAAGTAATACATATTTCTCCAAAATATATCTACAAAAATCTCTGTAGGTATACAAATTCTGAACCACCTGTTCAATAGTTACGGCCCAGGTTAAAGTTTTCTAAAAGTAGATCAAACTCTTAGGTCAAGGTCAAAGTTATTGGTATCCTAGGAAAGGCCTTGTCATAAAGATTACATATATGAAGCATGGAAGCCCTATATAAATCAATAAGTTATGACCAAGGCTAAAGTTTTTTTTTTAAAGTAGGTCAATCTATCAAGGTATCACTTGTCTACTGATTGGTCTGATATTAATAGAACATGTCATGCAAATAGACTACAAAAGAATTTTCTTTATCAGTTTTTTTATGTTGGTTAAAGAGGTTGCCATGGTTATTAAAATCAAAATTTCTTTAAAATTCTTTTAAAAGACTACATGTATCCCATTTACAGTTATTTGTCTGATTGCAATTAATCTTGAAAGAGACGAATCCACGGATCATTATACTGATTTCTGTTGCAAAGTTTCAAGTGCAGATGCCATTATTCTATTCCTCCGTCGTTAAAAGTACAATCTAGTAGAGACTCATAGTAGAGCTACAGTCCTGACAGAGACTTCTGGTTGATCTCTGACCTCGACCTTGGAGTTTGATTTGTATTTTAGAAACTTAAACCTTCGCCATAGCTGTAGGCAGCTACATGGAGGCATCCGTCGTGTTTTACAAACACATCTTTTGTTGTTGAAAACTCGAATTGACCCTTTTCGGTAGAGTCCTGTAATCTTTCGGGAAATAGTGGCAAAACTTGGATAAACTAACGTTTCAACTATTTGGATTATATACTGAGATTTATTTTAAAGGTTTTAAAATAAAAAAAATTTATTTTGAAGGTTTAACTCTCCGGTCAATATATATTTTTCGGAGAGTTCCAGTTCTGCAGCTCTACGAGACACACGACTTACCAATCGCTTTAATATTTAAAAGTACTTATATATCAAAAATAACAAAAAGTCATTTGTTGCTATGCAATTTATTAATGTTACAACGAAAAAATGTTAAAATAATTTTGAAAAGAGAAGACAACGGGGCTTTCAAACACCTCTGAATGGATGTATCAATTACAATTTACAGTTTTTTGACAGGAAACGGAAGTCCCATTCCTTTATATATAGGAATGGGCGTTTCCTGGTTGGTCGAAAGTTCCAAAAGTCGTGAAGTAATTTTGCTCTGGTAACTTGGCAGAACGATCTGTCTCGCCTACCTAGTTACCAGATAAAAAGACCAAAGAAGAATTTAGAAAAGATGAATTTTGTCAGCAATATTAGCCACAGAGCTTTTTCTCTGCTCTGTAAGCTTACATTCTGGTAAATTTTGAAGATATGTCCAAAAGAGAAGGAAAGAAATAAACTTAATGTTAAACCAAGATACTGGGTAAAATAGCTCGGGTGTCTTCTCTTTGGTTTCCAAATACAAAAATAAATAAATTAATTAATTAATTAAAAAAAAATTCTAAAATGGAAAAAAAAATTGAAACTCGGACGTCTAGATGGCAGCATTCAGTCTTCATTGCTTTTCCTACAAGTGCAAGTAATGTAAATTAATAATTTTGATGGCTTTGATGACAAGTTATATGACAGCTATACAAAAAGTTCGTGGATTATGCTTTTTTCCCTCCATTTGTTGAATGTCGGTTGATATACATGTTATCAAAAATTACTGGCCGTTTGGATAGTATTTAGAGGATATTCAACGCTTAATAGTTGAATATGGAATTTATTTCACGAGTGGGACAGGATTTTTTTGATATTTTCACGAGTGCGAAGCACGAGTGAAAATATCAAAAAATCCTGTCTCTCGACAGTTCTGGCAGATTCGCATGTTAGTATTACTGTTATTAAAATGTTATTTATTTATACATGCATGTATATACACAATTATATGTATGATTCTTAAAAATGCATTGATTTGCAAATTTTGCACATATTGAATACTTTGAATGTACATATTTAGCTGTGACCTAATTGAATTTTTGTAATTTATATGTAGGAAGAGGCCTAAAGCGTCATAAGTTTTCAGAACTTGTGCCCAATCCCTTTGTAATAAGAAATTACAATAAAATGTGTTCAAACCAAACGAAGGAGAACATAATACTAGGTAGAATATCAAGTTACAACATTTCACACTCAATCAAGGAGCACTTTTATGGGTGAAAGTAGATTTTCTTCTGTTTGCCTTGTTAAGCAATATTCATAAATCGGTAATTTAAAATAAAGCAAATTTCATTTAAAAGTGAAAATAATGAATAAATGAACAAACAAGATGGGTGATTTATAATTAGATGTTGGTTTTGGCAAGTAGATGTTCGGGGAATAATCCATATGCATCACACCTGAATATCGAGAACAAGCAAATTTTTAAGCATATGAAATGTTTGATTTCAAGCAATCGTTTGTATCAATGCATTAAAATAAAAGTTTTTTTTTAAACATTGTTCCCCTTCACTTACCCAACACAACAACACAATCTACGGAGAAAATTTCTCAGTCTCTTCATTTTCTGAAATATGTAAAAGGAACATTATTTTTTTTAAGTGGTAAACATCAGCTATTGAAAAAAAGACACCAAGTGTGAAATCCGACGTACGAGGGTTATTCAAAAAATCCGTGGACTACTGTCATATCATTTTATTTGACGTCATACACTGTATGTTATCCAAATTTGATAGAAATATTTTAACTATAAATCCAAAGGATTTTTATTATTATTTTTTTTTATACCACGTTATTTTCAAAACTTATCCAGATTTTTAAAATGCAAAAATCGGATTGCTCCATCCTGATTTTAAAAATGCAAAAATCGGATCGCGGAGCAGGTCAGAATTTAGTAAGTTACAAACAATACACTAAATAATGTCTGTAGTCATTTTCTCTGTAAAATGAAGCAAAACCGAAAAACAACCTAAACATTCAAAGAATGGAGGCGCACAAGGCGATGTCAATCCCCGCTCTGGAAAACACATTTCTCAAATCTAAAAGCTCGGAAGCCATATTTTTTTAAAATTATATTGTTTATATCATCTTTTACACATTTATTTCTGTATTTCATTGTTTTAATATTTTATTAATAATTTATTTTTTCACTCATGTTAAGATATGTGAAAACAAAAAGAAAAAGCTTCATGTATGATTCGAACTCTCTCCATAGTGCAGGGTTTGGCACAAGACTGAGGCCACAGTTTTTATATCTTTCGGTTTACGGATCCGCCGACCCGATTTTTTCAGGGTCTAGAAAATAAATATAATGGATTTTATCACTACTTTCGATAATTTTCCGGAAAATTCATGCCTGATCATCAGGGTTTTAATATTTATAATGCGTCTGAGTCCTAAACATGTATTAAATCATCTCATTCTTTCAAACGTTTCAGTGACTATAAACAGAAATGTGTAAACATGGCGGCAAGCATGTCTTTTTTCAAAGTGCAGTTAAAATGTCTTGGAGATAGCACCAGAAACTTTTCAGAGAAAATGAAAGAAGAGCAAACTATGGGAGATGCAATATTTCTTTTTCCCAAAGAGTCTTGTTTAAATCGTAATCTTCTATGATTTTTATGGAAATAAAAATAACCACCAAATATCAGCTGTTGACTGTTTCAATGACATAACTTCGCTATTTTTTCCCATTGGTAATATTTTTCTTCCAATTCAAAAATAAGGAATTAATATGTTGAAACTGGACAAAAATTGTAGAAATTGCACACAAAGACTGTGTACGTTTTTTTTAAACGAATTTCATTTCCAAAACCCAGACACATGCTAAATTTTGTGTGATAAGTGTATGAAAAAATCAATATGACCAGATAAATAGATCGTTTTCATGGTTATAGGTCCCAGATACATGACTTGTTGACATTCTACTTTATAAGTAGCTACAAGGTCATGTAATAAAAGGAAATAGGCAACAGTGTAGGGTTTCACTAAAAGAAGTAAAGATAATCTGTGACTTTGTCTTGATAATTAATATAATATAGTTTACAAGATTATGAATCTTAATCAAAGTAAATTAGTTGGTTTTTTGTAAAACAAAAAGTGAACATGTCATGTTCCCAATATTCTATGATCAACATCTTTAACATTTAAAAAGAGATTTTCTTAATGATTTCAAATAAGATCTGAAGTAAACCCTCTGCAGTAAAATCATTTTTAGTTCCTTTTATTTGATTCTCATTTACTACAAATAATTTTTCCAAATTTCAGGAAATGTTTCTAATTTTTACCAATTCAAAAGAAGGGTGGTGGTGTTTTTTGAAATTAGCGATGTTCCGTTTGAAAGAAGTTTCAAATTATTTTTATTTTTATTTTGTCACCACCCAATGGACATTTTGGTTGAAAAAATCCGTAAACCTAAAGATTAAATAACTTTGGCTTGACTGTGTTTTTTTTTCATTAAGGTAAGGTTTGCGTTAACAGGGAGATAACTCTTGCGAATCACCAAAGCGTTTGAAACAGGCAAATTTAAACTAGCGATGCTAAGCATCTCCGTGACGAATTTCCTCTGTCATACTTGATGTTTGTTGTCATTTAATGTTAGGACTAAAATCGAAGGACGTTTTCAGGAGAAAGTCTTATAACAAATCAAAGCATGGGAATCTTGGAAGCCTTTGAAATTAGCGTGATGCATGTGGATGAACCAATAACGGAGGACTTGTTTATTTTCGATACGAAACGTGGCAAGTTGCACGGCAATGCCGATCAGAAGAAAGTAATTGACGCATTGTGCTGATGTGTGTTTTTCGCTTCACCACTACACTAAAATTTTAAGTGAGAATGGGAAAGAAAAAAGAAAAGACCTTAGAGTATCCTGTAAAGTATTACATGTATGCTATATGCAGTCCGAACCGGGAAGAAAAGTCACGGTGCATTTGACCATGTCTAATGATGATGTTGACAGTTTGATTGTTGATAGTTTCATCAGGTAATTATTTAACTTTTCATTTTACTGAAAGTTATGAATAATCTACTGACTAAAAACGATGAATAAACGGTACAATGATGTCAGGATGTGACTAATATCCCAACATTGCCAAAAAAAATTTAAAAATGCATTTATTCAAGAAATTATGGAAAATAAAATCCTTGCTGTTTAGGCCTCAGAACAGGTATACAATTGTTCAAGTTACCTTTTTAAATGAGGTTTGATTTTAATTAATATCCCATTTTCTAATTAATAAAAAGAGATACAGATTGTGCATGACAAGAACATTAATTTTCTTGATCAAGCATTTGAATTTCACTAATTCAATCTGTAAATTTTACAATAATTTCATATTGATTCTTCATTCATTATATTGGAAAATTCATTTCATTGAGAAAATGAAACTCAGTGCAATTCCTCATGCTATTCAAAAAATGGAATTCCTTAAATGTTATTGTAAAAATGAACACATGTGATTTCAGATCATGGGTCATTAATTGGAATAGATAAAAACCAAAAAAGTACTTTAGTGTTTCCTAAAAAGATTTGCGCCATCAATCAAAGTAGAGGTCATCCCATATCAGCTCAAGAATATTAAAGAAAGTTGGATGGACCAAGCTAAGATGTTGAACATGTTGAACCAGACATGGCAAAATCAATGGAGATTTGGAGAAGAAGTTCTGACTTGTTATACCCAATGCATATTTATGTATGTCTATAGATTATAAAAGAAAATTTAATGTTCAACAACATCCTTATCTAGTAAATACATGCTGTTTTCCATATATTTAGAAAAGATGTGTATCATTATGCGATAATTGCAGTTCATGCTCAGCTTGTCCATCTTTGAATTTGTTTTCAGTAAAATAAATGTATACTACATAGGTATTAATTGAAGGTTGCTTTTGTCTATACTTACATGTAACAAATTTCTTAAAAGGGTTTGTAAAATTGCAAGGAAATTAATACATGAACAATTAAGATTAATATTTTTATTCATTAAATTTTGTTCTTACCAGGACCTAATATGCTCAAATAAGTATTTCTGAAAACTGACGAGTTTTGTATATAAAGCTGCAATGAACATGTATAATTATATCTACTGTAACAGTTTAAAACATGACACTTGGCAATTGTAAGGTTGTTAATTTAGTAGGAATGATAAGACCAATTTAGTAAACTAATAAAATTAATTTGTTTTCACAAATACATGTAGTTTATTTTAAAATTGTTTACATTTATGATCTTTTAAATTTTTTTCATGTATTTTGATTTAAAAAGCAGAAAATTTTGTTATATTTAAACTATTATTTCATGGATATCAAGAAAATATATCTATCACTGTAGCATTGTTTCTTTTTACCTGTTCTTTGACAAATATTTTAATCATAATGACAGTGTTATGTCATTTTGCAAAGTTTGCCTTTTCTCTGAAATCAGAAGTACTCTGTAAACTCATTATTAAAGTATGAATTGATGTCACTTAGAATTCATCTTTATTTTGTTCTTTCTGATATTTCAATTTAGATTCTAAGACTATCTAATCCAATGATTGAGCTAATGTCCATGAAGTGTAGAAATAGGCCATCTTTAAAAAATGTTTGGTTGTCGGCCTCTCCAGACCGACTGACTAAAATGACCAGACTGAAAACTTTTTTTCAATGCAGGGCAGTATTTTTTTCTTTTTATTCCTTTTATCCCCCTTAAAAAATGTTGTTGAAGATTTCCTCTCCTACTGACCCAATAATTTTACCCTGAGTCATGAGATGGCAAACAAACATTACTTTAAAGATAGCATTTCTACTCTTCCAAGTAAAGAAATAATTACTAATTATAAGTCGGTTGTAAATAAGCACATTTTAGCTGACCTAATATAAACCATTCTTTCTATAGCTCGGACACATAGTTTGGAACCAGAAATTGACTCCCAAAAAAACGACTTATAGGCGAGTATATACGGTAATTTAATTACAGAAACAGCAGCTTCGTGGATGCAATGCTTACAACATTTCACTCAAAAAATGGCATACATGTATAATGACAGTCACCAACCATAACTGAATAAAGGTATTTTGCTACAAAGATGTCTAGAAGTTACTACATGTTGGAATAACTAATCAGCATGAGGTCAAATTTATAGGCTTTTAATTAGTTTAGTTGCAACATGTTCTGAAGTATGTTTATATACATATACATGTACTTCTAAAGGTGTTGCAGTATAATTCATGGACAATTTCATCAGAATATTCAGATGTAAAGATTGCCATAAATACTAGAGTTCTTCCATGGAATAAATTTTTAGACCATCATGTAGCACAGGAAGAGTTTTATTTTGAATATTTTTGGTCAAGTTATGCCTAAAAACAATATAAAAAATAACATTAGTCTTTAACATTCACCATGACAAGGTGATATCAATGTTGTCTTTAAAATTGTAGAAAAAGCCTGATTTTTATGTTCCGAACCCATAATATAGCCCCTGTTTCCATGGAAATAATATTGGGGACATACATATTTTTTTAGTTCAAATTAATGAAAATGATCAAATTAATAACTTCATGGATTTTGATGGAATCGGTGGATATGTAAAACGTTGGTTTTTATATTTTTGTTGCCATGGCAACGGTTTCACTTTATCAAGGAAAATTGAAAAATCTTCTTTTTTACCCAAATTTTCACATTTCTGATAAAGGAAAATTAAACGTTTAAATAATAGAAGCATGAATTATACTAATTCCGGTCATTTTGATAATAAAAGTTTGATAATTTATAAAATAAATCAATTTTTTCAATGAAAATAATATTCGAGGTGAAATATGAAATACGTTAAATTTGGCGTCTTTTACTCAAAAAATGAGACGGGCAATATCTTTGAAAATCATATTAAATAATGAAGCTAATCTCCCTGAATAAATTGATATATAGCATGTGTGCATATTAAAAAAAATATTTGTTGGAGGGAGACGCAAACCTTACCTTAAAAAGTAATCACTTTGTCTATCCGTCTAAAGACTGACTGTGTTAACCACTACGCTACGAAGTATATGCGTTATCGATGTCTGTCAGTGTGATTTAAATGAACGGGTTTGTTGAAGCGTACATTTTTTTCAGAAAAGTTCGATTTTTTTATAGAATGGGTTCAGATTCCATTGTTTGAAGAAATGAAATGGATTTCACATTTACGTTTCTATCATTTAAGCGTAAACGAAAAAGAGACACTTGACCCATTCATGTTCAAAATTCATTTTTTATGGCTTTAGTAAACCCATTTCCCACTAAATGTCCTTAACTGTCAACTTTGAAAAAAAGACTGTCAAATGTTAAGTCGTTCAGTAAAATAAAATAATAAAATATTTTGAAGATGGCATTACTGAGAACATGATGTTAGAAAAATATAACTTTTCCATTAATATTGAAAATTGAGAAACATATTTTCTCAGAGCGGGGAATTGTACACCCTCTTTCTTTAGAATTGTTACATCGATTAGTGTTCCAAATTATGGAATGGTTTAGAAAATTAACTGATCTTGAGTAATTGAAAAAATATATTGATTAAAAAAAATTTCTGCTGACATTATATAATTTGAACTTCATTGTTGGAAATAATATATATCATTTGGTCATTTTATTTAACACGCTACATGGACAACCCCATTTTCCACAAAAAAATGTTAAAATGAAACGTAGTATTAATTTGGGAAAAAGATAGCTGTTGTTGCAAATAATTTGTGTTCAGTAAATTCATCTTCGCCATGATTAAAAAGAATAGAGCTTCCATGGCAATATTGTTTACACATGGTCTTTGAAAGATAGATTATCGAACGAAAGAAATTATTGGGAGATTAAAAGAAAGCAAGTCAGCAAATCTGATATGAGATTTCATTTGAATAGAAACATACCCCAACACGTTTTGGTTTCTTCTCTTCAACGTTAACATTCTCGCCATCAGTGTTGCCACCAGTGTCGCAATCAGTGTTTCCACCAGTGTTGCCACCAGTGTCGCAATCAGTGTTGCCACCAGTGTTGACATCTTTAACCCATTTGATGACGGGTGGAACCTAGATGTTGTGAAGTACATTTATTAGTTGCATAAAAAGGAAACTTCTCCTATTCTTATTTCAAAATGGGTGATGGAGGGGGTGAATTTTTAACTATTTGGCTCACTTGAGCTGAGAGGTCAATGAGCTATTCTGATCACTTTGTCTGTAGTCAGTTTGTCTAGCTGTCCGTCCGTCTGTAAACTTTTCACATTTTCGAGTTCTTCTCCATAACCACTGGGCCAATTTCAACCAAACTTGCCACAAGCATCCTTGGGTACAGGGGATTCAAGTTCGTTCAAATAATGGGTTATGCCCACATTCAAGGGGAGAAAATTAAGAAATAGTGAAAATTTGGTTGTTATGTATGTTTTAAAAATCTTCATCTTAAGAACCACTGGGTTGGGTAAGATGAAAGAAACGTGGAAGCATTCTCAGATAGTGTAGATTCAAGTTTAGTTTAAATCATGACCCCCAAGGGTAGGGTGGAGCCACAATGGACAATCAAAGTTTTACATGGGAATACTCAGTATACAGGAAAACCTTTAAACATCATCTTCTCAAGAACAACAAAGCCATGATTGACCATATTTATACGGAAGCATCCTCAGGTAGTGTAGATTCAAGTTTATTCAAATCATACTAGTAACCTCCGGGGATAGGGTGGGACCAAAATGGACGATCAAAGTTTATCTTCTTCTCTAGACAACAAATTCATTAGTGGTCATATTCATATGGAAGCAACATCAGGTAGTGTAGATTCAAATTTCTTCAAATCCTGACCCCAGAGGGTAGGGTGTGGCCATAAAGGACAAATTAAATTTAACATAGGAATGTCTAGGAAAAATCTTTTAAAAAATCTCCTCAAAAACAACAAAGCCGTGATTGATCATATTTATATAGGGAAGCATCCTCAGGTAGCGTAGATTCAAGTTTGTTCAAATCATGACCCCCAGAGCTAGGGTGGGGCAAAAATGAAAGTCACAAACTTGTATGGAAAAAAGCTATACAGTAAGTCAAAGAAATATGTAAACATCCTTGGTAGATTCATGTTAATTCAAATCATCCCCCCTTCGTCTTTTTAGTGGTAAGTTGGGACCACATGATTGATTTTTGCTTTTTCTAGCCACAGTGCTCAGGTGAGCGATGTGCCCATGGGCCTCTTGTTTTATAAACAAACCAAATTTATGCTACAAAAAAGTGGGCATGTGAACGTACATGACTATACATTACAATTACATTTTAAAATAATAATGAAGTGTTTTATATTTGAGTAAAAAGTTGGAGGGTTGCATGTTCCACACGCCGTGCTTTTTAAAATTTAGTTAAAGAAATGCTACTTTAAATGATAAATTAATACTTTTCCGGCACTCCTCCTCAAACAATGGCAACAACACAAGTACTTGATCCCTGAGCAACAATTGCACTGCAAAAAAGTTTTTAAAAGCTCACAGAACTTCCACTGAATATCTATTATTACGATATATTGAAAAAAAATTAGTCTTTCGGGTTTTCTTTGTTAACACAAAATATTTTTTTATCGATTTTGCACAATGCAGGCTTTTTAATGCATTGAATATGATATTGAAATATAAGATAATCTTGTGAGTTTTGGATTTAATTTAATTGTTAACGCAAAATTTTCATCGATTATGCACAATGCCATACTTGTATATATGTGTCCGGACCTTCTGACCAGTCCGACCCGGAATCGGAAATTTCTTCCTCCGAGCCGGACCGGAAGACCCCGTACCGTCTATCGTCCGTACTCACTCGGAACACCTTGTTTTCCTGTGATGTAAAATATAGTTTGCATTTGATGATAGATTTGAAATTCATCAGAATTTTTTTCTTTAAAAATTTGAATAATTTCACATACATTTATAGTTCCAATCTTTGGGCTAAATCTGAAGGGGGCCCTGTGTTCATCTGCCCTCTTCGAGTTGAAAGGCTACAAAAAACAAAAATCCACATTAATATTAAATAACAAAGTTCCCAAATGAAAGTATTTGGAACCAATTTTTTTTTAAATCGTATATGAGATTTTTTAGAATAAATTCACGAAAGGCAATAATTTTATAATGCTCTGCATCTTTGGAAAATGTTTTAATATCTTTAGAAAAGCAGGAAGGTCATTAATCGACAAAGGTAACAGATAACTAAAGCGGATCCAGGACCGGCGCGCCGGGCATGCCCCCCCCCCCCCCCCGTTTGAAATTTTTGTATGTAAAACTTACATGTCAATTATCTTAAAATGAAGGAAAAATCATCTCTTATTTGTATACGAATTTTTCAGCTTCACCCTAGGACCCCCACCACGGCCTTGTCTTAGACCCACTGGGGGCTTCAGTGCAGCACCAGACCCCCTACCTTCTACTCCCCTTACAAAATCCCTGGTTCCGTCACAAGATAATACATATAAAGCGTATCATTTCGTACTAAAAAATTTCCCACCTACTGGATGTTAACCTGTAGCTAGTCAGTTTAATCATTGAAAGTACTTGACTTGTCAAATGCGTGTTCATGTTTGATGATAATTGGTTGTTATGAATTTAAAATTACATGTAATTATATTCATATTCCTAATGTACTACTAAAATTATATCGTTAAACTCTTGATACCCATGTTTGTCGATATATTCGTACATGCAAGACTAAAATGCCCCCCTTCATCTCCTTCTCACCGGCAAAAGCTTAAACCAGAAGTCTCTGTCGAGACTGTAGCTCTACTGATTTGTACTTATAATAAAGGAAGAGAAAAGTAGCAGTTGGGACTTAAAATTTTACAAAAGCAATAAATAGAATAATGATCCTTGAGTATACGTCTCTTTCTGTGACAAGATGACAAGACTGCAATAAGACTACAACTGTAAGAGTAGCTTTTAATAAAACTTTACAGAATTTTCAATTTTAGTTACCATGGCAACATCAATCATCAAAATCAAAAACACAAAACTCATAATTATGCTTTTAATAAAACTTTACAGAATTTTCAATTTTAGTTACCATGGCAACATCAATCATCAAAATCAAAAACACAAAACTCATAATTATGTAACTCAGTGTAGTCTACTCGCATGCCAAATTATATCATAATCAGATTAAAACTATTTTTGGAGTATCATTTTGAAAGTATTTCACAGATATTTCTACTTTTAGAAACCACAGCAACATCTTTCATTTAAATCAAAAACTGATAAACAGAATTATGTATTTTAGTGTAGTCTACTTGTGTGCCATGTTATATTAAAATCAGACCAAAACTGTAGGAGGAGTAAGCATTTTAAAAGTATTTCACAGAATTTTCTATTTTTAGTAACCACAGCAACACCTTTCATCGAAATCAAAAAACCTATAAATAGAATTATGTATCTTAGTTTAATCTACTTGTGAGCCAAGTTATTTTGAAATCAGACCAAAACTGTAGGAGGAGTAGCATTTTGAAAAAAAATGTTTACATACAGACGGACAGCTAGACGGACGGACGACGGACGCATTACTACATGTATCGCATAAGCTTCTGATCTGAGCTTTGACCAGTAGAGCTAAAAAAAAAACTTTGTACAAAGAGTTCGTTCGATTCTTGAAATACATGTAAGGAATTCTTGTGCTGATTTCTTTTCCATGGTTAGTTTCAATAATTCATTTAAGTGTCTTTAATGTACTCTTTGATTTCGAAGAAAATTTATTATAATGCATTTTCACGTTACGGCTAATTAAGGAATATACTGAATATTGGACAAATACAGGGTACAAGTACATAATATTATTATCCTTTCTCAGCAGAGTTGATCGTTAATTTCTTCTGTCAATCTATGGCTTTGACTCAGCCTTGGAATACAAAGCCACTTTGGTGTCCAAAAAGTTTAACCCCCCCCTTTCCCTCCTAAAAAATAGTAGGCAGAAGACAGAAATATATACTTTAGATGTATAAGGATCACCTAAGTATTCCGAATTCATAAGGCACATATTTAAAAATACTCTCCATTATTTTCTTGAAAAATGCTAAATAGGATGGATATGGTTCATACACTGTTATGACTATAATCTAAGTATATATACAATCTCTAACTATCAAATACAAAAACCTTTTCCTCTTTTATTCTGTTTTTGACCGTTGCCAGTAGTTGTCTTCCGGTTGTGATATTCTCCTCGGGAACTACAGCTTCTTCCTCGGAACTTAAAGTCTCATCGCTAAGATCTTCAGGCTTAAAAGAAAAACAAGACATTGTCAAAGTGATTACTGTATACCGGGTTAATTTTGCCTCGTGTTATTTTCGCCCTTTCACACTTGCGCAAACAATTTTGTCCATATTTAAATTCGCCCAGTCAAAATTTGTTTAAGAAATTATACTGTATTCTTTGAATTGATTATTCGTCCAGTTTCAAGTTTGCCCAAATGTGGTTATAGGGCGAAAGGGGCGAAAATAAAACAGGCCGAAATTTTCCCTGTATACATATTTGAAATCATTTTAGATTCATTATCTATGAAAACATTTCATCTCCATGTTTAATTTCGCCATCTCCCTTATATCTCTAAATACGCTGTCTATCTGTTTGCATTAGCTTAAAATTTAGTGATATATTACGAGATATATACATATAACAAATTACTATCCCTGAAATATCACTGATCATTTTTACTATTTCAAGGCGGAAAGTCAGAAACAATATATTTATTAGTGAATTCTTGACAACTCACAGATGCTTGTTGATCACCCTTTTTGAATACACACCTCTGATCTAAGGAAACTAAGGATTATTTTATTTGTCACTTCTTTCAAAAATAAATCCTCTAGATAGTAGTACATATTTTTACAATGTATTCCACATGGAAAAAAGAAGAAAGGTTTATTTTAAAACCATACCCGCGGTATGACATATATTTTTAATAGGGTAACGCTGCCAAAGATATTAATTTTTAGGGCATCAGCCTTCTCCCCGATTTTAGCCCACTCTCTACTGTAGCAACATGATAGCTCTCTGGTTGTCTATCCCATTTTTTGTGTATGAATGTGGATCGTTTAATGTAAAATACGTTACCGGAATATATGCTGTGTAGTCCCGTACGTACGGGCGCTCCTCTTCTGGGGTCATTGGGACTTTGAACCTGACTTTTTTGGTTCCACATTTCAGGGGAAAGATAATGGATTTCCTTGATGCCTATGAATAAAGCCAAACATATATAATAAGGAATACTTTAAAATATTGACTACACTTTTGCCATTTCGGCACCATTCCCCAAGTCCAAAGGAGAAGTTGGTACACGTGTATGAAACTGCACGGGATGAAACTATTACTACCAACTGCTTAAGTTAACCCAAAACTTGATTATTACAATGCAAACAAGGCACATGTACATGTATATCCAAACTTTCCATTACATTTTAAAAAAATTGTGAGGCATGCATTTCAAATGATGTATAAAATTGAGTAATTTTTCACAAGTTCATCTAATAAAAGCGCAAAAACGTCGAAATAAAGATATATTAATTAAGTATTTTTTGAAATCATTTAATACAATTTGAATGAAGTGACCCAAAGTCCGTACAGTGGTGTTTCATCTGGGACTGCTTTCCAAATCCCCATTATGAAATAGAGCCTAAACTCATTCCGAAGCTTGCACGCATCCTGTGACTGAAAACTTTCTTACATTGTATTTCCTTTTATTTTCTTAAGTTCATGTGTATTCAGTAAGTGGTTATATTCACAAAGTCCAGTCATTGCTGAGAAGAAAAGAAATTAAACAAAATCCTGATTTACTCACCATTTCTGTATTTTCAGCACAAGATTACAGTACTGCTCTGTCTTATTGATAAACAAAAGTAATTGTGACGTCATAGTAATTTAAGAACGTCATAATGTTTGACCTTGTCTTAGTGAGGGTGAAATACCACAGTTAATTAAACTCATGCAAATTATTAGCATACAGATACATTATTTAATTTTCCCAAAAGTTGTTAGCAATTTATCTATTTTCAATTCTCAGAAAAGTACAGAATACATTTTAAGGGGAAATCATAAAAGTTAGCATTGGATATATTTACACGTATATGATGCAATCTTGCTACATTTTTCGAACGGTAAAAGGTGAAAGATGCATAATATTTATCTTATCGAGTTGCTTTACTGTATTTGATACTAGATAAAATCCCGCGGGAAATTAATTTATAGTTACAACTACCGACAGAAAATATATTGCTCTTTCTACTGAAAGTCTTTAGCTTATAGAAGGAATACTTGGGTCAAAATCCCTCATAAATCCGCCCCCCCCCCCCAAAAAAAATACTATTTGTTTCCTGTCACCCGATCTACCCTACATTTTACCCTCCGACCCTAAAAGTTTTTTTTTTTTTAATTTTCATTTTTTTGGTGGCTATTTTCTTGAAATACTTTAGTCGACCAACAATATTTTCAGATCTAATACATCACAAGTGTACAGGATACCTTTACTTTAAAAAATCTTTAACAAACGTTTTTACTTTTTTAGTAAACTGTTAACATACAGTTTTCTTGTTATTACATGCTATAAAAATAATTTTTTTTCTCTCAAAATAATTTTCCCCTTCCCTACCTACCCTTTTTTTTTTGGGGGGGGGGGGTCAGGGGACAGGAAACAACAGTATATTTTCTTTGGGCCTAAAGTAGATGCACATCTCTCATTAGTTGAAGGCGAAAGGGATATATTTTAATCACTTTTTGTAATCATTTGTGTATGTTCTTCATCATATTAAAGATTGAAAACATCGTGACAAAGACTTCTGAAAAATATTTACAAATGTAGGGTGTAAAATTGACAACAACAAAATTGAACTAATTTGCCCATTTTCTTTTCAATGTGGACTTATCTTTTATGTCAGTTGAATAAAAAAGAAATTATTCTTGAGACTGAAATAATGCTTGATATTGTTCAGTTAATAAAGTCTATAAACGACGATGTTTGAAGATCGAAGTTGTTTTGTGATTTTTCATATTCTCCTCTTGACAAGTGCCCCTAAATATAATTGAAAAAGTGTAGTTGCACATAGTTTTACATCGATGATTTTTTTTTTTATGAGCAAATGCTGTAAAGTAGGATGTCTTTTTATTTATTTATTTTGCTTTGAAAATAGCCTGAAATAAAAATGAGTCAACTATTTCAAATTTGAATATCTTGACGTGCTTTCCTTGCATGGGCGTTTTTAAATATAATTGTGAAAGATTTTTCTTAAATGTGAAATTTTGCTTCCGGCCGCTTTGATGCTTTGCATCAATTCTACTTGTTAATGCCGGTCTTTTGTTTCAGGAAAAATATTTTGAAGGGCGATAACAGAAAGATAACTCTTGTTGAATGATGCATATTATTTTACAAGCACAGAAAACAATTTTTAAATATTCTGATTTAAAAAGCAACGTTTCAATCTTTTCTAATGAGAATTAGACAGGTATGAATGTAAATATTATTTCTTTATATACCTCATATTTCTAATTTTACTGTGAGATAAAAAATAATTAATCTTTTTATTTACCATATAAAATTTTCTTCACATCATGTTTTGACATATTCATTTCTGAAAAAGTAAGCAACGCTTCATACTTTAAACTATTTTCCATATGAATTTAATCCTATAATTGTTTATGAAAATCAGTGTTTGGAATTTAAAACAAAAAATCGTGAAATTTGGAGCAGAGGGATATTGCTCCTTAAGCACTGAGCTCACTAAATGATACCCCCGTCTCTCCTCTAATTATAATGGCGAAGTCCATGCTCTGCTCTGGGAGACCCGAAATAAGTGTCAGATCAAAAAGTAAAATAGGGGGTGCACAATGGCATCGGCATTATGTACAAAAGAATCTGTGAAAGTTAAAGCATCATTAAAATTTATTCTGTTCATGTATAGACTGGAACCCCAAAACCTAACAGTCGGACGGACGTACTCACAGACGGAAGGACGGACATCCCGATCATTATAAACCCTCCCACTTTTCAAGCGGCGGGTATAATTATACATGTATACCCTGCCACTTTTCAAGAGGGGGACATAAAAAGGTGATGCATTAAGTCCTGTTACTTGAGAATTTATCAAATAAATATGGAGACATACATGTACATATTCTTTGTTTTGCAATTTTAATTAGAAGAGAAAGGATGGAAGCCATTCAAAAGTCTCAAATATTGTTATTATTTAATTTTTAAAAATGAAAATCTCTTTATAAATAACTTTCATCCGCGATAATTTTTATTTATAATCTCGCAAAAATTAGGTTTCGCGAAAATATGGTTATATGTATCTACAGTGATCGTACAGTTGTAAAGAATACAACTTTTATATAATATATATATATTTTATATTTATTTAAATAATTAAAGCAGTCAACTTACCATATCTTCAATATGGATTGTGACGTCACCATAGAGATGTTAAACTGCGCCCTCTTCTGGAGCTAAAAGAAGGGGGGAAATTCCATCCTTTTCCAGTTTATGTGTCTTGTTACTTGGAAATGAGACCTGAACCAAAAACATTAACCTCTTCACTCATGCAGAAAATGTAGGTCAGCTTCAGCATCCGAAGCAAGCCTGGTAGTGTGCATCCTTAGATGAACATCATCCATGCAAGTTTGGTCAACATAGGGCTTATAGCTACTTGGAAAAGAGACCTGCACCAAAAACTGCACCAAAAATGTTAACTTTCTCCAAAAAACATTAACCTGGTCATTCCTTTGCTGATATTGCAGCATCTGAAACTTTGACTGGTACAATAAAACACACTAGAAGCATCTTCCATGCATGTCTAATCAATATAGGACATAGATAAAAGGAAATCTGCTCCAAAAAACTTCACCTTAACCTGGGACGCCGACACCGATGCCAACACTGAGAGTATTACATAAGCTCCCCCAAGTTCATTGAGGTGAGCTAAAAAATGAATCCTTAAAAGTTCAATTACTAGATAATTTTATATTAAATTAAATCAATTTTGATATTTAACACCTCTGAACAGTAAACATGGTAAAAAGTCAAAACATACAAATATACATAAATCTCAAAAAAAATATATATAAATTCTGTGTTTCATGTACATATATTTAGTTTTCTTCAACTTACAACCTTTTGGGAAAAAAGATACTAGTATTGATCCCAGTGGTGGAGAGAAATAATTATATTTATGGTAAACATGGTACACATCATGGTAAATAAGTTTACAATATTTGAGGACAAGTCATACATTAAATTCATGATTAATTTACAATATTTGAGGTCAAGCTGCACATTTAAAATTCACAAATGAATATAATACATTTGAGGACAAGTCATACATTTCAATATACACATGTACATGTATATATAAATATCTAAAGACAAGTCATTTGAGTGTATTTGTACATGTAAAATTAATTTCTTCTCATTTATGGGCAAATTAAGTATTTATACAGAGATAATAGAGATCACATAGAACATGTAATTCTTTTCCAATTAAAACTTGTTGCCAGCGAGTGCCATCATCCATTTAGGGAGCCGGATCCAGTTTGGCAGGAGCCCTGCACCAGGAAACTGGTTTACTTGGCGCATGCTTGGAATTGTCCGACCTGAAAGCATAGAAATTTATTAAGGTTATTTAAACAATAAAATGCTTTCTTTGGTTGTTATTACGGGAATGAATGTCACAGTTGTTGCAGAAAAAATACATAACAGGCGTAAGCGGGTTATATCATTTTTTTTTCTGCAATAAGTTAACTGCGACATTCATTCCCGTATTAACAACCAAAGAAAGACATTTTATTGTTTATATTTTTATCTATTTAAATAATCTTTTAAAGTTTGGTTAAAGGTTTAATTATTGAATTAATGATGCGAACGTCTTTGTACGTATTATTGATGGAACAGCCACTGATCACGAAATCTGTACAGGTGACATGCATAGTGTAGTTCATGCACTGATTAACGCAATGGGTTTTCTTAACAAATAAAGGGGGAAATATTCAGTGGATGTAAATATACATGTATAATGTATTTTATACCAGTCAATTATACATGTATATCCTCATTTCCCTAGCAAACAAACACAACTACATAGTCTGAAAATAAATTAATGCTTTGAAATCTATTCTTATGGTATTAGTCAACCATTAACGATGAAATAAAATTTATATTAAATTTCCAAAATTTTGTAATATGTGGCCCAAGGGTCAGTTGTTCCTGTGGGGTGGGGTGCACAATTGGTTATAAAGTGGGAATAAATTTTCTCTCTGTTACTCTGAGCTACCTCTGGGTTTTACGTAACCAAAGTAAGCATGCTAAGTGTATATTTATGATAAGCTATGGTGCCTCTTTCAAAATTGTGAATTTCATGGCCTCTAGTTTAAAAAACGAACCAAATTCAATTTTTGGAAAGTTGTTACATGATACTCAGGTGACCTACATGTATAAGGCCTGTGGGCCTCTTGTTAAAGTTACTTTTTACTGTTATTATTTACAATGCAATGAGGCATGGAAATCACGTGTACATACCATCAATGTCCGTTATTCCATATTCCCTGGCTAGCTCTGCTGTCATTAAAATATGTCCAGATTTTGTCATAATATTTGGGTCTGCAATTTAGATTTACAAAGAATTGATTTATACAGTTGACCTTTCTATGTATACTCCACATATAAAGGTCATAGTTATTTTAGAGAATTATTATGGTACATTTATTTCATCATTTCAACAGATAACTCAAAAGATGGAGAGTAAAATTGTGTTTGCATAACATAATTAAAATTGTTCCTTATTAAACCATTATTGTAACTACTGTAGATCCCTAAATATTCAGGACACCTTATTTTGGCGAGATTGCCATCAACTCTTTATTAGCAAGACAAAATTTTCACATTGTGGTTTTTGCTCAATATAATCTTAAGGAATGCTATTATATGCCAGAATGAAATTTTCGTGAGCAAACTTTCTCACATAATTACGCGAAAATAAAGTTCTCGCGAATATAAAGTGATTTACAGTAATGTGTATATAAAAATTTACGAAAGTATTGACAAACCTTGTGCTAGGTGGACAATACATTTCCCAGCAAACTCAGTAGACTCCGCATTTTGTAACATTTCCTTCATCTTATTTTTATCAATTTTGATCTGAAAGACAATTTTTTGAGATAAAAATTCTTTGAACAGAAAAATAAACTTTTTTGAAAAATTTCATGTTACTTAGAAACCATTTAAATACATGTATAAGCATTGTTTCGTAACAATAGATTCTAATAGGAACTTAAAAATTGTCTTTTTCCATAATTTGAAAGTATGGAACCAGAGCTGGGGTTTTGTCCTACATTCTATACTCTACCTTAAAAAACATGACTGTTCAGGATAAAAAACAAACATGATGATTGTGCTACTATTGAGACTAGTGCAGTTTTGCGTTACTGGATACCTTTTTTATCAGAATCTGCCTTATTAAACAACATAAGGCATTTTGAGACATGACATTGTATGTTACTTTCTTTTCCATAACAAAGTCTTTACAGAACAAATCATGAAGGTTAAATCAACTACTGTTTAGCAATGAAATGCATCTGCACTGGAATATGGTTACTATAGAAAACAAATCAGATCAATATGCACATTCAATCTGAATTTTCTTTTTGTCCAGGCATTACTTGAAGAGCTCACAGCGACCCTTTGTGCCTCCTGCTGCACTCACTAATATGGACTGTTTAGAAGGAAGCCATCACAAATTGTCACATCTGAGAGGGGCTTCACCTTCAAACACAAGCACTCTGGTTGACAATCCCCAGATCTTTTAAAATACTGTCTACAGGGAAAATCCCCCATGTTTGTGTTTGCCCTACTTACAGGTGAGCAATTTTAAAATGGAGTGAATTCAAAGAACACAATATAATTTCTTAAATAGTACTGTAACCATTGTCTCAAGCCATGGTCCGGAGTTGGCATATATATCGCTCTCTCCTACCCATAGCTGCTTGATCACAAAAAGTGTTGTAATCTTGAATATTTACGCCTCTCTATTGTGACGTCATATTCAGTCAATGACAAGTTTTGTTTCCATCGCAATTGAAATCAACAATTTACATCAGCAGTATACAACAAATATTTCGTACACTGCGATTGGGTATTGAAAGGTCACATCAAAGTTCTTTATCCGACTATATGCTTTACTCACATTGGTCAATATTTTAATGAACTATGAGAAATTCTCTTCTCATTCAACCATGGCCAGAGTGGGAGAGGATTGTACATTTTGGCTGTGGTTTGCAACGATGTACTGTAACTTGGAGAATTTAAAAGGGGCGAAATTGTTTGCAAGACTGAATGCTAGGGCAAAAATAACCATGTATACAGTATTTGTGCTGCCTCTCTTCTAAACAGTTTATACATTTACTTGCAGAATATAGACATACTTACTGGGGAATCAGGTCCTGCTGCCTTTTCCAGTGTCTTCTCATCCAATTTTTCAGAGTTACTCAGCATGTGTTCTGTTTTCACTATACCTGGCCATAAGCTGACAAAAGCCACATTGTGTTTCTTCAACTCCATGGCACAATCAGCTGCCATTCTATCACACTGTAAAAAATCATTATTCAATTTTCATAAATCATTTTAATTGAATGGTTGGTTTATGGAGATCAACAAGTATATTACTCAGTTTCTGCACATTTCAATTTTTGGTAATTTGTCAATGATTTGAATAAAAAATGTTGTTTTAAGCTCAATATCCTGAACAAAATCAGAACTTCTACACCTCTTAAAAAATGTTTTATAAGTATCTAATCTAAGCTGATATATAAAAGAAATTACGGCTTCTTTTCCAATGCCGTAGGGTACATTGAACAAATATCTCAGTCCTCCCACAGATGAAATGTTGACAATCAACCCCTGCTTTCGCGGCACCATGAGGCGGGCAGCATGAACAGCACACAGATAATGGTTCCTAAATTTAAATATGAATTACTTTTAATTAATTTAATCTATTGAAACAATTTTTTTTTTTTAAATACTTCTTTTATAATATAAACAAATCCAATAGCAAGATCTTTGCATGTACAGTATAGTAGGAATTATCCATTACATCAAATTGAGAGCCTATTAACATATTGTTACAGTAACTCTGATAACCGTATACCGGTAAGTGGAAATTTTAGCGAGATGCAAATTCAGTGATTTATCACTAAAAACTGGTACAGTGTATTTTATTTTTAGCGAGATATAATTTAAAAATGCTTACTTAAGAATCTATTACAAATAAAAAGCAATCAATTTTTAGCGATATTCAATTTTACAATCTCAGCACCATCGCTAATAATGCCAAAATTAAATCCTTGCTAAAAATTCTGCTTATAGGGTATGTACCTTAATCCTACGTTGTTCACTGTGTCCCACATGTTCATTGGTTGCTCCCAGTATGGCACTCCTATATTTTTCATAATGGCCTGCAAGAATATAAATAGTTCTGATAATAACTTAATGAGAAAAAAGAAATCTCCCATGTTGTTCTCATATATTGCTTTTATAATAATTGAAATTATTACATATATATACGTATGCTTTTGTGGATAGGAGGATTTTTTAAAAGGAACTTTTCTATAAAAAATCTAATATACACTTTACATGGACAACCAAGCTTCTTTCAGCTGAGAAGGCAAGAAGTGATAGATGAGTAAACCCCAAGTGTACTATCTATGACAGCTGATCAAGAGAAAAGTGTACATGTACTCACTTAAACAGCCCTGAGTAAACAGGAAGTGAACTCTCTGTAAAAGCCAAGTGAGCAAGAAGTATACTCGCAAAGACAGCAGACTGGGCAAGAAGTTTACTCACCCTGACAATTCATTAAGCAAGAATTGTACTCAATGTGACAGCTGAGTTTGCAGGGTTTACTCATTGTATCAACTGAGTAAGCAAGATGTACTCAATATGACAGCTGAATAAAGCAGGGTAAACTCACTGTGACAACTAAGTAAGCAGGATATACTAACTGTGACAGCTGAGTGAGCAGGGTATACTCACTGTGATAGCTGAGTAAGCAGCGTGTACATGTACTAACTGTGAAAGCCGAGTAAGCAGGGTATACTCACTGTGACAGCCAAGTAAGCATGGTGCTCTCATAGTAACAGCTGAGTAAGCTGGGTGTACTCACTTTGACAGCTGAGTTAGCATGCGTCTAATCACTGTATCAGCTGAGTAAGCAGGGGTACTCACTGTGACTGAGTACGCAGGGTGTAATCACTGTAACAGCTCAGTAAGCAGGGTGTACTCACTGTGACAGCTAAGTAAGCAGGGTGTAATCACTGTAACAACTGAGTAAGCAGGGTGTACTAACTGTGACAGCTGAGTAAGCAGGATGAACTCACTGTGACACCAGAGTAAGAAGAGTAAACTCACTGTAACAGCTGAGTAAGCAAGGCGTACTCACTGTAACACCTGAGTAAGCAGGATATACTCACTGTGACAGCTGAGTAAGCATGGAGTATTCACTATGACATCTGAGTAAGCAGGGTGTACTCACTGTGACAGCTGAGTAAGCAGTGTATACTCACTGTGACAGCTGAGTAAGCTTGGTGTACTCACTGTGACAGCTGAGTAAGCTTGGTGTACTCACTGTGACAGCTGAGTAAGCATTGTTGACCAGTAGGTCCAGCTGTCCACTCTGTTCAGACTTGAGCCTCTGGAACAGATTCTCCACATCTTCGTCCTTGCTGTGGTCACACTGAACTGGAATACATTTACCTCCCCTGCTTTCAATCTAAAAACAACATTGTAGCTGCAAGGTTAGACATAGACAACAGCTCTGTTGATATATCTAGGTACAATAAACATGATAACCAATCTAATTTACATCAGAATTTTGATTCACTCCCAAATTCTTGTACATGTAGTTTCATTATGTCTATCAAAATTTTTTTAAAGAATTAAAAGATCTGGTTAAATCATATTGATTTGACTATATAATTTTTATGATACTTTAAAAAAAGTTACAAGCAGAGGTATCGTAACATTTAAACATATTCATTTTTGAACACTGTAGAACATTGGTAAAACTAGAAAACTGACTAGTCAGCAAGGGCCCCGCTGAGGGGTAGAAATATAAGGGTGCAGCTCATTGAATGAGAGTTTTACTTGATTACATTTTTTTTTAAATATATGAAGATTATAAGTAACAACTGTATTTTTAAAATTTCAAGATAATTCCTGAATGTCCAAAAACCTGTAAATAGTAACCTTGTATTTACATAAAACACGGAAAACCTCTTGTCTTATAAAAAAAAAATAAATTAAATGTGTATTTAAAAAAGATTTAAGCAGGTGTTTTATAAAATGCAATCCTTCAGTGAATGCAAATATCACCCAGGGTTGACCTCAACTTCAAAACAAACATCAGTTGCAGACAAAAGTGTTCATTAATCTTCATGTGACAGATAAAGATAAGCCTCTAAATTTTCTGCAGCAAGCAAGATAATTAATCCCAGGGGATTAATTGTACTGCTCTCTCATCCTTTTCTTCTAAATTTACAATAAAAACTTTTTTCAGCACTGACAGAATGGGGTTATTATCTGATTACCTGTTAAAATTAACAGCATTAAGGCAGCCAAAAAAAATACCGGTAATTAAAAAAATAAAATAGTTATAATAAATAAAGATATCTTAATATACAATATATATATCTTGATTTTAGAATTCAATAAAATTATCATAAATCATTGTATACGGTATTTTAACCAAAATAAAGTATGAACATTATTTCAAATCCATATTTCAGAGAATGTACACTTCATTCAAAATTGACCTTAACTTCAAAACAAAGTTCATTTGCAGACAGAGGCGGTACAGTAATTAATCTCAATGTGACAGATAAAGATAATGCTTAAGATTTTCTTCATGTGGATGGTTAATTAATCCCAAAGGACAATTGCACAGCCTTCCCAGTTTACAATGGCAACATTCTCAGGAGTTACCTCTCTTTGCCCATTCACTATTATGCATAGTTAAGGCATCTACCCCACCACCCCAGCTCCAAACCAGAAGACATAGAGAACCAAACTTAGCATCAAAATATGTATTTCTGCCTACTGAACAACCATACCAAATTTGAACTTGATTGGTCAACCATAAAAAAAGTTATTAGAAAAAAACAGAAAATTTGTGGACGCCGACACATGATTTTGTTACGCAACATCTTCTTTTTCTGTTTATTCACACACACACAAATAAGAATACGACAGACGGACAGACGGACAGACAGAGTGATTACTATAGGGCACCCGCAAATCCTTGCGGGGCCCTAATAACATTCAACAAAAAAGTGTTCTAGAGTCTGCATGTCGTTATTTAGTACTTAGTACTTTTGTCCATAAACAAGAGGACTACTTACTTCTTTTGCTGTGTCTGTCAGACAACTTCCCACCGACTCTTCACCTGGGGGTAATGTTAATGTTCTGCCTGCATAAAAAGTTACAGAGTCTTAATTCAGTAGTAAATAAGAAGTCTTTCAAAATGTGAAATCTTACATCCACTTCAATTAGAGCTTTTAGAGAATCCACATGAATGTGTGGCATAAATTGTAACATAAAATCCCACTTAAAGAGCTTTTCTTTCAGTAAAGTATATGCATGTCTACATGTATATATGGTTTAAGATACCTGTGATGTAAACTGTGGCCCCTGCCTCCCCGAGCTGTAAAGCAATGCCGTGACCAATGCCAAAAATACAGTCGAGTGACCCGGAATTGGAGACGACCCGGAATTGGCTTAGACTAGTAGATGCACCAATGACCTTTTTCAATGACCAAGGGAAATTTCTCCAAAGAGAAATCCGCGTGGCCCCAGTAACTAGACACACTTTGCCTTTAAGTGACATTGTATTTGACCTTCAAGAAAAAGAATAATAAAACATTTTCAGGACTAACCAACATGAATAATGAAATTTAAGTATCAATTACACGATGTAGAGGCGACTTTTACAACTTTTTTAACAGTGATAAAATATCTTTAAAAGATGCTATAGCTACCTTTCAGTAATTGAGACGTTTATTAAAACAAATGAACAAGAATTAGTTAAAATTTTTATCGGCAACTCTAGCGCTAACTCAAATGTCGTTTTCACGTGATATTGCAGTTAGCCGACACATGATTTTGTTACGCAACATCTTCTTTATCTGTTTATTCAATCACACACACACAAATTCATATAATATCATAAACATTTATACACTTACTTTAAAAGCTGTACTCAATATGAAATCAAATATTAGGCAGATTTACAATACTTCGTACATTTAGATTTTACTTTACATGGATAGCTATTGGCATGTGCAAGAGGTGGGAAACTTCCGAGAGACACGCAAGATTTAAAAACGAAAGTATAATTTTTTCGGTACATTTCGGAATGTTTCCTATGTATCCACAGCCATGACAACGACATGCACAGCTGAGTTTTTTGATGCTCTGACTAATAAAGATCACGACAAGGTAAACCGGTTAAACTGTAGTATTTTTTGCTATGTTAAGGTTTTCTCTGTACATTACACGAAAAAAGTCAAGTGATGTGTTGATGTCATTAACCCCCCTTTTCTCATTGATAATCCGTTCATGATCAGGTCCTGGAAAATTACTATTATTTAGCTATACATGTATAGATTAATTTACCTATATAGCTTTATTTACCTATATAATATAGTTTTATTTAGCTATTTTAGAACAAATTTCTGTTTTATGAAAATTAACTCAAAGCAGACAAAAAGTCACATGAAAATTATGGCTGATATTTAAAAAAAAAAAAGAAAAATACTGGGGAAAAATTTCAAACATCATAGACTGCTATGGAATCAAATGATTAAGGTCTATATCTAAACGAATTATTAAAGTAATAAAGATCTATATCATTTCAATACAATCTAGTTATATGATTATACTAAAAGCTACATGCTACATTCTCTTTATAGAAGTGGACAGGCTTTCACCTACATCAATGGATCATTGGATGTAGACAAAGTTCTATCTATGGCATGCCAAATTCACAAAAAGTAGCTAAACATAGTTTCACAGTTGATAAACTAGGTTTATCAACTGTAAACTATATAGTTTACAAACTGTGAACTATAGATAACAATTCGTTAATTATAGTTTTCATCTGTAAAACTATATTTAATGGTTGTTAACTATTGTTTACAAATGCTAATCTAAATTTATCTGTATGAATAATATGTTAACCATAGATTTTGTAGGTAAACTTAGATTCACGTCTGTAAACTATAATTTACAATCCTGAACAACAGTTAAGAGTTGTTAATCAGCATAGTTTCACAAATCGTAAAACTATATCAGATAGTTAGCTATAGTTAAGTATGGCACGCCAAATTCACAAAAATGAGATAATCATAGTTTCACAATCGATAAACTAGGGTTATCGGTTGTAAACTATAGTTTACAAACCGTAAACTATAGTTAACAACGTAAATCTATATTTCACATCTGTAAACCATAGTTAACACGATAATCTATGTTTCGCAACCGTAAACTATACTTAACGCCGAAAACAATCATTTGCGATTGCAAAACATAGATTATCTGATAAGTACAGTTTCACGATTTGTAAACTATAGTTTACAAACCGTTAACTATAGTTAACGATCTGATAAATATAGTTTCACAATTTGTGAAACTGATTAACAACTCTTAACTATAGTTTACGATTGTAAACTATAGTTTACAAACGTGAATCTATGTTTATCAACAAAATCTATTGTTAACGCTTTATTACAGACAGATAAACTAAAATTAACATTCGTAAACTATAGTTAACAACCATTAAATATAGTTTTACAGATGAAAACTATACTTAACGAATCGTTAACTATAGTTTACGGTTTGTGAACTATAGTTTACAGTCGATAAACCTAGTTTATCAATTGTGAAACTATGATTATCTCATTTTTGTGAATTTAGCGTGCCATAGTTAAGAGTTGTAAACCATAGTTTACAAATTGTGAAACTGTATTTATCAGATATCTATGTTATACAATCACAAATGATTGTTTTCAGTGTTCAGTATAGTTTAAGGTTCTGAAACATAGATTATCGCATTAACTATGGTTTACAGATGTAAAATATAGATTAACGTCGTTAACTATAGTTTACAACCAATAAACCTAGTTATCGCCTGTGAAACTGTGATTAGCTCATTTTAAGTTGTGAATTTGGTGTTCCATATCTATATATCCACTTCTCTAAAGGGAATACATGTACATCTACGCCTATCTATGTAATACATTATATGAATAAATGTATTAACTACAAATTTTGATTAAAAATACACAGTATATTGCCAACCCCCCTAACTCCGGATACATCAGTACTCTGCACTGTTTGCAAACTTGAGTCCAAAACATCTGTTGTTTTTTGGGCTTATATTTTTCACCATTTTAACATATGTTTAATATTTTTTGTACCAGGACATAAGATACATCAAAATAGTTAAAAGCCTGGAAAAATGTCAGCTATTTTGATAAGACTATTTGTATTAAACAAATGCAATTGTGTTTTTAAAAAAAAACAACATAATAATTGTTAATTTTTATCAAAATGAAGATGTAAAGGTCTAGTCAATGATCAAATTGCTTTTTTGAATGTAGAGAAAGCTAAATATTGTTGTCATACATATATTTTTTCAGATATTGGATTTAACTTCAAGTGGATTATTAAAAATGAAAAAGAAGTTTAATTTTCAAAAAAGGAACGGACCTCATGAAGCAGATAAAATGTCGGCGCTTTTACTTACAATTAAGTACTGTTACCGCAAAGATGTCATCGAGAAAATGATAGCATCAGGTACATACATTGTACGTCAAAAATTTCCAGTAGAATGACAAAACCAAGTCACCATGTATTTTATAAAACATACATTACAGTTGCTGATTCTGATGAATGTATTTTTGCCATAAATTTTGATGATATTTTGGTATGAAAATTGAATGAAGTTTGCAATTTTTTTTACACACAGTAAGATATGGTTTTGTGAAAATGTGTGTCAGTACATATGCTTTTATAGGAGCCAATGTAGATGCCACTGGATATGAATATATGCTTCATAACCTCAACAGAAAGCGGCTGGTATCTCCCCTGTATCTGGCAGTTAACAGGAGCTGTAACAAAGAACTTCTGAAGTGTCTGATATCTGCAGGTAAATTTTCTTGCCAATTATCATATATACTAATTATATTTATAATAAGTTTACAGTATTAGGGGATTGTCCAGACTCCTGAAAAAAAGCAAATAAATTTGCATTTCCTGTACTTATAGGGGCAGATTTGAACAAGTTTGCTGGTCAAATCACAGAAAAAGAAGAGGAAGGAGGCAGCATGGTGATGGATTCCCAATCTGCAAGTTTGAACTTTGCTCTTCATTCTCAGTATTATGATGCAGAGGTGATAGACATTTTACTAGAGAATGGCGCAGACCTCAATATCAAGAATGACTCTTCTCTGCTTCCACTACAAATAGCTACATTATACAATTACAGTGATGCTGTTTTATCTCTAGTTAGATATGGTGCTAGTACCAGTCCTTCTTCCTACTCTGTGTATTCTCCCCTTGCTCTGCTGTTAGACTCAGCAGAGTTACTTTCTCCTGATGATGAACTCTCCTCAGAAGGGAGGGCAGAAAAGCGCTTTAACTTGATAAGGTGTGTCCATATTCTTCTGAATGGTGGATATGATGTGCTGCATGACACTGAAATGATGGATTTGTGCAAAAAATGTCAATGTGATGAAGAAATGGATGGGATTCAGTTAGAAGTGGCTAAAATTATTTGTGACTGGGTATACCAACCAAAAAATCTCAAAATTTTATGTAGACTAAAAATTCGTCATTATCTTCAGGTTGGTCAGACAGCATTAAACCCTAAAATTCTGAAGAAATTACCATTACCTAATTCCTTAAATAATTATTTGAATTTAAGTGATTTTGATTAAAGTTTTTTTCCCACCTCTTCTGTATTTTGTTTGTGAAAAAAGTCTGATGCTATTGTTGATTTTGCATTAGAATTTTTTCAATTACATGTACTGTATTATCCATGTTTTAGACAGTCATCAGGCATTTATTTTCTCTTTTAAAAAATCAAAAGTTCATAGGATAAGACTGGCTTAAATTTATTGAAATTAAGAACCAAACAAAAAAAGAAAGAAAAGAGAAAACAAGGGAGCTAATGGTGAGAGTTAAATTTTTTTCAAATACAAGTCAAACTAGTGGGTATTGTTTTTTTAACAAAAAACACATGTCTCCCCTTCTTTAACAACATTAACAAATGCGGTTTTACTATGAAGGTGAAAAAGAATAATGCAGTGCCTCTTTCAAGTCTTTTATAGGATCTAAAGTTATTGTCTGGTCTTGCTTTTTTCTTAATTTAATCTTAAAAGAAGAAAATGGTCAAGGTCAAAAAATTTGATGTAGTGTATTTAGGCTTAAAGTTGTCTTTACTTGTTCCAAATAACAATCCTAATGTCAAGAAAGGTATCAAGTTATCAATTCAAATATATTTCATATGAACGTTTGACCTTGACCTAATAATAATTGGATCAAGGTCAAAAATTTTCATCACATAATCTCTCCATCTAAGTGTCCTCTGCATGTTACAAGTTTGAAGTCTAAATGTCAAAAGATTCTCAAGTTATGTTCAAAACATGTTTTTCTTCTCTATTTGACCTTGGGTCAAGGTCAAAGTCCTTGTGCAATAGATCTTGTATTTAATGTCTTCTTTCTATGTTACATGTTTGAAGTCCTAATATCAAAGGGTACTCAAGCTATGACCTAAATTAGATGTGAAAATTTGACCTTGACCTAATAATATTGGATCAAGGTCATATAATATGATCACATAAACTTTCTCCAATGTGTCCTCTGCATGTTCCCAGTTTGAAGTCTAAATCTCAAAGATATCTCAAGTAGTGGTCAAATCATGTTTTTCTATATTTGACCTTGAACAAAAAAAGGGTCAAGGTCAAAGTTCTTGTGCACTGCATCATGTATTTAATGTCTCCCTTCTATGTTTTAAGTTTGAAGTCCTAATATCAAATGGTATTCAAGCTATGGCCTAAACTCTATTTTGTTGTGAAAGTTTGACCTTGACCCTATAAACATTGGATCAAGGTCAAAAATTTTGATCACATACACCCTTCTCCTATGTGTCTTCTGCATATTCCAAGTTTGAAGTCTAAATGTCTAAGGTATCTAAAGTTATGTTAAAATCATGTTTTTTCTCTATTTGACCTTGAACATAGAAAGGGGTCAAGGTCAAAGTTTAGGTGCACTACATCTTGTATTTAATGTCTTCTTTCTATATTTCAAGTTTGAAGTCCTAATATTAAAGGGTACTCAAGCTATTGCCAAAACTCTATTTTAATGTAAAAGTTTGACCTTGACCTTATATATAGATCAAGGTCAAAAATTTTGGTGGCGGACACTCCGCCTCAAGGTCATCTATCTAAGTTCCAAGTATGAAGTCTTCAGGTCAAAGGGTATTCAAGTTACGGCCTGGACAAAATTTGGATGAAGAAGAAGAATAAGAACTAGATGAGATCTCGTTGCGAGCAACGAGTGGGTCTTCCGTCCGATTCTTGATGAGATGAGATGAGATTTTGATTGAGACTTTTTTTACAATGATAATATTGTTAAGAAAAGCGATTTTGCTACCGTTATATTTAAAGAAAAATATTGAACGTTCAATGGTCTTAAATTCGAATTCTGGCCCCTCTTGGCCCTTAATATATGGGGCGAGCCCTTTTTTTCTTCAAATCATTTTAAAGATCTCATGCTTTTGAACATTTTTTGTTCAACAATCATTGAGAGATTCATTTTCGTTTTCGAGTTGTAAGCAAAAGAAATATTTAGGGGCCAACCCTTCAACTCCTTAATAGGGATGTTAAGCGAAAAATGAAAGGTTGCATATTGTTCAGAACATGATTTTGAACATCTTTTGTTCAATATTACTTATCAAAATATTTCTCACTTTCGAGATAAAGCGTCAAAAATTTAGCATTCTGGCCCCTTGTGGCTCCTAATTATGTACCATAAGACATAAAAATTATAATATATAAGGGTAGATTGTTGAGATAAACATTTTTGCCTCAGTAATATATAACAAAATATAAACTGATAAAGAGTTATCGATTGAAGACTTTTGACCCCTCTCAGCCCCTAATTTGAGTGCCCAGCCCCTTTTCTAGATTTTACCTTAAAGCTCTTAGGATTTTGAACATTTTTTGTTCAACAACTATTCAGAGATTGTTTTTTATTTTCGAGTTATTAGCAAAAGAATTATTTAGGGGCCAACCCTTCAACTCCTTTATGGGGACGTTTAGCGAAAAATAAAAGGTTGCATATTGTTCAGAACATGATTTTGAACATCTTTTGTTCAATATTACTTATCAAAATATTTCCTACTTTTGAGATATAAAGCGTCAAAGATTTAGCATTTTGGCCCATTCTGGCCCCTAATTATATAACATATACGACCTAAAAATCATAATATCTAGTTGTAGATTGTTAAGATAAACATTTTTGCTTTAGTAATATATAACAAAATATTAACGGATAAAGAGTTATTGATTTAAGACTTTTGGCCCCTTTTGGCCCTTAATGTGATGAGTCAGCACTTTTTTCTTGATATCATATGAAAGATCTTAACATTTTGCACAAATATATTACAATTTGTCTTTACAAAATGTTTATACTTTAGAAGATATTATGCAAAATGTCTCGAAAAATTACTCATGATTTGTGTACTACAAATTGACCCCAACCGAGCTTCCATACTAGGCACTTCTGGAAAATTTGAAAACCCGGGTGCACAACTACAACATGTCCTCTACTATCACTGAAAATTTCAGCACTCTAGCTTTTGTCGTTTTTGAGTTTTTGTGAGGACAAAATGGTAGCTAAAATTTGATTAAAGGGCGATAACTTCCGACCGGAAGTGAATTTCCAAAAATTAATGAAAATGTATCAAGTTTAAATCATGATACATCATTCCTGTAAATATCATATAAATCCGTCACACCATCTTTGAGAAATCGTCTGCACAAAATTTGGACGAAGAAAAATAATAATAATAGTGAAAAAGAAACAATAGAATAATAAGAGGGTCTTCCGTTGGAGACGGAAGACCCTAATAATAAGAAGAAGAATAAGAAAATCGACAAAAACAATATGTCTCCCCTTCGGAAGGGGAGACATAACTCCAAAGGTCAAGCTCAAAAGTGTTGGTAACCAAAGTCCGTCTTGTTACAAGGATTGATACACCTGTGAAATTTGAAAGCACTAGTTATAACTTTTCAAAAGTTATTGCCAAGGTTTAAGCTCTTAAAACGTGGGTCAAAGTCTAAAGTCAAGGTAAAAAATATGTATACCCACGTAAAGGTCATGTCACAATGAATACACATGTGAAGTATGAAAGCCCTTGCTCCAACTGTTCAAAAGTTATGGCCAAGGTCTAAGTGTGGTATTTTTTGTAAAAGTAGGTCAAACTCCAAGGTTAAGAAGTCAAATTTGATGGTACCCAAAGAGAGGTCTTGTCACAAGGAATACACCTGTAAAATATACAAGGAATACACCTGTAAAATATACAGCCATAGTCCCACCCACTAAAAAGTAATGGACAAGGTTATATTTTTTGCGGAGAAACAGACAGACGGACTGACAGGGCAAAAACTATATACCCCCAACTTAGTTCACGGGGGCACTTTGTTAAACTTAAGATTGCATTTACTTAGAAACTGATCAAGTGGCTCTGATGGGTCAAACATTTACTGACAACGGATAGAATCTGTGCAGTTTGGATCAGAAAAGTCCATCTGCAACAGGAGCTCAGGTGAGCCAAGAATACTTTTACACAGTTATATTTTGTTTTTCAAAATTAGGATACCAACAACTTTGACCCTTCGACCTTGACCTTGAAGTTTGAAATCCTTTTTAAAAACTTTTACCTAAGGCATTACTTTTTAAGGTAACGGATAAGGCTTTCATAGACCTTTCTTTATATAGAAACCAACAACTTTGACCCTTTGAACGTGACCCTGGAGTTTGACTTACCTTCAAAAAACTTTTAACTTGGCCATAACTTTTGAACAGGTGGTACTAGAGCTTTCATATTTCACAATTGTAATTTTAGTGGTAACAACATATTTGATTTGCATTTGAAAATATTTAACCTTCACTATGTTGCCATACGAGGGCATCAGTGTTTCACAAGGAAATCTTGTTTCTTATTAAAATAATAATGATACGTTTTCGCAATATATACCTGCATGTCTCTTATCATATATTGCTTATGTTTTCCCCACATTGATCAATTTAATTTAAAAATTAGCAGTTTTAAGGGGAACTTGAAATAGATTTGTTTTGCTTAATGAGATGAAAATAAAGAAGGACAATTTATTGGAAATATTAACTTCGAACTTGGTGACAATTCATCCTCTTTAAGAGAGATCCAAAAATAAAATACAAAGTAAGCTTTAACATACTCAGTATTCAAATGCATGGACAACCTTACATCTCGATGACAAATTAAGTTAAACTTTTTTATTTAAAATGCATTAAAGTAAATTTGTAACAATACAACTAATTAATGTCATCTCTCAAATGCTGCAACTATTACAACGTCAACATTGATGTACATGTATGCTTTTTAAAAATACGTAATTAAAACAAAACCAAGTCGACAATCGTCTGTCAGAAGTCTTCATCTAGACATACCTACACGGCCTTCACTTCATGTCTTAGTACGAGTTTAATTACTATATCTTAATTACAACTGTATTGTCTGGCAAAACCACAGAATAAATTAAGATTCAGAGACAAATTACTGTTTTTGACTCTCTCTCTATCTCTCTCTCTCTCTCTCTCTCTCTCTCTCTCTCTCTCTCTCTCAAATATGTTCCCCTGGAAAACCTTCCTCATATACAAAATGGCAAAAATAAATCAATAAATAAATAAAATTTGAAATTAAATTTAAAATTCATTTACCGGTAAGGAAATGTGTCGCCTACTTTATAGTATTTTCTCTACGTACTTTTTTTTTTTACATTGCTGTTTTTTTTTTCTATGACATAATTTTCATTGTATTTTATTCTGAAATGTGAAAGTCCACAATTTATTATTCCCAGTGTCCGTAATTTTAAATTTAATAACCATGGAAGACATTGAAAGAGGAGCCACAAAAAACCTGCTTTGTAATATATCTACGCACATTTAAATATTATATCCCTTCGCAACGAGGGCGGGGGGGGGGGGGGGGGTTAACGCGCTTGTGTGTGTTAGTTTGTCCTCTGCGAAACGAAAATATTTTAATTAACTTGCTTCGGGATGGATGTCAAATGCTATTTTGACATAAATAATTATGTTCATTGCGAGGGGATGCTTCGATTTACAATGCCTTTCAGCTTGTTTGTACTTGTCTGCTTAGCTAAGAAAAATGACGACTATTAAGTAATCTTATAGCATTACTCATTCCTCTAATTTTTACATTTAATTAAAGAAGAATAAAAAACATAATTTCACCTTCAAATAACTACATCGTATATATATATATATAAATATAGACCTTTAGAGCATGTTTTTTTTAGCAGCTGAAACATTTTTATAAACATATAGCAGTCCATATATATTAATATATAAAAGAATACACCTGGTTATATATTTTCAATTTATTGACAGGTCTATTGATGAAATATATACCTTCGATTTGAAGGTTGGAAATAAAAAAATCCTTCTCTGGATCATTAATAAAAGCGACTATTGACTATATGCTAAGTAAATAATACAAAGACCCGTTTAATTCCAGAAATCTTACCGTTTGGTTTCTTGTTAACTTCTTTTTAGCTCACCTCGACGAAGTCGAGATGAGCTTATGCTATACCCCCGGCGTCGGCGTCCCGGTAAAAGTTTGAGGAGCAGGTCCATTCCCAAGTAACTATCAGCCCTACCCGGACTAAACTTGTATGGATGATGCACCAAGGAATGGATAATCAAAACTTGCTTCGGATGCTGGATGTGTCCTACATTTTCCAGATGACCAGGTTAAAGTTTTTGGAGCAGGTCCATTCCCAAGTAACTATAAGCCCTACCCGTACCAAACTTGCATGGATGATGCATCTAAGGATGGATAATCGAAACTTGCTTCGGATGGTGGATCTGACCAACAATTTTCAAACGAGTGACGAGGTTAAAGTTTTTGGAACAGGTCAATCCTCAATGAAATTTAAGACCTATTTAAACAGAACTTGGTTGAATATTGTCAAAATAAATACTTACTGTTAAACAAGATGTGTTTGTGAAACACAATGCGCCCCTAAATTTAAACATAAAGGTCACAGTCAAGGTCACAAGGCCATTGATCTTGGTGTCATTTGAAAGAACTTTATTAGTGAAGAATGCACACCAAACATGAAGTCTCTATCTCTAATATTTCAAAAGTTATGGTGAAGGTTCAGCTATTTTTAGCATATAAAAAAGGTCACAAGGTCATTGTGAAAGGGCTTCATTGTGAGATATTGCAAAAGTTAAAGTTTGCCGTCAAAAAAGCTATATTTAGCGTATAGGTCATAGTCAAGGTCATAAGGTCAATGATCATGGTGTCTTAAAAAAGCTTAATAAGTGTTGTATGTATACCAAAAACGAAGTCTCTATCTTTGTTCGTTCAAAAGTTATAGCGAAGGTTAAAGTTTCCAAAAAAACCCTATTTCCCTATTTTTAGCATATAGGTTACATTCAAGGTAACAAGGTCATTGACCTTGGTGTCATAATTCATTAGTATAAAAATATGTCTCTATCTTTTGCAAAAGTTTAAAGTTTGCAAGAAGACAGACAGACAGGACAAAAACAATATACGAAATTTATGATGTGAAATTTGCATTACTTAAATGATAACATTCGTCGAGGTGAGCTTCATAATCTTTGATTACCTATGTTTTTATAATGCAAATGTATCTTTTGAGGAAGAAGAATTGAAGTTTGGGAAAATTTTGAGAGGTCATCGAAATTTAAAGACCTAAAGCTGTCATGTCGTGGTAATAAATTACAGCGCCTAATAAGAAGGCGTTACAGCGCATTTGTTTCTGGAGTGTTCTTGTGGAAACACTAAAGCATATAACAAATGACTCTCTCTTCGTAACAGGGGAAACATTTCGCGGCTTCATGCGTTTCAGATGACACTTTGCTTGACCAAAAATGCATTCTAAAATTTTTCTTTTGATTTTCTTGATTTTGGAATCTGTGAATGCTCAATTACAAAATAGCAGAGTCTATCTAGATAAAATATCAAGTCTGTATGTTCCAGCGCGTTATGATTCCAATGATTTTCCGAAGTTTAAACTAGGGAAAAATGCAGCTGAGCAGCTTGCCTACGATCCGGTGCAGAAGCTTTTATATGTCACAGGTATTGTGATGATTTTTTTTTTAAATACTATTTTCAGTTATTCATTTTTCATTACCATGTGTATGTTGTAAAAAAACAACTAATCAAACACGTTTTATTTTTTCAGACATAAAAAAATCCTAAAATAGCCATCACACTCATTTATGGTTTTCTTTTTGCAAGAGTATTTTTTTGTGAAATATTTCAAGAAGTTGTTTTAAAATTCTTTAAAGAGGTCATCGAAAAAAAAAAAACGAGTTAAAGTTGTAATTGAAAAAACACAACAGAAAACAGTGCATTTGCCGAGTTCCATTTTCAAAATTCTATTTAGCAAAAAATTGTTATTTTAATGTTACATTATTGATCTTTTGTCCTTCTTTATTTTCAAACAAATACAATAACTACTAAGCACTATTACTGACATTAATTTTTATTTCTTGATAAAAAAGACTGAAAATGAAGCATGACATGTGCAAACCATCCAATTCAGACAAAATGTTAATTCTAATTTACACATTTGTTATTTCAGGCGAGGAGAGGCTCTCCGCTGTAGATTTGTCCAATCCTAACGACCCTCAAATAGTTTACCGAAAACAGTTCAACAAAATGGACCCAACAGATGTGGAATATTGCGGAAATCATGTATTTGTTACTGTTAACAACGACGAAAATCCAGAAGAAGGGAGAATCATGGTGTTCCGGAGTTACAACAGAAGACATAACACCATGCCTATTGTACTTAATATTGTTGGTACGTTTTTACTGTAAAATAAAAGACTTCACCAAATTTTGGTAAGCTGTAATTTTCATTATGCATGAAATAATTAAAGCATTTATTTTCAGAGATGGCCAAAAAGGTATTTTGGGGGATTTTTTTTTTATCGTTTGTTTGACTTCAAAGTTTCATATTGGTGTTTCTTTAAGTAAAGTGTAGAAAAACGATCATAGTTAAGTAATTCTGATTGCCAAAATAAAAACCCGTGGCCCTTTGCACAAAAATTCTTACGATCAATGCTAAAATTTTCCCCCATTCTACAACAAATATCTAAGCTGCAAAAATCTTATTTTTCTATAACATTATATAATGATAACTTATGATATCGTTGTAAATAATTGTTTAGAAAAATATCTTTCTTAAAACAGAAATGTAGATGCAGGATGGAGAAATGTTAGTCTTACAGTCGTAAGATTTTTTTGTGAAAAGGGCTACTGTCTTAAATTAGCATTTGATATTAATTTAAAAGACAATTTTAAAGGAAATTTAGAATTTAAAAATTACTGAATTTTAATAATTTTTTATGATAATGCTAATATTTGTCAGTTTTTGAAAATCACACTTCATTGGATACATGAAGTACATTTAAAAATCTGACAAATATTATGCAATTAACTAATTTGCAGAGAATTCTTTTTTGTTTCAGAATAATATTCATGAACGTAATTAGTAATGGTGGGATCATAAAAATCTAATAAAATATGAATGTTATAAGTTTCATGATTCATCAACACAAAAAAATTTTAAAAGTCATTCCATTAAACTGCTTTCCTTTTGTTACTGTATTAAAGCGTTTTGTGTTTAACGAGAGATTTGAATGTTTCTTTTAAGTTAAATTTTGATTCTTCAAATTATTCTCAATTCAAAATTGTCTCTAATATTCATCAATGACAATTAAGTACACGGCATTCTTACATTTGCGAATCTCTCTACGCATAAGATAATGCGTACATAAATATTTTTCTGAAGTTTAAACCTAGTTAGGACAAAAGCATAATCGTGCGAAACATCTTTGTCCAATCCACACATTTTTCCCTTTAATTATAGCCCTGATTTTGAAACTTTTTAAAGTTTGATAACTTAATTAAGGATAATGTGTTTTCCTATAAAGTATAATGTTTGGCAAATGTAAAGACAAATTAACATAATCAAATCTTTATATTCTCATACTTCATCAAGTTTTATATGTCGATGTAAAGATATTTAAAATAGTTATCAACCGAACTCTTTTTTTTTTTTTTACTTTATCAGGTCACCTGAGTCATCAAGTCAAGTGACCGATTGCTTTATGCTTCCGTCCGCCATCGTGTGTCGTCCGTTAACATTTTAACATTTTCACTTTCTTCACTGAAACTGCTCAACCAATTTCAAACGTTTTTGGCATATAGTATTTAATGTGAGGGGGAACAAATATTGTGAATTTCATTATCCCTGCCCCCTGGGGCCTGAGGGGTGGGGTCAAAACCATTAAAATTAATACAATCTTTAAAATTCTTCTTTACTCCTGGACAAAAAGCAGTCAAACCGTTGACATGGTTGTAATAAGCATTGAATACTCTACCAAAATAGTGAAATTGGTTGCCCCAGGATTAGGGCTCTAGTGCTAAGGTGGGGATTCGTTGAATATATATTGAAATGCATTATTTCTTAAAAAATCTCCTCTGCTTCTAGTTATTAAGCCGATTAACTACTAGTATGTACATAGATGTGGAAGGTTTCCTCTTCCAAAATTGATAATTTTATGACCATTGTGACACGGGGGTCTGGTGTTAGGGCGGGGCCCTAATGATTATGTTTTGAAAATGCATTAATTCTTTGAAAATCTTCTCCTCTGGTCCTGAGTATTATCCCAATGATCTAATTACACGGTTATTATTATGAGGAAGAGTGCCTCTTCCAAAATTGTGAATTTCATAGCCGCTAGGTCAGGTTTTCTGGTCTGAGGGCGGGACTATATTAAAATTACATAAAGTAAAAATATATTTATCAATTCTTTGAAAATCTCCTCCTCTGGTCCTTGGTATTATCACAATGATCAAATTACACGGAGACAGACGAGGAAGGGTTCCTCTTTGAATTTTTTTAATTTCATGGCCCCTGGATCAAGGTTACTTTGAGGGGGAGGCTCTAATGATTATATGCTGAAATTGAATTAATTCTCTGAAATCTGCATCTTTGGTTTTAACTATTAGTCAAAGATTTATGACAATCAAGGTTACCTTTTCCAAAATTATTAAACGTTTGAACCCAAAGTCGTGGGTTCCTGTGGTGTGTTTCATCTTCATATATGTAACACAGTTACCATTTATATTTCAGCTGTTTCATTTGTGTAGCACATATCAGTTATAAGTTTTTATTTCAGCTGGCCCCTCCCCTAACTCTTTGCGTCCCACCCCCTCCTGTGCGACAATATTGGTGGCATTAGAGGGAGATCCATTTGCCAGGGGAGGCAACCTCATTGACCCAGAAGGTGGAATTGGGGTGCTCAAGTTTCCGTCCAATTTCATCTCCGAAAAGACATACAGTTACCAAATTCTGGGTTTTGGAAAATTTAACAACAAGTAAAGTATTTTAATCTCTTAAATTTACAAGATTAGTTTAATAAAAATGCTGCATACATTATATTTTTTTTTTTGCCTTTCCCCCTATTAGATGGCATGTCCACAACTTTAGCTTTGATTATAGCAGTTTCTTAAAATTAATTATGGAATTATCAGTAAAAATCATTCAAATGTGAAAAGTTGCAATTTGACAAGTCAGTAATTTTTTTGAAAATTGTTTTCTACATATTCTTTACCTTAAGTGTCAAAATTAAAACCTTTCCTTATGGTGCAGTATCATATTCATCACAATTTGCAAATATTAAAATTCAATTTTTCTTTTTTATAATATTTAAAATTTGTTTAAAAATTAATATATAATTCTTTTTGAAGATATTCATTGTTAGCCAGGAGTGGTGTGCGTTATGTTTACACGGAAAGTGGCAGCACCTTTGCACAGGACATTGAACCAGAACAAATTACACTGAGTGCTGACGAAAAAAGGGCGTATGTTACCTTACAGGTAATTTTTATCTTGTATTTTTTCCCCTCTCATATTAATATATTATTTTTAACAAAGTTTTTGCGATGTTATTTAGAGTAGAAACTAAATTAAGATTTATTTTTCTCCTAGTAATTTTTTGCTATACAGAAGACCATGTATATACAGTAACTTTTCTTTCGTAATATCATATGATTAATCACCTGTCTTGCTTGCAGCTGACCGTCATAAAGGGCATGATGTATATCTGCGCAGAATTCTAATCTGATGAAGGAAAAAATAAACACTATTATATAATGCGTTATAAAAAAGCTGCATTTGCTAAATATAATGTTTTTTGTAAACTTTGCAATTTGTAAAAGAATTTTTTCCCGAAATTAAATCTTGTGCATACATATATTACGTCATTTGGTGAAAACAAACTTTAATTTCAATGACCATAAAAACTTAACAAATGATATACAATGCATAATGAACAGTTTTAATCTTTATATTAAAGCAATATATCGCTAAATTAATCAAAACCAACGATGATTATTGTGCAAAAAACACGACATATGCTTTTGATATTTATACCTTGAATTTTTTGTCATACATATTTCTATAATTACAGACAATGTCATTTCATGTCATTGAAAACTGGTATGCATATGAATAACAATAGAAATGTGACAAAACTGTTAGACCACCGTCTCAAAAGCTAGTGTCGCTCGGCATTATTTAGTATTTTTATGTAATATAATATAAAATCCAAAACCTGCATAATTTGGTTTTCTTATTTCTTTAAATATTACAAGAATCATTAATACATATAAAACATAAATTTAATGAAATATATATTAGGGAAAACTTTATTTTGAACGACAACCCCCCCCCCACACACACACACACAACTCGGTTTTCATAGCTTAATTTCCTTTTTGTTTTTGCACTTTTTAAAATCCTTTATTTTTTTTCTCTGGTTTCTGGCTTCAAATGTTTTACTTTCATTTTTACGGAAGATATGTATGTAACAGAACCTGTGCAATTTATGAAATAGCGATTTTGATTTCATTAAAAGTTGTTTTGGACATAATTAATTACAAACAAAATCAAAAATGTGTTTTTGTTTGTTTATTTGTTGTTTTTTGTTTCATACACAACCAAAGAAACCCAATATATTTAATATTACAAAAGATACTTAAATTAATAAACAAAGTCCAGATGTGTGGGGTTGTTTTTTCGTATTTTGTTTCAATATAAACTCAAAAAAGTTATCCAAAATTTATATTTCAGGAAAATAATGCAATTGCAGAGGTTGATCTGCTTACTGATTCTATAACACAAATCCATGGCCTAGGATTCAAAGACTGGAAGAATTACAAACTGGACCCCAGCGACAGTGACGGAGGTATTTAATAACCGTATAATTGAAGGATACAAAGATCCTCTCCCTTTCCATAATAATTCTTAATTTTTTTTGTTCATAAAAATGATTAAATATTTAATTCCAAAACCTGTAACTTGTTTAAAAAATACTAGGCCTTTTACAATGTTAATTGATATTTTTGAGTTTTTGGTTCTTTTATGGAAGCTTGGAAACTATAATTTTTAACTGAAAATAAAAATAAATTAATCAAACTTTGTGTATACAGGTATCCATATTTATCCTTATCCGGTGTATGGTATATATCAGCCGAGCGCCATAAAAACTGTGATTGTCGGGAGGAGGGAGTTTCTTGTAACAGCTGATGAAGGAGATGGCAAGGATTATTCCGGAAAGAAACTGACAACTCCGGGATTTAACGAAGTAAAAAGAGTACATGATATCACTCTTTCAGGTATAAATTACTATTTGAGTAATGTAGCATTAATTCTTCAATATTTTTTTAAATACAAAATACAAATATATAAAATATAATTAATTTTATGGTTCTGTAATATTATATTCATAGGACTATAATTAAAAGAGAATTATTTTAGAATTATTTTTGAGAATTATTCTTATCATAATTATTCATTTTTGTTTTAAAGAAACATCTGAAGTGTTACAGTGGGCCAAAGAAAGAAAAATTCCAAATATACAGAATGATGCCTTATTAGGTAATCATACAAATCTAATCAAACAAAACCTAGTTAAAAATGTCCCGAAAATTATGCCATTTTGAACCTGGAACATTTTACTTTGGAATATATATTTACCCATATTTGAATACTACAGGTAAGCTACAAATCACTACTCAAAATGGGCGTCTTAAAGATGGCACTTATGACAAACTCTATACTTTTGGTGGTCGTGGTTTCTCTGTGCTGAGCTCAGACACAATGAATCGAGTGTATGACAGCGGCTCAAGTGTGGAGGAATCACATGCATTACAGTTTCCCATGCTATTCAATTCCAATGTCAAGTCATCTGCAAATATATCAGACACTTTTGACACACGTTCTGATAATAAGGTATGATATAGCAAGAGTTTAGAATTTTGATAGCTATTATATTTGTTTATTTTATATATTTAAACTGAAACATTAAGTGCCAGTGTCTCCACTGCATTACTTAAATTTCCTTCAACATTAAGGGACCAGAATGTGAAAGCATAGAAGTTGCTTACGACGGTCAACGGGCCATCGTTTTCGTTGGAAACGAAAGACCAGGCTCCATTAGTATCTACTCATTTAACAATGATATGAGCGGAGGTACCCTGGAGAGTGTATACAATGGGGTCTGGACAGTAAATGGCACGTGGGGAGACGGATTTTCTCAAGGATACATAAGTGACCTGGATCCAGACGATATCAAGTACTTAATTAATAATATTGTTATAAAATACTCGGACAATCAATTCAGTATCATCTAAAAAATACATTTGGTTACACCTAACAGAAAAGGAAAGTTGAAGGACATTAATAAATTTTGAAATTCACGTACAGTAATACTAATATAGTATTATGATTTCTGAGGTCTAGTACCAGCGTGTTTATTAACTACATTTTTCATTGTTAATGATAGACACATGTTTGATATAAAACAAAGCATATAACTGTAACAAAAAAGTGTGACATAACTTGTAAAATTAAAAGAATTATCTAATACAAATGCTTTCAATATTGTTAGATACCTTTCTCCGAACCAGAGTCCTAACGGCCAGCCCATGTTGCTAGTTGCTGGTTCTGAATCAGGAACCGTTTCTCTCTTCAATGTCAAAGGAATGCAGAGTCGTAAGTGTGCTGAAAATTGATACCGGTAGTCAGTAACGAAGCTATGAAAAAGTGTCACATTCTTTTTAAAATTCATAACTTAAAGATGTTCAAACGATTAAAAATCATTATTAAAAAAATATTTAAAAGCTTATCTAAAAAGAAACTTCAAAAATGTTTCCTTTTCAATTTATAAGCTTTACCAAATCCACAAGTCAATTATAGGGTTCAAGTCAAGCCTCTCGAGAGTGAACGTAAGTATTTTGGAGAGGGGGTAATTGTATGAAAGAAATGTTAATATAAACTTCATATTAATGAATAACTTTATTTTCTGTTAGTATTTTAGAATGAGCATATACATGCACAGCATGACAAATTTTAACAATATACTGCACATAAATATAAAAAGAATTAGGTTAATTTATCATACATTTAGTCACTTGTTTGTAACATTTATATTTAGTTTAATAAATAAAATGATATATGCACATACATGTAACAGTTAGTTATTATTATGAATTTATATATTAACATTTCAGAATAACATATAATATCTGCACATAAATAACCGTAATATACACATTTAGTTTGTTAATGTATTTAAAATGTGATGGAATATTTATTGAATGTATACATATTTTAATTAGAATTGGACGAAGAAATCAAGGATTATCATTAGAGAATTACATTTCTGTTTTTGCATTAATTCTCCATTCTTCGTAATTTCTTATTTTGTTCATCATTTGCGAAAAAGAATTAAAAACATTCTACATTTATTTAATTGTAGTAATAAATAAAGGATATAAAAAAGTTTTGTGTTTGTTTTTTCAAACTTTTAGTTTTACTTTAATTTTGCCGTTTAAAACTCCCTTAATTTTGGTTCAGAAATGAATAACATCCTGTACAAAAGATTTGGTACCACCTCTGTGTACCAAAATTTATATATTTTGAAAAAGTAAAGAATTCAATAGTTTTATATAAACTATTTAACTTGCTTAATACCATTAAGTAAGGTTTTATTTTAATTATTTATTGAATTCGGTCAATGCAAAATATTTTCAATGGAAAATGATTATTTACTTTTTGTCCTGTATATTAATACAGTGTATTAATGTTTGTTTGTAAAAAAAGATGTGATAACTTTTTAGTCAAATCTAAAATATCTGTAACTTTGTGTATGTATCAAACAACAGCTATGTTGATATTTTCATTAAATGTGTGGCAAAAATGATGATTAATTATCTAATTTCTCGATATATCAAACAACAAACAAATGATAATTCAAGAAGATTTGAAAATGTTGATTTCTGATAAAATAACATTTAAAAATCTTGGATTTTAGCCCTTAGGGAAAGTTCCGCCACTGAAGCCACAACAAATACTAACAACAAAGGCGCCAAAGGTAGGCTTATTGTGTAATGTTTCTTTTTCTCTTAATGACATTTAATTTCAATTTTACAGTTCTCCTTATGCTGTTCTAGTAAGCAATATAAATTGCATTAGTTCTACAGAAATGGAAGAAAAATTGCGATTTTGCAGTCACTCTCAGATATATTTTACTTTTAAAAATTTATGACAATTATAATAATTTTCTTAATTTATGTTTCCTTTTCTAATTCAGGAAGCAAACAAATTACAAAGAAACCTAATAAATTTAACAGAAAACAAAGTAGGAACATTCAGCAGAAGTCCAAAAGGAACGCTAAAAGAAATAAAAAGTCCCTTAACAAACGGAACAGAAAACTCTCTCGGAAAACAAGAACAAAGGGCAAACTTTCTAGGAAAACCCAAACCACTAAAACGAAAAAACAAACAAAAGCAAAGAAATCAAAATCAAGGCAAAAATCAAAGAAAAAAACTTCAAAAAGAAAAGCGTCGACAAAATCGAAAAAACAGAAACGTTCGTCAAAATCGAAGAGGAAGAAAGGGTCAAGTAAAAAATCAAAATCGAAAGTTTAAAGGTCGGGTTTGAGGTGACAACATTGACTTTTCATTTAATGTCGGTCTGCAAAGTCAGATTACATTTTGGAAATTTGTGAACGTTCTCATATGTATTACTTCGTGTAATTAATTCCTCGTGTAATAAAACATGATACTTTTTGTTTCTAATGGCTTTTCTGTATTTCTGTATTGTATTATGAAAAGCTTGCACAAAATGAAGTTGAAGAAGTTAAAGTTGGACCAACTGCATTTTAAAAACCCTGTTCATTTTATGAATAACTTTCCCTATGGATATACAGTGTATAATTGAAGAAAAAAATTGAACAAAAAATACACGTATACAGTATTATGAACAACTTAACTAAAATAGCTGCCTAAATTTTAAAATTGATCTATTTTTGTGTTGTTTTTAATCCATGATTTATTTTTGAGATTCATTTGTTTACATTTTATCTATTACAGCAGAAGTTTCATTAATACGAGTTTTGACAGAACTCGTAATGATTTCTCTGCTGCGACTTTGAGTATTTCTCCTTTCTAATAGAGGTTTTCATATTAATATCGTTTTTATACACATTCATATGCGAATTGTTGAAAAAGAATTTCTTTTTAACCCTACAAAAACCCTAAACGTAAATTTATGATCAGGAGATGCAAGAAAAAAAAAACATTTTTTAGACCCATATTCTCAAGTGTCCTGCAACTTCTTTAGGTGGCTAATTTCATCCCCTTTCAATTATCTACACATCATGATAGAAATGGATCGATGTGCCAAAAAGCTGATAAAATGTTTGTCTTTAAGAATTCCTTTCAAAAAGTAGAAATTTAATTATTGTGAATATTTTATCCGACCCGACCACCACCAAAACATTCAGATATACATTGATACACTATGAAATTCTTGTCTGATATATCAAAGAATATAGCTTCTAACTGTAACAGTATCAATAATTTTTTAGCTCACCTGAGCCGAAGGCTCAAGTGAGCTTTTCTGATCAAAATCTGTCCGTTGTCTGTTGTCGTTGTAGTCGTCGTCGTAAACTTTTTACATTTTCATCTTCTTAAGAACCACTGGGCCAAATTTAACCAAACTTGCCACAAAGTATCTTTAGGTGAAGGGAATTCAAGTTTATTCAAATGAAGGGCCACACCCTATTCCAAGGGGAGATAATTATGAATTAGTGAAAAATTAATGGCATTTTTAAAAAATCTTCTTCTCAAGAACCATTGGGCCAGGAAAGATGAAATTCATGTAGAAGCATCCTCACTGATCACTTTTACATAAGAATATATAGGATTTTTAAAAATTTTCTCCAGAATTATTGGACCAGGAAAGATGAATCTCATATGGAAACATCCTCAGGTAGCATAGATTCAAGTTTGTTCAGAAATAAGAGGAAAGATGAATCTCATATGGAAACATCCTCAGGTAGCACGGGGGTGAAACTGGCTGATCAAAGTTTTACATGAATATATAGGATTTTTTAAAATTTTCTACAGAATTATTGGACTTCCTCAGGTAGTGTAATTTCAAGTTTGTTCAAATCTTGACCCCCAGGGGTAGGGCGGGGCCACAATGGCTGATCAAAGTTTTACATAAGAATGTATAGGAAAAATCTTTAGAAATATTTTTCTCCAAAACCATTCGGCCAACAAAGATGAAACTAATGTGGAAGTATCCTCAAGTAGTGTAGATTCAAGTTGTTCAAATCATGACAATTTTTACATAGGAGTATATAGAAAAATATTTTTTAAAAACTTCTTCTCAAGAACATCACTGGTTCTCCTTTCTGTTTCTTTAAAAACTAGAAATATAAGAAAAATCTTTAAGTGCCATGAAAATTATTCATGCATTGTTAAAAAATTTTTCCCCCAACAAGTAAGCTTTTCATGTGATTTGTGTTTTTTAAGCTATGTCATTTTATTTGTATTCCTTTCTCTTTTCTACTTAAAAAACGCTTGCAATTTTTCATTGAGCAATATGTCAATTTATTTGCAGAACTTTAAAAGATGAGAACGAAGGAGACACGGATATGGACCCTTTATGTTTTTTGGATTTTTGTTGTTGTTGTTGTTGTTGTTTAATCGTGACAATGAAATGCCGTACAAAGGTGGTTTAATACATTGTAATGTTCATAACATCCACATTTATGTAAAACAATCCTCATTCATCTACAATATTACTGAACTGTGTTAAGATGTACAACAAATATTATTGTTCTTTTATAAAGTGCATGCATTCTGTTCATTTATTTCTCGCATTTAAGGTGAATATTGAGTTAAAACTTAAAGTTCCTTTAAGTTCATAAGACTTTTTTTGCTTTTGAAAGAAATCGAGTGAATTTCATATTTATACATGTTTTTTCATTTATCTTGACATCTTACACTGCTTTTTGTAAAGGGCACTTAATATCATTGTGGAAAACAGTTCAAAGATTCTGTCGAAAACGAGGAACAAATTAAGCAGGTCAGAATTAAATTAGACGAAAAGTGAAAGATCAAGCGTTTTAATATGTAAATAAACATTGAATGCGGCACGTATTACACATGTTACAGAAAAGTGCTTGTCAACATCAGTAATAATTAATGCTTAGATCATGCTGTCCACGTTAATGAATCAAGGTGACTACACATAGACATAAAATCCTTATTGCAACACGACAACAACCTCGGAACAAGGATCTCTTGTTAACTGCAAAACAAGAGTTTTTTATGTTCAATATGGAAGGTGTCTTAAACGTTTCCCGTTATTTACTCTTTTTCTCATATATATTATTTGCTACATATGTGCAGTGTGGGAATATTCATTTGAACAAAACATCTACCTTATATATACCTGTGTCTTATACTGCGGGGGAGCCTGTGTTTTCCTTGAAGGGAGGATCTGTCGAACAATTGGCGTATGATTCACAGGATAAAATTGTCTACATCGTGGGTAAGTTATTCTATTTCCTCGTTAGTGTAGATCTTCATGTGATCTTCAAAGGTTGTTTTCTTTCATTATTTTGTTTTAAGTGATCTGAACAGAATTAGAGACATGTTAACTTTGTACAAGCATATGAATGGGTTAAACATAATTTTAGATTGTTGTGAAAAAAACAGGACGAACTTTCACTTTGACTTAATGAACATTGTTTTTGACATTCAAAGAATGACAATCATTTGTATTTAAAAAAATAAATGATTGACAGCTTCCTCCATTAGAAAAAATAACAACAATAAAGAATCAAAGTAGACGCATGACAAATCTTTCTCTCAATTCATATATATGCTATTACAACTTCTTTGCAGGGGCATCCAAACTTAATGTTATCAATATTTCAAATGTTCAAAACCCGAAGATTCTTTACAATATCACCTTAGGAGATTTTGATCCCACTGATGTAGAATTCTGTGGGGATCATGTGTTTGTCGCTTTGGATAAAAATCAGGACAGAGAAGCTGGAAGAGTGGTCATCTTTGAGAAGTATCACAAGGAATCTGATGCAATGAATATTATTTTCAATATAACAGGTATTTATGTATATAATTTTAATATCAATTCTATTATCTAAAACAAAAAGTGTTAGTTATACCTAAAACAAACCACTAATCAGAAAAATCAAATATAGTTTTGAAATACACTTGGAAATTAAATGAATGAAGTAGAAGTTTTATGGATTGATGAAATTATATTGCACCGACTAGAATAAGGTCAGACTATTAAAAAGGAAATCTATACTGTTACAGTGGGGCCTTTACCAGACATGCTCCTGCCTTCCTCAAACTGCAGCACTGTTTTGGTTGCTCTAGAGGGAGAAGCTTTTGCCAGAGACGGTCAATTAATAGACCCTGAAGGGGGTGTCGGACTTCTGAAGTTCCATGGTCAAAATATCTCAGCCTCAAATTATTCGTATAAAAGACTGAATTTCCACAAATTTAATGATAGGTATGAATGATTTTTTTTTATATATATCGTCGTTCAAATATCAATTTTAGCTTACTAGTATATTTTTGGTTAGTAAGTAATTATTTATTATTTTATTTTCTAAAACTTGCATTTTGCTTAATGTCCTTTAAATCAGTGAGAGCCACAACGCTAGTTTCCTGAAGATTATTTGTACCTGTCGAATGATGTCACACGTTTGCTTAATTGTTATTTTGTCGTATATATTTATAGTACCTTATAACTTATAATGATTATCTTACCTTTGCAGATGGGAAGACCTGTCAAATTACGGTGTCCGCTTTATTTATAAAGAAAATAATAATTCTTTTTCCCAAGATTTAGAACCAGAATATATAACGTACAGCAAAGATGAAAAGAAAGCCTACGTTTGCCTACAGGTACAATCTATTTATCTAAATATCTAATGAAATACGTGCATATATTTTTTAGTTTTAAAAAAATACTTTCGGCTTTACAATTTTGTTTGAGAAAAAAAATTTGATTGATAGACAAGTGGCCGTTGAAAATTTGAATTCAAAACACGCCCATAATGGTCAAAGATAATGTAAATGACAATTTTCCAGAGACATAGCATTCAAGAGGAAAAAAATTAAAACCAACATGAAACATTCAGCCGGCAAGGAAAACTGAAAAATATGAACTCAAATTCCATAGCTTATATTTGAGACATTGACTCCTTAAAGTTATCAGGTTACCTAAAGAATGAAGATTCGGATTTCTATCGATCTTGCAGGAAAATAATGCAATTGCAGAGGTAGATTTAGAAACGGAAAACGTTACAGCTATTCATGGACTTGGTTTTAAAAACTGGAGCAATTCTAAACTGGATGCCAGTGACAAAGACAATGGTATTAAAATGAACATATACATTTCAATATATATCACTTTCAGAATATGCGTTTTTTATGTTCCTTTTGTATGCGAAAATATGTGTTGCTGAGGAAAATTGATTTTTTTTTAATGTTTTCATATTCTTAATTGGAACAGAAATAAAATGAAAAGAATCTCTATCACACAAGTGGCCAAAAAAAAATAAATGATGGTCTTTATTTCTCCTTCAAATTACTAAAACTTTAATATTCTTATATTGGATATATTTTAGCTGGTATGGTGATTTAAATTTTATATCAAGCAATGGATGTACAGCTGAATATATTTCTCCTCAAAAGGAATTAATATCAGATCACTTCCGGTGTACGGGATGTATCAACCTGACGCCATCCATGTGGTGAAAATGAACGGTGTTGAATACATCATCACAGCCAACGAAGGAGACAGCAAAGACTACTCAGATTATCCCTTGAATAAGACTGGGTTTAGCGAAGAAATAAGAGCTAAAGATATCATTCTTTCAAGTAATTTGATGTTTTTAGTTTCATTTGTTATCATCGGATCTTCCATACCTTTCCCTATATACTGCATCTGATATGTCAATTCATAATAATGTTATTTATAATTTAAAATTATCTTGCTAGATAACTCTGAAGTGAGGGAGTGGGCATTGCAGAATGATGTGAAGAATATATTGGATGATGCAATTTTAGGTAAACCCGCGTTTATGTTTTCAAAATACTTACTAGAAAAGATATTCAATTTGAATATACAAAGATTCCATTGTTGTGGTTTTTCAAAGGTAGACTAAAAATATCGAAAGAGAATGGACGGATGAACGATGGTACCTTTGACAAATTGTACACATTTGGTGGACGAAGCTTTTCTGTTTGGAAAACTGAAACGATGTCCCAAGTTTATGATAGCGGAAGTAATATAGAGGATACGCATGCCCAAAGACGACCTTATCTCTTCAATGCAGCAGCAAAGGCTGATAAAGATATCAAGGCTACCATGGATTCTAGATCAGACGACAAAGTAATTAATGACCAATATTGTTAAGCTGCTTCTCTCGTCATAAATTGTTGTTTTGATATCTAGAACAGCATTTTACTTAAAAATAAAATTATCAGTTAATTTTTCTTTGAAACATTGTATCATAATCTCGACAGACTGAATTACCTAGTTTTAACAATTAATGTAAAACTAATTATTTATGTATCTTTATTAATTTTTGGTATTTAATGTGTAGGGACCTGAGAGTGAAAGTCTTACAGTTACCTATGATGATAATAAAGTTATACTCTTCCTTGGAAACGAGAGACCAGGTTCTATCAGTATATACTCATTTGAGGGATGTATGACTACACCAAAATTAGAAAGTGTTTTCTGGGATATACCGTCCTTGGACGGAACATGGACACAGGCTTTTGACCAGAGAAAGATAAGCTGCATAGATCCAGAAGATCTAAAGTGAGAAAATTAACTTAGAATCATCAGACTTCTTTAATTGCTCCTCCATTCACACAATTTTTAGCATAGCCATCTTGATAATAAACATATTTTTTTCAGATATATCCCACCGAATCAGAGTCCAACAGGGCGATCTCTTCTATTGGTGGCGGGTTCTACCAGTGGAACTCTCTCCATTCTAGAAGTAAAGGGTCTTAACATTGGTATGCAGCATCAAGAAGTGTAGCTGTTCTTTCTGTTTTGATTATGTAAAAAAATTCTTTTTAAGTTTATCAGTATCATCTTCCTGTTATTTTTTTTTTACAGATAATAGTGGATCTCAAGTCCATTTAGGTAGGATTACTATACCTCGATGTGATTTACTCCTATTTAATTAAGGGTTATTAGATAAAACGACTATTCATCCATGATCCGTCAGCAACTGTTGCGTTGAAACTGTTCTTTTCTTTCAACTGTCAAAATACTGACCTCATAGCAATTTAAACCTATATGTATATAAAATTTTAGAATAGTCCCTTAATTTATTGAATTCTCGGTGTGATGGAAAAATGAATATAATCGTGTATCTGTGTGTTCGTAATGGATTATCAACTATGGTAACATCCACATTGAATATTAAACGCGGAACTATTTTTCATATGACATCATCTCGTAACCGCAATAAATATTTTCTATCAAACCTGATATATAATGAATATTTTATATGCTGTACGTCTGTCTTTTACCAGGAGAGCTCAATAAAAAACAACATAGGGCTTACCAAAGTTGAAATGTTGTAACTTTGTTATTATTATTCCCAAGTCCTTTAGTTTCAGATTTTTTTTAAATAATGTTCTTTTCTTTTCAGATTGGAGAGGGTTAATCTTCATTTTCCTTTTAATAAACCTTTGGATCTAAATAAATGCAGTATACATGTAATAATCTATTATGATTGTAAACTATTTTGTCTACAATTTTGGCTCATGATTTTTAACGTCGAATAGTGGTTTCATTGTTACATTCGATAGAATGTTGGGACTTTTTTTAAAAGTAAAACGAATGATTGTAACAAAAAAAAAAAAGTATGATCAAAATAAATACTGTAAATATGTATAAACTATGAAGAACACATCTTTTTTAATTTGAACACAGTTGATACGACAACACCTCTTAGATTATTGCCATATTTCTGCGATATATTTGCTGCTTTACATGTCTTAAGATGCTTTGTTGCAACGCACTTTGAAAAATTACGCACTTTGAAAAAAAATTTCAAAGTGCTTTAAATTTGGGACCAAATCAACGCACTTTGAAAAATAAAATTTCCTTTCAAAGTGCGTTGATATCGACCATATTAACGCACTTTGAAACAATGTTTATGGCTTGTTCAATATTCTTGAAAATCTTAGGTATGGTAAATAATTGAACCTGTTGGATAACTTTTCTGTGATAAGGTCACTTTATGTTATGTGAAAGTGAGCGATTTTGATTTTTCCATACTTTGAAAATTCTTTCTTTCTTAAAAGTTTTTCTGTACTTATTTTTTTCCAGTTTGCATGCGTTTAGTGTAAACTAAAATTTATTGAAAGTTTTCAACGTCACACCAGTTATGCAAATACATATATTTGGGTGTAGCATATGTATCAGTACCGGGGGAGGGGGGTTAGTCACACAAATGTTTTGCAAAGATATACATGATATAGGAATTAAAAATTGGGGCTCACCTTGGGGGGGGGGGGTAGCCTAGTCACGCAAGTCGTTTGACACCCCACTGTGAGACCATCGATGCGACATACGTGTAGGTGACCTAGACAGGGGGGGGATGGGGTTTCAATTTCATACTTAAGTAAAAATGAGTTGGTCTGAGAGACATTCTATATACTCATCTTCTCCTTGTTCTCGATGAGGGTTAATCAATACATGTAAATTAAAACGTTTTTTTTTTTCGAAAGATATAATTATTAAAAATTGATTCTCTCAATTACTAATATCTAAGTATATTCTATATGCTCATTTTCTCCTTGTTCCCGATGAGGGTTAATCGAAACATGTAAATTAAAACGTTTTTTTTTTCGAAAGATATAATTATTAAAAATTGATTCTCTCAATTACTAATATCTAAGTATATTCTATATGCTGTTCCCGATGAGGGTTAATCGAAACATGTAACACTATTAAAAATTGATTCTCTCAATTACTAATATCTAAGTCTAGAATTTTTGTTTTATACATATTTTTTTGAAAGTGCGTTAAATCTCCACTTGGTAAAATTGTTGATGTTCACTCTTAACGCACTTTGAAAATTTTTTTCAAAGTGCGTTGAGTGTGTCCCAAATTTAACACACTTTGAAAATTTTTTTCAAAGTCCGTTGATTTTGTCCCAATTTTGACGCACTTTGAAAAAAATTTCAAAGTGCGTAATTTTTTCAAAGTGCGTTATCACAATGCTTCAAAAAGATAAACTTTAAGTAAACATGACTTTGTCTTTTGTTTAAAGTTTGTTGTTATTTCTATCTTTGTACATAACTTGGATAAGTTCAGTTTACTATTTTAGAGGTCTCACGAGTTTTCTCTCTTCCAACTTATACGATACGCCAATGTCCACAGCAATCAACAGGTAATATTTTAAACCAAATAACAATTTTATAACTGCTGGTTGTCATGAGTTTAACGGGGTGCTTTGGATAATCTAGGGACATTGGCGGTTTTCATTCCTTAGTCATCTAAAAGAACCCTTACAAATTTACCATGCGCATATTGCAGAAAATACTGGCAAGTATAGGTCAGATCTATACACAGATCAAAATTTGCAGCTTTCCTCTTGTATATGATTGTGTCTCCATATGAGTGAAATTTTACGGTAGTCGAGAGATAGACAACAAAAAGCGCATAATTCACAAATATTAAAAGATTATTGATGAAAGAAGTTCAGGGGCCTTCCTTATGTCATGGAGAAGGGGCGGGTCCAAGCTGGTCTCAAACACTGCTGATCTATGGAACACTTGAGTAAGGTTTTAATTTACGTAAGGCAGTAAATATTGTGCCATGAATTATCTAACATCTAAATTTTACTTTCTCAATATTCGGTCATCTTTTTTTCATTCGACGACCGATAGGACTTTAAAGATGAACTATTTTAGGCATTGAAGGACAAGGAAATCAAGGTGATTTTGTTCACAAGTGAAATATATGTGAAACATATGTGACTAAAATCAAATCTTATATTAAAAGATTTCAAACAGAAAATTAGCAATGTTCACAATTTATTTGTCTTTTGTTGACATATTATTTGAATTTAAATAATTCGTGTTGATCTTCCGAAAGTGCAGCTTATTTTTTAAGTTAATTTATTTACATGTAAATGTTTCATGAAAAAATAAGTGACGATTACAAAATAAGTTTCTACTAAAATATACCTTACAAGGAATAAAATTTACGATTGTAAAGAATCTATGTATTGTCTACCATATTAATATTTAAAATGATTAGGACAATAAACAATGCAGGCCTACGTGCATGAGATTTTGCACTTTTAAAGGTGTCCTCTTGCTTAAGGCTGTTTTCCCGGAATGGTATCTAGAATGTATCTCCAGATATGCAAATTTAAAGAAACATGGCACGATTTTAGGACATCTGTTCATCACCTTAAAGATCTTGCCCTCTCTATATAGAATAACCTAACATAGTGTTATTAAAGGTACTTGGACACAGATTTGAAGTTAATTTTTTCTCCATAATATTACGACTTATATATTTTAATAGCATTCACACAAAAATTAATTAAAAATCTTATTTGTTGTTATTTCTATCTTTGTACATAACTTGGATAAGTTCAATTTACTATTTTAGAGGTCTCACGAGTTTTCTCTCTTCCAACTTATACGATACGCCAATGTCCACAGCAATCAACAGGTAATATTTTAAACCAAATAACAATTTTATAACTGCTGGTTGTCATGAGTTTAACGGGGTGCTTTGGATAATCTAGGGACATTGGCGGTTTTCATTCCCTAGTCATCTAAAAGAACCCTTACAAATTTACCATGCGCATATTGCAGAAAATACTGGCAAGTATAGGTCAGATCTATACACAGATCAAAATTTGCAGCTTTCCTCTTGTATATGATTGTGTCTCCATATGAGTGAAATTTTACGGTAGTCGAGAGATAGACAACAAAAAGCGCATAATTCACAAATATTAAAAGATTATTGATGAAAGAAGTTCAGGGGCCTTCCTTATGTCATGGAGAAGGGGCGGGTCCAAGCTGGTCTCAAACACTGCTGATCTATGGAACACTTGAGTAAGGTTTTAATTTACGTAAGGCAGTAAATATTGTGCCATGAATTATCTGACATCTAAATTTATACTTTCAAAATATTCGGTTATCTTTTTTTCATTCGACGACCGATAGGACTTTAAAGATGAAATATTTTAGGCATTGAAGGACAAGGAAATCAAGGTGATTTTGTTCACAAGTGAAATATATGTGAAACATATGTGACTAAAATCAAATCTTATATTAAAAGATTTCAAACAGAAAATTAGCAATGTTCACAATTTATTTGTCTTTTGTTGACATATTATTTGAATTTAAATAATTCGTGTTGATCTTCCGAAAGTGCAGCTTATTTTTTAAGTTAATTTATTTACATGTAAATGTTTCATGAAAAAATAAGTGACGATTACAAAATAAGTTTCTACTAAAATATACCTTACAAGGAATAAAATATACGATTGTAAAGAATCTATGTATTGTCTACCATATTAATATTTAAAATGATTAGGACAATAAACACTGCAGGCCTACATGCATGAGATTTTGCACTTTTAAAGGTGTCCTCTTGCTTAAGGCTGTTTTCCCGGAATGGTATCTAGAATGTATCTCCAGATATGCAAAAGAAACATGGCACGATTTTAGGACATCTGTTCATCACCTTAAAGATCTTGCCCTCTCTATATAGAATAACCTAACATAGTGTTATTAAAGGTACTTGGACACAAATTTGAAGTTAATTTTTTCTCCATAATATTACGACTTATATATTTTAATAGCATTTCACACAAAAAATAATTAAAAATCTTATTTGATTTAAAAGTTATTAAGATTTTAATTTTTTTGGCGGGTTTGTTTGGCACATCCTTGCACTTTCACAAATTTTAACTTTATTCTTCATCCTTAGGAAAAGTGCAATCTCGTTGTGTATTAATGAAAAATATTAATACTATAATCCAGAAAATTCAGAGTAGACATGTTCGAAAGCAAAACAAACTCACAATATATTGTCAGGCCGTGCAGTTGTGGTGAGCAGACTTTGGCTATTGAACGCACCCGGTGAATCGTAAACATCAAACAATAACAGGCTCTTGCCTTGTTTACAAAAACTGTGTACATAACACGAATGTGCTCTATTTGCTAAACTCTTTACACAACGGAAAGACGATACTTGTGAAGGAGTTTTGCTTTCTAACATTTCTACTCTGAATAAAATTATTTTTCTGGATTTAAGTTTTAATATTTCTCATTAATACACAACAAGATTGCCACTTTTCCTTAGGATTAAGAATAAAGTTAAAATTTGTGAAAGTGCAAGGATGTGTCAATCAAACCAACCAAAAAATTTAAAGTTTTAATAACTTTTCAATGAAATAAGATTTTTAATTAATTTTTGTGTGAAATGCTATTAAAATATATAAGTCGTGATATTATACAGAAAAAAATAACTTCAAATCTGTGTCCAAGTACCTTTAAAGGACAGCACATCAAATTCATTTAATTGTAGTTTCTTGAGAAATATTTTTCATGTTGAATGATTTTTTAAAAAAATGAATAGAAATTTATTTATATTAGTTTAAAAGTGCCTTTTTAAGTATCTATTTAATTAACTCGTTATAAACAGCTATTTTTGCGGATATCAAACAAACAGTAGACTAGATAGAATCTTATTAACAGAATTTAAAATTAAGCCATTTGATGATTTATTAAAATACAAAAGGCCTACATTCCCAAATGAAAATTATTTTGTATATTAAACCCAATAAATTTTATTATAATGAATTGAGTCACCATGACCTACTAACTAGAACAAATATTCTTCCTTTTTAAAACTGCCATTACTCTTTCACCTTATTTTAGGAACATACTTTTCTTTTCATAAAATACATAAAGGCCACGATTCATATTTTGGACTCTAAGGTTTTTTTTCGCTTTTTAACCAAAAGTTGAAGGATTATCCTTGAGGATTTATTTACCTCAAACGTATGTTGTTTAAATATATCTTTATCAGCACTCTTGTAAATCAAATATATCAAACTTTTTGAAGTACAAAAAGTTTAAATTTAAGAAATAATTCATATGTCATCCTTGGTTTTTTCTTTTCAATTTTTTAATTCTCTATTGCAATAGATATTACATCAGTACTTCTTCCGTTTAAGAAAATTTTATTCATTATGAATGCACATCTTTCAAAATCGTTATCAAAAACAAATGGGTGCAACACATTTCGAGGTACTAGTATCTATGTCACAACGGCTTTGTGATTAAGTTCTGAATTTGCTACTATTCCTTAGCTGAAAAAAGGCCGTCTGGGGTGGGTAAGAGATACCATTTCAGGACACCTTCTCAACACTTTGTAAAGCACATGAAATATTATTTGTGTCATTTAAAGTCAAAAAGTAAATGCCAAAATATGTTTGAAACAGAGGTAGTCTAAAAATTGCGTTTTTGGTTTTAATTTTACTTGTGTAAGACATTCAAATGCTTTAATTTATGTAAATCAAACTAAGGATGATTTCATATTACAATTGTACAATCTATTAGAAAACTTATAAATAAACTAAATGTCGAGAGGGTAAAATTAACCTTTATGAACAAAAAATTTTAAAAAATTGAATCGGAAGAAAACAGGCAATCGTTTTCTATACATGTATCTAAAGCATTTGTTAGCTCACCTGAGCCAAAGGCTCAAGTGAGCTTTTCTGATCACAATTTGTCCGTTGTCTGTCGTTGTCGTCGTTGTAGTTGTTGTCGTCGTCGTTGTTGTTGTTGTAAACTTTTCACATTTTCGACTTCTTCTCAAGAACCGCTGGGCCAATTTCAACCAAACTTGCCACAAAGCATCCTTGGGTGAAGGGGATTCAAGTTTGTTCAAATGAAGGGCCACGCCTTCATTCAAGAGGAGATAATTGGGAATTAATGAAAATTTGGTGGTATCTTTTAAAAAATCTTCTTCTCAAGAACCACTGTGCCAGGAAAGATGAAACTTATTGGGAAATATCCTCAGGTAGTGTAGATTCAACTTTGTTCAAATCATGACCCCCGGGGGTAGGGCGGGGCCACAATGGCCGACCAAAGCTTTACATAGAAATGTGTGGGAAAATTCTTTAAAAATCTTCTTCTTAAGAATAACAAAGCCATGATTGATCATATCTATATGGAAGAATCCTCGGGTAGTGTAGATTCAAGTTTGTTCAAATCATGACCCCCGGAGGTAGGGCTGGGCCACAATGGCCGACCAAAGCTTTATATAGAAATGTATGGGAAAATTCTTTAAAAATCTTCTTCTTAAGAATAACAAAGCCATGATTGATCATATTTATATGGAAGAATCCTCAGGTAGTGTAGATTCAAGTTTGTTCATGACCCCCGGGGGTAGGGCTGGGCCACAATGGCCAATCAAAGTTTTTCATAGAAATATATAGGAAAATTCTTTAAAAATCATCTTATCAAGAATAGCAAAGCCATGATTGGTCATGGGACTACTTTTGGATATAAACTATTCAATAATAAACCAATTTCTACTTTTCCCCAGCCACAGTGCTCAGCTGAGCGACGTGGCCCATGGGCCTCTTGTTTTACTTATTTAGATTCACCATCTTAGTTTTTGACGTAGTTTGCCTATTTGATCTACATTGTATTTCGCTTCATTACAGACAAGAATGGCCTATCATTTTGGTACTTCAGTCCAGAATTAATTAGAATTTTTCTATGAATATTTTTATGATTTTCTGTCTTGTATTTTTTTTACTAGTTTTTTTTTTTAAATATATTTTTAAAAATAAAATCTGACTACGTTTTTCACATTTAATTTTGTAACTATTTATTTTCTATAAAGGAAGAGAATTTATTATTATTTGAAATATTAATCATCAGTAGACAAAAGATATCAATCATATATAACCCATTCAGACAACGAAAATTTGCTTATGTGTGCAAATATTCATATGAGTAAATCTACACACGCAAGTAAAAGTTAATTTGCTATGTGTATAGACGAAATTTATGTACTAGAAGTAAATCCTCATACTTTTATATAAGATAAGGAGATGGATAGATTCAGCATTGTGAATTTTTATAATTAAAAAATTGTATTTTCTTCTAATTTTTGAATGTTCCCCAAAGAAACAAGGACAAAAACCCGATCCACTGATTTATTGGTGCAAAAAAACTAACTTAATGAATTTAAGGACAAAGAATGGTATAAGAATTTTCACACGAAGAGGGGGGAATTTATTAAAATCATTGTTTAAAGTTGAAAATGTTTTGGTCCGGGTGCTAAAGACTGTAGAAAAGTCGTTGAGTGTAAAGAAAATGGTGGCTGTTGCCATCTAGTGGTTGGCGTCTTCAGCAGAAATAGGACGATTGGAATCTTTTTGTTGTTGGGAAATCTAGAGTACATCAAGTTTGAGAGGGCATAATGAAAAATCTCCTGAAATATTAATTGTATTTTTCAGAAGAAAGAAAAGGGTGAATAAAACAAACAGCGATCGATCTCAAAAATCCGTTAACAGTACAAGTATGTGAATAGAAAATAAACAGAACCCCTGGAAATTCATTGGAGTGATTTCTAACAAGCACCCAACAGGTGTCAATGAGGATACTTTCGAATGCTTATTTTAAATGAGGTTGTTGAAATTCCTGTAACATCAACTTGTATGTCAGTAGATTGCCTTGGTTGAAAAACGGAGAAAACTAGAAGAAAGTCATAATTATACAGAGCTTGAGCTAATTTATAAGGCGGCCTGTACAATTGATAGAATGTACATGTATATTCCTATCAAACCTCCATGGAGACTACTTGAATAGTAAGGGGACTACTAATTGATCCTGCTGGACACATGTTTGCAACCACATTTATATCATTGGAGAAAAATATGAATTTTTCAGAAAGGGTACAAGAAGTAAAAATTCAAATTTATCTCAGAAGAGAAAATGGCTTCTTGTTTTCAGAGTTGAAAATGCCATTTGTGGAAAGTACTATGCTAGTACAATCCAGCGTATCCTTTAAAAAAGTCAATTTACATTCAACTATCTTTGAGGTAGAGCAATGATAACCATTAAACATCCATGTTTTTGAGCTTTGATTTCTAGCCGCCAGGTTTACTAACTGTTATTTTACATGCCCCAATGCATACACAACAAAAACAACCCTTAAAAGGTAGATTTATGCAATAAACAAAACAAAATACACACATAAGTAAATTTGCTGCGTGTTCATAGGACAAAATTTACTCACTTGAACTAAAAATTTGCGACAACATGTATGCAAAAGTAAATTTTCACCATGTCCTGACCAGGTGTAAATTTTCTCAAATGTGCAGAATTTGCATGTAGGCAAATCAGTTCATACGACAAAAATTGCACATGTTAGTAAATTTGATATGTGTAAAATATACTGAGGTATGCAAATCGTGTCGTATGAATGGGGTATTATGATAGCCTTTTCAATATGTAATAAGTGTAAATAATACTATTGATTAGCGAAACAAAATTTCACGAAATGTGGTTATTTCTCTATATAATCTTAATGAATACTATTATACGCGAGAATTTAATTTTCGCGAGCACACTATCTCGCGTAATTACGCGAAAATAAAGTTCTCGCGAATAAAAAGTGATTTACAGTATACTTCTTGTTGACCAAAACTTCTGAATGAATGCTCTACGATGTATGCACAAAGTATCATAAAAATCTAGAGCATAAGTGAAACACGAGCATGAGGTTAAATACCAACCGTGTTCTTTAAATGCAAGATGGAGTGTGCCTCAAGGATGTTTTTTAATGTACAATATTTCTTACAAATGTTATTAATTACATGTATTCAAGGTGAAAATATTCATCTGAACAAAATTTCTACATTATACATACCGTTTTCGTACAATGAAGAGGGGAAACCTATTTTTTCTTTGGACGGAGGATCAGCAGAACAAATGGCTTATGATTTCCAGGATCAGATTGTGTATATTGTCGGTGAGGTTTTATTTTTGGTACTCATTAAATAATAAATTTCGAAACTTTCAGCAAATAGTGTTTTACAACAATATGTTTAAACTATTTTATCAAGCTGTCGCAAAAAAAACAACTAGTAGTGTTTTTCAATGCATGACGAAAAATTTATTATCCAAAGTAAAATGGTTTTGAGGTTTCGCCAAAGAACAACATGTCCAAAAATGTCTTTTTACAATAGCTCAAAAACTATGTGAGGTATAAAGTTAAAAATGTTAAATAATTTTGAGAAAAAATATATTCAAAAATTTGCATAATTTTGAAAAGTGCACCCGCTTAATTCTGTACTTTTATTGAAAACCATAATTGCGGAAATGATATATGTTTGTCAATAAAGGGCAAGTTGGACGTGAATGGTCTCTGAGAGGCTGTTATTGAAAGCATGAAATGTAAAAAGACAAGACCCCTATAAAATCTGCCATTTGCAATGTACTTTTGGTTTCATATCTTAACATTATGACAAAATAAACAGGGAAAACAACTTTCCAGAGACTATCGAAGTCCAGCTTGCCCTTCATTGATAAATATATATTGTTTCTGTAATAAAGCCTTTCACTAAAAGTAAGGAATTATTTAGCTGTATTTTATAAATATATATGCATTTTTCTTAAAGAAGTTTTCTCAATAAATATTTTTTTAAGTATTTATCATCAATGAAGGATATGGAGATAACGAACAGTATTCCATATCAAAGTCCATAAAACAATACAAAAATAGGAGCAGAGCAAACACGGACTTCCAAAACACCAGAGGTGGGATCAGGCGCCATGGAGGAGTAAGCATCCCCGACTTTCTATCTGTTAATCAATGATATATTTATAAACTGTAAAACTTTTAACTATATAAAAAACACATAGTTTTGGAGCAATTAAAAAAAAAACATTTTTGGACATGTCGTCCTTTGGTGAAACCTCAAAAAAAAAAGCATGAAATACACAATGTAAATTGTATTCATCTTAACATTAAGTAAATACTAAACATACAAAACAGTTTTTTAAAAAAAGCAAATAGCATTGCAAAAAAAGATAGATTCTTTAACCGTTAACGCCACCTATATGGTCACCGGGACAACATAAACCCTTCATGTAAAAAAATGAGCATATAGTCTGACATTATATATACACTGGACAGAGTAGTGACTTGATAAGATTTTGCAGGCACTTCCTTTTGAAAGTTAAAAATAATCATCTTATTACTAGTGCGTCAAGGGATCTTGACCAAAAATTCAAATGTATACTCGATTCTCATTATATCGCGGGTTTCATTGTATCGCGGTATATTCCAAAAGATCAGATACATAGCTCATATGCTTTTTGTTGAAAAAAATATCAGTCTGTCATCTGAATGTAAATTTTTGTGATGATTAAAAAGTATGGAAAATGCGTCTTATTCAAATAAAACGTAATTTTACAAAATCGATCTCCGTTTTTATTATTTTTAGCCCCCTGAGTTTATAGTATAGTAAAATCCATATAAAGTTCATGTTTTGAAAGTCTTTAGTTTGTATAATTGTTTATTTTCTTATGTCAAATTACATGGTAAAATAAAGAATAAGAATTGAAGTCCACGTCAACCTCAAGTTTCCATGTTTTCCCATACCGCGATACTATGAGACTCTCCAATTTAGGAGGTAAATGAGACTTCCCGTTTTAAAAATAGACTACAACTTAGACGATGCAAGCTTGGGAAATAATTTGATACTAAAAAGTTAGGCCATAGTTTGCTTTATCATGTTTATTAATATCATTTGATGAAAGTTAAATTTAAAAAATCAAATTACACTTTTTTATGCAAAAGATTTAAGTACCGCGATATAATGAGACACCTGTATATAAATTTAGTATTTTTCAATCTCCAATATAGTTATATATGAATATTTTACTTCTAATGGAGTTGTAGATATAAATTTAAGAAAGATCGACTTCGATCGTGTAGGCTTCACCATAGCCATTAGCTTTTTGTAAAAACCTAAGATCGCAACCTTTGTAACGTAAAAATATTTACAGGGGCATCCAAAATAAATGTTGTTGATATTTCCGAAGTAGAAAATCCACAGATCCTTTACCATAAAGTTTTGGGAGATTTTGATCCCACTGACGTAGAATTCTGTGGGGATCATGTGTTTGTTGCTTTGGATAATAATCAGGACAGAGAAGCTGGGAGGGTGATCGTCTTCAAGAAATATAACCAGAAGTATAACACAATGGAGGCTGTTCTAAATATTACAGGTATATCATAGAGTTTTAATATGTTTAGGGAATCTCATAAAAAAAAACTTTGATTTCTCACAAGAAAGCGTAAATTTATATTTAACAAGATGAAGATCTCTTAAAATTTCTAAAATGGTTTCAATGTTTCTATATGATGCAATTTCAGTTGGACCTCTGCCAGACATGCTTCTTCCAACCTCAAACTGTAAACATGTTTTAATCGCCCTGGAGGCGGAAGCATTTCCTAAAAACGGTAAATTGGTTGACCCAGAGGGTGGCGTTGGACTTCTGAAGTTTCACGGTGTTAACATTACTTCCTCAAGTTATTACTACAAAAGGCTAAATTTTCACAATTTCAATGATAGGTATGACTGAAAATTTTTCATTGAATGAGTCTCAAACATAAACATTAATTACTGGTTCACTAAAGTATATTCTAGAGAATCCAGTTGAGAATTAACTTATCCTGACATATCTATTTGGCCAAGAGGGTGAATATGGATGTAAAGAACTCAAAATCGTTCTGTGTGTGTGTGTGTGTGTGTGTGGGTGTGTGTGTGTGTGTGTGAATTCTTCTATATTTCATTATGAAATGTGTCATCTTTTGATTTCTATATGTACGTGTAGTACCAAACGTATATTTTTTTGTAATTTGTAGATGGAATGACTTGTCAAAATCTGGTGTACGATTTGTTTACAAAGAACAAAACAACACGTTTTCGCAAGATTTAGAACCTGAATATATTACTTTCAGTAAAGATGAAACAAAAGCTTACGTTTGTCTTCAGGTAAATGAATATTTTGCAATGTACCTCTTGAATAGTCATCTGTCATCAATTAATCTACATCATGAATCATTTTTTTCTAATCTGATCAGCATCTTTATAATTCTCCAAATACAAGGTAGAAAGGCAGACAATCGGATGGCTGCTAAGGATATTTTGTCAAAATGCAAGATGAAAAGCAGATCGACGACTGGGTGACAACTAAGGACATTTGGTTATACTTAAGTTAGATGACTCCTTTAAAAAATAAAAGAAAGAAATAGTCCTTTGATTCCTTTTCTGTGTCACCATTTGTGCATTTTACCTTTTATCTCAAGAGCACACTGCAAAGTTTGCTCCATAAATTTATCAGTTGAACGTTTCTTAATTTACAAACCCTTTTCTGAATAACTAAAATGCCGCTTCATATAAAATTTACCGGTAGGCAAATATTGAAAAAGATTCAAGAATTTCTATCATCAAACGAGATATGTTCGCTTAGAGAAATCAGAGCATGCATAAAGCATATAAAGTATAGTTCCCAATTGAATGTGATAGATATGGAGTCGCAAGAAAGACATCTTTAAGTATTATTATATATCAAAACACGTAAGTTTTCTTCATGTACTATCTATCGAAAGAGAAATAGCTGTTACTAACAAACTTAATTTTTTTGCCAAGATAATGGAAACATGTGCAGACTGAAAATTTAAAAGAAGAACATTTTGTAATTAAATCAAAAAGAATACACGTTTGACATTAAGTCTTAATTTATAACTTAGACTTTTCATGAACTTTTCAGGAATGTCTTTTGACACCTTATCCCATTTCCCTTCTCCAGCTCACCATCAAAATATAAAAAGAATTTTTGAAAGTCATGCACTGTGCCACCGACAAAGTTTTTAATTTAAAATTAGCGTTCGTAATATATTTTTTACCAGCACAAGAACAAATAAAGGTAGAAATATGAAATTGAGGTGTCAGTCTTTCTTAAACATTTTTTAACCATTACATAGAGTTAGTTCTTCTTATTTGTTCTGAAAGGTCTAGTCATGTCTAATATTTTTTAAATCACAAATAACTAATGCAACCTTTTGACTATCATTCAGTTTTGAACTGATTTGACTTTAGGACCATTTGCCCTTTTAAGGTCAGTCAGGTAAATACTTATCATATGTCCCTTCACGTAAATGTCCACCTTTCTACGTGATACGTCCTTGATTAAATGTACAGGTGAATTCATGCAAATGTCCTAAAGTAGCCTGTTACAAAACGGATTCCAAATATTTGTCCTTGGTCAAACCGTCCCCATATTTCTTGTCAAACCCTCCTCATTTTATGACATAAAATTTGATTACATTTCTTAAATATCTCTTGGCCGCAATGAACTTCCGAGGAAAAACTTTTCTCTCGATCATATACATGTACTATATACCTGTATGTAAAATAAACATTTTGTCATCTCTATTCTCTTGATTTAGAAATGGATGTTTCATTCAATTGAAAACCCATACAACCAATGTATTATTTTCTTCAACTTTACAGGAAAATAATGCTATCGCTGTGGTAGATTTGGAGACTGAAAATATTACAGCAATTCATGGACTTGGTTTCAAAAACTGGAGTAATTCTAAACTTGATGCTAATGACAAAGATAACGGTAATTAAATGAAGTGAATCTTAACTAAAAAAGCTTTATTTGAAAAATAATTTTACACACCTGCTTTTTTTATGATTTCGACTTTGATATTGTAAATCTAACAGGGCTTGTTGACCCTTTTAGGACAGCGTCCTGTATCCTACCAAATGGGATTTTGAATCGAAAAAGTGGAAAATTTCGGAAAAATTGAGGCCATGCATCATCTTAAAAGTTGAATAAAGAGTTACTTTGAAGGCTTGATCTCTGTTCAAATCTTTATCATATGAGTCATTAAAATGTCAAAATTCAAGTTTGTTTTATTATAAAAGGCACAGCAAATTTCAGCCTGTGTATCATTTGGGAATTTCTTTTACCTTAATTTTGGGAAATTATTATATTTTCAATTGGACAGGGTCGTTTTACAGGACCAGGATGCAATTTCAGGGTTATCAAGCCTTGTCTGATATTATCCGTTTTCTTCTCTAGAAATCATCATCAGATCACTTCCGGTGTACGGGATGTACCAGCCCGACGCTATCCATTCGGTAAAAATGAATGATGTTGAATACATCATCACAGCCAATGAAGGAGACAGCAAGGATTATTCTGAATATCCACAGAATATGACTGGTTTTAGTGAAGAAATAAGAGTCAAGGATATCTCTTTAGCAAGTACTGTGTGCTGGATTGTATAGATATGATTAGCAAGGCTAAAAACAATTCTTTCTTTCTTATACACTTAAATTTATCTATTTTCTATAATTAAACCTAACATTGAGTTGTTATTTTTCAAAGATGATTCCGAAGTCACAGGGTGGGCATCTCAAAACAATGTAGAGAATGTTTTGAGTGATGCAATTTTAGGTAATTGTTCTTTATTACACATGCTCTGCTATTACATATTAAAACTTTTGATGTTTTATGTTCATGTTAAGGTTACTTAAACTGAACTTTTTTGTTTTCAATATATGTTTCATTTGATTTAAATTGCTTGTCTGTTTTAAAGGAAGGCTGCAAATCACAACAGAAAATGGACGACTGCCCGATGGAACCTTTGATAAATTGTACACATTTGGTGGAAGAGGATTTTCAGTTTGGAGAGCTGATACAATGACCAACGTTTATGATAGCGGAAGTGACGTAGAAGACACTCACGCAGAATCAAGACCTGATCTCTTCAACGCAAATCCTAAAGCTGATACAATTATTAAGTCCACAATGGACTCCAGATCAGATAACAAAGTAAATCACACATGTAACTTTCCATGATTTCATTATATATTACTTTTAAAGCAAAGTGGCAATGAATAGTTATATATCACATGTTTCACAGTTCTACTCATGTGGAATTTTTAACGTCTAGACGAAAAATTACATCGCTGATAAAACTTTTCATTTTTATCCGTTTAAATTAATTGATGACATTTGTAATTCAGCCTTTACGATTTTCTTATTAAATTATTTTTCATACTTAGGGTCCTGAGAGTGAGAGTCTTGCAGTTGCCTACGAAGGTAACAAAGTTATAGTTTTCCTTGGAAACGAGAGACCAGGTTCAATCAGTATATATTCATTTACTGGAAATATGACCTCACCAAGATTTGAAAGTGCCTTTTGGGATATACCTTCTTCCGATGAATCTTGGACAGAAGCCTTTGACCGCAAAACCATTAGTAGTATCGATCCAGAAGATCTAAAGTAATTGTCCTTCCAAAATGTTTAAGTAGCCTAATAAAATAATCACATATTTTAATTTCATACTTTTCGGTTTTTTATCGAAATATGTCCATGATTTTTAATTTTGTAATTGTTAGATACATTCCACCACATCAAAGTCCAAGCGGTAGACCTTTGTTATTGGTGGCTGGTTCTGTTAGTGGCACTCTCTCTATTTTAGAAGTCAAAGGCTTCAATATTGGTAAGCATGGGCTTATTGAGTATTTAGATTGTACCTACCGATCGGCACAGACTTATCACGAATCTGCTTTTCAATCGGATAATTAATTAATGTTACTTAATGTTATTTAATATTGGAAAATTAGTATAATAATATTTTTTTCATTTTTCAGAAAACACAAGCAATGGGGGATCTCAGAACTACTTACGTAAGCTTCTACTTTTTACAATGTTTTTTGAAATTCGTATGTCACCATTTTCTTCATAAAATAAGTTTTTTTAACCGTCGGTCGTCTGTCCATCAGTTCATTATACTTTCTTGTCATCAAAATTTATTTATATTTGTTGTTTCGTTGTTTTCATAACTTATACAATTGAATTCTTTTTTTCAGAAATGAACTTTGGTGTCCTTCTTCCTTTATTAGGAGTGTGCATTCTTGAAATTATTATATAATATATTTCAAATATTTTGATAAATTTTTAACTTGTCATTATAAGAATACTACGATATTGTTCTTATTGTCATTTACTGTAATTTAGAAAAATAAAAAAATAATAATCTTTATTTTTATTCTTGCTATTATCTTTATTTTAAAGATGTTTTAGAAAAATCTTTAAATATAATTTTTTAAGCTTGCTATTGTTTAATCCTGCTAAAATAAAAGACGGTTTGAATGATGGTTTATCTGTATAAAAGTACATGTACTAGTAAATTAAACTTCGTTTCAGTTTGTGTAGATATCATCAGTATTGGTATTGAACAAATATGACCTGGCTTTTGAATAATTTCAAGGACATTGCAAGATAAGGCGACATAAATGACCTTCATTTGTTTGTATTTCCTATCATTAAATGTCGTTATGTTCCCTCTCATGTCCAGTGTGTATTTTTAAAAATTAAAGGAAAAAATACAATTAAAAAATTGGAATCCAACGATTCATTTAAAAATATATAATTGAATCGTATATTTAAGTACTGGCCATCAACTTAAATTGTTCTAATAATATACAGTTCCAATAAGTATTAACTCATCTGTAGACGTTCAACAAAAATTAGCTTAGTTCGTCAAATAAATTTTATTGATTCTGTTTAGTTTTCATTTTGTAATCTTTATGTTAAGGCTAGTTTTTATGAAAAAAGACGATATCTTGATTTTATTTTTTGATTCTATACTTTATCAAAGATGTAATCATATTATATGAAAACATTGACTCCATACATAACTCAAACAAAAAACATGATTACAATGACCTCTTGCTAAACAGAGCTTTGTCTTTAAAGTGCATGCTTTGATATTCCACCAAAGCATGTGCGTCATTTACAAAGCGGGGGTTATAAAAATTTATACGTTGGGAAGTTCGTTGCAATTTTTTATAAGAATTTTTTTTCTCCTTACAAAATTAATGTTAAAATCGAGGCTGTGCTGCCACATGTACATAAGATGGGTTAGTGCGTGACAGTGTCACTATGTCTGGGTATTTGATCACATGACAACCCAATATAAATTCATCAATTTTTCTCAATCTAGAACTCATTCTCAATATATACCCCAATTATAAAATCATTTAAGTTAAAAAAATGTTTATTATGAAAAAGTTCTTAAAGACCTATCAAAAAATATTTTTCTTACAAATATTATTTGCCATTTATGGCCATTGTAATAATATTCATTTAGAGAAAATTTCTGACCTATACGTACCCTTTTCATATACTGAGGCTGGAGCGCCGGTTTTCACTTTAGTTGGGGGAGCCGCTGAGCAACTCGCTTACGATCCGCAGGATAAAATTGTATATATAGTTGGTAAGTTACAGTATTACTATATAATAGTAATAATACAATGATTATTCAATTTATTTTTTCCTAATTATATTTTTAAATTTATTTTGTTCCTTTTTTCATGCTGTAAGCTACATTAAGCTACATGTAGTTTAACTTGACATTGTACGTACATGTGTATATCGAATTCTGACGTCTATACAGTTTACAGTTAAATATGTCAAATTTTTCCTATTCAAGACAGATTTAGCTAAAAAGAAGAGAATTATATGCTAGATATTAAGACAATAAGAAGTAATTCTTCGACCTCAACCGATCCGTTTCGTAAAGCAATAACACCTTGTTTAAATTAGATTGTGATGGTATATTTGAACGTGTTCGTTATTATTTCCAGGAGCGTCCAAACTCAACGTTGTGGACATATCCAATGTTGACAAGCCAGAAATTCTCTTCCATGAGATTCTGGGAGATTTTGATCCCACTGACGTAGAAGTCTGTGGAGATCACGTGTTTGTCGCCTTGGATAATAATCAAAATAGAGAGGCGGGGAGAGTGGTCGTCTTCAAGAAGTATGATAAAAAGTATAACACAATGGAGGCCGTTCTAAATATTACAGGTAAACATTTCTAATACCAAAAAAAAAAAGATTTTACTTCATGTTTTGCCCCAAAAAGTATATATTTGAGAGAGAATAAATTCACTGACTTTCCAGCCAGTTAATAATAGCATATTAATGAAAATTTGATTTATCATGTCGTAAATTTTGAATTTACAAGGGGGAGGTAAATACAAATTTTACAATTCATCCTGTTGTAAATTTTGCTTTTACCTCCCCTATAGTAAATTCAAAATTTAGAACATGATAGATCTCTAAATTACAACTGTTGTATATAATATTAAATAATACTGTTTTCAGTTGGTCCTCTACCAGATATGCTACTGCCTTCCTCAAACTGCAGCACTGTTCTAATTGCCCTGGAGGCGGAGGCATTTGCCAGAGACGGCAAATTAGTGGACCCAGAGGGTGGTGTGGGGTTGCTGAAGTTCCATGGTCAAAGCACCTCAGCCTCCCACTATTCGTACAAAAGGCTGAATTTTCACAATTTCAATGATAGGTAAGAATTTAGAGAGGGATAGCCGGGGGAGAGTTAGAAATATGAATGGGGCATGATAAGTGAATAACTATACATGTTCATTCCTTGTCAACCAGTAGTAGAACACTTAACTTTTAAGATTTATTACAAAGCTACGTACAGATATGCTTATGTAAGATTTTAATAAAATTATTTGATACCATTTATCTTACTTTTTCAGGTTTTGAACATATTTTATTGTATAATTTATACATACGTATATATATACTAGTACTTTTTCAGGTGGGCTGACTTATCAAAATCCGGTGTACGCTTTATCTATAAAGAAAATAATAATACGTTCTCCCAGGATTTAGAACCAGAATATATCACTTACAGCAAAGATGAAAAGAAAGCTTACATATGCCTTCAGGTAAAGGGAATTTGCTAAGTCAAGTGTACTCTTTTGCGGAGTACGTACTTCCCTGTACGTATTTCCTTGTAAATAGATAAATGCAATCAGTTTCTAAGTATATTTTTTGAAAATATTACCGATAAAACATGGAAGATTCATTTCAGTATAATTCTATATACATTCAAAAATTGATGACAAAGCAATTCTACTAATGGTTCTCTCACTTGCTCCGAGTATTCCTTGTGATATTCTGATTGGTTTTTTTTTCCGGATATTTAGGAAAACAATGCAATAGCAGAAGTAGATTTAGAAACAGCGAACATAACAGCAATTCATGGGCTTGGTTTTAAAAACTGGAGAAATGCTAAACTGGATGCTAGTGATAAAGACCATGGTACTTGTATTTAAATGAATATTCATAAGATTCTTCATTCTATTTAGTTTTGTTATTATTATTTTGTCACAATTGTTAATTTAAGAAATTTTCAAACCAACTGAGAACTCTAATTTTCTTTTAAATATTTTGTTCATTGTTTTCAATAGGTGTAAATAAATTCAAATTTTGTTTTCAGGAATTCATATCAGACCTTTGCCTGTGTTTGGGATGTATCAACCTGATTCCATTCATATTATGGATTTTAAGAATGTTGAATACCTCATCATGGCTAATGAGGGCGACATTAAGGATTATTCAGAATACCCTCTGCATATGACTGGTTTCAGCGAAGTGGTGCGAGCCAAGGATATTACGCTATCAAGTACAATAATTCTAGATATATTTATTCACCATTCAGTTTTATTTCCATTGTTTTATCATTTTGGATATGTTATACGGTTGAATTTTCTTATTTTGTTTGCTAGATAATTCTGATGTAATTACGTGGGCAAAAGAGAATAACATAAGGAATATCATGGACGATTCAAATTTAGGTAACTCTAGTTTTTATAATATAACAAGAAAAATACATTTTAAAGTCAATAAAAATGAACAAATAATCTCTCTCTCTCTCTCTCTGAATACGTTGAGCGTGTCTGTGAATGTTGATGTTTTTGACTTGATATGAATACTCCATATAATTTAATAGGAAGGTTGCACATTACAAAAGAGAGTGGTAGATTGCCGGATGGCACCTTTGATAAACTGTACACATTTGGTGGACGAGGCTTCTCCATTTGGAGAGCTGATACAATGACCAAAGTTTACGACAGTGGGAGTAGCGTAGAGGATACACTATCACAATCAAGACCCGATCTCTTTAACGCAGATGCAAAAAAGATTCACAAAGTTGTAAAAAACACGATGGATAGTAGATCGGATGACAAAGTAAACATCAAACAATGCTTAATGAAATACATGTTAAACTATAAAATGTCACCATAAATCTTTCTCTATAATGCCTAATTTTATTTCAAAGGGTCCGGAAAGTGAAAGTATTGCAGTAGCTCACGAAGGCAACAGAATTATAGTTTTCCTTGGCAATGAGCGTCCAGGTTCTATCAGTATATACTCATTCAATGGAGACATATCCACGCCACATTTCGAAAGTGTTTTCTGGAATATACCAAACTCGGAGGTCCCGTGGACAGAGGCTTTTAACCAACAGACCATAAGTTGTATAGATCCAGAGGACATAAAGTAACCTTTCAAATAGCTTCAACAGATCATTGTTACAAATAGTTTGAACTTTCAGTTTAACTCGTTGAAATACGTGATCTTAATTATCCAGGAAATACTAATTATCTAGAATAAAATATATAGTCTATATTAATACTACAACAATATTTGCAGTTCGGTGTGACGTAAATATTTAAGCATGTAACTGGATAATAAATGCCTAAAATGTTAATAGATTTAAAACATTCGATTTTAAGATTTAACTGTATATGATGTATTGAATTCCTCTTACTGGTACTATATACTTTCAGATACATTCCTCCTCATCAAAGTCCAAATGGTCGTCCATTGTTATTAGTGGCCGGGTCTGTCAGTGGTACTCTCTCCATACTAGAAATCAAAGGCACCAACATTCCTATACAAAAAGTTTTAGGTTAATTAAACGTAAGTATGATAAAAAAAAATTAAGGTATTGGTATATGTTTACCTTTCAAAATTTTTGATATAGTATTAATATCTTTAAAAAATATTATAATTCAATTTTTTTACAGGTAGTTTGGGAGTTGTGAATTTTATTAACTTTTAGGTATGCTGGTTTTGAACTCTTCATAATGGGTTTGTTAAAAAAATTGTTGCATATTTAGATAAATTACTGTTGTGTATAATTTAACATAATTGTACTTGAGCCACACAACCGGTGGGTCGATCCAGATAAGGGGGAGATATCTTCCTGGCTCCATTATTCATAATTTTATTCTGAAACTTAGAGGGCCAAAATGTGAAGAATTTTTTATTTTGCATAAATGAGCAAAATCTTTGCAATGTTCAAGCACAGTTAAATTACAGGTTGCTTGGTATGTGGAGGGTCAAACACTGAATGCGGTCTGAGTTTCTGATTGACAATACCTATGTGGTTATTGGAGATCATGTCTTTCAACAATCTATTGGAATTCCAATGGGTACCAATTGGGCCCCTTTATTATAAGACCTATATTTGCTTTTAAATGTAGTAGAATTTGTCCAAAATCTTTTACCTGAAAAGAGGAGATTATCTGTTGTGTCCTTGAACTTGACATTTAGATAAATCAATGACATATTGTTAAATTTTTAATTCTGTATTTTCCTTATGTAATATAACAAAACACCAGACAATAGTTATTTCCCCTCTTATGTCGAAACAATATATATATTCTGAACTTGAAATTTAAAATATTTCACAGAGTCTGACATATCTGTTTCATATGTGGAAATTTTACTTGAAAAAGACATTAATGGCAATCAGATAACCAAGTTTTATCATAAATGTGATGACTTTAACTATTCAATTTGTCATGGTCCCTTACTTACGTATGCAGCAATATACCTCCATCACCCGCATACAAGGTTTATTTCTCTCACTTAGTTCAATACGCAAGAGTTTGCTCTACGCATGAACAAATTAAAAAACGAGCTATATATGTTATTGACAAAAAAAAAAGGTGATGAAACAAAAATTTCCTCGGTCCCATTTAAAGTTTTCATTTTTAAGCTTTGTGGTTGACACAATGACCTTTTCAGGAAATACATTTATCATTAGGTCAAATTCTAACTGAAGTTCTTCATTCTAAATGTTAAGCTATTATTTACTTACTGAATTGACGATGGTTTTTCCGATCATGACAATGAGTACACAGCGAGTATGACCTGTCGTCAGGGATGCTAGCATCTCCATGGCACCTCATCCCGATGTATGTTTTGGAGGTCCATGTTAGCTCAGCTCCTATTTTGTATTGTTTGATGGACTAGAATGCTGTTTTGTTTTTGACATAATATGAATAACAATGAAATAGTAATGTAACCGCTATATATTTTTATTTTCTGATTATGATGGTCATTTTCTTTCAACCAAATATATTCTTTTTACAGAGAAAAGTTTGAATTAAATCCTTACTTTTGTATTGTGAAGAGGATGACTTCATTGACCAAAATTCTTTGTTACTACGACTGTTTTAGTAATATGTGACTTTTATACTTTTTTTTATTATTTCATGCAATATAATGTGAGCTCTTTCACACCAGTGTCTTTTCTTATTTTAAAATTATCTAACGGAAACGGCTAAATAAGTGAAGTTTGTCAAACTTGTTTCCAAATCCAGTATTATGAAAAAATACATATACATGTAGTTTTGTACTAATAAAAAAAATTGTTTACACAGTTGTAAGTATTGCTTGCAATTCAAGAATGTGTTGTTGTTGATTTTTTTTTACAAATAAATTAGTCCATTCTTCGAGTGTTTGAGTAATTTCAGTGCATGTAACCATAACTCTTTGCCCCCCCCCCCCCAAACACACACACTATGAAGAAGTGTCCCCGTCTCCCCACCCACCCCGATCCGCACATGCTCTTCTTTTTTTTCCTTAAGTGGGGGATACAGATTCTCTGAATTAGCTTGTATGAAGTTTTATGAGTGCTATTAGAAAACGAATCATCACAATAAAGATTTTTGGGAGCCAAAATTTTAACTCTTTTCTGTCAAGGCCATCACTCCTCATATTCTGTAATACATTACATATACATGTATAAGGGTACGGCTTATACTGTATAATTGTAAATGATACAGGATGCAGATATTGCAGATATAGTACTTCAGGAAATCGCTACTTTTAATTTGCCACAATACAATAAACCATTAAAGCGATGTTTCTCGATGACTTCTGATCGCCCGTAATTCACTAATGTACATATTTTCCGGACATTCGACGAGCTATCATGCTTTTGACATCGTAGACAAAGCCAGTGCAAAGGAGAAACGGTCAAACCTCGAGACCACGTAAGTTTCTATTGTGCAGTCAAGTTTAATTATGTTTCTTCATATTATGCCGGATTTGTTACAAATTATAAAAATAGTATCTTTTCGCAGATTTTTATATCATGAAAATATTGAGCACATTATTCTAACAAGTTAAGCATCTTCAGAGATTCGCGAATTAAGAAGTAAACAGATAAATAGCCATTAGATACATTTTTTACACGTCATGGTTTAACCATGTTAATTTGATATCTTTTAAAAACTGAATTTATGACATTGAATTAATTGGTGTTTTTAAATCACTTAGATTGGAGAGGCTCCAAAGAACGTCCAAAGAACTATCTTCTTGAATCTATTTTAACTTGTTTATGTTTTCCACCAATTTTGATTGCTGCCATTTTCTTTGCACTAAAGGAAAGTTTGGAAATGAGAATATTGTAAAATGTAAAAAAGAAAAAAAAAATACCTTGTTGTATAATTTATATATATCAATTAATTTTGTAACATTGATTTCATAAAGGGGGTATATGTTGCTATCATATTTGAGAACTTGAAAAATATCATTATAATAGAACAATATATATAAAAACAATTTCTATGGTGTAATATGGAATAAACAGGATATTATGGTATACATGAATTGGATCTATCGTAGGTTAACCGTTCTTATGGCCGATACAATTATCTTTCAGCATACATTGCTTCGAAGAAAACAAGAAGTCTAGCACTTTTGTCGTTTTTACTTGGAATTTTTATGTGGATTGTGTTTTTAACACTGTGGAAAATAAAATTCACCAATCCTAAGTGAACAAAACTACTTCTGTAGCCGAATTTACATTTCAGTGTTGTAAAAGACTTGCAATTTAAAGCAAGATTGGAGGATTTCTTCTATTAAACTTTTTATCCCAAGGAACAATACTATTGTGTTATAAAGAACTTCCTTTATGATGCTCACGTGAAAACAATAAAGGCTCTGTATTATAATAAAAGTAAAAGGGACGTGTGTACAGACAGATATAAATTTATGTTTCCGATTTTTCCAAGTTATGCAAACATTATCGTCCATTATGCAATTTGGATTCGGCGGGTATCAGAATTATGATGCGATTCAGAGTGATAGAGAAACTAAAAGCCTTAAAAAGAAAGAACCAGAGGTAGGGCATTCCAAATGTGGTTTATTTTGCTATTAGTTTTGCTTTTATAGATATACCCGACAAGTATTTGTTTCGAATACCCTCTTTATTAGTATTCATAATTCTTCCTCCCCAAAAAACCAATATGATAATTTTGTTCATCTGAAAAGTTTTGCAATAATTTCTTAATCATATAAAGACATTTCGAAAAAAAATATTAAAAAATTAGTTATTTTTTCATTTTACCTTTTGGAAAGAAATGGGAGGGTGGCAATAACTAATTACGAAATTTATTATTAGTGTTATCTTCTTTCAGACAGGACTGGCTGATCAGTTTGGCTACATCCTGACTTCTCCCAAAGATTACAAAGCGGAGGCTGTATTTGCCACCATCTTTTGCTGCTTCCCAATAGGACTGGTGGCTCTATTTTATTCCATGAGGGTATGAATTTAATTGATGTACTGATAAATTTCCATTATGTTCATTTGTTTAATTACTGATAAACTCTATCAAAGTGAGTAAAATACTTATAGGGCAAAATCATATTATTACTTGAAAAAATTAAGAGGCTCATGGCCAACAACGCTTCGCCTTTACTATGTTTACCGATTTTTACAAAAAAATTAAGTTTCATCAGTAAAAATTAAACATGCATTCTGACTTGGTTTTTTTTTTCATAAGTTTTTAAATATTTTGATTTAATGCAAAACTTTCATCACCTTTTGTGACCATGTTCCTTTACCAAGGAGGTCACGATCCAAGTAATTTGATACCTTTATTTCCTAGTTAAGCTTTCACAAACGTTACAAGTTTCAACTTTTAGAAGATCTTTGATGACCACATCCCATTTTAGTATTTTTTAATTAGTAATTTTCTTTGAAAGCAGGCTTTCCTCTTCTTCTGAAAAAAAATTAGAAATCTCTTTTAATCAAAGATGCTTTGTGTCATATTCAGTTATACGAGGGTTGTCCCGTAAAATCGTGGACAAGTTGTCTAGTGTAAAAAATAAACATCACTGTGTTCTGAAATTTTCACTATTATTTAAAATAATTTAGTAATATACACAGCAAATTTCAGATAAATATATGCATAAATAAACAAATTATGTGATTTTATGAAATATTTATGCACCTGTGCATGGAAATAATGACAAAGTGTATGAAATTTCATTTACATCTTTGTGAACAATTATATTATGTATTGAGCAAACTTTTAAAATTTAAAGTTTCATTGATACACATTCTTTATGTGTTTATAAACATTTAAGAATTAAAATGTTATTTTTACATAAAGATTTACAAATAAGTATGACAGTAAATATAATCACCATCATTCAACTAAGAAAATTATATCGGCGGTCTAAAGTGATGTCTTTTGCTATTACATCTAGGAGTTTGTCCGTATGTTTATATATTCCCCAGGGACTCGATCAAATAAGACTTGCACTAATAAGAAAACCCCTATTTCATTTGTATACTTAAGATATGGTGATATTTTCATAATCTTTTTTCTTCTATGGTCATTTCAAGTTTCTAAAGGTGTCATTACAACATCGAATTAAAACGAAACTGCTCTCCGGTGCGCCGTAACGTCATAAAACGTCTCCATTTTTCGTGTGTTGTGTTTACCACTTTCCCATTTCGAATGCTCGGGAATCTGCCAAAAATTAACCAAATGCCTTAAAATTTTTACAGACTACAAAATTGATTGTGGAATTGAATTAGGATAATTTTCATCCAAATCTTATGTATTTAAAACTTTTATTTTGAATTCAAACTTGTGTATTCTTTAATAAAACCTAGTTTTTTTGTCCGTGCGCCGTAGGACAATACCCCGTGCACATTCAAGCATAATTAAATCTTTATTTTTGCCTATATTTTATCAAAAAAATTATCATGCACTTAAATATGATAAATAAACATTTACTGAAATTTTCAGCTTAGTGCGCCCATTACTTCTCGAGAAAAACGTTTTGTCCACGATTTTATGGGACAACCCTCGTAATTAGCCCCAAGGTTCTTGAGTAAAAGTCAAAAACTTCAAAAGGTTACAGATAGACATACAGACAGTTTCAAGACAAAAATGGAACCAGAAAAGCACATTAGCACTTTTAGCTCATAAGAGCAAATAACACTGCGACATTTAAGTCCGGACATGACAAAAATTTTTAATTAAATATAACCTTGAAATTCTGCAAAATTAAATTTCATGTGTTACTCATAATTTTTTCCATGATATTAATTAGTTCTTTACTTATAGGTAAAACATCATTACAAGAACAACAGGCTGATAGCTGCGTATTCCTCGTCTAAGGTTGCGCAGGTGCTCAGTATAGTCGCTACATTGATCGGACTGCTATTGTGGCTTGGTGGTATTATTGCTATTGTGGCATTAAAATAATTTTAGTGTCTAGATTAAATTCATCTAATATGTATTGAAAAAGAACAAATATGACTTTAAATTTAAATATTTATGTATCTGTGATTGAAAAATGACAGATTGTATGAAACTTCATATACATGTAATGTATAACAATTATATTCTGTATTACGTATTGAGCAAAGTCATAATAGTGTAAAGTTCATGGGAAATAAACATGCATTATGTGTTAACTTATTAATATTTAAGAATTAAAATGTTATTTTTATGTAAAGTAACAAATAATATGACAGTAAATATAATGGAAAAGATATAACAAGAAATTATATCATCTAAAGTGATATTTGGGTGATCTGTACATTATTCCAGAAATATTTATATATTCAATGATTAATATTGCACTAATAAGATTATAATATTTGCTGATCCATTTAGAGAACAATTTATACCATGAACATTTTTTTTTCTAATTGTATATATAATAAGTATACATGCACGTTATTCTTCTTCAAGACGGTACAAAAATAAACCTATGGCAGTAAATTTCACTTACAGAAAAAACATTTTTACAGTACCAATACAAAACAATGTCATTCAAATATAAGGATGTGATTGAACATTTGAGTATTTAACAGTCACAATTATAATTGAAATATTTATAAACCATGAAATGCAGGCAAATATATAAGTCATTAAAGATAAAACATATATTGAACTTTACAAATAAAAATACCAGTATTCACAGCTTAGATAAAAGTAAAATGACTGACAATATTCAATAAATTTAGTGTGTTAACATTTAAGCATAATAATTTTTAAAAGTTGGGGGGGGGGAATCTAAATTGACATTTTCATGCACTTAAATAAAATGAACAGTTTTACTATTTTCTTCACAATTATTTTTCCGACAAGTTCTATATTTTGATCATCATCTGATCCCCTGAGGGCTAAGATAAAAGAAAACCATAACTTAAAGATATTGAAGATACACAATTTTTCAAAAATAATTCAAATACATTCATATTTTGCAGAATAAATATCACAGGCATTTACAATTAGTGTTTTAAAACATGTATTCTTAGCTAAGTGACTTGTGTAATGATTTTTTTTTAAAGAAAAATAATCAAAAGCAAAAAGAAAAAAATCAGGTAGCACCTGTATCACAAGTTTAATGACACTCAAATGAAGAAAAAAAATATTGATAAATTGACAATGAAAAACATAAAAAGTACACAGAACATAGAGGTTTCTAAGTAACACTAAAACAATTTTTATTAATTTTGATAATTGTTCATTAATACCAAGTAAACATATACTTAACTGATACAAGTACAATGTGTTTATATTCTTCCTGTGTAAACCTTAATGTGGAAAAACTGAGAAATTTACTTTACAGTGGACTGGAATCAAATACATGTGAAGTAAATAATCAATAAGTAGAGTGAATGAGAGAAAGAATATGAGAGAGAGATATAGCCATGTGCACCTCCTATTTTACTGTTTGACTCTCAGAAAAAATTAAATTGTCCCGACAGGAAAACATGGAGAGCTACAGTGCCACCCATTGAAAAAACTGTATATTTGTTGCACACAAAAAAGTGTGCTGTCTCTCAATTTATTTCTCCATGTATTTAAAACTGTCATCTCAAAGTATTACTAACCTCATGTTCCTAACATATTCTTTCACTATTTCCACAACAAAACATTCCTTATAATTATTGTTACAAGCCCTCCTTGCCCTGAAATTGAGATAATTGAAAATTTCATCTATTTAATATACTGCCATTTTGGTTTGCACAATAATTTGTTCCAATGCATTTCATGCAGATTTCAACTATGAGAGTACTTCATAGAGGAGTAAGGAAGTTTTTTAAATTTTATCTATTTTGAGATTGAGGCAAGAATTCTGAAGAATTAATCCAGAACTAGCACAACTTTTTGTGCGCAATAAATATAGAGTTTTTACAACACCCAGGTGGCACTGTAGCTCTCCGGTCTCTCAATATATTTTTTTGGAGAGCTACGGTTCTGCAGCTAAGAGAGATGGTGAGTGGAAATCTGCTTATTAAATTTGAACAAAACATAATGTCAAATGAATATACACCTACATGTACGTGATAAAAACAAATTGTTTTGTGTTTATATTGAAAGATATTACTCTTATTTAGTTTACCTAATAAAAACAAAATGATACATTATATTTTGGCACAATATTATATTCATAAAGCATTAATTACATCTCATTCTTGATGGTAAACATTCACTCAGTTTAGACTTAATAAGGTAATTTAAAATTTGATCCTTTCGAATTTAACATTGATTAACTCAACATGTATATCGAGACTTGTCCCCCTTGACACCGTGTTCATCCTGAATTATGGATTGAGACAGAGTTAGTCCAAAAATAAATGTTCCTAACACAATAAAGGCACAAGAAAATGCTGTAATGGCCTGGAACTTTGTGGTCCAGTGACCTAGTTCCCTGACCTTCTTCTGTACCGCTGACAAAACACACATTCCTGTAAAATAATTACATAAAAATATATTTCAATACATTTTTTGTGAAAACATTTATACAAATTTACTTCTCAAGTGATGGAGCATTGGAGTGATTTTAAAAATGTTTCCCAAATGCAAATTAAAAAAAAAAATTAAACAGACTACACTGAAACTTCAAAATACTGTTCATGTTTACTATATAACACTGAAAAACTTTGGCATCTATTCCTCTTACAATGATACAGACAAATAAACAATTAAACAAGATTACTATACAGTATACAATGATACATTCTATCATAGGCAGGTACGATGTTTGTAACAATTGGCAAAAGACTTTACATAGTGTATGAATAAATTAGACTAGCTGTACTCATTTTAAATTTAATTCTTAACAAGGAATTATTTTATGCATATGGTACCAAAGCTGATTTTTTTTATGACTCATGGTATAAGTCTGAGATGAAAAAGACAAACATTATGAGAGTAAAACTTTTAACTACCTGGAAATATAAAAATAAATATGGCAGCAAATGCTCCTAGGATCTGTATGACTACTCCTATGTTTGGTATAAAGACGGCCAGAGCCAGCGTTAGGACAAACCAGATGATGGTTACCGTAATACGATGTTTGAACTCTGTCTGTTCAATTCGCTCGGGACTCATTTTAAAGAAATCTCTCCACAGGCAATCGAAAGCAGCCCTGAAAATTAAAAGCAAATTATGTGATTACAGGAGTTATTTTTTTCTTAATGAAATATAGACACATTACTCTTTTTTCATGACGTGAATATATCACCAATTTATTTTAATATTACACAGTCAAACCTCCATCTTGAACTTCATAGAGCCAAGAACAATCATTGTGATATTCAAGGATTCAAGATATTATTGAATTTCAAATATAAAATAATTCTGACTTCCAAATCACTTCTACCTAGCCGTGGTATTTTAAATAATAATGTCTGACAAATCAAAGTAAACTGTATTATGAATTCAGAAAATGGCTTTATTTTTCCATTTCCTTTGTTATGCAGCTAGGCCAGTCATACTTTGCATAAACAGCAGAAAAAGCCCATTGGGCAAGAGAATTTTTTTCACCCATATCTTTAACATGTCATCTGATATGAATGTTTTTAGACAGTACATATGTACATGGATTGTTTGCCATATTACTTAAGCACATATTCATTATTAATTTACAAAAGAAAGAAGAAAATCAGGTTTACCTGCCACAAAATAAAAGAATGGGGTATGTTGTATATGTCTTAATGGCAATCAGAAGGACAGCAATAATGACTGATGCATCTGGGTCATAAGACAACAAAATGTCTGTAGTGATCAAATTGCCAAAGGTCAGGTAGCCAAATGCAGCTGTCCCTGTATAGTTCAGAACGCACAGAAACATAGCGACTGCCACTGTCTTAGAGAATTCTCGCAGGCTGCGATTCTCCATGCACGAATAGATGGGAATAATACTGACATGACACTGAAAAGAGGATAGTTAAAATGTTCAAAGCAAATAAGAGGAGATGAAAAAGAGCTGAAATGAAACTGCATTTATAAAGAGTTGCTCAGTTTTGAAAAGATGCATCATCTGTAACCCACAGTAAATCTTGCATACTCATATTGACTTAAAGATGAGATCACCTGTAGGCATCCAATGATGATAATTTCAAGGTTGAAAACAAATTAAGATTTTTTGAAAATGTTTCAATTCATAGATTATGAATAAAGCTAGAAAATAAATTTAGAAAGAATTTCCAAAAGAAAGATACAGTGCATGTCAAGCTATTCGGGCAATAATTAGACTTTTTCCATTTTTCCTCCCAACAATGTCAGATTTTAAGAAAAGAAGATTTCATACCTGCAGGTAAATGTTAATAGTTTACCTGATAGGAAAAACAAATAGTAGGAACAACCAGAAAAACATCCTCCCAATGTAGTGGCCTGTAATGGGAGAAAGAAAATGTCAACATTTTTGACTCAAAAAGTACCTTATAGCTATATCTATCTCATATCAGTTTTTCATTTTCGAGCATTAAAAATTCTTTTTTTATCAAAAAATAATTTCATTCAAACAAAATATGACTCATGTGTTCATGTGTACTTATTACACAAGTAACTTTTTGTAGAATTAAGAAATGGTTAATCAATACTTGTACCGATATACAGATTTATGTTCCTTTAACCTTATAAATGAGATACACATTTTATTCTTATCACAATACTTACTTAAATTAATATACTTATACTTACATATAAATAATCTAGACAATGATAAGAATCTTTATTCAATAAATAATCTATGAACAATAAACATTAATACCTTTTGTGTATAACATTTAATTACTAGTAGTGTTACCTGGTAGCAATTGGCCCTGGTTCTGGATGAGGTAGAAAATATTTTATTGTCACAAGACCAACAACATAGAGAATACCGATTACTCCTATAACACTGGAATAAGAAGAAAAATTTCACAATTAGAAGATCAACATAAAATATTCTAATATATAAATGCCTCACAGATAGTCTAGCATTATTTTCATTGCTCTTGAACTAAGATAAGAATTTCATAATCAATTTTTACAACTGTAGTCATCACAATATGCAGGCATCATTTTTCCAACCATTGTACTAAATCACTTTCTTTTATATTTTTTAAATGTTATTTTGTCATTTAATTTTTTGAAATCAGAACATAACCTATTTATATTACATTAATTTTGTGAAACAGAATAACCTATTTAAACTAATACAAACCTTGCATATTTAAGGAAGTCTATCCTCTTTGGGAAACATAAAGGGAGAATAAGTAGAACAGAAGACACACAAATAGTCGTCACACGATCCATGTACCATGGACTGTGTTTACAGTACCAGTCATGAGCAGAAAAGAGGAAGACTGAAACATTAAAGAAACTACCGAGTTATATAATAGCTAGTTTATTATTATAATTCATGATACTGTAGATCACTTAATTTTTGCGACATCTTATTTTCACGAGATAGTCATTGACTCTTTATTAGCGAGACAAAATTTTCACGAATTGTGGTCATTGCTCTATACAATCTTAAGGAATTCTATAATACACGAGAATGAAATTTTCGCGAGCATTCCGTCTCGCGTAATTATGTGAAAATAAAGTTCTCGAGAATAAAAAGTGATTTACAGTAATAAGCAGTGATATCATTGACTAAAAAACTGCGAACTGAAAATTTTAACTGTTTACAGAATCTCTTTATAAAATTTAGAATGGAATTAAAGTAATTTAAAGCTGAGTTTCTTCAAATTTCATGCATTTCTTAGGCCATCCTTAAAAAATTGTTTGTTTGGAATTGCCACCTGAAGGGTTTCAGACACAGGTGGGAGGGAGGGAAATTATTTATTTTTTTTTTAATTGAAGAAAAATGTTAATTTTTTTATAAAAGTCTCAGTAAACAGTAAATACATTTTCTGACTTTTAAAAAAAGCATCTACCATCAACAAAAAAACCTAATTTTACATAGATCTGACACTATATTTCAGTGTTTTGTAAGTTGCATGTGATACTTGTAATGGGCAAAAAAATTAATTAAATAAAAAAAAATCTTTCTACTTTTGGTCAATAAAATTTTTTCAGGAGGGGGCAATTTCAATGAGGCGGGAGGCAATTCCAAACAAACTATAATTTTATTTTGGCCCTATCACAATCCCCAAAAATGTCAGATCTGCTTGCATTTAGCAAGTATATAAGTAGCTCTAACATCTAATTTTTATTAGATTGTGACTAAAAAATATTTTATAAAAATACAATTAAGGGATTTACATACATTCCTCCCACTGGTCACCAATGATGATAAGGAATGTTATACAGGTTCCGAAACAATATGTCATAATGGTAAATGCACACAGTCTTTGTGCATTCTTTCCACACACAGATGCAACAACATCTTGATAAGTGAGACTTTTGTTGATATCAGAGCAATATGCCAAGATCATTATTGCACACACCACAAACACCAAAAGAATCTGAAAATTATATTTTTAAAAAAATTAATAAAATGAAGTTCACTTTTAGATGACATAGCTATATAGTTGTAATGATCCAGTGTACAAAATTAAGAGATAGGATTAATTCTAAACTTTTCTATATATTTTACTTGTTTACATATATAACACTTTTGATTTTTTTTTCATGCATACAATAGGTATAAAATACAGATATTTTTTCATGAAAGATGTACATTACAAAAAGTTCTGATATTTACCGCCTGAATTAAAACAGCTATTAACACTCCTCCTGCTTGTTGATAGGCATCTGGGAAATTGAGGAGGCCCGCCCCAAGAGCTGCATTCACAACCAAGAATACAGAGGCATACCATGATGATCCTGCATAAATAGATTTTGGTAAAAGAAAAATGACTACCAAAAATTTCTTAATGCAGAAATTTTATAATGCTTATAGATTAAAAGCATGACAGTGTAATCAATAATATTTTTATTGCCCATAAATTCATATTACAAATTGCCAAGAGTTTATCAGAATGTTTAAAAAATCAAAATTCAACATAAAGAAACATTTTTATTAACAAAATATGGAAGATTATATTATTGTATACGTCCCATGTATAGCAAATATTCGCTACTATAGATAAACACTATTCAGGTCCAGTCCAAAGACTATTTCTACCTACGTAGCTATTAATAGCTACCTAGGTATTTAAAGCTACCCAAAGTAGCTATTTTTACCTACTTTTTATAATTTCTGCATTTTGCGACACAAAGACCAAACGGCGCAACATGGTGAATACCATATCTTTTGATACAGTCACACTAATGATGTATACGACAAAATTTTGGCAAAAAAATGATTACTTCCTGAATAGGCAATTTTACATTAGTTTCTATGCAAAATTGATATTATACGAAGTAATCATTTTTTGGCCAAATTTTTGTCATATCCATCATCAGTGTGACTGTATCAAGAAATTTTGTGCTCACCATGTTACGCCGTTCCTGCATTTGGCTACAAAATGCAAGTAAAGCAGAAAGTAGGTAAAAATAGCTACTTTGGGTAGCTTTAAATACCTAGGTAGCTATTAATAGCTACGTAGGTAGAAATAGTCTTTGGACTGGACCTGCTAATAATTTTTTTAATGTTCAGTACCTGTTCTTGGTTGTGCTATAATAATGACTTCTTTATCCAGCAACGGCGTGCCTTCATTTAAATAATTTGTTTGTATAGACATCGTTAAGATAGAGTTTCCGATGGATATTTCCTTCCCTGTTCAGTAAAACTTCATTTTTTCTTCTTTGCTTCTTTTCAAAATGCGATCAGCTGTTCCGACATTTTGAAATCACGTGAGTGCGAAAGTAAAACTAATCGATAAAATAACAGAACATTTAAAGACAAAGTAATTCATTGTTTCACCGATCCCACTAATTGTATTACTTCATTTCATTTTTAATTTTATAGATTTTCTCATAAAAAAAACACAACATAATAAATTCAATTAAAATAGAATGTTTCTTTGTCCTTATTTTAGCATTATTTATCGATTATCTGAAATGTTTTGTTGTGTCACATGACCGCTATTTAGTTTGGTTCCATGACGCAAATAAGGAAGATACCAACATGGCGGACCACATTGTTAACAAGGATTAACATGAAAACAAAGCATGAAGGGACAGAACACATGGCGAATTTTCAAAATGTGAGATGTTCATTGTGTAGTGTATTGTTAGACATCTTTAACTGCTAGTCATGGGCACGAAACAAAGTACGCCATCCCAGAGACCACGGACTTTTTCAGGAAGTGGTCCTGTGCCCGGGGGTTCGGGGGCAGAAGTTGCCATGGGTTCTAGTGGGGCTACTAACACTCGTTTACGAGCTCGTAGTTTAGGACATTTTAGTGCATCAACCCCCACTGGGTTAGTGATACCAGGTGGAGCCACTGCCAATGGCGAGAGGCGAGGAGCAGGATCTCCAGACTCAGATTCGAGTACCCCAGAAGAGGGCCCCTCATTTGGCAGACAGTTTGCGCAATCTTTACCTTTACACCTTTTTGCACTCCAAGGTAGGGATAAATACTGATTTTCATTTTGTTTGATCAACAAAAATATGAATGTTTAGGCTATATTGAAACTTTCAATTAAGACCTATATATATAAACATCAAATAGGCCTATTATGCAAAAAGAGGCATGTCAGGATTTATTTTGACATCTAAATATGACTTCCTGGAAACTGCGCATTTTTTGGTCTTTTATAACAAGAATTGCTTAACTGAGTTGGATTTTATGAGCATGTGAAACTGAAAATTGGTTAGTCCCTTGCTAAGCCAGGCCTTACAAGTTACACCTTTTCGACAATGAAGTAATTTAATATTCCTTGGTGAAAGTTTTTGTTGGTACAATTGTAAACTAAAAACCAGCTGCTTATTTCTTTTGTACCTTGTCTAGACTATAAATTATTACCAATTATGAACAAATTACACTGAATATCTTGTAAGTTTAAACATGTTAAACTGTTTTATTCAACATGTTCAACTTGAGTGATTTATATTTTCCCGTAAATACTCCAACATTCAGTCATGCACTTCATATAGATTGCTCTAGCTCATTTACAAACCTTCAAGTTTACAAGTGGCATTTCTTATAATTTTGAGAATAAGCATTTTCATAGCATTTAAAATTTTAAACAATTATCAAAACCATGCAATGGGACATTCACGTCAGGTTAAAGACCTACATCTCACCCCTCAGGCAGCCTTGCATTGGTCAGTGTAATGTTCTGACAATTTTTGCAGAGACTGAATTCTCTAGGTTATATTTAGGTATATGTACCATTGTATCATTTAATCACATATACAGATACATGTAATGTGTCTCATGCAGGTATCATAACACTTAAAATATCTAGTGACTTGAATGGCTAGGACATCAATTCATCTGAGTTTGTGAGTCACATGTAGAGTTTATTATAAAATAACACAATTAAGGGCATGATGGGTGTAGCTGTTACATTTTGGCTAAAAAGGTAAACATACATGTAAATCTAAATCTATTTTTGTACCTGGATGTCATAATATTGAAAGGGAATTTGATCATGATCATTGTGTATGAACTGTTAATAGATAAAAATTGAGAATTTTACTTTATCATATATCTGAGTATCAGAGAAGTTTCACTTCGATCCTTTTTGTCATTTTCAGTTTGTATGAAGAAATATTTTTGATAAACAAGATGAGCCATAAAAAGAATTTTTATCTTTAATTTTTAGGTTGTTAGATACATAATGTACAAATTGCAGTAGTTATGTACTAGGATATTTGATACTGAACAAAGTCCATATATAGACAAAATATGCTATAAATACACGGTTAAAAAGAGACTGCAGACAATTTACGTCTTAGTCTGTCGACATTGACCAATTAAATGATAATATGTCAGAAAATGTTTTACTTAAGGACATGTGCAACATTATAAGTCTTGAATTTTATTTAGTTCAAAAGCTTGAAGGGTATTTTTGTTAGTTTATTATGCATGCTTGTTTATGCTGCAAAGTGCAAACCTCCTCTGAATCGTACTAGCTAAACTAAAGTTTTGTTTAGTTTAATTAAAAAACAAAAACAAAACTACTCTTGATTAATCATATGTTAATGTTTCCTTTCTCAACTAATACAGATGTCAAGAACTCTTATTTGATCATTAGAGAGCCTATTGTATAAAATTGGGTAACCTATTGGTAAGACATTATGAAACCATTATGCAAACACACATGTGTTACATATGACAACCTGTAATGTATAAAAGACCCCAAGTTAAATTCAAATAACAGGCGAAAATCCATATTTATTTTTTGACAGGTTGATAAGAAAACAAGTAGAGCTTTTTAAAAAAGCTTACCGTCTTTAGCAACAATCTTAAACAGTGAACTGATCTACAACTATCAGGCCGTATAATTCTTTTGAATTTTTTGATTTTGTATTTCTACATTAGCTTTTTACTGGCATTAGCCCTACCACGGTTGTCGCTTGGTCATCTCCGTAAACTGGCCCAGAGCTTTCGGCAAACCTTGGATTTTCCCTTCTTCAAACAAGAAAGGGGAAAAGAATAATAACAAATTGTAAAGCCTGCAAGCAATTAAAATCAAATTTTACTTATAATGAAATTAAAGAGATCTTTTTATTTATTACTATACAAAAAATCATGTTATTAGGAATTAATTAATACTGCTGATTTTGTTGTTATGTCATTTTTATAAGATTGAAAATCTTGCAAAATTGTACGTACGAAAATTAGATCATTTTTTTTGCCTTGAACAGCATTTCAACCAATGAAATAATTGAAAATTTTCTCAATTCATTTTCTACCAATCACAAAAAAGAAGTGCATAGTCCGAAGACTGTAAAAATCTTCAACTATACAATACCGTCTTCCAAGGAAGACGGTAATAATGAAATCTTCCATATTGATTGTCATTCTTGAAATCACGTCAGTGACTATTTGAATTCTAGATATTGATTTTTTTATAAGTTTAAATTAATATCGGTCAGCTGTCCCATTTACATCATTTTTTTAAAAATTATTAATTAAAAATTAATTCAGCTGATGCATTATTTGGTTTATCATGTTTATAGTGGTGACATTTTATCATCAATGATTGTGAAATTTCAGTCTGCTCTTTTATAAGTGTCTTGTTGCACTTTTACTAATTTAGCTCTTCTCAAAGAGGCAAAAGAAAGTTTTTTTGCCATACCCCTATACCCCTGGTGTCAGCATCACACATGATAAAAAAATTAGGGGAAGACCTTTTCCCGTGTAACTATAAGCCCTGTCTAGAACCCTGGGCCACCTTGCTTGCATGGTTGTTGAAAACTACCAGACTTGCTCCTGATTCCAAACTGCATGATCTACACTTTCTGCATAAATGACTAGGATCTATTGGAGTCCATTCCCAAGGAAAAGCAAGACCCACTTAGACCCAACTTGCATAAGCAATGCATCTAGGGATGCAACTATCAAACATGCTTCTGATGCTGCAACTGATTTACATCCACTTGTTATTTGAAATAAATGATCAGGTGAAAGTTTATAAGCAGGTTCCTTTCCAAGAAACTATTTGTAAGCATAATCATTATTGTGAATAAACTTGCAACATGAATGATGCTGCTTTGCAGCTTGAGATGCACACTACCAGGCAGGCTATCTACTTGTTGATTGTTTTATTGTGTTTATATTTTATTACTAGACTACAACAAGCTAAATGTCTATGTTTCTTTTAATTTCTGTTAATGTACTTAGGAACACACAGATACAGAAATTGCTTCAACATGTTCAAGGATTTTGATTTTTTTTTGGGGGGGGGTGTCATAGAAATGTATTTAGATCAAGATTTTATTAACCAACAGTGTCCAACATTATTAGTGATATCTATAAGCAACCCAGTCTGCCTCTGAATTTGTACAAGCATATAGAGATGTTTGATAGAATTGCATGTCCAACTGGATGTAAACAGGTAAAGAAATATGCACGCTAACTTTCGATTCCCGCCTACATTTTGGAACCATTTAATTCAAAATCAAAAGCAATTTGGCCATAAAATCTTTGTTTAATACAAAGAACAGTTCAATGATAATTGATGAATTGTCTTGATACCAGCGCTAAACAGTAAATTATACATAATTCTAGCTTGAAAAAAGGGGGTAGACGATATTTTCCGTTGAAATCGGAGTTTCAGGCATCACCATATTTTGAAATAGTCTTGGATATCATTAAATGTTCCTTATATATTTTCTTGTGTCTTAGGCAAATAAAACATGAATATATCAATAAAATATAATGTTTCAGTTTTAAATCGCTTTGAAATTGGTGGAAAATAAACATTTTTATCGTTTTTTTGTCAATAAACATATGTTCCCCCCCGTGCCACACAAACAGCTTTGGTATGAATTTGTGAAATAACATTCCATATTACCTGTAAAAAGGAATTTTTGTGACACGGGGGGGGGGAAAGATGTTTTAAAAATATTTTCCGTTTTCCGTTGATTTCTATAGTAAAAAACTCAAGTTTTACCAAAATTTTAGAGTTATCTCTCTTTGTTTTCCCAAATAAGTAATGTTTTATTCCATATAATTATCTATAAAAAATATTAAAAATTCATCAAATATGTTAAATTTTGAAAATTGACTTAGAGGTAGGCGGGAGAACAATACGATCGTTCGCAGTTCTTAGGCCTAAACAAATTCACAAAAAAATCTTTTTGATTAAAGCAGCTCACATAACATGAACACAATATCATTGTGAAGTACTTCATAAATGGTCATCACATTTTTTTTTTTTTCTGTGATAAGATTGTGATTTTGTGATTAGTGTCATGCTTTCCCTGCGATTTCCCTAAATGCTATTGGTCATTTACATCTTCTTGAAAAAAAATAATAAATCTCAGATTATTACAGCTTAGAGATTTATTATACATCAGCTAGAACATGTAGAAATGTAAATATATAAGTAGGAAGATATAATTTACAAAGGCTATATGATCAAATGTAAGTTAACGCCCATGTAGTATAGGAGGGATTTGATCGACTGACCAGCTGTATTTTACAGCTTGACATCTCAATAAATAATTTCAAATGATATCTTATGAAATATTTTTTATTTTTGAAAAAATCACAAGTGCTTCATGATTATTATTCATGTATTGAATTGTAAAAATAAATAAATGACTTTGCTTTTGATCTTTGTCTACACTTAAGGTGCATTGGTACTCTGATAAGAGAGATAACTCTTGATGGCATAGACTCTTTGATTTCTTAGTAAATTTTTCAGGTTGAAGAGTCTTTTTTTTTGTCCATTTAGGCTAACAATGCTAATATTGTTAGCAATTTATTCATAAATGACATTTCTTTTTGAAAATCATAAGCATTAAATCAACATTTATATGTGTGAACATTATAGGGATTATGAACCTTAATCACAAGATAGTACATTTACAGATTATTTGTGAGAAGAGATGAAACTATTCAGTTATGGGTGCAAATAGCTCAAATAGATCCAGATTAAAGATTAAGATAAGATTAGCATATTTAACGTAGAATCAACTACTTCATACTTTAATACATGTATGTTCATTATTATCTTTAAATAATGTTTTTATAATGAATTTGTTTCCATTTTTTAAATGTTTAGGGGGGATGGGGTGTATGGTGGGGCATTTTTATGTGCAAGCTTGCACGAGCATACAAGCATGCATACATGTAGAAGTTCTGCCACTGTTATATCAAGCTAAAAGTACACGTACCACTCAATTTTATAGACACAAAGGTATTTTTAACCTTCTTACACCAATCATCTTAGTTTTTTTTTAGTATTATATGTGTGTAAACTTGAATGTTTATAATCTTAATTCTTGTTTTATTTACAGGCATTAAATGTCCAGTCTGTGCCAAGTTTATACCTCCTGAAGAAATTGAGTGTCACTTAGTGATATGCTTGACCAAACCTAGAATCAGTTATAACGGTAAATCTCCTACAGTATTACATGTCTTTATGGTTTACCCTAGTACATATGCATACCCAGATCTTCATTTTTTGATCATCATACATTTTGTCATCCAGTGCTTTTTACAGTAAAATTTAAATATTGGTCTTGATTCATGAATCTTGTGCATGTTTCATTTACATCACAGATTTACTGGTACACTATACATAAGTACACATAGTACTAGTTTTGATTGTATGCAAATGAAAAAAGAAGTACCGGTACTCTGCAATCTGTCGGTCTTGTTCGCAGTACTGGCATAGTATCTAAGCCGATGCAGTGTACTTGTAAATGTCAGTTAGTACTCACCCTCACCAAATCTCAAGTACGCAAATCTGGATGAATGCTGATATCATCTATCATCTCATCTCTGCACTATCTGCATTGTTTCACAAAAAAAATCTTGGAATTAGCATTTAGTTTAAAAATTTAATGATAGCATCAGTTTTTGAGAAATTTTTTTAAGTACAGGAAGATGATAGGACATTCATCTCTGAATGCACTTCCTTTTGCAAGACTTTTGAACTTGCTGAAAATCTTTGGATTAGTTGTGAAATAAATATTTGAGAGTTCTGTAATGTTTGTAAAATGAGTAACACATGAAAGTTTAAAAGCTATAATCAATATCTTAAAGGTAGTTTTCTTAGACTTTAACATGTTTAAATTATTGAATTTTTATGAAAGTATACCTTGCCCCCGAGGTCTGTGTTCTGCACTTAAATTAGTTATAAAACTAAAAAGTTAGCATGAACCATATGTAGGAGGCTGGAGCATTAGAACTCATAAGGCTTTTCTAGGTCAAAATTTACAAATTTTACTTTAGATCAGTTTCAAAAGCAGATGATCTAACTGATCACGAAGGAGTGCTGTAATTTTGCTAAGCAAACAAACTTTGACATGCACCAAAGTTCAGTTTATTTGAAGTAAAAAGTCGAAATTCTTAAGATCAAGAAGGTCTTAGTTCTTTTTTTTTTTTTATCTTTTTCTTTCTTTTTTTTTTTTTTTAAACTTTTTGAGGAATGTAACTGTGTGATTTTCATGTATTTATTTATTGCCTTACAATTTTTTCCCCAAAGGAATTAATAGAGATTGCTCAATTTTTAATTTTTTATTCTAAGATTTGTATTGAGATGTTGTATGTAGGAAGTAACTACTGTCAGAGTATAGAATACTAAAGTTAAGTCTGTAAACGAGACTTAGGAAGATTTGCAGCTCCTCTGTACAGTTTGATCAATAAGCAGACCTGATGGTTCTCAATATTTTATACGTTAGCGGCAACAGTCTAAGAGCTTACAAGTATTTCCTGGAATTGGTCTGCTCCAAACATGATGAATATACATAAAAGTTTCATTATCCTTTGTAAGGAGGTCTGGTTTTTTTTTATCGGAACAGGAAGGAATCTGTTTGGTATAAATACTTGATATAATGGTGTAACTGACATTTATTTTTACATGTATATCATATACATACACACGGACGAATTTATGAATCTTTTTTTATGGTGAGGATCTTGGTTGTTATTGTACAGTTTGTGAAGATTAAATATATCTTTTAAGTTTAATTTTTTTTAATTTCAGTATATATTTATACCATTTCAATAGATGTTTTTAAAATTACAGTAGGACATTAGTCAGTTTCATAATGTTTAGGCCTATTTTAGGGACATCGTGTTATGAAACTTTTGTACACAAGTTTTGTTCTAGATTTTGACAGAATTTTTAAAAACGTAATTGAAGATAAAGGTGTATTCATTCAATGTCATACACCTTAAGAATTAATTAGCCCCCAGTGCGTGTGATCCACAATAAAGCTGCTTTTTTTTTACTTAAACAAGAGTGTTCCAAGGAGCCTGAGATAAATTATTTTATCCTGGATTAGGCATCTGTGACTCTTATTTCTTATACCAATTAAAGCTATTTAGTATTAACTACTCTCCTGAAATCTACATTGTATTTGATTGGGTACATATGTTTTTCATAATTTTTACCAAATGTTTATCTCGGTGTCTGTGTGTGAAAAGAATTTTGAGAGATGTACATGTTGGATTGGAAGAAAAAAACATGGGGGAGAAATCAGATATGTCCTCTTTTTTTCTTTAGAGATTTGTGTTACACAAAGGCTTCAATTTGAAATTACCGGTACCGTATATGGTATAGTTACTTATTTGAACAATAAATACATTTTATTTAAATTGAATAGGTAATATATATAATTGCATAATTTGATTTTACATGTATTATGTTTGATGAACAGAATTATTAATTGCCATTGAATGGATTGAAGTTAAAATTCCTTGATTAGTCCTAAGACATTAAGACTTAATTGCTCATAAATACAAAAAAATAATAACAATAACTTAAATTTTTTCTCTTAAAAAAACTCTATTTACAGAGCTGTCCCTGATGCCTGTGGAGGGTGGTGGGTGGGTGGGATTTCCCTGCCTATAATAACATAACCCCCATTTATTCTTGTTCTGGTATTTCCCTTAAACCCTGTGGTAGAAGAGGAACCATAACCCTCTTCTTCTTTTTTAATGTCCCCTGCTATTTCAGGGACAAACCTGTAGTGAAAGTCTGAGAAATGTATGACCTCATTATACACATCTGACATGTAAGAATGCCATTTGAGTTATCAATTTTTTTTCTAGTACTGGCTGAAAGAAAAGCAGTCACCATTTTTCTGTTTTTATTACTAGATATATATACAATGTTGTTCCTAGCCAAATGACCTAAGGGACATTGTCTTAATCTTAACTTTTGAGAAAAATGATATACCTGACTAATTTGTCAGAGGAAGGTTCAGGATTCATGAAAGTTTTATATACACAGAGGTCATAAATAGGTCAAAATAGGAATGACCATCACTTACTTTTTTCACAAACAGATACATCTGTAATCATGAAAATTTGTTCTAATCATGATGTTATCTGAAAGTTACACTCTCATTTGCATGCATCTTCTTTGTAGAACTTTACAATAATAGTTAATTTAGATGTACACAAAATGAAAACAATGACAGTGCATGATTTTGAAATTTGATTTTTCAGAGGATGTATTAGTAGAAGACAAAGGAGAATGTGTGATATGTTTTGAGGAGCTGGAGAAAGGGGACACCATTGCTCGATTGCCCTGTTTGTGTGTTTACCATAAAGGGTAAGACAAAAATAGAATATTGAGATAAAGTAATAAAACAGTTTTTTTTAAATAAAGCTAATACAATAACTGTATACAGGGAAATGTTTGCCCCCATTTTATTTTCGCCCTTTTCGCCTAATCACAGGTGAATTTAAAACGTGGGCGAATTGAAAGAAAACAGCATTATTTCTTAAACAGAACTGTGACTGGACTAATTTAAAACAGGGCAGATTTGTTTGGAAGTGCAAAAGGGTGAAGAGAGCATGGGAAGAAAATTACCCTGTATACAGTAATTAAATAAATTAGAATTAGATATATTGCCAATAAACATATTTTTATTTTCATGGATTTAATTGAAGTCTGACTGAAAAAAAAAGATTTTGATATCTCTCAATAATCATGATAATATACATGTATCATTGTAAACTTTACAATTATTTGCCATATAAGAAAGTGAAATCGATACAAGATATTGATGTAATATCTTTATATTTTCAGATGTATTGACAAGTGGTTCGAGAAAAACCGTTCTTGTCCAGAACACCCTTCAGACTGATCAGAGGAGATCTAACTACCGGTATTACAACTTAATACAAAGCACAGGTCAACAGATATCACTTCTGGGGACAGAGTGACCATGTCTAGCAAAACATACTGATAAATATGGGCTTTCATTGCAAACTTCATTGACTCTTGTCACTTGTCATGTATTCTTCATGCTGTATGTTGATCGTAGGTGCTAGGTCATTGAAAATGTGACCTAGTTATTTTTGAAAAATTGCGACAAAGGAAACCCCCCATTTCCTGTTGAGCATGTGTATTTAATCTTTTAGTGAAAACAGTTAGTGCTGGTGCATGTGTATTATTCGCGACACAAGTCATAGTTTCGCAACTCGCATCCCTTCAGAATTCAGGTCGGGATCTAGATTCAGGATGTGTCGGCTGCAACTGCATATCACAGATGAATTTCAGCATTTCCCATAATTTAAGATATTCACAACTCATGTCATATTTCAGCTTTTGTTTTTGTGAACATAAATCTATATTAGATTGGTAAATGTATATATATAGTCTATATTTCACTTATTGAAAACAAAATGAAGATGGAACCACATGTATCACTATGAGATTACATTGTCATCCATGTATGCTTAATTTTTTCAAAGGTTCATGGCTGATTTATGTATATGTATAATTGAAGTATGGAGATTATTTGTTACAAAACTAAATTTTTGGTTTCACTTGAATTTTCATGTCAAGTTTTACACCATTGAAAGGTTGCTACAATTCACATCTTAATGAAACGTACTGGAAAAAAAACTGTAAAATCTTTATAAGTGATTGGCACATACATGTATACACATAGTGGTGAGTTTTTATGGATGAAGGAAAAAACTTAGCTCTATAGATGCAAAGATAAGATTACCACGTGTAGATTAAAAATTAGATATCTTATTAAATAGGTCTTTGAGTGTTTTAGATAAATAATGCCTAAATATTTTGAACTACTAGTATGAAAATAAAAATGTCTTGGACAGTGTAATGGAAAATGTACCATGTTATATATATGCCTATAGATCTCAGTTCACCTGTAAGTCGATTGTATTTTTTCTCTGGTTACTGACCTAAAAATTAAAAAGATGATAAAAATTTGTAACCAGTTATCCTCTATACATATGGATAACCTTTACCCTTTTTTATATTAAGGAAACTTATGAAGAAAAAAAGTTTGGATCTTCCTATCTGTGTAATTGATTGTTGGTGTTTGTACAAAATTCTTGAATTTTAATTCTTCTTCAGAAAAATACTGACATACTTAGAATCGATTTTAAGTCCGATATCAAGTTTTTGTCCAAAATTTAAAACGTCCAAAAATCCTTAGTTATAGGCCAGTATATAATGATATGGTTGTCAATAAACCGTAACAAAACTGCTTTTTATTTTAGAATCAGCAGGGGAATATTTCCTCTTGCTCATGCAATGCAAATGTTTGCACATAGGTATATATATTTTTAAATCTAATTTTACCAATATATTTACCGGGTAGGTTCTGTTTGATGTCATATGATTCGAATATGTCACATACTATTCGTTTGAATATACAGACCTTATGTAGAATATTTCTGAATTCTCATCTGTGATGGGTTAAGTAACTATAAATTCGAGGTACTGAACTCTTGTAACAATGAAAGGACCAAAAACTTACATAATTAACTAGAAATGGTAAATTGCTTTAAATAGAAATTTTGACAATTTTTAACAAGTAAGGAAAGTGATCCTTAGTTCACAACCCATTGCTTTTTCATCAGTACATGAAGAAATTGGAAAACGAACCTCAAGTTCAACAACAATCAAAATTTATTATGCATCTCCATCTGACTTAGATTAAATGTATTGTGCCATTTGAACATGATATTTCTTAGATCTCTTTCATGAATACTTACACCACTATGCTGCTATGAAGGGATGGGGAATTTTTTTGATAGAAGAAAAGATTGCATTAAAAGTTAAGAGTGTATTAACAAGATTGAATTATTGATTTGTCAGTTTAATGAATTTTTCCATCAAATGCATACAATCTTTTGAAATGTTGAGAGAGAATTATGATTGGGGGGGGGGGGGGGGGAAAGTTCCAATATGTGCAATTTGTACTTTTCGGGCTGATATAATTTGATACCAAGGAAATCTTAGAATTTAGAAAAAATGTATCAGTTTCCAATGGTATTTTTGATTTAAAACCTTGCATAAGTTGTATTTTGTTTTTTCATCTTGGAAGAGTTATACTGGTGAAAATTCATAATAGAAAGTGAACTGGTTTTTTAAACTGTAATTTTCATGATTTGAAGACCATTCTCATGTATAATTTTTTTATCTGGTCAAAATTTTAGTCAGTTGATCTCATAAAGAAGTACATATATATTAAAACAATCTTCAGCATTGTTTTAGTGTCATTAAAGTAAAATATTCACAAAGAATTGCGGTTTTTTTTTCCTAAAATTGTCATGGATTGATATTATGATCACAAAATTAACTGGTTTATAGGCAGTGCCTTTTCACCACCTTCATTAACACACAGATTTGTCATACCGATTGTTGATTTTTTTCTAAGAACTGGAACAGAAGTGTCAACTTCCTGTGATTATTATGTAATGGGTTGAGTTATGTGTTGCCAGTGTGTTATAATGCAACAAATATGCATACACTGTATTTATTTTTGGGAATTGTGTTGCCTTGTGTCAGTCAGAATGGTCATGAAACTCTGATATATGATATGAATTTTATTGTTGTGCTTTATTTATTTTTTTTATTAAAAAAGATTGTTTTCATATGAAAAATCAATATTATTCATATTGTAGTTTTTTAACCCCTATGATTTTTTTTTGCTTTCGGTAGAAGATCTTATTCATTTAGAAATACAGGGAACAGTTTTCTGATGTACATGTATATTAAAACAGTAACACTTGTGAACTTTTTCATCAGTGGACGAAAAGCTCTGATTGACAAGGCTGGGTGTCTTGGATAATGAAAGGGATTTCTCATTATTGGTATTTTCAGTAATGGAGACTGTTTATATAGATCACAGTATCTCTTTACAAGTCTTTCACTTTTTTTCCCGATAATTTTTGAGGATCGCTCCTTGACCACTTCATTAGCTATAAAAAAAAAATCAAATAAAACATACTAACCACACATGTTTTGATTGCTATTCAATAATCTGTTTGAAAAGTTGTATTGTCATTTCTGAAAAGATCAGTCATCACTCAAATAAGTATATTTTTTGTTTTTTGTTATGTTTTTGCAATATATGCAGATCATTTTGTAAATTTTTCATGTTTGTGTTTTATTTGTAAATAAATTATCATTTTATACCTTTTTTTCCCTTTGTTTATAAATTTCTTTTCACAGTCTTTAAAGTTATGCAGAGACAACAGTTTTTTTTTTTACACAAAAAAGTCTTTGAAGCATGCAGGCTCTTTATAGCATCACTTTAAAAGATGAAAATATTAATAATTTATAACACTTTTAAATTAATTTGCTGAAATAAGCATCATACAGATTTGCAATCCATTAACATTAATATGGCCATCCATAAATGCTAGCTGAGCATATTCTCTTTAAGGTTAATGACATTCAATGACCCCCTCCTGGGGCATCCCCAGGAATGGGTTAGGGGTTTCTCTTTTCTCTGAGCTGGAAACCAGTTGGATATATTGGACTTGATAGGAGATATTTTACGGATGGGTTTTGCTGGCGATAAAGGAAAAAGACTATATATTTATGGAAAAGATTACATTGACCTTTATTTATGCCCCTGTAATCAAAGATTCAGATGTTTCTAGTTTTTGCCCTGTCCATCCGTTTGTCCACAAAATCTTTAACCTTGCTCGTAACGTTTGACTGGGTGGGGCAATAGCTTTCATATTTCACAGATGTGTTCTTTGTGACAGTCCCTTTCTCTGGGTACATGTACCACCAAATTTGACTTCTTGGCCTTGGTGTTTTATCAAACTTTATAAATAACCTTGGCCATAACTTTTGGATAGTTAGAACTTTAAGGCTTTCATAATTCAAATGTTATTGTATTAATTGTGACAAGACCTGTCAATGGATATAAAGATTTTTGACCTTTTGACCTTAGAGTTTGACCCACTTTTAAAAATCTTGAACCTCGGCCATAAGTTTTGAACATTCATATTTCACAGGTGTCTTCCTTATGGCAAGACCTTCCTTTGGACATTTGTTGGATACCAACAATTTTGACCTTGGAATTTGACTTGCAAATTCAATTATACAGCCATAAGCTGCCATATAGGGAAATTCAACCATAGCCATAAGCTGCCTATCTACCAATTTTCAACTGTTACTTTGCCACAGTACTTTCAAGTATACCCCCACCAACATTTAAAGTACTAGTATGCTTTAATCATGGCGAAGTAAATTATGATATGATAGTACTTGTTTGAAGGCTTAGGGACATCAGTGTTTCACAAACACTTCTTGATTTTTTTTCATTATCAGATCATTTTAGATGCATATTTTGGACAATATGATGCCTAGGAATATTATCCAACCTTATGAGATGATGCATTCAAGGCATCTGAGTACATGTATATCTCAAAATGACCTATAATTATTAAACTTTGTCAGATGATGCATCTTGAATCTTCTGATTTGTCAACCAAAGATATAGGTCAAATGACATACTTTTGATATTTCATCGCCATACCTAAGTTTTTTGGAAAGGCTGAGAATCATTTAACTTTGGTAGTTAATGTGTCTTACATTCTCCATTTCAACCAAAAAGTAGGTCACGATGACCTACTTTTGATACTTTACAACTTTATCTTAATGGGTAAATACTCTGAATAAGAAGATTCTATTAAATATCATTTAACTTTGTTAGTTGACTAATTTAGATCATGCATCAAATTACGTCAACCAAAAATAAAACAGGGCACAGTGACCCACAATTGGAATTTCACACTTTAACCTCAATTCTTATGCTAAAAATCATAAAACTTTGAAAATGAATCCTTTTTTGTCTTAAAATTATGCTTATAGTCTAAGAATATCTACAATACTTTAGACTTGCCTGCATGTTGCAGTGGGTAGAGCTGAAATTCTGCTCTCGAGTCATCGAGAAAGGAGTTGATCCTTACACTGTGGGTTCGAATCCACTGCAGAATGTGGAAAACACTTCTTTGGATGAGACCATATAAACAGAGGTCATTGTCACAACAGATGTTGGCAAGAAAAAGATCCTTCGCTGGAGTTACTGCTCAATGGCCCTGAGTATGAAGTATCCATAAGAAATTTCAAATGATAAACAACAAGTTAAAGGCAAACTTTTGAACTTTATATACTGCAAAATTCAACAATACATTATAATGACTTTAATCTCACATAACATAATGTTAAAACATGTTATAAATTCTAATAAGGCAAAGATGGTATCAAGCAAGATTAATTACCAATATTCAACATATTCATTCCAACAAGCATCCATGTGCCTACAGATTCAAAAATATAAACCACAAAAAAATTATATATATATATAATCATTATCTTAAAGTATGAAAGAAAAGAGCTTTTCCCAATTAATATCATAATGAAAAAAAAATCCAATTTTTCTTTTAATAGTGTGTTTCTTTGTATAGACACTTCAGTAAAGGAGATAGTAACTTCAAGTGCAATTTTATTAATACAGTGTATTTTTTAGTAAGTTGATCCCCATCCCCATTCAATATCTCTATTCAGTTTGAGTGCTTATTGAAACAAATACTGTTAAATACAATTTTCTCTTAGAATAAGGAATGTCACAGAAATATGCATAGTAAAAATATAATAAAAACAGTAAATACGTACATAATTGTATATAAATTCAGTGATTTTTTTTTTATAGATGCACATAAAATGAATTCTGTTCTGTGGTTGGTATGTCAAATACCTTGATTTATTAACAATTTAACATTAATTAAATATAACCTGAAAAGAATCATTATAATTGTGACATGCAAAAATAATGTATAACAGATCATTTAAAAAATATCTGTGGCCTTGCATAAATTTCCTGTATTTCCATACTGCATATGAACTAAATCCTTTTCATCAACAGATATAAATGTATATATATCACTCACAAATATCTTTAGCAAGAGTCATAAGCATGGAAGCAATTCTCTTTTTACAATATAAACAAGGCAACTAGTTTGCATATATAGCATATTGCATATGCCATTTATGAAATACATGAAAGAAAAAAAGCAGTTGCATTACGTACATATATGTGTATGTACATGTATATATATTTTGATCTGTGTTCAATTTCCAGCGGGGGATTAAAAAAGTGACAATACTAATAAACATATGTTCATTCATGAATGTGAATCTCAGCAGTTTGTCATTAGCACTTCTGCAAATCTCTTTAATCTTTGTCATAATTATTAAGGAATGTAATTTGAAAAAAAAATTGCAAAATCATTGTTTTGACAAAATCCTAAAAAATCTTCAGCAAAAATAAAACCATCCTGAATATTGTACATTAATCTAGTAGCTCTTAATTATATACACATTTTAAAAAAAAAAATATCTATTTCATTACAGTAAACTAATAAATATTTGAAAATCATGTGGAATTCTGAGTACTGGTGGGATAAAAGCACGTTAGCAATTGAAATCTGTTTATTTCAAATAATTTACTGAGTGACATTCTTTGTTTTTTCAGAAAATTTAGAAATTTGCAAACCTTAACTGAAAAATTCAGTGACCATGAAATTAAAACCGCCATGGAATGTATCAACATAGAGAATTTTAAACACTTGAAATTAAAAATGTGAACAGTAATTTATTATCATACAATGTCTGAAAGGTAAAATGTGTGTAATCAGCAATTTATAGTTTTTCAAAAGAAATAATATAATGATTATATCATATTATGCTTTTATCAACTTTAAATAATGTCTTGCACCTATCATTCTAATTCAAAACTTAATCTCAAAAAATAAAATATAACAAAAAATGTTGCCATTACCAACTTGAAAGAATCATCAGTATCTTTTGTTTGTAATTTAAAAATTTAATCTCATTTAGGCAATCTTTAAAAAAAATACAATATCCAGTTACCAGGTATACGCTGTACAGTGGACCTTCAGATATCCGGACGCTTCAGTATCCAGACACTTTTTAATTGGAACAGAATTTTTAAATGTTATTTTGTTTTGTTTAACTGGTGATTCAGGTATCCGGACGCTTCACATATCCGGACAAATTGACTAGGAACCAAAGCATCCAAATAAATGAGGCTCCACTGTACTTGAAAAAATATACATATTATTTAACCCACTGTGGTAAGTCAAATTAATTGAAAAGGTGCATTTTTAACACAACCCTGATATACCGTACATGTAATATTAATAAAAGAATTTAATTAAAGCTATACACTGTCACAATAAAATAAGAGTACAGCAAACACTACTATCATAACTGAGAAGTAAGGGAAATGGGAACATATACATGCCATTTCTATCAATCATGAAAAATGTATTCATTGTTTTGTTTTAAAAGTAAAACATTTGATGCAGCAGAAATATTTATTCAACTTGTTTCTCTATTTCCTCTTCTTGAATGAGGTTTGATTCATTTAGATGTACATGTATTTGTTGCAGAACTTACACTTCAATTCTGAGTTCATGCTTTATAAAGCAAAGCTTGGCTCATATTAAATACATATAATAAATGCACAAGATTCTTCAGTATCTCTCTCATATATATTGTGATTTCAAAAAAATATATATATTGAAAAAAATATCAGCAATGAGTACAGGATTAGTAATCATGTAAAGGTCACAAAATCTAGCTTGCATCAGTTTGGAATGTTCTGTATAATCTGGCTTTACTGATTTTAATTACTGCATCTTAACATCAATAAAACCAAAATAAAACAGTTCAATTTATACAAAAACATCATACATGTATTTTTAGAACCATAATTTGTATATCACAGGTATCATTCAACTTCATAATTATAAAGCATTTATTAAAGACGTATGTTGCATTAAAAAAATAATTTATTAACATGGAATGTTTAGGTGGTCATGAAAATATATTTTGCTGGGAATGCTGCATACAAATTCCAACACAAGCTGTCTTAAAAGGTGGCTGGATGGAGATTACAGTGAATTCTTGGTGTATGAACGTTCCCTTAATCTCGGCATGGTATTGGTGCTCTGGTATCTTCGAAACCCTAAAAAAGAAATTGACATGTACAAAAAACACCATCAATTGTTTTGAATTACTGTGGAATCATTTAAATTCATGGGAGTCAATGTTCGTGGGTAAGCAAAAATTATACCTGTTTGTGGGGACGTAATTTTGTGGATAACTTGTAAATACAATGGGTCAATGGATCAATATGTTGAAACAATACCCTGACATAAAACTTTAATTGGGATTTAAATTCGTGTGTAAGGGTGACCCACAAAATCCACAAACATTGGTTACCCACAAACAATGATGAATCTACAGTAGTTTTAAAATTATGCTTTGAAATCTGTATTTCTGTATTCCTTTGAAATTATAAAAATATCCCTTTTCAGGTATTTAAAATGTCCTCAAATAATAATAGCATAATTTAGAAGTGCATGTAGTTTAATTCAAACTGGAAATAAGAGACAAGATGCAAAATGCTTTGAGTTATAAGAGTTATGGTTCCTTTGTCATATTAAGACAATTCTTTGCCTATTAAAATCAATTTATATAGGTTAAAAATGTTGCAAATTTACATTCAGTTTGGTATAAAAATGAAATTAGAAAATTATTAATCACATTTCAATAAAGTACTTTCCCCATCTCACTGCAATCACAATAAATAATTCTTATTTGGATATTTTTTTTCTTTGTCAAGCTGCATGTTGTTACTGCTAATTTTAAAAGATTCTTGAAGATGTTTGTTAACAAAAAAGCAGCAATGCAAAAAAAGAATGTAACTTTGATTAAAATCATTTATTTATTAATCAAAGTTCAGCCGCTAGCTATGGCATTAAGTTCTTTTTTTATGGGTCAAATACTCAAAGTGTGTGTTGCACCTGAATATGATTTTATATCATTTTTATCATATCATGTGACATATAAAAAAATAACAATGCTTTAATAATAATATTTACCCTAATAATGGCAATGATCATTGACCTGAAAGAAAACAAGATGCACTTGAGAAATACCTTAAACATGCAAACATAGACTTATTCCAATGCATCCCCTTAGATCCATGTACAAAAATTGTAAATTTCTGACAAAAGTGGGGCACACATAGAACTGGAAATAATTGTAAATCCTTTGCCCTTTGAAAAGCTATTACCTTGACAACAATATATGACCTCAACTTCTGCACTAGACCATTTTATATCATGAATGTAATGCTATATGTAAAGTCTCAACAAAATAAAGTGTTATTACGTACAAAATGATACTATTTTTATATGACTAGTGACTTAAATTTGTCAAGGAAACCTGTGTAAAGGATCTAGTCATTAATATTTCATTTTAAATATTAGGGTTTTATCAGTCATAATACAGTGATGACTAGGAGATGCAAGCTATAGCTCTGTAATGGTTTAGGCATATATTAGCCTATATTATACATGTATAATTATATTAATATACATGTATATGGATATGGCTATATCAGCCTGTATACCTCAATGGTTAAAGCACCTAATAATGATGTAGGTGTCCATTTCAATCCTCCCTTAAAAATTCTCCCTTTCTATTACATAACTTGGTACTGATACAAGCCTAACTGTATGTAAAATAATTAAGTCAACGAAAAAATGTGTGTATAAGATTCATGTATTTATGCCCCCAATCCAACCCCGCGAACTTTGTTGTTAGGGATAAAAATTGCTACCAGACAGTGATACAGACAGACTGACGGGCTAAAAAAGACAAAAAAATTAGAAAGATAGACATCATTAAAACATGCCTGCAAGACAAAATATATACAGAAATGTCAGAACTGCTAAGTCATAAATACATATTTTCAATCAAATAATTGCTTTGAAGTATCATTAAGTCAAAAGGGTTATAATGCATATTAAAGGTTGTTTCAGAAAACATGCAACCATTTTGATTGATTACATTTTACTGGTGTTTATTCCAATATTCTGCACCAACCTATCAAATTAAGTCGTAATTTCAAGATTTATTCTAATGAAAATAATTAAATCTTGCAAATACGTAATGAGTTCAAAAGAAATAAAGATTGTAAAGTTTTACTTCGTTACAAAAATGTTCTAGATAACGTCATTTTTAGCTGAATAAATAAATCTATCTCACATTATCATTTCTAGAGCACAGAGTCGGTTTGTAATTAATCTGGTCTCATTTTTTGAACAATTTTGAATTAGTTTTTTTAGGGGGTGCCTTTTATAAACTGTGTCCTAATAAATATCCCCTCAGTCAAGGTGGTTTAAGTCAGGTTAGAGTTGAGGCCCAATTTCTTGGATTTAAAAGATTTTATAGTGAGTCCTTCATATATTCATTCTAACCATCCAAGCTTGAAGATTCAAAACATATCTGGTATTTCAGCATCCGATATACACTTGACTTGCTCAATTTTGAATCATTTGTTTGCAAGCTTATATTTATTTTTACAAAAGGATTTCTTGCTAGTCTCTGAAACAATGCCACTTTAGTAACATTCTCAACTGTCTCTGTTTTCATGCTTCCTAACTCCTAATTATCCCCCCCCTTTCCAAATTTTCTTTTACTTAGTATTTGATCACACATTAACCATGTTAACTGTTCATTAGTCTGAAAATTTAACAATTTTATACAACTTCCACTTTATATTACTAAGTTGGTTCATTGCATTCTACATTGTATAAACGTTATTTTTTGTTATAATTACAAGAACTCGTATTAATAATTTTTTCCTAAAATTTTGTTATTAGTAAAATATTATACCTTTTTACTAAAATTTTACACAAAACTTATATATCTTTCTGTTTGCATATTAATCAAGTGAGGAAAGTTAATGTTTACAGGTTTTCTGAAACTCCCAATATGACAAACCAATAACAGAAAAAAAATCATAGAATAATATTTGATATTTCTATAATGTAGTGCAACCTTTTTGAAATTAATAGTTTAGAAGCAGGCTCGCTATTAAGCACAAAGATTTTCATAAAAATTGTAATAAAAATCTAGTTCTCAAGAAAAGATTGCTTTAGATCAGCCCAAAAATTGAAAAAAAAGATAGCAAAAGCTTTGTTTTTAAAACTGTAAACTGACGTGGATTAAAGCTTCCATTGCTGCTCTGTGATTGTCCGGACGCCACACTTCCACGGAGTCTCCTGGCACTCTGATCCAGACGTCTATAGATCTCTTCTGACTGGTAAGACTTGAACAGCAATAAGCATTCTCCAACTTCTTCTTGTAAACTAAAACATTATATATTTTAAAAGTGAATTATATTTCACTCAGATAGCAAACTGTACTATGTATCTACAAATGCTTTTGGATGAATATTTGCCTTAGAGACCTGGGGCCCGTTTTAAAAAAGGACTTACGACTTTCATATTACAATCATCTGAAGTTTTTGATCTTAGCCTTAAGTTCTTTTGTAAAACGGACCCCAGATCCACCTTTGTTCAAGTTTGTTGTTACTAAGAAATGGATAAATATGAATCAGGGTATAAAACTTCAAGGGAAAAATTCTTCTGCGATCACTGATATGCAAAAAAGTAACACTGAATTGCTAAAAAGTCCTCAAAACTTTGCAAGTATTAGGTCTTGGAAGTGTAAAATATGAAACAATGTTTGTTGTAGATTGAAGCAAGGCAAACTCTAAAGGAAATCCATGAACATAAATCCTAGCTGTCTTGTTTCTCTCAACTTTGGGTGAGAGAAGCAAAATGGACTATTGGTTTCTAAAAATGAAGACAATCTTACCGGCCATTTTCTATAAGAAGGTTGTTGTCCCTTTTCTCTGGGTTGGCTGTGTATCTTCTGATACAAGAAATCTTCATGCTGACCCACCTCCTGAGTTTGGAAACATCCTCGTAAACGTTAACCCTATCAGCAGTCACTTCCATAATACATTCCCCGTCATAATTCAGAAAAATGTTTGGTATAAGGTAAGCCCGAAACATTCCTGAAATTAGATCGTACCATCATTATTTTCAAAAAAACAAAGTATGATAAGGCACATTCATAGGTTTACAAATAGGGCTAATTTGACATGGTTCAAACATGTCTTGTTCAATAAACAAGTAAAAGGAAATTTATTTAAAATCAAACAAGAGGCCCAGGGGCCACAGCGCTCACCTGAGTACATCGGCTAGGAAAAAGCACATATCAGATCAGAGTTTACCGAGGTTGGGGTGGGGTGGGGGGGGGGGGTGGTGGGCTTGAATAAACAATATAAATCAGTATCATATATTAATGATGTGCCAGCTGGCATTGTTAGATAAAAAAGACCTACAAAATAAACCATAACTGAATTTTACCCATAGGGAGAGTATCGCTTTTACCAGCCTCTGCTTGCAATTTCTGAAGCCAGTCATCTGCATCTAAAAATTAATGATAATATTTCACATTTTATAATATTTTACAAATATCAAAATGTTCAATGAACTTTAAAGTTTGCTTTATTTTGATAGGACTTTTTAAAAATACTTAGTGTATTTTTAATCTAACAGTTTTTTCCCCTGAATAGAAGAAAAAAAACTGACTATAGATGAGCCAGTGGGAAAATGTGGAAATCAAGTACCAGTATTTACATTTGTTGTCCTTTTTTGTTGAATATTAATCAAATATATTACTCAGTATCGATACCCGTAATGTGCATAATGCCTTAATAATATAACACAAAATTTTAACTTATACTGTTATCAAGGTCACTAGGAATCTCTCATGTGATGCTCAACTTCTCTTCAGAGTAGCAAATTTATGGCAAGGATATGTTTTTCTCTGACAGTTTGACTTATTCCTCCCACCCACCCCCCTCACCGAGCAATGAAATTGACTACAGGGCCACCCCATGCACATGATGGGTATCTTTATCTCTGTTGGATACCTACCATCATTACATATAAATTGTCGGACTTCCCCTCCAGCCAGGGAGATTGTGATGCCGTGGTCTTCATTAAACGACAACCTCACAACAGTTGTCACGTCCTGCATGCGAATAAATGACAGCTGCCTCTCCTCTCGGTACCCCCTCTCATCGGCATACTTCACGAATCTTGTTGGACCTTTACTGGAAGGGGCAAATAGAACAACATAGCGCTTCCTCCAAATCTAGTAAAATGAATGAAGATTGAACAAAAAAATATTCATGAGCTACCATAAATCTTCCATGTTTTTTTCCAATACAGTAAATCAAGAAGCATATAAAGTGAAATTGGGAATTACATTGAGAATTTTTACACATCTTAGAGTGAGAATTAGGAGGAGGGGGATTATAGGTTTCCTCATGTGTTTTAATCGAATTACTATTTTTGAAATGTGAACTAGAAATAATAATAAAGACAGTTATTAATATATGAAAAGTTACACACTGTGAACTTGTTGAAATACCTGGTTTGCTTTTAGTGACTTTTATGTACTAGTAAATTTGCAAATAGCTCTTAGGCATACATGTACAGTGTATTACACTTACTGTTAAAATTTTCAGTTTTCTATTTATGTACATAAGAAAGATGCCTTAAGTTTCCTTTTTACTTTTGCTTCAAGAAGCAGGAATAATTTAATTTTTTAACTATTGATTTTTTAAAATCCAAATCCAGGAAGAAATTCAACAGAAATAGCAAATCATTTACCAGTACAAATATGTAAATTAATTTTAAGTTTGCATATGTTTATATATCCAGGAAGCATACTGAGATTATCTTCATTTTTTTCACAGTTAAAGGTGAAATTATATTCCAACATGTGCAAGTCTGCAAGCACAAGTGTAATATACACTCACCCCAAAGGTCTTGTAATACCCCCTTACCCCCAGTATGTACTCACCCCAAAGGTCTTGTAATACCCCCTTACCCCCAGTATGTACTCACCCCAAAGGTCTTGTAATACCCTTTTACCCCCAGTGTGTACTCACCCCAAAGGTCTTGTAATACCCCCTTACCCCCAGTATGTATACACTCACCCCAAAGGTCTTGTAATATACACTGGCCCCTATGGTCTTGTAATACACACTGCCCCCAAAGGTCTTGTAATATACACTCACCCCGAAGGTCTTGCTTTTCATGCGAACCTCCCCCTGTTTTAAGACAATGGACTGTTCAACTCCTTGATAACCACCATCTCCACTCATCTTCACACATTATAACAAAGTGCAATTCAAAAAGACATCCTGGGTGAAAAAAATTAATTATTATTATAATTTGAAATTCATAATAATTAATAAAAATTTATTATTAGTGCATTATGAAGTCTTCAATTACCAGATAATTGTCAATGAAAAGGTCCCAACTTTAGGCTGCTTGTCATCAAGATAAATAGTTTTGGACTCAGAAAATGTAAAGGTATTATTTGCATCATCCATACAAGTATATAGTTACATACGTTACATAAATAAACAAATTTATGAAATATATCACATCAATGACCATGATGACAATATCCATATGTTTATGTATGGTATACTTAGTCTTACATAATGAAAAGTAAGTAAACTTATAAAGATAGATGACATTATAACACATGAATGCATAGTCAGTTCCTACATGTACTAAATTATCAGTCAAAATCTGTGCTTTTTACACACACATGACAAATCTTTATGATCAGCATGTTATGTGTGAGTTTTAAGGCAATCACATGTCAAAAGTTTCAATTATAACAATGGTTTCATATGTGCACCCTTACCTTTTTTATTACCTTTTCTACTAAAATATTCATTCAGTGATGAAAAAAATTCTGAAACATGTATTTTTTTTTAGTTTCTAGTAGTATTTATATTCTGACATTTTTTTTAGGAAATTTTACATGATATATGTAAATACTTTCATGCTTTACTCTATACTCTAAATCATTTTTTTTTTTCAAATTGAAAATTTCACCTGTGTATAAATACCTCTGCTTAAGTGTATATTTAAGGACACTCCACAATCTCAAGGACTATTATATAGACACTTATACACTTGATTACAACTAAGGGAATAATTGTGAATGAACAGTTGGGTATAATATATATAAATTCCTAAAATTTGTTTATTCTGCCTCAACTCGTATTTGTTTTGTTTTTTTTTAAATTGTACTGATTTTTCTTGTTTTTGAGGGAAATCAAAAAATTATTCAAACAAGAAATTAACACTGAAGCAGGTTTGTTATATATGGCAAAATATATCAAATGGATTTAAAAAGGAGTTAAAAACTGAATCTTTTTTTTTCTTCTGGAAACTACTTAAAAACTTAAAATTTACCTGTATCATGTATATAGTGACTATATAGCATGACAAGTACTATACCAGAACATCATAGGACTGTATGACAAAAAAAAAATTCACTAAGTGCAAGGTTACATAATATGCCTACTTTGGAACATTATGCATATCTGTTACACATACTCATAATCACAAGTTGTGACCTTGACCTTTGCTACTACATGTAAACACATGAAAGCTTTCTTCGTTATCAACTGAAAGACTTATAGAAAAAACGAAACCTTGTATACAGTATAGTTCATTGGTCATATAAAGCTTCACACTGTAAAAGATTTGGCTTAGAAACAGTTTGATCAAGATGCCTTTTACATGTATGGCTATAGTACTGAATTTCATTTCTCTAAAATGACCTTTTTTTAGAGTCATGATATAACAACAACCACCCACCCCAAAAAAGAAAAACAATTAAGATATCCAAATTCAATTTCTTTATACATAGCAGGATTCAGCCTCTATATTTAATGTTTTTCTTACTTGTTAACTCGGAAAAAAGATAATTACTTGTCCAAACCTAACTTTTTCTTGAATGAAAATAATACATTGACGGTGCGACCGTTAGGGCAAGCGAAGATAATTAGAAAATGTTTTAATTTTGATATGGCTCATCAAATTGCACGTGACATTTGTGTGTCTAGACTCTGACGTCACATGACGTCGTATGTAAGTTGCATTATCCAACAGAAGCCTGGAAATTGCTAATTTAATTAAAGAACCTATTTATTGACTATTTTTCTGCAACATATCCATTGAATCAAGGCAAATTCTTTATTTGTTTAACTTTTGTTTGTTATTCTCGTGAGAACGTAGCTTTAACAAGTAATGCATTGTGGGTCCAGAGTTACTGAGGAAAAAAATTCTGATAAATGAATGTGCAGTAGTCCTAATTTTCTCTTTGCCAAGGTGTTGCTTTAAGAGCTCGTAGTGACGAGCGTCGCGAAGGGATGCTCTCTGCATTTGCTATCAAGAACTACTCTTGATAATAACTTGAAAATTGTTGTAAATATTTTTGATAGAATCTATAAAATATTCATTGTAAATGTGTAATAGCAATAATTAAGTGAACATTCTAGATCTAGAAGCACAGGCATCTATATTTTTCTTTATAGCATGCAGACCTGTAGCTCGCTGGTCTGAAAAAAATGGGATGGATGACCAGAGAGCTACAGTACCCCCTTTGAAAAAAGTTTATATTTATTGCACACAAAAATACAGTCTTCACAAAAACTTTTCAAATTAACTGGCCAGTCGGACCAGTGAACTTTCAAAATTTACTGGCCAACCAAAATTTTTACTGCCCCTTAATTAAAAAAAAATTAAAAAAATAAATTTTCATAACTGTAAATTTATACATGTTTACATACTTCAACTTTTGAAATGCCGCCATTTTTTAGAATGGTATTGCCTGTCTTTACCGTATGCAGGAAAATGTATATCGGATATCAGACATGCAGGCCAGTCTAGCCATTTTTCATCCTTTGTCGCGTTTCGGTAAGTTGTTCTTTGGAACTTCGCACATTTTACGTACTAGTTAATAGTTACTAGCTAGTTCCGGTTGTTACGTAATACATCCATGTTATAATAGGGTTATGATAATACGATTCAACAACATGTGCTTGTTCTTTTTATTTTATATATTAATGAAATTTACGCAAGTAAGACAGTTAAAAAATATATTGACTGTTTATGATTTTTATAATCAACTGTTACAAGCCCATCGGACTTCTTGAATTTTGATTTTCACTGACCCGACATCAAAATTCACTGGCCTCAGTCTTCGGACCAGTGAGTTTTCGTGAAGACTGAAAATATGCTGTTTTTTTATTTTATGACAAGTCACGTAAAAAACATGTTGGACCGTATTGTCTTGCCACCCAAGATGACAGTATAACAAGCAAAATTTTCTATGGTATCAATTTCAGGCTCAGGTAGGCTATTTACTATGGTTTTGTGAAATGTTTGATAATGAAGTAGTGAAAAACTAGCTGCTTGAGAAAATTCGGACTTTTTTTTTTTTACAATTCAGTTTTCAATTTTTACAACGCTTGGATCTGTACAATTTAAGCCATGTAAACAAGTTGAGCAGACGCCATTACGGAGCCTGCATACCTTTACTTTTTTACAAATCAATAAGATACATACATATTTATAAACCAAGACCCAAGTACCTGTGCTGTAGCTCTCTGATTGTCCATCCCATTTTTTTTAGACCATCAAACAGATCTGCTAGATCTATATCCTAATCAACAAGGTGCAAATACTGCCAACAAACTATATGGCCGGTTTTATATAAATATGTTGATAACAGAGGTAATGTAACTTATTGATAAAATATAGGAATAGGTACCTCACAGTCACTCAGCCACTGACTTGACTGAGGTTGAACATTAGAAATATGTTGGAACATTAACATGATCAAAGCAAAAATACATGTAATCTAGTCCAGCAGCATATTCAGAAGTTTGTATGGTAGAAGACAATGGATTCTTACCTTACATTAAAGTTTTTAAAGCATACTTTGCGATGTCGTTTGTCATTTTCTTGATGTTGTTTTCTTCTTCAGACTGGAGTTTTTTGGGTTTGCCCACCGGATATCTTTTACGGTATAACGAACCCGATCCAATTTTAAACCAACACCGTGAACTCATTGCTGAAATATTTCCTGTTCCACTTGAACACTGTTGAATGTAGAATATTTTATTTGAATAAGCTAAAGGCATGTAAATAAAAGACATGACTAATGCTTTTAACGAATGAAAAGGGGGGGGGATAAATAATTCAGATAAATGGTTATTTATTTCATTGTCCGACTCTGATCAATTTCATTTTTTTTAATTCAACAAAATTATTTTCACTAATAATTCAACCGATATGATATAAACCTATATGAACTAGGGATATACTATACATGCATGTACCTTAGAATAAGGACATTTTCCGTCGCTGTTCAGATAGGACTTACATAAAAGGATTGTAAGGGATTGATTGATTGATTTTATTTTGTTTAACGCCAAGTCGGCAATATTTCAGCCATATTTCGGCGGGCAAGTTTGTTTATTAACCGGTTTTTGAAAGTTTTTTGGTATCTCTGGCGGCCCCCAATGAGCCTACTCTTTATCGAACTCCAGAGAAACGATCTTTTACATGCCAAGGGGGTTGTTATCCTTGACACGGGGTACCATTTAATGTCCCATCCGACGGACTTAAAATTTAAAAATATGTAAACTGTTAGAAATAAAATCATCTAAATATATCTCATAAAATTGCTCTAATCATTTCTATATTTTATTGTAAAAATCAGTTTCATGTAAATACTCCAAAATTACATGTACATTAACATTTGTAAAAAGGTCATGTATCGTTTTTGCATTACCAAAGAATTGGCGAAAAATCAGAACATTCTAATAAAATATGATTTACAGTTATCGGACAGTCACGGGATATACATTCCGGCTGAGACTCCCGATTCAGTAAGTATTTATGTGTAATTTTAGAGTGACCAATACGTATTCTTGATATAATTACTTCGTCTTGACGTTTCAGACCGAAGTCACATTTGTTAACTTTGTTTTCAAATCATCACAAAAATTCCAATAAATTTGCCAAAGAGAATCGACATAAATTTTAACGAGATATTTCAAATCGGTGTAAGGAATTTTAAATAAAGTAATTTCATGTTGAAGTGCTGTTTTTGCTGCACTGTCAGCCTTAGTGTTTCCAGGGATGCCGATGTGGCTCGGAATCCAACAAAAATTGACTTTTTTAAACAGAAAGGAAGAATGATTGAATATCATGCGAAAGAAGAAAATAATTCTGGTCCAAAATAAAGGCTGAATAATTAAAATTATTCAAACCTTAAAATAAAAAACTACATATGCTTTCAATGATTTTTTTAAAGTGTTATTTCTGTGAATGTATGCAATATCGGATTAAGTAGGGGGAGGGGGGGGGGTCGGACCCTCCCAGCCCCTCTCGCTCAAGGACTTTTTTAAGTATCATTTTATCAACTTATTGCATTAATAAGACTCTTATGTGTATTTTCTTCATCCTTCTAGGATAAACAGAATCCGCTTGAGGATCTCTTTATCTTATTTGACCAACATGTAGTACTGACTTAAAAATATGCCCTCAATTGAAAAAGTAGGTCAAACTTCATGGTCAAAGTCACAGGGTAAAAAAAAAAAATCATAGTGTATTCAGAAAAAAATGTTACAGGTAATAAACATGTGTAATACGAAAGCCCTATATTTTCTTTCTCGAAAGTTATCACCAATTTAATGTAATGTTTAAATATTATTTTGATATATCAAATAGGTCAAACTTCAAAGGTCTTGTCACAGGTAATTTACATGTGATTTATGAAAGTTCTATCTCTTCTCAATCAAAACTTCTGACCAAGGTAAAAAGACAGATGACCCCTTATATTCAAAAGATTTAATGTCCCCTTACTTTTGCGAAAGCAGCTAGGAAAAAAAAGAAATGGAGTATGATTGAAATCATCAAAGAAATAGAACAACGTTTTAATAAATTATACATTTATTTAGACACAATACCTCACTACAATTATGAATATTACTTTGTCTTTCCTATATCTTAACAAATTAAGGAAGACAAAGAAAAATAAAACCACAGAGCAAGTGTACTCCTGTTGTACAGGAGTATTTCTTGTAAGAGTTAACAAAATACATGTAAAAAGACAAGAGGCCCATGGGCCTTATAGGTCACCTGAGCATTATTCAACAACTTTCCAGTGATTGAATTTGATCCATGTTTTCAGCCAGATGCTATAGCATTTACAATTTGGTCATCATAACTATACACATAGCAGTTCCTTAGTTTGGTTACTTAATACCCATAGGCAGGGTAGGGGAACAAAAAATGCATTTCAACAAATCAGTAATATCCAGCAATAATGAGTAGTGCCGCTACCACACATGAACCCTTGACTCTTAGGCCTAGATCCACACATTGTACAATTTTTGGAAAGGCATTCATGCTGTTCAAAAATATTTGATTAATACCAAGGAGCACATTTCAAACAATTCATTCATTTTCAGTATATAAGTACAGCCCCCCCCCTCCCCCCCACCCACCCACCCCCTCTATGGTACAACTGACCGTGGGGCCTTGAAATTTACAATTCTTGAAGATTAGGGCCCTTGTTCATAACTATATAGGTAGTTCATCTGCTTAAAACCTAGGTGCAAAGAAGAAAATATTCAAAGATTTAATGTTTTTTCACTATACATGTATAATCAATATAGCCCCCCCCCCCCAACACCAGAACCCCTGACCCTGGGGCCATAATATTCACAATTTTGGTAGAGGCACTCTTGCTAATCATAACTATGTACTTAGTTAGTTTATATAAAATCTAGGAGCAGAGAAGAAGATTTTCAAAGAATTCATGTATTTTCACTATATAATCAATAGAGCCCCGCCCTAACACCAGAACCCCTGACCCTGGGGCCATAATATTCAAAATTTTGGTAGAGGCACTCTTGCTCATCATAACTATGTACTTAGTTAGTTTATTTAATACCCAGGAGCAAAGAAGAAGATTTTCAAAGAATTCATGTATTTTCTCTATATAATCAATAGAGCCCCGCCCTAACACCAGAACCCCTGACCCTGGGGCCATTTTTTTGGTAGAGGCACTCTTGCTCATCATAACTATGTACTTAGTTAGTTTATTTAATACCCAGGAGCAAAGAAGAAGATTTTCAAAGAATTCATGTATTTTCACTATATAATCAATAGAGCCCCGCCCTAACACAAGAACCCCTGACCCTGGGGCCATAAAATTCACAATTTTGGTAGAGGCACTCTTGCTCATCATAACTATGTACTTCATTAGTTTATTTAATACCCAGGAGCAGAGAAGAAGATTTTCAAAGAAATAATGCATTTTCACTATATACTTACTTAGCCCCACCCTAGCACAAGTACCCCTGACCCCAGGGCCATGAATTTCACAATTTTAATAAAGGACTCAATGTTGATTACAATCATGCAAACAGTTTGACTGCTTGATGTCCAGGAGTAAAGAAGAAGATTTTTAAAGATTGCATTAATTTTAGTGGTTTTGGCCCCACCCCCCAGGCCCCAGGGGGGCAGGGATCATGAAATTCACAATTTTTGTTCCCCTTCACCCATAGATGCTTTGTGTCAAATTTGGTTGAAACTGGTTCAGTGGTTGCAGAGAAGAAGCTGAAAATGTTCAAATGTTAACACACGACGCACGACGACGGACGAAAACAGATGGCAATAGGTCACCTGAGTTTACTCAGGTGACCTAATAAGTAATTCCCTGTACGTATATATGGTGCACTCTAAACATTCATTTAAAAATAAAGAAAACAATCTTAATTTATTGTACAGCAATATTTTCACTCCCTTTTGATAAAATTAAAACCTAAACAAGGTACAGAATTAAATTTGCCTAAAGAACTAGTACAATGAAGCGCATTGAAGTGGTAAAATTTTCCGTTCGAATGGAACGTTTTGAGCTATATTTAGAGTGTTTATTGTCATCTTTTGACACGCCCATTTCTTTAGAAATTGATAAAACGGTCAAGTTGTTTCTTCAAATACCTGTAGAACAGGTTTTCCATAAATATAATAGCCAATCAAATTGAGGATCTAAATAAACACCGAGTAAACACGTGTTCGACCAAAACATGTGTTGTGGTAACTTCAATAGACATGATAAGTTCAAAAAAATGTACATATTCGTTGCAATTTGTGTTTCTCAGAAGCGGGGAGTCTCTATATCTCCCTTTTAATTTTTTTAAAGCTCCATTTCAGTGTAACTCATGTTGCTTAATTTGGGATGTCCTAAAACTAGCGAATATTACTTCACTCGTTTTGATAAATGGGCGTGTCATTTTGTTATAATTGACCTTCAAAACATGACTCAGAACTTTTCATCCAAACGGAGAATTTTACCACTTCAATGCGCTTCATTGTAATTGTTATTTCAGAGTTTTTACCTGGCCCATAGAATATTGGGTGGGGGGGGGCAACACCCCCTTTTTTTCCGAATGTAGTTTTTTGTAATTTTTTTTTATAGGATTTTCTTGCTATTGAGCTTATTTTAGTTAAGCCAGGTAAGCTATTAAAACTAAGACAATTTCATGTCCATTCACAACTTCAAGAAGATTAATTGTGGGCTGTTTACAAGAGTCATTTGTTCCGAACATGATAAAAACAAATATGTTCAAGTACAATTCAACATATTACATATATAACATATTCTTTTGATTTTTCATAAATTGTACAATTTTTATTGCACTAGTTCTTAAAGTTAAAAAAATGAAATACTGCTAGCCTAGAATGAAAAACTGCAGGGAAAAAAAAACTGTAACTGTAATTAAATAATTTAATGATTGCAATAGAAAGTATTGCAAAAGATTTTTTTTTTAATTAAATGAATATGATAAAAGTTACGATAAGCCTCGATCAACAAGAAAATTTTTAGGAAATGAAAAAAACTTCCTTGTACATTAAATAATTAGTACATATGTACTACATGTAACATGTATCAGCTTCATTTTAGGTACATATCAGCTCAATTTTCAAAAATATTTTCAGCAAAGAAGACTGGCGAACAAGCCTGAAAATACCTTTGTTTCAACAAAAGCACAATTTACACACAAAAATATTTTCTACTAAAGAAGATGAGTAAATAAGTGAAGAAAAATGCCTATGGTTCCACAAATAAAAAAGAGAAAAAATTACAAATGTCAATTATATCTCAATTTTCTTTGATATTTCAGTTAATATTGAATTCAAATATAATTATCTAAATTAAATCTCCACAACTTGGAACAATCTCTTAATTGTTCATTTAATTTGTTGAAATTATTCATCTAAGTTAAGAGGACAAAAATTAATGATTATTTCTTCATATTTTAAAACAATTTTTCGAGATATCATAACTGGATCTTACTTTTTTCTTCAAAGTAAGCTTAAGAAATATACCTTTTTTTTTTTAAAAGAAATATTTGAAGTTCATTCAAGGATCATATAACAAACAAGATTTCAATGTTGCTATTCTTATGAGTTATAATGTGTAGCGTCAGTCTCTCAGAAAAAAAAAAAATCAGAATTTTTACTGCTAAATATTAAATTCCAAATACATTGTAATCATTTTTTTTTTATCATGAAAAACTTTTCCTGAGAAAGAATGACTGCACTTAAGGACGTTATTTGGAACCTTTTCGGTTACCCATTTTAAGTTTAACATTACAATATATCGCTATATTAATCTATGATTTATGTGCAAGCACACAGAATTTTTCGTCATGCATATTTTTAATTACATACAACGCTATTGAAAAGAACACGTTTAAGCCATAAATTCCGGAAAGTTGAACTGGACCGCTATTTTAAGGTGGCAGCAAAGGGCGGAACATTTAAATCGCATGGAAATGGATCATATGCACATGGTTTTCCGTATTTGATTTACATTATATATGAAAAAGGCGGAGAGGAGGGTTTTGTGTTCATTGTGTACAAAAAATAAATGATTTATAACCATGCATATAATTTCATTAATTTGTATCCACGTAAGTAAGTAGAGTAAGTAAAGAGCAGAACATTAAGAGAAAAACAAAAAGTTCATAAAAATAAACAAAATTGTGATAAATATATGTCTGCATTTTTACGCTTAGGTTTGTAGTGTCTTTTTAAAGAATTATTGGTAGATGAAAATGACACTGAAATACATTTTTATTTTCTGAAATATAAATGAAAAATTTTGCAACCTGTATAATAATCTGAAATAAGTACACACAATAAATCCATAAATGACATGCCATTTGATTACAATTTTGACCTTTATTCAGAGTACAAAGGGCAATGCATTAAAGAAAATGAATTTTGGCTTCTACATTATCAAGCACTGCATAATTTTCTCTATCTAACGTTCTTTTAAAATTGTAATATTAAAATCTCACTGCTCATGTAGTATTTGCTGTCAAAAATAATTATATGTGTTCGAACCTACAGTGTATTTTAAAAAAAATGACATTTTCACTTTATCTTAATCATCTTGAATAATAATTGTGGACTAATTTAATTAGTAACGGAAAAATAAAATAAAAAGTTTAGTTTTTTTTTTGGTGTGAGCTCACCTAAAACTCTTACTTTTTTCTTTCAACTGCTACATGTATATGTACAGCATGTAATAATTTTCTTTTAAATGCCCCGAACAAAAACACTATAGTGAAAGAAGTCAACGTAAACTTTAAAACGCCAATAAATTGTACGCAATGATAATGTTTTGAAAATGGAAGTACATGAACGACTACACAATTATCGAAACTTGAATGTCATTGAGAAAAGTGATTATAATATCAAACGGGTCACATGGGCTGACACTCGGTGACTTGCTAATTTAGAAGCTAACTCGAGCGAAGTTTGGGTACATTTTTTTTAAAATTAGATATGAGCCGCAACTTGACCAACATTGTCCTTTGGATATGTATAGGTTTAAAGTAAAATACACATTCTGTGCATATAAGAAAAATGGTCAAGTTGCGGCTCGATGTAAACAAAGTCGTTGAAAACTGGTATGCATATGAATAACAATAGAAATGAGACAAAACTTTTTAAAAGATAGTGTCGCTCGGCATTATTTAATACTTTCATGTAATATAATACACCAAAACCTGCTCTTACATTGTTTAATACCTATTGAACATTAATTTAATGAATTTTGGAATTTTATTTTGCGCAAAACATCGGGTTCCAACTCTCATAGCTTAAGTGCAGTCATTCTTTTTCCAGAAAAAAAAATTATTTATATTTTTTCAGTAGTTAACAAGTCTTTGCTCTAAATTATTTCACAAACTGATTTTGATTTTTTTTAAATACATACTTGAGGCTACATGCACTAGCATTTTGCATGTCTTGTTTACCCATCTTCTTTTGGGAAACAAACAGAAACAAACAGTTTTTAAAGCAATGGCAAGTTAATATACAAGTATGTATACTTCAAAATCATAAAACCACTTCAAATCTATATGCTTCTTGTTATTAATACTGAGTATATTATGGGACATCTGTGAACACGTGAATCTATCTAGTTTAATTTGAAAACTGCTTAAGAAACTATAGGCAACTTATTTTACATACGGTACCACAACAAACTTCTCAGTAAAACGGTGGCTAAATGTATTCAACACTTTAAATTATTGCCGATTAAAAGTTTTGTACATACATGTATAAATTTAATATACAAGCAAAAAAAAACAATTCTTTTCATGTAAATACAAGTATTTCTCAAAACAAAAATATTTTACAACTCACTGATAAATATCCAGGTATGTAAACAAGTCTTGATATTATTAAAGCATCACAAAACAATATTGAGGTCATATATCATAAATACTTGGTAACAAATGATTGATATGAATTGAAAACCTATTTAAAACAATAAAAGACATCGTTTGAGACTTAAATATTACATAAAATGGTTGTAAAATTTTCTGTGAGAAAGAAAAAGAAACAGTATAAACTATACATGATAATTTTTTGCAACATATTTCTTTATTTCACAACACTTCTAAAAATTACATTTATATACGTACATGATTCAAAATAATATCCATATCAAACATGTGTACTAGTTGATCGTAAATGGTAAATACACAGAAGTCTTCATTGATTTTTTTTCTAAAATGGGAGAAAGAATCAACAAAGAAAGTGCACTGTATCAATGAATCTTTTGAATTAAATATATCTCTTTACATCAAAAACTCCTTATAGTGACATATATTGTCCGTTGACTCTTTATATTTCTAGCAACACAAAACAGCAAGTTTTTCATTACTTTGATCATAACAAAAAGAAAGAGGCAAGCAAAAGTAGATGAGATTCTCTGATTAAAGAAAAAAAAATAATGATAATTCAACAATAAAGGCTAGGGGCTCGAGGCTGACAACACAGTAAATTGTAAGCTACATGTAGCTGAAAAATACTGCCGAAGAATTAAAACAGAACACTGAGTACAGCATTATTGTTCTTTTCAATCAATTTTTGTACAAATTTTTAAACAAAAAAATTTAAAACAGATTTGAATATCAATTCAGAAAACATTCAGAAAACAATGCAGATAAAACAGTACTTTATAGTTGATATGTATTTTTATGATATATGTGGAAAACATTATAAAACCTTGTTAAAAAGCAATATTAAATCGTGATTATAAACAATATTAATTTTTTTTTAATGTATGTTTATATAATTAAAGCTTACAAACTGAGACAAACATCATCACTCATTCTAAAATAGATATACACTAGAAAAATACCCCTTCCAAGATGCACTTAAAACATGATTATTTGAAAATTTCATTGAAAGAAATCTGTAATATCATCCCCCCCCCTTCAAAAATAAAATAATACCATTTCATGCAGCCTAGAACTTCTCCATATATTTAGTATACAATAATGAAACACAGTATGTATTGATCATAAGCATTCTTCAAAATGATCCTTTACACTTGCTGCACAATACATGTATGTCATGGACAATTCATATAATACACTTGTTGCATGATATGTCATGGACAATTCATTAAAACTACTACATGTATTCTAATCTCGTGACCTTTTCCAAGTGACCTTGGTTCAGTGTTATAATTAATCTACTACTCAAGAGTATCTCTGGGTCAAGTTTGAACCTCCTAGTAATATGAACACCCCCACCACCTCCAAAAAATTGGCATGAATTGGAATTTTGAATTATAGAACATTTTACCTGGACTACTACATCTTTGATTTAGAGCCAAAATACACTTTTGCCAATGCATGTTTCCAATTTTCCCACTCACATAGATTTTGGAGAATGTTACAAATGATATTTGTTGAAGTATAAAGAATCATACTCTTGACATACACAGAATTTTTGGGAAAATGAAGAAATTAAAGATTTAAAATTTTTTTCTTGGGGAGGGATGGGGACGAAAATGATGAAGACATGAAAAAAGAGGCAACAAAAAATGGATGAACAATCAATGAAAACACTTTACAACTGAACAAGTATGAATGTATATTGCTTTTTCAAAAACATGGAATGTCAATCAAGTTGGCACAGAGAGACATGAGTACATAACAACCTAGTATTAACACGACTTTACATGTTGTGCACTCATTCCCATACTCTAAGCACAGAAATGCAAGTGAAAACATTTGCAAGAAAACAATGCAACATCAGATAGACATTCTCCTGTACCAAGAGCTATATTGACATTTGAGATGTTCAACATCAAACAGACCAAACAGACATACCCCTGTACCAAGAGCTATTTTGACATGTGAGTTGTGCACAGAAAAATCTTGCTGCAGCTCAGTCATCAGCTAATCCTATCCATTACATGCTCCTTGTTTATAGGATCTGTTGGTTGTAGGGATTCTATATACAGGTACATTAGTACACATCGTCCTCATCACTGTCATTGTTTTCAGGATCGGTGGGATCTAGGGATCTGAGACTGGCAGACATTGTGTTAATCCCACTCTGGCTACTTCTTTTTAACCTGCATGTAAATCAGAAATATTTTGAAATTTTGCTTAAAGTAACAAAACAAGCCAGTAATGTTGACAATAAAAAAACAAAAATGTATGTGTAATTGTAGTCCAATTTCAATTTCTTTTTTATTACAGTATAATATTCATGGAAATTATGTTCCCTTTTCTGATATTTTGTACAAAAGTGTACATACATGTAGATCTTTTTGAAAAGGAATAACCTTTTCTTATTGTATGATCATTATAATTGCAATATTGAATCTTAAGACATATTGCTAAATTTAATTTATGTTATGAAAATTCACCTGCTCTGTGTGTGATTGAGTTGGACCTGTAAATTTTCTATTTGTTCTTGCATTTCGTCATTGGTGCGCTGTACTTTGCGATACAGATTTGCCTGGTTATCAGCCTGAAAACATTTTAAAATGTTTAAATGCATGTATTTTCAAGCAATGTTTATGAAACAATTTTAAATAAACTTTAAAATCTGTGTTGATACAACTTTAAAAATAAATAATGTTTCCATCTTTTTTAATACATGTAAATAGAATACCTAGTTGTTTTAAATTTTACTGTACGTACTGATTTTATATACTGTACAGTGTAATTTTAAAATAATAACATAAATATGTATTGTACAAGTGTATATGTATCTCACATGATATTGTGTAAAAAATATTTTTAAAAGGCACATTCATTAATTTGTTTACAAAGAGTTTTTTTTTTAACATTTAGAGAGTAATTAAGTTCTAGAAATCAACAGGAAATTCTTACCTCATCTTCAGCGTTTGCCAGGTCTTTCTTCAGTTCTTCTATCCGAGTCCGGAGTTTTTTGACCTCCATTTCATACTGCTCAGCTCTCCGTCGGGAATGATCCAAATCTGTCTGTCTTTCTTGGAAAGTCTTCTTCAATTTGGCATGTACGTGACGAAGATCATTTAATTCCTGAAAAATTTTGTGACAAAAAACATACACTAGGATGAATATTCTATTGCAATGCATAAATAAAATACAGTGGAGCCTCATTTATCCGGACGCTTTGGTTCCCAGTCAATTTGTCCGGATATGTGAAGCGTCCGGATACCTGAATCACCAGTTAAACAAAACAATATAACATTTAAAAATTCCATCCCGATGAAAAATCGTCCGGATACTGAAGCATCCGGATATCTGGGGTCCGGATATCTGAAGGTCCACTGTAGATTTCTGGAAAAAATATTCCAATCATAATACCTGTATTTTGTATAGAGCTAATGGTGTTTGCTATGGCTTCACATACATGTTCATATGCTGGTAAATAACATGTACAATACATGTATATACTTAAAAATTCTAGTTGTGATTTCCTTAATACAAGTTGTAGTTTACAGGTAATTGTAGTGGTTTCATTTACCATAATTTACAGAAACCGATCCTTGAAGCAAAGACCATTACCATACATCTATCAAATTTTTTTCATTTTGTTTGAACACTCAGTTTTAAAATCAATTTTGTTTCTAATCTCCCTTGATTTTGGTTAATCCCCCTTTTTTGTACCTTGGTTTTGTCATTCAGATCCTGCTGTAGGCCTCTCACATCAGAGTCCACCACTGCTGAGGTCTGCTGTTTCTTGCTTTCTAACTGTTCCTCTAGGTCCCGGATCTGCCCTCTACACTTCTTATTTTCTCTCTCCAAGGCCAGCTTCTCAGATTCTAGTCTCTCCCTCTTACCCCACTCATCAGCATTTTCTCTCTGAAGCCTCTCAAGCTGTATAAGAAACACATATATCGGATAAACATTTTATTTCTTAACGTTACCATGATTACTCAAAAAAAAACGAAGATGTTTTTTAAATTTCTGTTCATCAATTATTGCTATAAAGTTTAATAAGAGTCATTAGACTAATGAAATCAAATGACTAAAAAACCCCAAACAGCAAAACAGAACATCAATATTTTGTTTCCCATAATCCTTCCCAGTTCTAGAAAATTGTACAAAAACATTGGAATAAAAATACTTTTAACCTTTTTTAATGTAAAAAAAAGGAATTTGTGAAGTAAAATTCACTCATCCTCACTATGATTTTTCTTTTACAAATTTGCATAAGAATCTGAAAATTAATTCTGTGTACTGTAGCCTTAGTTAAATGTACTAGTATTCAGAATTCATATTTGATCAATTATATTCAACCTCTTTTCGGACTTCATTAAGTTTTTTGTCCACCACAGACTTATTACTAATCTCCTCATCAACATCTTTAATAAGTTGATCAATTTCCCCTCTGTGGTCCTCCTTCAGTTTGGATATCTAAGGAAGACATATAAATACAGTTTATACACCAACAGTCAAGGTTGCTTGTGAGATCTTTTGATATGTTTTAGACAGCATGGTTTTTTAAGAATTATTTTGTAGTTCTCTTATCACATTTACTTAGCGAATACAAATCCTAAACATTAAAATGTATACATATTTCCTTGTTTTACACACCTCAAGTAAAACATCCTGCTTTGATCTTTTGGCTTCCTCATATTTCTGTTTCACTGTGCTAAGATCCATCTGAAGTTTTTCTATGGTCTTCATTAGTGATGTTTTGTCCCTTTATAAAACATGTGAAAATTTTTTTTAAAAAAATTTACAAGGGAGTGTTGCAATTTTTATCAAACTAATAAATTCAACTGATCAAAATATGAAGAAGAAAACTCTCACCCTCTCTCAGCAAGAAGTGTTTTCTGTGCTTCATCCAGTTTAAGTTCAAACAAAGTCACTTTTTCCTCAGCTAAGCTTCCCTCTTCTTGACTCACATTATTCACATTTGTTGTCTGCACATTAACATTTTTCTCCTCAAAAGTCTTTTCTTTCTCAGCAGATTTACAAAGATTATTTTCCAACTCTTTTTTAACACTGTCACTCACACTTTCGGGGGAATCTTTCTTCAGTTTGACATTCTCTGCTTGAATTTCTTGCTTTTCTCTCTTAAGAACTGTACATTCTTTCACTAGCTGTTCCAGTTTGGCGCGGAGTTGGCGGTTTTCCTCCCTGGCTTTGTTCCGCTCGTTTCTGACCTTGCTCCACTTCTCCCGCCAATTGGCCGTGCAGTCTGACCACCATCTCATCGTCTTCTCCATCTGTGATACCCGGCCCCTGGCCTCCTCCAGTTCTCGCTGACGAATCTCATCCCGGTCATCCCAATCATTGTCCATGTTGGACATCTGTGACACGGGAGTATGACTGCCATCTCTCATCAGGGAAGGAGAAGGTGCCATAGGCAGCTGGGGAGATGCACCTGTGGCCCTGACATAGGAGACGTCCCCTTTTGAAGAACCAGGTTTCATTTTCTGGCTCATAGTTTTTGTTTCTCAGATACTGATCTAGAATGCCATGCTGTTACAGTAGATGAACATTTCACCTCATTCTCTGTCAGTGTGCCAAGGTCAGAAAATCTAAAGAGAGAGTAAAATGAAAGTTTCTTTTATTTAACAAATATTATTAATAAGGCTTAAATGCATATTAAAAACATATAAAACTGCACTAAAAAAATTCCCTGATTAATTGATAAAATGATATTGACTTATTGACCCAGGTTAATGGTAGAATTCATTGTATGTATTTGTAATGTAGTTATGAGGGACATGTAACTCCAATTGCATGCTATGAACACTAAACTTAAAGGTAGTTTCAAATGCAAAATGTCAGATAAATATGTTTATAAGAAAATGTGTTGATTCATTCAAACCTTTCAGCTTTCCCAATTTTATATGGAGTCTACAGATTTTAAACAGTCCCTACCATATGTCTACTGATCATTTTATAAAAAGGCTGTTCCTGCCAAATTTGAAAAAAAGATCCCTGGGTCATGGTACTTGACTACTTGTACAGGTTACCGATTCATAATTATTTCCATAACTACCCTGTTTGTCATATTCAGTCTTAACCATGATAACGTTAAATAATTCAATTTTAGTTGTAACACGTCATTTGATTGGTTAAGCGGTTTTATCCATTTTGTACAACATAACTTGCCTACGTCACAATGAGTTATGTCAAAAACGTATTACTCCGGTCGACGTTAACTTTTAAAATATGCGATATTTGAAGCCTTTTTCCAAAGGAAACAATGGAAAAATTTTCTCATTGTCTACATTGAAATTCAATAATAAGGAATGAAGCTTACTTCAACTTATGTTATATTTATATGTCGCGTTTTATAAAGCGTAAACTGCCCCAGGTTATGTTATATCGTATAACAAAAGTTGAAATAAGCTTCATTCCTTAAATATTAAGCAAATGTTTGTGTATCATGTAAATTGGACAGCTCCTTCCTTTTTAAGTAATACAGATGGTGTTATACTGCTGCATGTTTCTGAACAATTATTTTAAAACCGAAAATGGTGGAAATTCCGAATTTGGAGATTTGGCATTTTAAACAAATGTTAAACATTAATTAAGTTGTCACAAATCATAAAAATTATGAATAAATTGGGAGATTGTAGAAGTCTGTAAGTTTAAAAATACCTTACATATCAAATGATCCACAAGGAATATATCTGATCTGTAATTTTGAACCACTGAATTTGATTTTCATTCATACATTGTTACACAAGTAACAAAAATGTGAACATTGTTTAATCTTTCACAAATTCGATTGAATATCAATTAATTCAGTGATAAGTGAACAGGTAAATATCAATATATTCAACTTTTAGCAGGATCCAATGTCTTTCATTAGTTTTAATTCAAGAACTGAACACAGGCACCTGAATTTTTATCAATAAGTCGCTAATTAAGCCAAATATCGAAAAATTCTACCCCCTCTATATATAAATACACAAGGTGTGCAACGCCATTTTGACCCCCTCCTCGATTCAGGCTTGAATTTAACACATAAATTGGATATGCCTACCGGTATGCGTGTAGCATTGGGTTCAAATATGATATTTCTCGCTATACATTTCTTCCTAAAGTTTAAATCCAACGCGTTTATAATGCTAACAACTAAAATTCAAGCAAACTTCGAATTTCGTCCCAAGGCCCGATCGCCATCAGCTGATGTCACGGAAATTTAATCTCTACACCAAATGCTCGAATATATAAATTAATCAAACATATGTTAAATAAAATCAAGGATAACAAAGAATTTAATTCTTTGATATTTTATTATTTCCTTTTTTTGTTTGTCAATAAATTAAATATATAATTGCTGTATTAAAAAGTTTATATATTCGAGCATTTGGTGTAGAGATTAAATTTCCGTGACGTCAGCTGATGGCGATCTGGCTTTGGGACGAAATATATAGAGGGGGTAGAATTTTTCGATATTTGGCTTAATTAGCGACTTATTGATAAAAATTCAGGTGCCTGTGAACTGAAGAAGATACGGGTAAATATCTTCTTTGAGATAAAACTAAGAGAGAGCACTATTACAAGTCTCTTTTATCTTACCATCTATTCTTCTTAAGTTGATTCTTATTTCAAGTTTATCCCTCCAAGTTCTTTTTAGTCTACAGGAGTGTCTTTCTTTTCCAAAATTGTTTTAGCATCATTGTATAATTAAATGTTTCTTTCAACTCCCTTAGACTCATTGGAGAAAACGTTTTTTTGATTAAGAATATGGATGAGGTAGCGACACAAATCGTTGTTGAATCAAAAATGTCCGGTAACCAAAAGTTAGTCATAAGGCAGGGGAAAAAGAATTTACTAGACATTTGAAGAAATAGCATCCCATATCCCGACCATCAATTACTAATTCGAATTCAACAGCATATTTGAACAGAAACGAATCCAGGATTTTTTTTTTCGGAAGGGGGGGGGGGTACGTCGATTTACCCAAATTGAACCCAAATGGAAGCAAACGGAACCCACATGGAAACTGGACCCCAATGGAAATCAAATGGACCCAAATGGAATATTAAATATATCTATTATCGTATTCTCGAGTTGTTACTTTTTAAAATATTTTTAAAAATGAACTTATAAAATATTTTTAAAAATGAACTTAAAAAAGAGAATATTTAATTTTACTAATTTCTTAAATTGTATTTTGAAAAGACGATTTTTTTTCTATTTGTAATAACTTTTGCACATAATTGAATACAAAACTTAAGTATATAGTTTCAATGGACGTAGGTACCGAGCGGTGGGGGGGGGGGGGGGCACGAGAGACATGCCCCCCTCCCAATAATTTTGCCGATATATAGAATACTACCAAAAATAATTCGTATCTCAATATTAGATATATGAATAATTAATAAACTCTATTTGTAAGTTCATTTTTTTCATAATTTTGAATAAGTAACAAAACATATTTGATATTCCATTTGGGTCCATTTGATTTCCATTTGGGTTCCACTTGGGTTCATTTGTTTCCATTTGGGTAAATCGACATGCCGAAGGGGGGGGGGGGGCAACTCAGTCAAAAAATAAAAATAAAATCTGTCTCGACTCGACTCGAGTTTCTTGACAAGCCAGAAAAAAAGGGGGGGGGGGAAATTATTGAAACTCGAAAATCGTCCGATTGTGTTTGTGTGTGTGTGTGTGTGTGTGTGGGGGGGGGGGGGGGGGGTTGTCAGTATAGGTTTCAACTTCCTGAATAGTACCCTTTTTTTTTTTACTCAAACAACTCATGATCAAACACTGCATTATCCTTATAGCAACCTTATTTGACAATACTCTAACCTATAGTGGAGGAGGGGCAGGGCAACTGAATTTTCACTGAACATAATTTGCTAAAGAAAAAAAAAACTTGGTTTGGAAAAAAAGGGGGGTGGGTGGGCACCCCCATCCCCAATGATGCTAGGTGCCTGATACCTACTTACAATTTACTCGGATTGGTTTTTAATTTGATAAAGACATTATACTTACACTTTAGAAGCCTCAATGAGGCGCGTAATCAAGATAATATTTTTTTTTACCTAATTACTTCTTAATTCCTAAAGTTAATTATAATTATATTTTTCAAAATAAATATTATATTTGTTTGATAATCATTGGAAGGGGAAAAAATCAGATGATACATTATTATTTTTTATTTCGTTGAAACTTACACTAGAGGATATGGATTACCCGGTTCCCCCGAGGAGCCCTACACATTTAATAGGGCCTAGCTTATTTTGATTTTTCTAGGCCACGTATATGTAGGACGTTCAAGACCTAAACATGACAGACTCCAGAATCGAAAGAGTAAAATCTCACATTTCAAAGCATCCTGACTTTCCATTACCTGGAATCTTGTTTCGGTAAGATGCTTTATGAAAATTACTAATTTATAAGCATAAATGTAGAGTAAATAAAAGAATGGCTTTTAGTTCAATGTAAGGTGTACCATTTCTGCAATAAACAGTAAAAGTAAATATTTACGTCCGCGTGAAAAAAAACTTAATATCTATTGCATTACTTTTCAGAAATAATCGTGCAATACCAATACTTATGAAGGAAACGAAATGAATTCGGAAAATATTCTGTTTTTGCGGGGAGGGGGGGGGGGTCATTGGCCCTTTTCAATTAATATTCTTTCCGTTTCCTTATCTTCCACCTTCGCCCTCCCTTTTTTCATGCAGTCTCCAAACCCTTTTTTCCCCATCTCCCCATCCGCCAATACAACATGCGCTATGCGCACTTCCCTTGTAATTCAACCCACCACCTCCCCCTCCATTTTTGTGACAAATGCGTTCTGGCGCGATGACGTTGGACGTTGGAAGGATAACTCCATGGGACGTACGTTTGCATAGTGACACGAACGAAATTCATACCATAAACAATACATTGAAAGACAGGAAATGTTCAGAAAAATCGAAATTTATGCAGAAGCATCCTGAGATAATGTAGATGCAAAACAGCTTACCCAGGTTCGCAATGTGGCTATGGACCTCTTGTTAAGTCAAACGCAATTTCTATTTTATTTAAGCATTTGCGGTGTTGCAATGTCGCAACATATTTTTTGCTTAATTGGTTTTTCAGGTTTTTGTAATTTTTCACACATGACTTTTTTAAACCGTGACTTATTTAGTCCTAAAAATTGCTCAAATATAGGTACTCCTATATACGTACTTTACAGACCCAAAGAAACGGTTTGGGGATGGAGTTCTCAAGATAGGAAACTCTCCATTTTCTAGCTAGAATATAGAAAACAGAATAAGCTTGATTTATGGTTGTGTAATATGTGATTAAGTTTTTTAAATTGGGTTTCAAAATAATAAAATTGATTTTCAAGGATTTTTTTTAAAGATTGTATATCCTCTTTGTAATTGCGTTTTTCCTGCCTTTGTTTCATAATGTGCTTTAAGAGTAAAAAAGCTCCCATTTTCCTTTTGTAAAAAAAATACATAAATCACCTATAGTTTTATACTTTAGTTTATATATTTGTGGTAGTCTTAGATGATTTCCTATACATGTATATGTTTCCCCCTTAAAGCTAAAAGCTCAAGTGAGCTTTTCTGCATGGTCACCGTGACCCGTTGTCGGTGCATCCGTCTTTAAAAATAAAAAAAAACTACTGGGCCAGGAAATCTGAAATTTGGAAGCAACCCGAGGTAGTGAAGATTCTAACTTGTTCAATTTCCTTCAAATCATGAACACCCACCGGCACCCCCATCCGGCATAGGGTTTGGCTACAATAGGTGTTACAATTGGGAAATCTTGTGAAGGACAGCATGGCCAGAGTTACTCAGATGAGCGTTGTGGCCCATGGGTCTCTTGTTTAAAAAATAAATTAACACTTGTTATGGGAAAGTGCACGTATTTACATGTATAATGCCGGGGTATATTTTCAGAGATATTTTCCCAGTTTTACGGAACCCAGAAGCGTTTAATGACCTTATGGACGTGATGGTAGAGTTTGTGAAGGAGAAGGCCCCCGGGGTGGAGGTGATCGTAGGGCTGGAAGCCAGGGGGTTTCTTTTCGGACCCATCATTGCTCAAAGACTTAACTGCAGCTTTGCACCAGTCCGGAAGAAGGGTAAATTGCCCGGGGAGACGGAAAGGGTTACTTACACAAAAGAATATGGAACGGTAATTATACAGTCGTTATTATTTGAATGAAGCGGCCAGCATGATCAAAGACAGCTTTTAATTGCCTTTTCTACGATGGCTGGTATAGGACATAGTGACGTAGCAATTACTGTTTTTAATTTGACACCACGAAATAAATAAAAAAAATTTGGCTATATGAAAATTGAAGGAAACGGGGCAAGAATTTTTTTTTCTAGTATTCATTGTTTGGGTTAGTAAAGATGAAATTTACTGGTTCAGCTCTCTCTTTCCTACTCTGTGAGTTTTACTGCAGTCAAAGTCATTAACACATTTCACCAGCAGCTAAGGATATTTTCCTTAGCTTGATGTATATTACGCACAATTTGTACTTTCATCATTTAAAGCTGAATACGACTCGTAAATAGGAATAGGCCATTTTCGATATTACTCTCTAAGATATCAGCACCAGGGTATACTCTTCGCATTCGTTACACCTGACTGCTTTATTGTCACGGGTATTGGCGTGGAATGGTGACCCGCGTGTTCGGCTGGTTATCTTGCATTGCCTTTGTTTACATTTTATTGCAGTTTATACGTGTATTTTTGTTTCTTTAGTATCTTACTTTCCTGCATACAATAGTTATTTTTTTGTCTCTACCGAGTGCTATATAGCACGCGCGTCTGTCTACAGCGGTTACGACTGATTACGGTACTGAACAGTGACTTAGCCGCTTTATATAGGGTCCTCAGCGAATGGCGGACACATTCCATATTACGAATCATGTTCATCTTTAAACTCTTGCATGAATTCAAGACTACCGAGGCAAAAAAGTAAAAGTTTTTGTTGATACATAAATATCCAAGCTACACATGTAATCATAAAATCGCTTATTCAAAGCTTCCGAAAATAGATTTTGAAATTCAGCATGGATCTTAAAATTTTCTGGGAAAAAAATTCCAACCTACCTACTGAATACTGACCCAATATATTTCTCCTGTGCAGGATGTCTTTGAGGTCCAGAAAGAAGCATTCAAGCCCGGACAGTCTGTCGTAATTGTTGACGATCTCTTGGCAACAGGAGGTATGTATTATATTAATGTTTTAACGTTCTAGTAAAAAGTTTTTACTAAGCTTTACGTACGTAAACACAATTGGTGACTGGCATTCATTTTTGCAATGTTATCCTTGACTTCATTTTCAACAGCACGTTATTTTTTTCAAAAAAAAATAAAGAAAGTCGATCAAAAAGTTTCCAACTAAATACCCGCCTTGGAATAACCTCTAAATACACACTCTCTCTCTCATATATTACTCTTCCATTCAAATATTGACCCTCTTTAACAATAAGTATAGAAGCCTCTTCTAGTTCTATTTTATTGAATAGAAAACAAGTTAATAATAATTAGTAAACCAATATTTTGGGTACCACTGCATCTAATCATTATATTAATATTATTAACCCAAATTTTATTCATGATTAGTACTGAGAGGATATTGGCAAATGTTGATGTATATATGTTAACATATTTTCAGGTACAATGAAAGCAGCCTGTGAATTAATTGAAAAAGTGGGCGCCAAAGTGACACTATGCCTGGTGGTGATAGAACTGAAAGATTTGAACGGACAAGGAATACTGTCCCAGCCTTGTTACTCTCTCATTCAATATTAGTTGTTATACTAATATAACAAGGAAAACAGTATTTTACAACAACTCTGTATTAGTCGTATATTCAACAATGCTACTGATGTGACACATCGAATACATTGTTTGTGCCTTGATGGTCTACAAATTGAGAGATATTTCTGGGTATTTGAACCTGTTTGTATCTTAGTACATGTAGTAAAAGGTGCCTTTTCTTCATTTTTATTAAGAAAAGTTTGTTAAAAGTGTACTGAGATAACAAAGTATTGTTCTTCAAAACGAACTCTAGCTGTGAAATGGCAAAATTAGGCTAATAAAATTTTAGTTACAAAAAATTATTGTTTACCGATCTTTTTCGACAAAATTATACCAGTATGTTACAACGCGAAATGTAAGAAAAACTGGGATTATTGCATTTTGCGTTATTACATTTTACGTCGAAATCAACGCAGAAAGTAATATTAACGCAAAATTTAACAACACATTTTTAAGGATTATTACATAAGTACATTCTGCGTTATTACATTTTGCGTAAAATGTAATAATCCCAGTTTATTACATTTTGTGTTGTTATGACATCTCGCGTTGTAACACCGGTATATTAGAGGAATAAAGGAGAAGTGAGCAACCTCACAAACCCTATTCTCTTTAAAGAATTGGACATGGATGTAGGAGAAAGCCTGTCCACTTCTCTAAAGAGAAGACACAAACCCATGCTCCTACAAAAAATGTTGCAGTAGTTTATTTCATTTTTATCAAATCGATAAATTAAAAAGGAGTATAGCTAAACAGAAAATTACTTTTTTCAAATAAGTAAATAAATTGTTTGCAAATCTACAAAGAATTTCTTTAATAAAAATAAATTCAGTTTCTTCAATTTCCGTTCAGCTGTTTCAGAGGAGTTGCGCCGACAGGTATGACAGAGGCCAAACGACAGTGTAAGTTTTAAAGGGACATTTCTATCAGAAAAAAGATTTGCCTCTCAGCCTCTAGCTGCAGAAATGTAGTTCTCCGAATGTTTTATGCCCCCAAAATAGAAGATTCGGGGGTATATAGTTTTTGTCGTGTCTGTGCGTCTGTCTGTCTGTTTGTCCGCAAAAAACTTTAACGTTGCCCATAACTTTTGATTTAGTGGAGCTACATGTATATGGCTTTCATATTTTACCTATGCATTTCTTGTGACAAGACCTTTCTTTTGGTACCACCAAATACCTTTTTAACTTGACATTGGAGTATGACCTATTTTTTCCCCAAAAATTTAAACTTTTACTTTGACCATAACTTTTGAATTGTAAATACTAGGACTTATAATATATATTCCTTGTTAAATTGCAAGATCTCTTACTGGATACTAACACATTTGACCTTTTGACCTTGACGGTTTCTGTACTTACAAAAAAACGTTAACCTTGGCCATAACTTTTGAACAGTAAGAGCTAGGGCTTGCATACTTTACATATGTAATCCTTGTGAGAAGACCTTTCATTGGATTTCAAGAACCTTGACCTTGGAGTTTGACCTACTTTCGAAAAAAAAAAACAAACCTTGATCATAACTTTTGAAGGGTTAGGGATAGGGCTTTCATACTTCATATACTTAATCCTTATGGCAAGAACTTTCATTTGATAGCAAGAATCATGACCCCTGACCTTGGAGTTCGACCTACCGTACTTTTAAAACCTGTAACCTTGACCATATCTTGATACCAACAATTTTGACCCTTTGACCCTGGATTTGTCTTGCCTTTAAAAAAAAATCTTCGCCAACATCTTGTTATGCCCCCTCCCTTTCCATGAAGGGAGTGTATATTGCTTCGCTGCTGTCTGTCAGCCCACCGTCAGTTTCCCTTCATTTTCTTCATAAAGGTTGCACATATTGAAATGAAATTTGGTATACAGATTTATCATAAGAATATCTAGGTTAAATACTGTTTGGGTACGATCGGGCTATTTTGGACAGAGTTATGCCCCTTGGACTAAAAAAAAATTCTAATAATTAGCAGTGTCCATTCATTTTCTACGTAGATGTTGCACATATTGAAATGAAATTTGGAATACAGATTTATCATAAGAATATCTAGGTCAAGTTCTGTTTTGGGTATGATCAAGCCATTTACACAGTCATGTCCCTTTGACTTAGATAAATTCCAATGATTTGCAGTTTCCATTCATTTTCTTTGCAGAGGCTGCACATATTGAAATGAAATTAGGTGTACAGATTTATCACAAGAATATCAGAATATCTAGGTCAAGAATTGTTTTGGGTACAATCAAGCTTTTTTGACAGAGTTGTGCTTGATTATACCCTCATTCATTACAACTTAAAAATTCAAAATATTGGCTGGATTCTTACTTGAAAAGTCTAAACTTTGCAAATGGGAATAAGTAAAAGAAGAATCAAAAGCCTGGTACACACTTCTGCACACCACCAGGAATTCTTAACTTTCTTTGGCACCACAATAAAGGGGTTTACCTTTGTTTAATGTGTATTTTAAATTTTTCCAACATTAAAGAGCCAACAATAAGAGAAAAGTTTATTAAACATAACACAAAACATTTAGCTACACGCACTCATCTCTTTCACACACTTTTCATCAATATCCAAGTGCAGTTGTTGCAAAAGTCTTATACTACAGGTACATGTATTAGCAAATATGTTGAAGCAAAACACATCTCAATACTAGTATTCTCAATAACAAGCAATCTTCCTTTAATGCTTTGATTTTTGAAAATAAATTTTGTCAGGCCTAAATCCATCCCAAAAGTTTACTTTCCTTTTTTGAAGATAAATAAGATAATAACTTTCACTGATTTATCAAGGATTGGATTAATGTTGTTTTTTTTTTTTCATTGATTTTTTATCGTATTATCATTGTCCTCCTCTTAAAGCCAACACTAAATGTAGAACGGAACCCCCTGTCACTTTGTAGTCCTGTGCAGTTTTTTCATCGTTCCTGAAAAAAAGAAGACAAAGATCTTTTGATTCTACTTAGTAATAAGGATAAGGAAAGATAGAAAATAATATCAGTAATTCATGAAATAAGCATGATAAGAGTTAATATAGATATTTCCAATTCCTGGGAATTTATGATTTATGATTAGGTTTATGATTGCTGCCAAGTCTTAAGACCTAGAAGCAATCCAATACTGGGGATTTTTCTTAACCCTCACTTCAATATGTATGAGTATTAGATTCTCAAAAAACTGACAGTCTTAGACCAACTTCATTCTAGACTTTTGTGACGGTGACACCATGGTTCTTAACCTTGGACCCATGGAATGTTAAATTTTACAATTTTGAATAAAGGCTCGTACCCTTGTTGCTTTAGGTCAAGTAGTTTGTCAAGGAGCAGAGGTGATTGTCAATGATCTATTGCCTTTTCAATATGAGAGCTTCTTGGTACAGCTTGGATTATTGACATTCAGTGAAACATCATAATTCAATAGGTCTTGGTGAATAGTTTTCTACTGATATAATAATTTCCGAGTACAGGTATCAAAATATTATTTTCTAGAAATAATTATTGGTAATGTTGTTGTCCCACTACCATAATTTAAGATATGTCAGTGTGTCTAAGTAGAAAGAACCTTGGAGGGATAACTTGGTGGATAATTGTTACTTTGAATTTCAGATATTAATCTGGGGCTTTGTTCACAATTTCACTATACTTACATTTGTTTACCACTGAAAATCAACCTTTGTTGTGGTGGGGGAATTCCCTCTTTTTCTTCTACTCTCTCTTTTATTCTCTCCACCTTTGAGAAAAAATTAGTGTAAAAAAAAAATGATACTACATTTATTTTTCAAAGGGTAATAACATAATTTGTAACTCTTTTAACAATATTAATATACAGAGTTCTTGAAATCTTTTGGTCCTGTCGGCAAGACCGATAAAAACAACCAAGGACCGATAACTTTACGTTCTGTGTCAGTCCAAATGACCGATAGATGTTGAGAGAGCAACTTGCCAAAATCTGACTCAATTTCATACGAATTCTCTATAATCGACCGATCATAATCTGTTAAATGCTTTTCAGTATCTCGTAATGGCTCCTCTGATAAACGCAAGTATCAAACTTAAAACCATGATTGATTAGCTGTTAAAACAAGTTTTTGACGGCGCTAGGGTAAGCCAGGTGATAACTGGAACTACTGGTAGATTGAAAACTTACGAAGAAAATCGACCCCCCCATGAGAATTCAACGAAAATTGTTATACAATGATCAAATCTGCATGACGTGTGCAGTGTGTATATAATTGACGCAGGGTGTAAAATGTATTGATAATAAAATTCAAATACAGTTTTCATCTTTTTTACTGATTTTTTTTTTGGACTGATAGAAATCTGTCTGGACTGACAAACTTCCAATGGCAGTCAGTCCAAATGACTGACAGTGGAAAAAAGATTTCAAGAACTCTGATATACATTTTATTTATAATTAATGGTGTTAATGATTGTATGATTATTGATGTACTGAACATTTCATATTTAGAAAGTTAACAATATTTTCTTTCCATAGATGTTTACATGCATAAGGGGCGTGATTATACTTACTTTGTCTGTGGGTTCAATGTCAATTTCAATCTGTAATCACAAAACACAACATCCACTCATACAAATAAAAAGAAAGCACATCACTGTAATGAATTATTTTTTTATTATGCCATCAAAAAAGTTCAAGTTATAGTTTGCATATTTTAGCCAACCAAAGATTGTTAAAAAGTTCACCAGAAGGGAGTATGTTGGGGAAAAAATGGTGGAAAAAAAATATATACATCTTGCATCAATAAATTATCTGCATCAAGAAAAATGTGTGTTTAACATGTTTTAATGTGCTACAAAACAAGTTTTCATCCTAAGATTGTGACCAAGGTACATAACTTTGGAATCATACAATCCCAAAGGGCTTGTACATGACTAATATATTTGTTATTGTCAGTGCTGCTGCAACTCCTTTCAATTCCTTAAAAAAACTCTTTTCTTTAAAAACATTCCATAGTACCAGAGCACAGGGGCATCTTATCCACTCTGTTCTCTACTTCACATATAAAAATGTGTATTTTTTATATGTGAAGTAGAGAACAGAGTGGATAAGATGCCCCTGTGACCAGAGTAGATCTGTTCCCTTTCACATCTATCTGTGGTGAGCCAGAGGGTTGAGACTATTCTATTCCATGACAGCAGTGTGTGTGTTAAGTGTTTGTTGAGGGTAGGGGTCTATACTCTTTGATTCTGATAATTTAAATGTTATCCCTGTATTTTATTTCTTTTTAAATGACAGTTATTTTGGTCAAAAACGTACAATGCACGTTTTGTAAATAGCTCTGCTGTTGGTCAGATCTATATATAGAAATTTTTTCCACATTTACACCAAGGATCAGATTCAGAGAAAATAAATTTTGATGGGATTTGTTATCGTATAATGTGAATATAAACATATTGTTCTTTTTCTCAACAAAGAAAGGAGGGCATATCAAATACACAGTTAATGTTACACAAAATTTTTGAGTATAAAAAAAATATCTTACCTCTTTTCCTGTCAGTGTCTGAAAAATATTTGGAGAAAAGAACATTAACATGGCTAACACGACACAAAAAATAGTTTTAAAATATCAACAGCCATCCAAAAAAACCGATTTTTTACATCTTAAAGGCCATTCTTTCTTACCTTTACTTTGATTAACATTTTGACTGTTTTTCTTACTAATTATTTTTGCAATAATGCCGAGGCCGAATTTCCACAAGAAGTTCCGGTATGCCGAACTGATTTAAAACAGTAAATTTGATTGGCTAAGAATGAAAAATGGTAATTCGTACATAGATTTTCTCGTAAATTTTTAGCTCACCTGTTCATGGATTCCATTTTATAGAAGTATGGACCTCGTTTCATAATCAATAATCAATATCATTAACAGTTTAAAAAAATGAAGATTTAAAAAAAAAATCACAAATAGAAAAAAAACTTGAAGTCACTAAAAAATATTTGTTTGTATTCAAATACAAATGACCTACAGTACCTGATCACAAGTGAGTCATATTTTTTTCTACTATATTTGATATTCTCATAAAAAAAGAAACGCATAGTAGTAACAATGCACTAAGAAATGTGTGATAGTTTTGTCATACATTTTTTTTAAGATGGATATGATGCATTCGAGTAAAATAACTTTATTGCCATTTTCCACAAATCTCACAGACAAAAAGACCTGAGTTTGCAAAATGTCCAAACAAATCTTGATCTCAGTCTGCATTTGTTTGTTTCTAATGCAATTCCTACAGACACAAATAGGCTATCAAAAGCGCGAGGGGGGGGGGGTGTCTCTCGATATTTTGAATCTGGTTTTATCTATCGAAAATTTAAGCTTTCTAAAAATGTTGCATCTGAATATTGCATAGTGAAAAAAAAGAAAACGGGCGACTGGAAGCAGGTATACATGTATATACTGCAGTCTACAATAGCAAGAGGTTTTAATATGTTACGCATAACACCATATCTAATCTATAAAACATAAACCATTAACACAGAATATCCCATGTTCGCACAAAAGGCTGGAGACCACTTATGATACTGCATGTGAAATCACAGTTTTTCGTGGGATTTTAATTTTTGTTGTTTTCGTGGTATGAAGAGACCCACGAATTTATGTCCACCATGAAATGTAAATTTTTACATACATAACTATTAAAAAGTTTTTTCACCCACGAAATCAAATCCCCATAAACCAAGATTTTTTCCTCAAAACGAAAATTTATGATATGGACGTTTCAGAAACTTAGAAATTTATTAAGGTAAGAAAAATCCCTTCTGGCGAACTCCTCGGAGTATATTTATAAAAATATAAAAGAAGTTAGGCTACAGTTGTAGCTAATTTAAGAGAAGAAAAAATGGAATGCATCGGGGTACAAATAAATCTTTTTTTAACGTAAAGTTTGATAAAATCACATAAGCATGAAGGTGGTCCGAAGAACTGATCTGTTGTGGTGAGCTGTGCAGGTAATGGCCTCTTGCAAATAAATATATTCGGGATCGATGTTCACTTAATTCTGAATCACATATGGCGCTGGCTGGATACTTTTTTCTTCTTTCCAAAATCAAAATTTGATGCGCATTATAGTTAAATTTGAAAGAGTATTCCGATGGCACAGTATATTCAGGTTAGTGACGAAGAAGGCGACGAACCGATAGAAATCCCTAGTGAGGATGACGGCTCGTTATTGCTTAGCACACTTGCAGCACAGTTTCCGGGGGCATGTGGGATGAAATACAGAAATCCAAGCACTGGAAATTTTCGTGGAATTAGACTATCAGAGGGAAGACTGCATCCACCAGATGGAGTTTGGGGAAATTTTGTTTACATTGTCGTATTCCCCAAAGGTCTGTATGAAGAAACAAGGAGTAATAAATATTCGCATTTTCATATTTGTTCCTCATTCAACCAGTGAGTCATGCAAGAGATAATATTCAGCAACAACAAACCACCTTCCTATATCATTGCAGCAGTGACATCACATGAAGTTAGTTCTTCTCAGCATATCCGTTGCAGTTTCAAAAAACATGATTAATTCTGATCGTCTTTTGAACTGCTGTAGGCATGTTGAGAAGAACTTTATGAGATGTCACTGCTAAGTGAGTAAGTCATAGTGTAACATTAGATTTTAACTGTAGATAAAGAAGCACTTTGATTAAGGTCTGGCGTAATCTTTTGGTTTAGTTAAAAAGCTTGGATAAGCTATCATTATTTTCATTGTCCCCTCTCAATGGTGTAAGAGGGAGGCAGAGTTTCTGAAAACTATCGGTCCTACCGGCAAAACCGATAGAAAATCCAAATGTCCAATGAAATTCGCCATAGTGCCGGTCCGTGTGACCGATTGTGGTGAAGGGCTTGTCCTGATTAATTTATTGTTCTCTGATCTTCATAAATAAAAATTTTCAATGCAGCATGCTCTTATTCTTCGTAAATATCCATAATCTTATCCATTTTGCATTTCTACTTGACCTTTTTACTTCGAAAAACGATCGTTTTTTTCCTTATCCGAATTTCCTCCATTCCTCTATTAATGGTTAACACGTGCAGTATATAGGCCATGAAGTGCCCATTGAGAAAATGTGAAGATATTTTAAATTTATTTTTATTTTAAATTTCTATCATAATTACTGCTGTTTATATATGATTCCATTTTACAAGTTAGAATTAATATTTAAATTTAAAAAGAATTCTAGTAACCTTCAGAAATTTTCTTTTTCAAGAATTAATTTTTTTTTTCATAATTACATGTAGTTGTTCCCCCAACATTTACTTGGAGCTAGCAACTTTTTTTTGCTGCCACAAGCCTGTTTGAGCTGGTGCCATGGTTTTGAATTATTTAATATATATAGTTGCATAACCCTGGTATCACAATCAGTGATGGTGACCCTGGTATCACAATCAGTGATGGTGAGCCATGAAAATTTTTACATATTCAGTGCCATTTTCTTTTGAATTACATCGGACATAAAATATACACAATTTTCTAAAATTTATTTGGACTGATAGAATATGCTTCAGACTGGTAGAACGCATTGAGTCACCAGTCCGAATGACTCATAGAAATATTTGGTTTTCGGAAACTCTGGGGAAGTATAGTAAATGTGTGTGAGCGAGTTAGTCTGTCTTTTGTGCAAAACGGAAGTGACTTAATTTGCATCAGGATGGATGTCAAATGCTATTTGCGAGAGGATGCTCCATGTAGCAATGCCCTCTTTTATGATTTATTATTTTATGATCCTTTTTTTTTTATATGTGCAATTTTTTTCACCCCCTAATAAAAAAAATCACATGTAATCAGGGGCTATTTAATTTTAGAGCAATTGACGTGGTAATACTCAGTCATTTTTAACAGGGTTCGACACTAATGTTTTTAGGCTTTGGTCCGACCGGACTAGTGCTTCTTTTCTTTTACTAGTCCGCGGACAATTTTATGACTCCATCAAAAATATAAGTAGATAAATAGAATTAATGTTGCAATGTACTTTTTATACTTTTCTGAAATAAACAAAGCATCTACATGAATTGTTTATACCAAAATTCGTTGAAATCGCGAAATCAGGAACTACGATCGTATTTCCGATCTCATTCATTTTTCTCTATACATGATTATATCATCCATACATCCAACATCTTTCTTTATGTGTCATACTAACTCATGATCGATAAAATGTTTAATTTCATACCAATGAGTCCTAAAATTAAGCCCCAAATTGACTCAGAATTACCGAACTTCCCCGCCAAGAAGCTAGAAAGCTAAAAATAAATATGGGGTTTTCCAGTGAAAGTTGTCGAGAATATTTGAACATCGGTAAATTCTTTTTTCCCCCAGAAAACTTTATTAGTCCGTCCGGACTAATTAGCTACAAATTTTATTAGTCCGAATGAAAATGTATTAGTCTGAGACTAACGGACTAACGTTAATGTCGAACCCTGTTTAATGAATTAAGTTGTATAACATATACTTGCAGATAATGTGATGATAAAACGCAAAGGAGATGAGGCTGGTGAAAATTCATTGGCGAAGAATAAGTGTGTTGATAAACAGCGATGCAGTGATCTCATTGTTCTGGGCTTACCTTGGAAAAGTAATGAAGATGATCTGCGCAGATACTTCTCTTCCTTTGGAGAACTGCTTCTTGTACAAGTAAGTTTATAGATATAATACAAAAATCCTATAATATTATGAGTAAAAAAGATTCTGGCCATTGCTGTGTAAGCAATGAATTCAGCTTCAAAATCTTGGACATACTTTGGACATTTTGGTTTTATGAAAATTTTATGTAATAAATGACGTGTTCTATCATAAAGGTAAATTTTGTGTAATGTCTTGTTCTATTCTTTAGGTGAAGAGAGATGTGAAAACAGGAGCATCAAAAGGGTTTGGCTTTATTCGATTTTTAGAGTATGATTCACAAGTAAAGGTGTTGGCACAAAGACACATGATTGATGGCAGATGGTGTGATGTAGCCATTCCAAACTCAAATGCAAGTACTTTTTTGATGGAATGGTTTGTTTTATATTTATTCATCAAATTATAAAATCATTTTCTCAGTCTTGATTCTTGAAGCAATGAAAACTTCAGAAATTAAAAGATGTCATTTTGATTGAAAATTGCCTATTGGCATTCTACAGAGTCCCAAAAATGTTTTACTTTGATTGCTCTTATGATGTGCCTAGATGGTAAATGAAATTTTACAAATATGCTTTGTTAAAGTATAATTACAAACTAAATAATTTTTTTATATGCATACATATTATTTATTCATGATAGTTATTTGATCTTATTTTTCCTTTCATACAGGAAGGTGCTGCAGAAATGGTCAGCAGAAAAGTTTTTGTAGCCAGATGCACTGAAGACATCACAGCAGATGACCTGAAAAGTTACTTTTGTAAATATGGGGAGGTGTCCGATGTTTTCATTCCCAAACCCTTCCGAGCCTTTGCTTTTGTTACTTTTGCAGATCACAGGGTGGCTCGTTCTCTTTGTGGGGAGGACCATATTATCAAGGGGGCAAGTGTTCACGTCACCACCGCAGCTCCCAAAAATTCCGACAGAAACGATAACCGAGGCAGGTTTGATCATGGAGGAAGTGGGAGGGGAGGGGGGCATGGGGGGTGGAGCCAGCAAGGTAAACCTATCGCTACTGTAGGTACAGTTCCACCTGTTCCTGACCCAAACATGGCCAATAGCATAGGCATGAATTTATTGAATTCAGCTGTGTTAGCAGCAGCCCAGGCTATGTTACAAAGTCAAGGTCAGTTACCTGCACCCCAACCACAGCCAGTGGGTCAAGGTCATGGGGATCCTTTTGGTGTTCAAACCACAACTGCCAGACAGACCCAGCAGACGGGGTTCTTCAGTACCCAGAACTCTGCAGGCTGGGGGACAACTGACACCAATACATCCGCAGGCGGATATCCCAACTGGGGAGGCAACAGCCACCAGAGTGGTTGGAGTTAATGTATGGGAGGATATGTTGATGGGTGTGCGTCAGTGTGGTGTTGATTTTTTTTTACTATGCAGAGTGCTATGCCTTGTGTCTATAAGGGCTGAAATGATGTGGGAAGACATTTTTTTTTTTTTAGAACATTACTTTATAATATTGAAAAAAAATCCTAAGAATCAGTCTTTTATTGAAATGCTAAACGAAAAGTGTGGTATATGTCTATTGTAGCCATTAAAATGGGATATGCATGTATATTGTATCATCCCACCCCTAGAATTTAAATACTTATAAAGTCACTTTAGAAGTCTCTAGAACTTTGCTTTTTCCTAAATAATAAATGTATATTGATAATTCCTTTTGTTATATTGCACCACAGGTTTAAACAACAGGTTTTTTTCAGAGATATTACTTTACACTGTTCATGCTGTTATTAACACATTGATATATAGTAGGAATGTTAACTTCAATATTTAAAGAGGTTGTTTCCCTTCTCCATAGAGTGTGTCATAGGAGAAATTAGTGCAAAGCACTTTGTTTTGTTTAATGCTTCAAAGTTTAAAAGTAAGATACATCAGATTTTTAATATGGGAACTTGGTTCCAAGTTTGTTTTTTGTGTTGCTTATGAAATCTGAATATGTATATGTACATAAAATATTAAGTGTGGATTTGCAGAAATTGTTAATCAATGTAATCACCTACATGTATTTTTCAGCATTCCCTTTTGTGTAAAATTCTATGTATTATGAAAAGTAGCTTTCCTATATTTTACCTAACAACCCACTAGCAGATGTCTAAAATTTTCTTACTTTTTACAATTTCACCTTAAGGACTAACAACCCACTAGCAGATGTCTAAAATTTTCTTTCCTTTTAAATTTCACCTCAAGGACCCTCTCTACACTTAATACTAGTACTAATACCAGGGTACTTTTATGTGGTTATACTGACCCATTTGACATAAAATATATTAAACTGTAAGCTGCACATGTGTGTCATAATTTGAAAAAAAAATGTCAGCATTTTAAACATTAAATTATACCAAGATGAGTAGCTTAAAACTCCATTTACATGTATCTTTTCAATTTTAGTAGGCGATTTTTCCTTATCATTACTTTAATGAAGATTTTTCCAGGATAAAAAAAGCACACGACCTGTATTAGAAATGCTAAGCTAATTTCTAAAAAAAAAATTTGGCTATATAATTTTTTCTAGTTCATAAAACGCTTTTCATCAGTGTATAGAGGTTCCTTAATTTTTCCTGATGCTGATATTGTATTTACACTTCTAAACAGATTTTTGAAAATTGTAATTCATCAATATGTACGGCTATTTAATAACAGTTTGTGACCATTCATTATGAAAATGGATTGTTGGGTAGACTAAAATGAGTAGAACTTGGAAGATCTAATGTTGGACTGAAATGTGTTCTGATAAAATTGGTGAAAAAATTTAATCATGATTGAACATGATGAATGGAATTGATTGAATCATGCGTGATCTGGAACAGTTTGAATCATGAGTGATCTGGAATAGACTGAATCATGAGTGATCTGGAATTGAGTCATGAGTGATCCAGAATAGATTGAATCATGGGTGATTTGGAATGGAATCTTGAGCAATTTGGAACAGAATCATGAGTGATACGGAATATGATTTGATTTTGAAAAGAAAATCATGTGATGTGTGATCTGGAATGGAATTATGAATGATCTGGAGCAGACTGAATCTTGAGTGATCTGGAATGGATTCAGTGATGTATGGACACAGATGAAGTGTGATTTTTGCTTTTATGTTGTATTGTGCAGAATGAATTAAAGGAGAGTGTATATATGGTGTGCATAAGTGTTTTGAGTGCTTTTTTGATCATTGAAGTTTATGATAATATCTGTGCTTTTATCTTTCAGGGAAACCTCCTTGAGGCTTGAGCATCGTTAGAAAGAGACACCTTGGCTAACTCATGGTGCCTATAATCTTTTTAAGGTTAACATTGAACATGTCAAACATATCTCTTTACGTGTTTATTGGATATTGCTTTTAGCTTGATATGGTAAAACCTATGCAAAAGTGAAAGTAACCCATGTAATAATGCTTGATCTTTCATATTGCATTAATACATGTATAACAATTCCAAGAACCACTGTGACAGGAGAGTTGAAACTTAATTATGGAAGGCTTTATTACCAAGTGTAGAAACATTTATTTAAAACATGACCTATTGGACCGGGCAGGACAATCAAAATTAATGTAGAAATACATTATTTATGTAGAAATACATTTATAAAGAAAAAGGATTCCCAAGGTCAAAAGAGTTGAAAAAAGAAAACTTAAACTATTACATGTAATTATAGTTCAGGTTTGTTTTTCAAATCCATGATGATCATCTGAGAATGGGACCACAAAGGGCAGAAGAGTATGCTCTACATACGACCATTTCCTAAAAAGTACCAAGCTATTGACAAACAAGTTGATAAATCAAGTATACATATATATCAACGGTCTCGTTTATGTATGGTCAATTCAATGACCTTGTCAACAAATGCAACCTATCATTAAGTTGAATTCCGATTGACGTTTTTCATGAAAATTGTAATTACACCATTATATAAGTGCTGAATTATCTAATTTTGTGTTCGTATGTCCGATCAGGACCAGGAGAACACGGTGGTTGTGGCAGATCAACAGGGGATGCTGACACTTTCGTTGACCTGATCCCACGTCTGATGTTTATAATAGAGGTCCGTTTTTAATCTGCTCAACATTTTTAGCCTTACTGATCAAAAACCAGAAGAGCTTATAAAATACGACAGTAAGGTGTCCCGCCGTCTGTCTGTAAACAATTTTGCAAGTGCTAAATAAATCATCTTACAGTTTTGGTCTGATTTCAATATAACTAGACACACAAGTAGACTACACTAAGATGCATAATTCTATATATACTTTCATGTAAATTAGTTGAATCTGATTGGTCGAGAAACATTTGTTAAAAAACACCATTACCCGCTGAATAATGAAGCCACGCCCCCCAGCGTAGCAACAGTCAACAATGCTTGACGACGGGTGATATTCCAAAAAATAGCGACTGCGCAGAATTTATGCGCGCACGGTTCACTGTTATATGTATTTGTATAAAAAATTCAGTATAATATAATAAATATTGCATGTAGCTGAGTGTAACATTGAAAGTTTTCACCCCCTCGAAAACCATTGTCAACCTTTTTCATAACCCCATTTCTTTAAAGAGTTTGAAATTCCTAACTCCAGGATCATGGATTTGATCTGGAGTTAGGGCGGCGCTTTATTGATTGTAAAGTAAAAATGCATCGTTTCGTTGAAAATCTTCACTGCTTCGGCGTATTTATCGACCAAAGTAAGTGCAAAGTTGCACTAAGAAAAGCAATTAATGAAAAAGGCGATGGATTACATGTATTCCAAAAATATGAAATTGTAAGGTTCCAGGTCGGGGTTAGTGTTTGGGGGCTGTATTGATCCCGATAAGACCGCGGAACATTAACTGGCAAAATTGGAAATATACAGCTTACGTCATTTCTATCTGTTACAATCAAAACATTTAGTGATAGACAATGTAATGGGCGGGTACAATTCGACGCGGACGTTTGGAAAACATCGGATTGAAATTGCAGATCGAAATTCATTTTCAATCCACCTCCGCTACGCTAGAAGGCACATTATTACTGATTGACCCAGAAGACAAATAATTTCAATTTTGGTACAGAATTAATTTTTTGTCTAGTGTTTTAAATGAAGAAATATTTAAGGGACAAATATTTCATTTCTGTTCGGTAAATACATGTATATCTTAGTGTTGGTGGTGATGGGGGGGGGGTGAATTAAAAACATTTTTAAAAAAAGTTGTCCAACAGTTTTCAGTGAAAATAAGTATAAAACTCATGCACTCTTATAATCCTAGAAATAAAATATATAATTGTCATGTTAAGCCATGACATGACTCGACAATTTTTACCCCCCCCCCTTCTAGAATCAAATATCTCCTGAAAAATAATCTTTGTCTTGTATGACCTTTCGCGTTCTTAAAATTATAAGCTTAAACTCATATTAATGTGAACTTCAAACAATATGTATTTGGGAGTTGAAATATAGTTGATTTTGGATCATACATTCACTCTTTGCTTTGAAAACAGCTCAGGTGGATTGAAAATGAATTTCGATCTGTAATTTCAATCCGATGTTTTCCCCACGACTGCGTCGAATTGTACCAGCCCATTTTATTGTCTATCACTGAATGTTTTGATTGTAACAGATAGAAATGACGTAAGCTGTATATTTCCAATTTTGCCAGTTAATGTTCCGCGGTCTTAATGAAATGAAAAAAGGATTATTTGATTTTTTTTTTCCCCTCTGCTTCTGGGTTTTAAGCAAACTCAGTGCAAAATTATTATGAGTGTCTCTTGCACAATAGTTCTCATTTTAGAGCGGGACAATTTTAATCCATGGTGAATTTATACAATTCTTTGAAAATCTTCTTTGCCTCTGGGCATCTTGGATAGACAAATTAATGAAATTATATAAACCTTCAAAAAGCATGGATTTTTTTTAACCAGATATTGAAATTCTAAACCAAGCACAATAAGCAAGGAATTTTTTTACCGGATTTTGAAATTCTGAACCACGTGAAGCATTAATTATTAATTAAAATATTGCCTTTCTGCAACCATTATTTGCAAGTCTATAATAGAGCAGATATTTCTGCAAACTTGCAATAGACACTGCTGCATACTTACTGCCTGTAGACATTGCTGAAAAGTTCTTGCAATGAAGCTCAAGAAACATGCAGTGCCGACCTACACAAGTTGTGTTTGCAGAAAAATTGCGTCAAGTATGCAGCAAGCTTATACCAAACATATTACCATGCGAATGAAGTTAGCTGAAATCATTCAATTTGTTGAATAAATTCTACAGACTTATTACGAACAACAGATTGGCAGCAAACATGTTGGGTTTTTAAAAAATTGTCGCAAGCTTGCGGCGATTGCTTCAGTAATATTCGCAAGATCGCAGCCAGCGGCAAGCATCTGTGAACAAGAAAAAATGTTCTCCTGAAAAAAAAAAATGTTTGTTGCAAACTTGCTGCATGTCTGCAACAAATATAACAGTTTGGTAAGACTTTTTCTGAACAAGACTCTATTAATTTGTATTCTATTGGGAGAAATCATTCATCTTCGATAACTATACTGTAATGTAATGTACTGTAATGTAATGGAAAGGACAAATAAATCAGAGAATGATCTGGATGAGTTTTCAATGAAAGAAGATTAATAAAATAAAATTTTTGTGCATCAAATAATCTTCCAAGTACAAGAAGGCTAAGGTGAGAGGGATGGCCCTGATAGTGATTTTTAAACTGAATATTGAGGTCGGGCAACCAAACAATTCTTTGTTGAACACTTCCCTTTTTCTTTCTCTCTCTCTCTCTTATTTTACAAAACAGCTTTTTTTTTTTTGTATTATCGCATTTTGTGTAGTTCTATACCACTTTGGATCCGTTACAATTAATGTTTTATAAACGCAGGTTACCCCTGATGTTTTTAGTTATTTGTGTATTGTCCGATGGAAGTAGTGAATACAACATAAAACACACCAAAATGTTTAAGCATGCAATTTTATTAGTAAAAATAAGTATTATCAACAGTGTTTTTAAACATGCAGTTATTAAAAAAACCATAAACGTAAATCAATCATTTGGCACGTAGTAATGAATAATTATGATACTGAAATAATAGCTCATATGTTCAACTTCTTATCTAAAAGTTTTAACGAATATCATGGAAATTCTATAATCCATGTCTGCTAAGAAAGTATAAAAATAGTCAAAAGTTCTATCCAGAAATAAAAATCAATCAAAAAGAAAATTGCAGAAATTTAACGGCAATGAAAGACTGTGGTTAAAGTTCACTATGGTTCACTAATAAAGTCCCATCACTGAATATCAGCAACATCTCCAGCAGTATCAGTAGTCTGTGTTGTCCAATCAAAAGAAAGGTACAGAGGCCACAAAGCAATGAGATCCAGAAGTGACGAGAATCTCTGGTCCATAGAAACTGTCAGCTTCCAACAGAGTAACACTGTCAGGTGACAAGTCATCAAGTAACAGGGATGTGTTAACCACAGGTCTGTAGTCCTCTGGGAGTGTCTGTAAAAATATTGCATAATGTTTAGTTAATATTTCATCAATTTTGTAAATTGATTATGTATATATATTAATAACAAAGCTCAATGTGTATTCAACAGTACGAGGGTTGTCCCAGAACAATGCATTTTTAAAAAAAAATATTTCATAAAGTAACTTGTATTTACAACAAGAGGCCCATGGGCCTTATTGGTCACCTGAGCATTCTGCAACAAGTCACCTGAGCATTCTGCAACAACTTTCCAGTTATTGAATTTGATTCATGTTTTAAGCCAGATGCTATATGGCATTCACAATTTTGAAAGAGGCACCATTGATCATCATAACAATACACTACAGTTGCTTAGCTTGGTTTATTGATTTAAATATGCCCAATAATAAGTTCATAGGATCTTCATGAACATTTAATGAATAAAATTCATGAAAAATTCAAGGAAATCCATGGATTATTCATGATCACCTCGCAGTGTTGAATCCCATACGCAAGGTAGGGGAACAAAAATGCATTCCAACTAATCAGTAATATTCAGCAATAATCAGTAGTGCCCCTAACACTGTGAAATAAACCCCTGACCCTAGGTCCACACATTGCACAAATTTTAAAAAGGCACCGTTAAAATTGCCTATCAAAAAATAAATAAATGTTTTATAAATACAAAGGAGCAGATTTCAAACAATTCATTCATTAGTATATAAAGCTAAGGTGTACACCCCTGACCCTGGGGCCTTGAAATTCAAAATTTTTAAAAAAAATAGGGCCCTTGCTCATCATAACTATTTAGGTAGTTCATCTGCTTCATACCCAGAGACACAGAAGAAAATTTTCAAAGATTTAATGTATATTCACTATATAATCAACCGAGCCCCCCCCCCCCCCCACACGCCAGAACCCCTTCCTGGGACCATAAAATTCACAATTTTGGTAAAAGCACTCTTGCTCATCATAACTATGTACTTAGTTCGTTTATTTAATACCTAGGAGCAGAGAAGAAGATTTTCAAAGAATTCATGTATGTTTACTATATAATCAATAGAGCCCCACCCTAACACCTGAACCCCTGACCCTGGGACCATAAAATTCACAATTTTAGTAAAAGCACTCTTGCTCATCTTAACTATGCACTTCGTTAGTTTATTTAATAACTAGGAGCAGAGAAGAAGATTTTCAAAGAATCCATGTATTTTTACTATATAATCTATAGAGCCCCCCTACAAGAGAAGCCTTGACCCAGGGACCATAAAATTCACAATTTTGGTAGAGGCACTCTTGCTCATCATAACTATGCACTTAGTTAGTTTATTTAATACCTAGGAGCATAGAAGAAGATTTTCAAAGAATTTGTGTATTTTCACTATATGAAGACTAGACCCCTGCCCTAACACCAGAAACCCTGACCCTGGGGCCATAAAATTCACAATTTTGGTAAGGCACTCATGCTCATCATAACTATGCACTTATTTTTATTTAATATCTAAGCAGAGAAGAAGATTATCAAAGAATTCATGTATTTTTACTATATAATCAACAGAGCCCCGCCCTAACACCAGAACTCCTAACCCTGGGGCCAAAAAATTCACAATTTTGATAGAGGCACTCTTGCATATCATAACTATGCACTTAGTTAGTTTATTTAATATCCAGGGGCAGATAATTTTCAAAGAAATCATGTATTTTCACTGTATATAATCAATAGTCCAAACACCAAACTCCTGATGGGGCCATAAAATTCACAATTTTGGTAGAAGCACTCTTGCTCATCATAACTAACTACTTAGTTGGTTTATTTAATACCCAGGAGCAGAGAATATTTTCAGAGAAATAATGCATTTTCACTACCTACTTTGATTTAGCCTTGCCTCTAGCACTAGAACCCCTACCCCAGGGCCATGAATTTCACAATTTGGGTAGAGGACTCAATGCTGATTACAATCATGCAAACAGTTTAACTGCTTGATTTCCAGGATAAAAAGAAGATTTTTAAAGACTGAATTAATTTTAGTGGTTTTGGCCCCACCCCTCAGGCGCCAGGGGGTTAAAATTCACAATTTTTGTTCACCCATAGATGCTTTATGCTAAATTTGGTTGACATTGGTTGAGTGGTTGCAGATTGAAGCTAAAATGTTCAAAAGTTTACGAACGACGTACGACGTCCGACGTATCGAACGACGACGGACGAAAACAGATAGCAATAGGTCACCTGAGTTTACTCAGGTGACCTAAAAATATAATTTTTTTGTACTTTGTTGAGAAATGACACTAGTATCTTCATGCATTATTTCGACAAAATATTAAGAGGCTTTGAAAAGGCTTCGTCCATTATGCTCCACGTTTCCAGCTATCGTTGATACCCTGGCATATCCAACAAACTAGACAGTGATTCCTTTAAAAATCTGGACTATTCGTGTGTAAAAGTTTATTGATTGATTGTATGTTGTATAACGTCCCTCGAGAGAATTTTTCACTCCTATGGGCACACCACCACTTGCCGGTGGAGAGCTGCAAAGTGCCCTATGCTCAACACCCAAGGCCACTGAGCAGTGAGGGATCTTTTTTCTTTCAGCACATACTGCGACAAGGGACCTCGGTTCATAAGGTCTCATCTAAAGGACCGGTCTCCATTTCCCACAGTGGGATTCGAACTCGCGACGTAAGGGTCAACTCCTTACTTCGCGACTCTTAAGAGCGGAGGCTCTATCCACTAATTCATTAATTTGACACCATAAATAACAATAATATGGCATTAAATACGCAAACAAAATTAATATTCTGTAATACAGAACACGGAATTATTGCATTGTGCAGTACTGCGTGTGTTAGGATAGAACAGTGTGAAGACAGACGTTCAATATGCGATGATTGAGGTCGGGAAATTGCGTACCAAAAGAATTGATTCTGAGAACTTTTTGTAACACTAATATTTGATTAAACTAAAAGAAAATTATATACTTAGTCAAATGTACGCTTTAGACGCATTTATCAGACCCACAATTCAGTAACAAATTTACACACGCTACAAGCTATGTTTTGATGTTTTGGTGTTTCACTGACAACCATTCCGTACGATTGTTTTACCAGAGACTAAAATTTGACATAAAGATGTATTGAAAATTTTGTATTGAAAATGTAAGCCTTTTTCTGGGACAACCTTTTTTTCAGGTGCTTTTGAAATGGTTAACATATTTTAAGTTAGTTTAATCAACAATTTTAATCCAACAAAATGTGTAAACCTTATCAATTTACCTTTTTGATAGACAATGGCTCCCTCTTGGACACAGAGTTCAACTGGCTACATCTTTCATTGTCATTCTTGACAGCATTATTAGACAAGGACTTGTGCTGAATCTGGAAATATTTTACACATCATTTATTTGCCCTCATTCAAAATATTTGATATATTTTATTTTCATAAACAGCCAAGTTATGTTTTCAGTTTGATACCTTTTGTTCCAGTGCAGGCTGCTTTGGTGGCACTGCAATTCCAGATACAACACTTTGTGGTGGTTCCTTATGTTTAAAGGTCGAGTCCACAGTGTTAACTACTGAAGTATCTCCCTTACCAAAATAAAAGCCTTCTGGCACATAGTTGCAGCAAGTTTACTGCAAAGTTGCCGCAACCTTGCGGCAAATATTTGCGGCAAACTTGCCGCAAATAGATTTTTCGTATGCAAATTTTTTTCTGGCACACAGTTTGCGGCATATTTGCGGCAAAGTTCTGGCACATTTGCGGTAAACATTTCAAATCCTTATACATTATGCACTTAGCTGCAAGTTTGTGGCACACACTTGCGGCTCATTTCTGGCATATAGTTTACTGCAAGTTTGTGGCACACACTTGCGGCACATTATTGTTAACTGCAAATTTGTGGCACACACTTGTGGCCCATCTCTGGCATATACAATTCCATAAGCTAATATACTTTACCTAAACAAATTAATTTTAAAAGAACGTGATTAAACATGACAGCAACATGTAATACATGTACTATAAAAAAAAAAAGAACATTCAAGCCATTTTTAAAAATTATTTATGAAAATTTCAAGGTAAAAAGGTACATGTATATATAACACTAACTATAATATTAATGTTTAAAAAAAAAAACTTGCACAGTACGAGAACAAAATCTGTTGATTGAACACTTACACTGTATACATCAGATAGAGAAAGAAACAGATTAAAAAAAATAAATTCACAACCTTTGAGTAAATTATAATGGCACAAATTTACATTGGTCATTATGCAAAATGAATAGAGGATTTGTAGTTAACAACAATCACAAAACATTTTATATATAGAAAAGATTCACCTCTTACATGAATTTGCACATATCAAAGTAATAGTGCTGCACGATATGAATAAAAACATATAAAGTATTTTGACAAATTAAATCTCACAATATTATTTACACAGTAAAGGCGACCATTTTGTTCAGTGTCTTGATTCTATCACTTTTAAAAAAACAACAGCATAATCCCCTTGAAGAATCCATGTCATGTTGAAAGTCAGTGTCCTCATCTGTTGCATTTCCCATTAATTGATTGATTGTATATTGTTTAAAGTCCCTCATGAGAATTTTTCACTTATATGGAGATGCCAACATCTGCAGAGGTTTTGTCCAACGCTACATTAATTGGCACTCAGGGCCATTATTTTTTAGCAATGAATCTTTTTGATCATCACCTACTGCAACATGGGATCAGTTTACACAGTCTCATAAGGATCCACAGTGGAATTCAACTTCTTACTTCATGACTCGAGAGCAGACACTCTAACCATGAGGGCGATACATTTGATAGGAATATTTATTAACTACTTTCTTGGTACTTCAAGTTCACTCTGACATTTCAACTAACTTTTCATGATTGGGGGGGGGGGGGGGGGGGGGCTTCTTTTCCAACATTATGCAAGTACCTGTTAAAAAATAGAGAGAAAGTTCATCGCATTGTATTGAAACCAATATTTATTTAAGCAATGAATTAAACTTAATTTTGACCTAGAGATCCCACATTTGTATCTAATGTTTTGTGTGCATTAAAATCATATTAAATGGCATTTCAGGATAGATTGACAAACAAGGATTCAAAAACAACACTTTGTTGAATAAAACTACATGCTAATCTTTGACAAATTATATAATGTAAAGTGTATATATTTAATCATTTGTTTATATGACATAAACATTTGAATATGGGCCTAATTCTTAATTGTGATTACTTACATTTAGTCCATATCTTAGTTAGCAGAATCCTTTCCTGCAGATAAATGCCCTCTTGATCTATTCTTTGTGGAGGGTTTCATGATTCATCATCAGTCCATCTGGATAGAACAAAAAATAAAAACATATACTATATCTACCCAATTTGTTATGAACAAGGACTGTAAAAATTCTAACTGGCTCAGCAAATACAGTCAAGTCTTATTTCTATGTTAAAAAGACATCAGTGTTATACAATTTTTTTTAAAATACTCACATTCTCTTTTTATCCATTGGTCTATGTTGCTGTTTTCTCCTTTCTCTTCTTGTCATGAGTCATGACCCAGGTGGTTTAAAATTGGCGCAAACTTCTAAACCGGATGTGAACTGATAAGCCGTTCTTAGATAGGTCTGTAACGCAACAGACAAGTCGTTCCTAAATCTTTATGGCACACTTTTGGCACACAGTGATTTTGATAGTTAAAAGAAACATTTCTGGAACACTTCTGGCACACTATATAAATAAAAGGCATCTAAGGGAAAGTTGTGGCATACTTCTGGCACATATTGCATAATCATTCAGTGTGCAGAAGTACATATGTGCCCCTGCAGCACATAATCCGCAAAGTTACTGTGTGCTGCTAGCTGCATTTACTGCACACTTCTGGCATACTGTTCTGGTACATAGATTTGTTTGCCGCAAACTTGCTGCAAGCTTGCCGCAAACTTGCAGCAAACATTTCATTTTGGTAAGGGCTTGTTTTGAACTAGGCTCAGTTCTGTCCTTAACATCTTTTCCAGCAGTGGTACTTTGTTTGAGTGTGGAATCAACGCTTTCCTTGTTATCATCATTAGATTCCACCTGACCCTAAATGAAGCCATTAAGTCAATTTAAACTTGCACTTTTAAAATGCTGAATTATACTTTTATATGAACCATTTAGTGTATTGGTTTCAGGTATTGATCACACCTACCTGTTTTTGCCTGTTCAGGATCCTCATAATTCTGGCAACATATGGAGGATATTCCACTGGGTCTGTCTGAACCTTTGGTGGAACAACAATGCGCTTGGCTCCCTTCTAGAAAATAAAAAAGGAATTCAAAAATTGATATGAAAGATTCTGAAAGAATTTAATAATTTAAAATTTTGATGCATTTATTTGACAATGTTTAAATGTACCTTGCTACCTTTCTGAGTTGCAGGAGTTGGGACAGAATTTTGAGTTTGGTGCAAAGATGCTTCCATTAGCTTCCCAGCCTGTCTCATGACTTTAGCATCCATTTCATTTCGACTTCCTTTAGCAACTGAGCTGTTGGAAGGTGAATTTTTGCCAACACTAGCATATTGTCCCTGAGAGACATTTGCAGTAGTCTTTTCCTTTGACCTTTTGGACTTGGTCTTTGTCTGTGCCTCCATTGGTGCCTTAAATGTAGGGACACTCTGTGGGCGAAGACCCCATGATTCCTGATAAGAAATATATTTTAAATTTTTTTTTTGTTAAATTAAAAGTGAGTTTAAGATAAGAAAATACTGTTAATTAAGAGATTGACAAAAATCAATTTAAAAAAGCTTACTAGCTGGACAGCAGAAGACCTCTCGGGATAATCAGCTGATGGTCCAGGTGTTGTCACATTAGGTGTGGGTGTTACCACAGGTGAGTATACACCATTGTAGTAAGAGTTACCACTGACTCCACTGATCACTTGAGGTGGTAGTTGAATGGTCTGACCATACACTCCTGTAGCTGACGGAACACTGAGGATGTTGGTAGGAACTTGTAGTCTTGTTCCATTAACCCATCCATCTGTCACAATGGTTGGAGTAGAGCTCTGAGTTTCAAAGTTTGTGGGTAAAATCTGTTTATAAAGAGACACAACAAAGTAATTATTGTGATCTAAATAATTACTTTAAAATTATTTATTTACAAATTAAGATTATTTGGTTCATTGTCTTAAAAACCAGTTAATATTTTTACTTGTCACTGACCAATTAAAACTGAATATCATCATTTCTGAAAATGAAATAAAGTACTTTCTCATGTTCAATGTAATTTGAACATGGGAAATAATTACTTACAAGTTTATTTGCAAAGATTGGCTGTTGGAGCTCTGCTTGTGTCAAAGTCGGGTTTAAAATTTGGACAGCAAAAGTAGTCTGGTCTGAGGGATGAATGTTTCCCTGGCTGTTAATGACAAGTTGTTGCTTGGTCTTCTGAGATTGCTGCTGGATGGACACCCATTGTAGGGTCTGTCCTGATCTCAGTTCATTCAAAGTCAATTGTGGTTGCACATTTGTGCAGTTGGTCTACAAAAGAAGACAAATTAGAAAAAAATTTAGCTGTGTACAAACTCGTAAAATCATATAATTTTTTCCAATTTTTAAATGCTCATATTTTTCTCCATGTGGTAACCTTAAACTTGCAAAAATGACCTTGATTAAAAAAAAAAAAAAGAGCGAAACTTCAAATAATCTTTTTACAGAGTAAAAAATCTAATATTTCTCAATTAGAAAATTATGGAGCAGACATTCTTATTTTTTTTCTGTGAGTGACATCAGCTTTCAATATAACCTAAGGTCAAGATCATGCAACACCTTTAAGTTAGGAGCAATTTTAATAATGAAATTTCAGATTCCCATTTTCTCCAGTAGAGTTGTGACACTTACTGACTTATTCTCAAAGTCACTTTAAACTTCTCCATATGACCTTGGGTTTGATCAGGAAACAAGCTTACAGTGTGTAATTGGTTCATAAGCAATCTTAAGTTTGCAATAAAGATATGGTTAGAAAAGATGAGTATCTAAAAATGACCTTGAACTTGATCACAATACCTTTGACCTGTCATAAGGTCAGAAGTTATTCAATACTACATGTATGCATGGACTTAAAAGTTATATATAGAATATGACTGGATTATACATTTTGCTACTAAGTTAGTGGCCTTGAAAAGCCTTAATGACCTTGGATAAGGGTCAAAACACATTATTATTGGAAGCAATCCTTGACATTATGATCTTTCGTAACTTTGTTTTTTACCTAAAAGTTAAAAAAAACATACCTGTTGTTGTATCCTAGTCCCAGGTTGAGAAGGATACACAGTGCAATCGGTGACATTAGGGTTCACTGTCTCAGTGCTGGCGACTGAGCGACCTTTAGGAAGAACTGTGGACGTTATGAATTGTTGTATTTGTTCATTGCTCAACAGAGGTTTTGCCACCTAAAAAATATATTTACTTCTAACTAAAATATATTTTTAAATAATGAACATCTGTCTGTATCTGTATCAAGCTTAGAAGATTCTATTAATCTGACCCTTTTGAACAAACGTTCGATTGTGTTCTTAACTACGTATAAATTTAGTGCGACTAGCTGCTGATACTATTCCAAGTAACTTACTCCATTTTGCACCACTCTGCCAGCTGTACGAGTGGGTCCTGAATGAAATACTGCTTGATCAGCTTGAATATAACGCTTTCTCGGTGGCTCAACCTGTTAAAAAATAGAATTGTATATTCATTATACATGTACGAGGGCCAATATTTTGCAAATTCCAACAAAATTGAAAGAAGTTTTGGAATAAAAAGTGGAAAGATAATATTTATATAAAGTAAAGAAATACATAAAGGATGAGAAAAGGTATGAATGAAGATATTTCAGAAGAAAAAAGAAAAGTACAAGATTTTAAATTTTAATTAACTTACTTCTTTTTTTTTTATACATATGTAAGTTACATATAAAACAAAACTGAGACCTCCACATCTCTCCCGGAAGTGGTGGGCGTGGTCAAGATGTCCACTCCCAGCCTCTCGTAAATACTCGAGGCAACTTCAGGGTTGGCATACTGAACATCCACTCTCTTCTGAAATTAGAGAAAATAAATTGTTGTATGTAGGTCTTGAAATAATCTAAACAGTGACATTATTAAATTAATAAATACTGTACATGTACTTGATGTAAAACCTTAGACCGATTAGTTAACCTTCAATTACACATGTAAATTTTATTAAAATTATATTTTGAGAGTGTGCATTCTCTGTATAATTTCCTTTAATACCCGTGATACCATAGCCACTTGGTGGCATGTTGCCTATCTACGAACCCCACATCTCAACCCCAACCCCCACTAAAAATTTATTGTAAATTCCTGATTAATATTATCGACACGAGTTGTTGTTTTTAAAATACTTCTACAGTTAAACAAGAATATAAAATGATGCTTAATAAATTCATTATCCACGCATACAGCAAAGAGATTTTTACTTTTTTGGTTTAAAATTAAGCATTTTACAGTACCAGTAAAAATTCAAAGCCTTCACAAGATTTACGATTTGTCCCTAAATTTAGATTTACCACAAAGTTGTAAAGGATGTTTTATGAAAAAAAATCTTATGGATGGCACAAGGAATTTTTTGGGGGGGGGGCTTTCAAAAAATCCTTGTAAATGAAAATTAAAAAAAAAACATAAGACTTTTTTGTGTGGAGACATAAGCAGAGATCAAATTAGTATGTTTCTATAGAAAATATAATTATATCGACAAACCGTGCCCCCGCATTAAATTCCTACTGCCATGATACAAATTTGAATATTTCAGCTTCATGTACTCTAAATCTTAGACCATCTCCCCTCTTTTGTTCTTTCAAAAAATAGTCTTCTATATTGTACATATTTTTATCTTAAAGCCGGTCCTCTTTTGCCCCCCCTCCCTCTCCCACCACCTTACCCTGGAATATTATAGCTCCCTTTGCACAGACGAGTCTTGTTTTTCTTCAAGTATATGATGGTTTTTTAAAATATATTTTGCCAAATACCAAAACATTAGTAGTATGTAATACGACAAATCATATACTAGCACTTTCCATACATGATTCTACACTTTAATATTAAACGATCTTCAGTAATCAATGTCTATTATCGTACATGAGAGTCTACTCTCGATATTCATTCTACCACAGGAGTTCTCAATTTTATCAATAAAATCAATCACTCGATTGACCAAGCCTTGACTGATGAGCTATGCGTAAGCCTATGCTTACGCATAACTCTACCACATGTGTGAATTTTCTATTGACTTTATAAAATTGCGAACTCCTGTGATTCCATTTATAAGACTAGGACTATCAAAATCCAAATTTTATTACACTTTAATTCATTAAACAAATTTCAATGGTCATGGAAATCCAAAAGATCGAACGGAAATCTATATAGCCTAGTTTTAATATTTAAACCTAGCTAGGGTTCAGCCTAAAATGTTCTAGACGTTTTACTCTCCTCGATCGAGAATTTTTGAATATCCCGCTCTAGCAACTATCATCTTTAAATTTTCCTTCCAAAATCAAACAAATATGACCATTACCCTTTTATAGCTCAGAGTCTGACTGTTCATTTCTGCAACTGTGTCTACTGTATGTTATCAAATATTTCAGAAAATCTTCGCTCAGCGAAAATCACGTCTTATCTCAACAACTGATGCTGAAACAATGAGCTGTAACCAAAACACATCACATAGCCTAGCAATCGTGACGTCATCAACAGGACGACAACCAATGAAATTCAATCGAAGCAGTTCGCCCTTTTCCGTAATGCAGTTACGGAAATGGCCGAGTAGTTACCATAATATATGGAATGTTCGACAAACATCGGCTGATTCCGTCACCTTCATTTAGAGCTTTGCTGAGTGGAATACAATCTCTACCCAAAGTTATCGTTCCACTTAAAGCGAAGCGAACGATAACTCTAGGTTTGCCCAGTGCATATTGGAATATTGTATAAATTATCCTACAGAAATTTATTTTTCGTTAGTAATTAAAAGTCTATACGTATGTTTAAAATATAAAACAAAGTACTTCAAATATATTATGCAGAATTTTTACTACGTCAACTGAGTTATTTTTCTTGATTTGATTAATGTCGCAGGGGGGTAATCCAGACAATCTTTTATACATGTATATATCTTCATCACAACATGCACAATTCATATTTTACGGACAATCTAGTTAAAATCAGACTTCTTAGATCCGCACCGTATTCACTCTGCGTAAGAGTGAATACGGCGCGGATCTAAGAAATCTGATTTTAATTAGATTGATTTTACGGATAAACATATTCAGGAGATTCCTCACAATGAGAAACTTTTATGTTAGAAAAATATTTTTCATAGATATGGTAATCAGTGCACATTTTACAAATTTTACGCACTTTAAAAAATGCTTCAAAGTGCGTAAAATTTGGGACAAACTCAACGTGTGTTTAGAGTGTACTTTATTTGTTACCATAGCCGGAGGCATTTAACGCACTTTGAGAAAATAGATGTATCAAACAAAAATTGTAGACTTAGATTATCAGTTATATAGATTTTTAATCTATCTTTCAAAAAATCATGAGTTAAGCTATATAAGCTCCCCCCCCCCCCCCCTCTAGCCTTCCCCGGTTATTATACCTTTACTAAATCCAACTACATGAAGAAGCTGGTTTGGCATTGGAAAATTTGAATAAGTTTGTGCTTTAAATAAAATAGATGGTTATTTGTTTAACGTTGTATTCGAGGATATATTTTGTTCTTTATCGTGCCAATGCCAAACGTGACATATGGTGTCTCGGTTTTTACGGTCTCATCTGAAGGCCCCTCAACTTTCACAGACAAGGCGCTGAGCGCATGGTGATATTGGCGAAGGAACAGTTGCTACCTGTTTTTATCGATTTAAGTCAGTCGCGGCCGGGATTCGAACTCACGACATTCCGAACACGGATCAAGCACTCTACCGACCGAGATACCGTGGTGGTACAACAGACGAAAAAACTAGATGCGTTTGTGAAACACTGATGCCCCAGTAGACCCTACAGCAGATTTTCGCGAAAGTTTAAATTTCTAAAATGCAGATCAAATTTCAAGGTCAAGAGTTGAAAGTTGCCCAAAGGAAGGACTTGTCTCGAGTAATATACTTGTAAAATAAGAAACCTTACGCACTATACATATTCACAGGTTATTGCAAAGATTAAAAGTTTGTTTATAATGCACTTGGGTAAAACTCCAGCTGAGGATCAAGATCAAGGAGTCAAATCAATAGTGCCCAGGGGAAGACCTTGTCATTAGAAATACACATGTGAGATATTAAAGCTTTAGCACTAACTGTTCAAAAATTATGTTCAAGATTAAATTTTTTCAAAAGTAGGTCAAACCCAAGAGTCAAGGTTACATGGTCAACTGAAATTGTTGGCATCCAAGCAAAGGTATCGTCGCAAGGAATACATCTTTGAAATATAAGGGCTCTGGTACTGACTGTCCAAATGTTATGGTCAAGGTTAAAGTTTTTCCAAAAGTGGGTCAATCTCTAAGGTTAAGGTCAAAAATAAAAGAACATACTTGTATATATTAAGAAGTAGACCTACATGTCAGGAATAATAGATGCGAGTCACATCTATTTCATTACATCACCACCTCTGAATTTCACTAGATGGCAGAAATATTAGATATGAAAAAAAACATTATTTATTATACCTCATTATAATTATTCCATACAACGCATTATCTGATTGGTTTTTGAATATCTATAGTGTCCGGATAGGGCCATTTGTAAAAGCTTGATAGCGCGTTCAGAAAAACACGCCGTCGCGCTAACACACAACACGCTGTCACGCTAACACGAGTTCGCACAACATGCCGTCGCACTAACACACAACGCGCTGTCACGCTAACACGAGTTCGCACAACACGCCGACGCGCTAACACACAACACGCTGTCACGCTAACACGAGCCCGCACAACACACCGACGCGCTAACAAACAACTCGCGACAACGTGTTGTGCGAACTCGTGTTAGCGTGACAGCGCGTTGTGTTTTAGCGCGTCGTATTGCTTGAAATCGCATTAGCGTGACAGCGTGTTGTGCGCACTCGTATTAGCGTGGTAGCGCGTTGTGTGTTAGTGTCGGAGTGTTGCTTGAAATCGCATTAGCATGACAGCGTGCTGTGCGAACTTGTGTTAGCGTGACAGCGCATTGTGTGTTAGCGCGATGGCGGGTTGTGCGAACTCGTGTTAGCGTGACAGCGCGTTGTGTGTTAGCGCGATGGCGGGTTGTCCGAGCTTGTGTTCTTCTGAACGCGTTGTTGAGCTTTTTCAAATGACCCTGTTCGGACACCATATAATCGGGATGTCCGTCCGTCCGTCTGCTACGCTTTGGGTACCATTTTTTAACTGCAATTCTTCAATGAATGAAATTTGATTAGACTTTCAGAGAAGCTTCATTACATATTGTCATTGTGCACCTCCGATTTTACTTTTTGATCCGACATGTATTTTTGGTTTCCCATGGTAAAACATGGATATTGCCATTATATTCATATGGGAGGCGGGGGTATCATTTAGTGAGCTCATAGCTCACAGTACCTCTAGTTTTATGAATTTCCTTTCAGGTTATATTTTAATTAGTAGCGACAATTCATAATCAGTTAACCAGTTAATCGATCTGAACAATGATAAATTATTAGAAAAGCTCCTTTAATTGATGATCAGAAAGGAAAATCAAACAATTTACTGTATAAATAATGACCTTACTTACAAAAAGCTTAAAACTAAAAGACGTAAGTTAGAAATTGAGTTGATGATAAATTGTATTTGCTGAGTTGGTCTGGACAAGGTATTTCGATCATAGAACATGCTACGAAATGTCTTTATACGAGACTGCTGTATTCTTGGTGATCGTCAATAACTTGATCGTTTTAGAAATTTTTTATACGTAAAGAATATTTAAGTGTATCTACTCACAACCAAATTTTGCATACCATAGAAGGGATGAGCAACTGCTTTTTTAAAGTTATAAATGCAACAATTTAACGAAGAGAAATAACAGGATAAAATAGTTTATGAAACTGAAATACTAGTAATGACTAATGAACAACCAAATTACTTACATATAAGCTTACAAAACAAAACACAACAATATTTCAGAAAATGCGATATATTTTATTAAAGATAATAATTTATCAACAGTGATTGTTATAAACATGCATTTTTTTAAACAATAATCAAATACTATTCGAGTAAATCAATCATTTGGCACATAATTTCGAAATAAATGAAATGAATGAAAGAATGTCCTTATCAAAAAGTTTGGATCCAAAATCATGAGATCAAGTCATAAGTCCATATAAGCTAAAAGATCAAAAGTCCTCTCCAAAAAATATATCACAGAAACTAATGAAAGACAACTGGTTAGAGTTCACTAAGATAAAGTCCCATCTCATCACTGAATATCAGCAACCTCCAATAATATTCAAAAGTCTGTGTCTTCCATTCAAAAGAAAGGTACAGAAGCCACAAAGCAGTGAGAGCCAGAAGTGACAAGAATCTCTGGTCCATAGAAACTGTCTGCTTCTAACAGAGTAACACTGTCAGGTGGTAAGTCATCTAGTAACAGGGCTGTGTTAACCACTGGTCTGTAGTCCTCTGGGAGTGTCTGTAAAAAATATCATAATATATAATTCATTCCGTTTGCTAATCTCTGATAAATAATGTAATTTTCTTTTTTAATATTGAATGATAACGTAAATGGCAAAATCAAATAGATTCAAAACAATCTGGATAGTTTTACACACATGCAAATTTGTAGTTATCCGTATCTGGATAATTTCTTTTATCATACAGTTTTATCTTACATGTATATATATTTGTGACAATAATTAAAATACCTTTTTGATAGACATTGGCTCTTGTTTGGACCCATATTTCAACTGGCTACATTTCTCAATAACCTTCCGTTCAGCACTACTAGACAAGGACTTTTGCTGAAACTGAAATATTTTTACACAATTTACTTATAACCATGTTTATTTGTTTATTCAAGATATTTGAAATATTGTATGTTTACTATAGTATTCACTGTCAAATTATATTTTGTGTATACAAGTATTACTGATACTATCTAAAATGGTTACCTTCATTTCTAGTACAGACTGCTTTGATGACACTGGAGTTCTAGCTACAACACCCCGTTTAGGGCTTGAGTCCATAGTGTCGGTTGCTTTTTTAGGGCTCGAGTCCACAGTGTTGGTTGCTTTTTGGACAGTAGCAGTAGTAGCCTGTTTAGGAGTAGAATCAGATCTGCCCGTATCTTTTTTACCAACAGAAGTCATTTGTTTGGATGTGAAAACATCAGATTCTGTTTCCTTTTTATCATCGGCAGATTCCACCTGACCCTAAAAGCAAAAATGTCAATTAAGACTTTAAAAAATTCTTAAAATTCTGAAGACATCCATTTCAAATCTTCTAACAGTGGTATATATTCCATATAGGCAAGAAGGCTGTAGCCTACACATCATTTTCTCAGGGACAAAAATTTGGTTGAATAAAGGGGCGGGGAGTTGATAATAAATCGTACCTATGAATTTATTTTGTTGCAAATGCTAAAACAGCATTCATAACAATCCACACTTTTATGCATATCCAACTGTTTACAGTTTTGCTTTATATTTAAGGACAAGGTTATTCCCTTCGCTTGAATTTTTTTAAAGCCAAAGTGTTATTAATATTAAGTCTGTATCAGAAAATTTAATCAAAAGCAACAGGAGTCCATAATGTGTGCAGGAAATGAAATTTATAACTTGAATTAATATATTTGATTAGTTGGAAATTTTGATCGAATTTTGATTATTCAGTAAGGAAGTTTCCATATGAGAAAAAGGATAAATTTAGACTGTGTCAGTTTTATTAAGTGGTCTTCACACATGACAATATAAACTGTAAATTCGTCTATAAAATTATTTTCATTGGTCAAATTAAAATTGTAGATGTCTAAAGTTTCAAAAATGCTCCCATTGAACCCCCCCCCCCAATACCTTTAAAGGGAAAGCACCTTGTCTACCCACACACTAGCCTACACATTAGCAGAGAGAATATACGCCACTAACTTATGAACTCTATTAAGTAAATGTCAATTCTTAATTACACTCCTTGAACATAATGAAATATTTGCATTGATTTTAGGTCTTCATCACACTAACCTGTTTTTGCCTGTTCAGGATCCTCATAATTCTGGCCACATATGGAGGATATTCCACTGAATCTGTCTGAGCCTTTGGTGGAACAACAATGCGCTTGACTCCCTTCTAGAAAATAAAAGAAAAAGTCGAAATTTCATACAACAAATTTTGCAAGAATATAATAGATTTAAATGGAATTATTTGATAATATTCTTAATTACCTTGCCACCTTTCTGAGCTAAAGAAGTTTGTACAGAATTCTCAGTCTGGTGCAAAGTTACATCCACTGGCTTTCCAACTGATTGCTGCATGGGTTTTGCATTGTTTTTCTCCAGTTTTCTACTCCCTTTGGCCATTGAGCTTTTGGAAGTCAAATTTTTGTCTGCACTAACATACTGTCCCTGAGAAACAGTTTTAGGAATCTTTTCCTTTGACTTTTTGGGTTTAGATTTTGTTTGTGCTTCAACTGGTGCCACAAATGCAGGTACACTCTGTGGTTGAAGACTCCATGATTTCTGGCAATAAAATATATAAATATATATTCGTTTTTGTTATCAATGCAGAAAATACAGTTCCAAGATTGGAAAAAAGCAAAATTAGCTTAGTGGAAATGGGAAAAACCTTACAAGCTTAGCAGAAGACCTCTGGGGATACTCAGCTGATGGTCCAGGTGTTGTCACATTAGGTGTGGGTGTTACCACAGGTGAGTGTACACCATTGTAGTAACAGTTACTACTGACTCCATGGACTGATTGCTGTGGTAGATGAATGGTCTGATCATACACTCCAGTAACTGATGGAACATTGGTGATGTTGGTAGGAATTTGTAGTGTTGTCCCATTAACCCATTCATCTGTCACAATGGTTGGAGTATAGTCTTGGACCCCAAAACTGGCCAAATTCTATTTATAAAGACACAACAAAGACATTATAGGATCTTAAATATTCCTTCAAATTGACATTATTTATAAAACTAGCTTATTGTGTACGTTTATTGTCCCCCGCTTGAAAAGTGGGGGATATTAATTTGGGTTTGTCCGTCCGTCCGTCCGTCTGTCCGTCCGTCTTTCTGCCTGTCTGTAACGCTTTCGTTTCCATACGATATCTCGAGAACCCTTTGAGCTTTTGCAATGAAATTTAAATTAGCAACTCCCTATGGACTAAAAAAGAACCCTATTGATTTTGAGGTCAAAAGGTCAAAGGTCAAGGTCATAAATAAGCAAATTCTGTCTGTTATAACACTTTCGTTTCCACATGATATCTCTAGAACCATTTGAACTATTGCAATGAAATTTTACGTAACAACTCCCCGTGGCCTAATGAAGACTTCTATTGATTTTGAGGTCAAAAGGTCAAAGTTCAAGGTCGTAAATTTATACATTCTGTCTGTGTGTAACACTATCATTTCCGGGCGATATTTCAAGAAGATTTTGATCTTATGCAATGTAATTTTATACCAAAACCCTAGGACCTCTCTTACCCCTCTCAAAGTACCCGCCTCGTTTGCTTTATTAGTATTAATAGTATTACATGTACATGCTGCTATTTTTATCACAGGGATAGGAGGAGAGTTATTGCGTAAAAACAGGTTCTCGGCGGACTTTATGTTCTTATTACAATACATCTATTAGAACTGTTTAATAAAGGCTAAATAAATCAAACACCATGGATTCCGATTGTGTAAAATTTTGAGAATACCGAACATGAATATATACATGTATGTGACTTTAGTTCTGCATATACTTATCTCTATGTAAAGCGATTCCGTGGTCTAGAGGTATGTCTCTCGCTTCACATGTAAGAGGTCCCGTGATCGAATCTCGGACGATCTTTTTTTTTTTTTTATTAGAAAATACTTTTCTTTTTTTTTACTAAATGATAGTATTCAGCATGTGAAATGAAAAATTTATGAGGTTATAAAATCATCATTACAGTGTGATAAATATTCCATATAAAAAGAATCTTCTATACAAACAAGAGGCCCACGGGCCTTATAAGTCACCTGAGCATCATGTAACAACTTTCTAGCAATTGTATTTGGTTCGTGTTTTAATCCAAAAGCCATGAAATTCACAAATTTTGAAAGAGGCACCATTGCTTATGAAAGGGCAGATTTCAAAGCATTAATTTATTTTTAGTCAAAGTACCCCCCTGGTACCCCTGACCCAGCTGCCCTGAAATTATCTATTTTGAAAGAGGCCCCTTTCTTCATTATAAGGCCAGCATTTTTTTATGTTTAGGTTTAGTTATGAACATGAGAATAAAAAAGTCCCGAAGGAGTAGGAAATAAAAAAAAAAAAAATTTGATAAATCAATTATTAACATTTGTACATTCTTTTTTATGCTATCCTAATAGGCTTCTTACCACTGGACACATAATGCTTACAAATAGGAAAGTAGAACATTTAATCGCTTATTTCATCATCTGCCAGTTTGGGTCAGTTATATAAATTTTGTGATGTTGATCAAAATATATTTTAAAAGATCAATTCTTTAAAAGTCTTTCAATATAATTATTTTCATTTTTTTAATATGTGTAGACATTGTTCTAAAATTTACTTGATGCCTCAAATTATAATTCCTATCATAAAACAGACAGGGAGTATTGGGGAGTAGGGTGAACATTTTTGCAATTAAGTGTGAAATAATTTTTCTGGCTGATACAAATGATACTACATGCCTGTATATATTTGTATATTCTTGCCTTTTAATAGTTAATTTTTTTTTATTTCTTCAGGTTATTGTTTATTTCTTCCTCAAATGGACTTAACTTCTCCCATAGTTTTATTCATTACATCTGATGCATAAGCAACCCTTTTCTGAAGAATGATACTGTAAGCTACAACAGAGACCTAAACAATGTCGCTGGCAATATGCAATAGCTACCACGGGCAGTTTAAAACCTGGGGAGGAAAATAATTTACAGACAGATACTTTTGAAACGAATACATAATTATCTCACCAGCATGTCATTGTGCAACAAAGTCGTCAGCATTTTATTTGAATGTCCTTTGAACGGGTGAAACGTTCTGAATGGCACGCTTATCGATGGATTTTACACTAAACCGAGCTATCTTCTCAGATCTAGCTTTATTTACCCGCCGTTTCATCGTAAAACCGGAAGTGCGAGTTCGTAAATTTGAAATCTCGATCCCGACTCAAATTTGACATCGGAAAGAAATTTTTTTAAATTTTTTTCTCAAAATTCAAAACCTTGAGCGGAGGGTTTTTAAAACTGAAAATAAAATAAATCCTGGCCTTAAATATGTAATTAGATCATTAGCACATTAACCAGGAGCAAAGGATAAGATGTTCACAGAATTCATGCATTTCACTATATAATCATTGGAGCCCCACCCCAAAACAAGAACCCCTGACCCTGGGGCCATAAAATTCACAATTTTGGTAGAGGCACTCTTGTTCATCATAACTATGTACTTAGTTAGTTTATTTAATACCTAGGAGGAGAGAAGAAGATTTTCTAAGAATTCATGTATTTTCACTATATTATCAATAGAGCCCCGCCCTAACACCAGAACCCCTGACCCTGGGGCCTGGGGCCATAAAATTCACAATTTTGGTAGAGGCACTCTTGCTCATCATAACTATGTACTTAGTTGGTTTATTTAATACCCAGGAGCAGAGAAGAAGATTTTCAAAGAAATAATGCATTTTCACTACCTACTTATTTAGCCCCGCCCTAGCACTAGAACCCCTGACCCTGGGGCCATGAATTTCACAATTTTGGTAGAGGACTCATTGCTGATTACAAACATGCAAACAGTTTGACTGCTTGATGTCCAAGAGTAAAGAAGAAGATTTTTAAAGATTGCATTAATTTTAGTGGTTTTGGCCCCACCCCTCAGGCCCCAGGGGGGCAGGGACCCTGAAATTCACAATTTTTGTTTCCCTTTACCCACAGATGCTGTATACAAAATTTGGTTGAAATTGGTTTAGTGGTTCCAGAGAAGAAGCTGAAAAATGTTCAAATGTTAACACACGACGGACGACGGACGCCGACGGACAAACATGGATGGCAATAGGTCACCTGATTGACTCAGGTGAGCTAATAATAAAGAATAAGCAATCAAATCTTTATATGCTTATTGACATACATGTATTTTATTTCCTTCAGTATACATGTATACATTTAATAATTCTACAAATTCAGTCAGTGGGATCCGACTTTTTCCCTAAGCGGGGGACACGAATTTTCTGCATTAGCTTGTTTTACAATAATTTTTAGAGATTAAGGGCTCATACAAATCATCTCTCAAAGATAATTCAGATAAACGAATGGTCTATTTAGTAATTTTATTTTCCAATATTTTTATGTAATAGAAAGTATCATTAGTACGTTGTGAAAGTGATATGAGAGGTCAAGAATTATGAGTTAATTACCAAACGCTTTCATTGCACAACACTGACCAGTCAAAACTTATCTTTCAAAATAAAATAGGCAGGACATTTTGTGAATACTTTTTTCTGAAACATGGGTTAAAAGTACTCACCAGTTCATTTGCAGAGATTGGCTGTTGAAGCTCTGCCTGTGTCAAAGTCGGGTTAAGAATTTGGACAGCAAAAGTAGTCTGGTCTGAGGGATGAATGTGTCCCTGGCTGTTTATGGCTAGCTGTTGTACACTGTATTCTGTTTGCCTTTGCAGTCCCCTGTCCTGGGTCTGATGCTGGATGGACACCCATGGTAGGGTCTGTCCAGATCTCAGCTCATTTAAAGTCAGTTTTGGATGCACATTTGTGAAATCAGTCTACAAAAAAGAAAAAAAATGTATAAGAAACTGGAAAAATATTGATAATATAGCTAATAAAACCATACTTTTACTGAATGACTTCAACTTCTCTATCGTCAAATGCAATAAGGTAGCAAAATATATCCTTATAAGTTATAACTTGTATGTTTCTCGGTTTATTTGATATATCAGAACATGTACTATTTTCAAAAATTCTAAAATAAGGCAAGCTTCGGACAAACAAATTGATGAAGCAAAGGTATCAACAGTCCTGTTTAAAGTCATCATTTTGCAAGTTCTTTTGTCGATACAATCACCTTGAGAGCAAATACAATTTATCAATTAGTCAAATGCTTCTTGGCGTTTTTCAAAAACTTATTGTTATGCCATTATTTAGATACTAAATGAATAGTATCTATGGTTTTATCGTTTGCCTGATCATGACAAGGAGCACATGTCGGATGTGACCGGTCAGCAGGGGCTGCTTACTCCTTCATGGCACCTGATCCTATCTCTGATAATTTTAGAGGTCTGCTATACTCCCGATATGTACTGTTTTAATGGACTTTTGAGCTCGATTGCTGTTCGTTATTGTCATATTTCATTTCCAAAATTAACTTTAAACTTGCAAAATTGGACTTGATTTTTGATAATGAAACACCCTCTGATCATGAATAATGTAATTTTTTAAAGTATGAATGTCCAATGTTTCTTCATTCAAAATTATGAACCAATCCTTTTGGTCAATGTTCTTGAATTTTCCGTATGATGTGTAGTCAAGATCGCCACACATCCATTAGTCAGAAGCCGATTTTTGAGAAAAATTTCAACTTCCATTTTTTTTCAGTGGAAAATTGTGGACTTTAGCTCTATTAGCGACTTTCAACTTCTCAATAACATTTTGACATGATTGAAACATGATTAGGAAAGATGATTGGGACATAAGCAATAATAAAGTGAGCTTCGCAGTTCAAATATTTCTCTATTAGAACTTGTGTTAGGAAGAATTATGGTTTCCGACAAAATGACCTTGAAATTGACCAAATTAATTTTCATCAACTTTATGGTCATAATTAAATATTGAGATAATGAACCATATTCAAGCACAAAAGTCTATTGAAACAGTACATATCGGGAGCAGAGTACACATGCCCTAAAACATTATGTAAGGGTTAATGTACGAGTAGCGCTCCATTTTTGTTTGAGAGCTCCATTACTTTTCAGGAATGGAGAGTTGCAAATTTCATTGAAAACGGATTCCGAATTTCTTATAATCTTATTTTTCCTTTCCGCTTGTCTCTAACGAGAAAAGAATTTTAGAATATTTTAGAGTTGATTTTCACATTATGAAAATTTTATTGCCTATGGTAAGAATATCAAACTCATACCCTCCGCTTTGTAGTCGGGTACACATTTCACAGAGCTATCGAAGCTGTTGAGATACACTGGATTAAAATAACTTTAGTACAATTTTTTTCGCCTTACTGTCTATAGTATATAAAAAATAACTACTACTAATATATAATGTCTATTTACAGTGTATCATATAAATATTCTTTATTCTATGTAAACGAACAATAGATAAAAGCATTAAAAAAGCGGATTTTAGGTGATATCAGGGGCAACAAAGGAGTATACTCCTTGTCAGAAAAATCTGTAGACAATTTATTTGAGACAGTAAATAATGACATAACAGTTGGTACGAAAAATGTTAGCACTAAATGAAATTATAAAGATTGTATTTGCTGTACAGTGTCGTTCTACTGACCATAGAAGTTACATTATGACGATTTAAAACGAGACTATTTCATCAACTTATTTGTCAATAGTTTGCCATTTTCTAGAAATTGTTTGTAGAGAATGCCCTTCCATTTGGGATCAATTGAAAGACTCAAAGTCCATTTGCGGGTGATAACGGTTTATTTCTACAATAACATAAGTTCGGGAAATAGGCTAAACAAGAATTGAAGCCATCACATTAATCGTAGGATTTGATTTGCTGTAAGTTTGAAGTTTTCTTCAGATAAATTTTCAAAATATGACATAGATATGTCTTTTATTTCAAAGTCACTTGATTTATCGTGTTGTCAATATGAATGAAAGTAACTAAATTTTGAAATAATAAAACATCCCCGATACATGTATTTCCAAATATCAAGTTGAAATGAAAGCAATCTGCGTTTTCTCATCCTCATGCATAATTTTTAAAAATAAATTCTGCGTTATTCATAAATCGGATTATGCCCAAAAACTTTTTGCATATAACAACATCGAATATATTCTGTAATGAATTTGATTTAATAATGCATCTTGCAAGTGACCTTGCAATACCTTAGTAACCTTGAATAAAGGTAAGGACTTATTCTTAGATCATAAGCATTCGTTGTCAATCCCAGAATGACTGGCATACAGAGGGACAATTGTGATGTATTTCAAGATGTAAAAACCAACCTCCTAAACAAATCAATTTACGGTACATTATGTACATTCTAGTTCCAGACCTAAACCTAAAACATACCTGTTGTTGTATCCTAGTCCCAGGTTGAGAAGGATACACAGTACAATTGGTGACATTAGGGTTCACTGTCTCAGTGCTGGTGACTGAGCGACCACTAGGAAGAACTGTGGACGTTATGAATTGTTGTATTTGTTCATTGCTCAACAGAGGTTTTGCCACCTGAAAAAAAAAATGTTTCCTTGAATATACTTTTCTAATTCTATTAATTTGTCTGAATTAGAGTGTGTTTACCGGTATATCAGGATGAGAAACGTACTTAAATCTGACTTAAAAAAAGAATTAGCATTTTTAAAAGGGGTTGCTAGCTACATGCAAAAAAGTATATCAATATTAATTATCAATTGTCTATATGGGTACCATTAATTCTCTGTAACGTACCCCATTTGTCACCACTCTGCCACTTGTACGATTGGGTCCTGTGTTTTGAAATACTGCTTGATTGGAAGCCTGAATATAACGCTTTCTTGGTGGCCCAACCTGCAATGAATTTAAATATTTAATTGTAATTTCATATATTATAAATATAAGCAGACAAATATGAATGAAAACGTGGACTAATGGAAAAGATAAAAGTTGATAGAAGAAAGAAAAAGATTTGAGAAAAAATAGATTAAGACCTTAAATTAACTTACATCGTTTTATACCAATGTTTATTACATATAAAACAAAACTGAGACCTCCACATCTCTCCCGGAAGTGGTGGGCGTGGTCAAGATGTCCACTCCCAGCCTCTTGTAAATACTCAGGCAGCTTCCGGGTTGGAACTGAACATCCACTCTCCTTCTGAAATGACAGAAAATGAATTGTTTGAGCAATAATGAACACAATTTTTAAGAAAATTTCTTACATATTTTAAGTTAGGGGTGGGGGCAGTCAAACAAAATTCTAGTTTAGCAAGCGATAAAGAAAAAAATGTTGTTTTTGTTGTTGTTGTTTTTCATAACAGATTAAATTCATTATTAACGAATTTGAAAATGTTTTTAACGAATTTAATTCATTATAACGACAAATTAGTATATTAAAAATATCTTTAAAATAAAATTCATAAATGGGCCTCCGAATTGACTGATTGACTGAAAGAAAAAGCACCCCCCGGATCACAACATAAATGCTTGTCTCCTAATATGATCTGGTATTCTAAAGAGTGTAATATTACATAATTATTATCCCCTGGTAACAGGGTTGGGGAGAGTCTCGTGACATACTTGGGGGGTGGGGTGGGGGGAGGTTAATATGTCCTTTGTGCGATGCGGAAGTTCCCAACCTCATCGTCACATACCCACAGCTGATGCGATCACCTGTGGCTATGCCGACCATGATGAAACCTGGAATGTTGGTTAACTGGAATAACATACTAAAGAAAAATTACAATTTTCTGTACGCTCTCAACATGTTCATTGTATTTTTTTTAATCAATAGCTACATGTTAGCCTTCTTGCCTATTATATTCCCCTCTCTAAAAAAAGTTTGTCAGATGGTGTTATTTTAAAAATATTGCTGTTCCTATCTTTTAAAATTATGTGAAAAAATAAACGATTCAGAAACACTTAATTAAAGGACTCAAAAGAATTTAGTTTTCCATCCTTAATTTCACAGAGTTTGAAAATTATGATATGATAAAAAGGCAATATAAACTAAAATAATCAAATAAATCAGATTAATTTCCAGATCTAAAAATACAGGCATTTCTTTTCAATGATGAACCCCCCCCCCCCTCCCGGGAATAAGTTTTCATATGAATTTGAAAAAGAAAAACTTCTTGTATTGTTTTGTTGGCACAATATTGATTTTAATGGTTAAAGGGAAGCAACTCAACTTGCTGGTTGTTATGAGCTCCCTTGGTAAAGACCTTTAGAAATCATTCAAGGCTACCAAATAATATGGATTTATTTTGCTAATTACGAGAAAAAAATTCTGATAATAACTGTTGAGTAAGAATTAGAAACGATATGTCGGTCTGAAAATGTTGCTTACTACATTTTTTTCTCAGATTGGCCCTAATTTGAAATCCTAGTCTCTAGGCCTATATAGTGAGAAAATCAACGATCTTTCATTGTATTATACTCACTATATTTTTGGAATTTTCTGCACATGAAATTACACTGCAATTTGATTAATGCAGTTCTCATTTTTCTACTCTAGGTCCCTAATTTATTCATTCCACTTTGTTTAGAATCCCGCAAAAGGGTGCAAAGTGACGAATTTTCTTCGGAACTTAAGCAATATTCAGTATTCTAAACTTTATTAATCTCATGTTATTACTTTACTAAGGGTTGTAATGGTAAAAATATTCAAAAGACCAAAGATAAATCCTTCAAATACGTTTGTATATATATATATAAGTTTGTAAATACTTATAGACTGCTGTCTCATGTTTGCGATTTTAAATTTTCCCTCCCTAGCAACAGGCATTTTAAATTTTCCTCACAAAAATACACAAATATGGTCATTACCCTTTTATGACTCTGACTGTTCATTTCTGTAGCTGTATCTATTGTTTGTAATCAAAAATTCCAGAAAATCTTCGCTTAGCGAAAATCACGTCTTATCTCAACAACTGATGCTGAAACTATGAGCTGTAACCAAAACACATCACACAGCCTAGCAATCGTGACGTTATCATTAGGACGACAACCAATGAAAACATTTTTCTTTTCCACAGAAGTGAATCATTAGCCATTCGGCAAATCTCGGATAATTCCGTCACCTATAATGATCACTCGGCCGATTCGTATCTCATGATC